AAAGTTATGCCCCCATAAACGCTCTGATTGCATTTTATTGTCTCCTGTTTTGTCGCCAATCTTAAATGAAAGCTCCAGGCAACACACAAAAGCGAACCGAAAGCCCAAAAAACATGGCCAAAAACTCATTTAATGGGGGCACATATAAATTTCGGAGCGGACTTATCGGCCGACTGGCATTACAATATCTTTATTTCGATTTTTGACTTGGCTGGTTAAGGTTTGTCTTTTTGGGGAATCATAAAAAAAAAAAAGAAACAAGTCAAGTGAAGAAGTAAAAGGTTGGGATTATTTAAAAAAATATTCAGAGATAATTTGCTTAGTAATTGCATCCAATTGTGTTATTTTTTTTTAAGTTCCATTTTTGTTTTTTTTTTTTGGGTCTTAAGGACCTAAAAAATCTTTAAAATTAGAAGTTAAAGAAAAGTAACAATTCAAGTGGCCTTTTCTTACTTCCTGATTCGCTTACTCAGCAAACCATTTCTGAAATAATATCAATCAACAAAACGTGATGCTCTCGAGCAGCCAAAAAAAAAAAAAAAAAAAAAAAAAAAACAAATTTAATCATTTTGTTTTGAACGAAAAGTTTATTAGAATGATGCATCGGTACAATGATCAACTTGCTCCACCTGCTCCCACCCATATATACAGATATGTATATACTATATATCATATATCTCTCCCCCTCCCAATCAAATATCCAAATACATACATATGCACATACATATGTACATACGTATGTGCGTGTCTGGTGGCGTCGCAATAACAAAATAATTGAGGTGGGCTCGCAAAAAATGCTAAATAAAATTCGAGAACATTCGACGATAAGTTACCCTACACTTTCAATGTATTTTTAATTACAGTTGGATAAAACTGGATAGGCATTTAAATTAAATTAAACAACATTTCAATATGCTTGAATAAGATTGCTATAAGTTTATGCTTTAAATCTCTAAGACCAAAACAATGCCAAATGCAAATTTAATGCTACCGTCTAAATTCCTTAAAATTCAAAAATAGAAAAAAAAAAAAAAAGCGGATTGGTATTCTCCCTGAATTGCTAATTCTGGTATAAGTTAATAAATTAAGTTAGTTAAAAAGTTGCAAACAACTGAGTAAATAGAAAAACCCTTGAACTTTTTAGGTTTCGGACATCAAAACAAAAACAAGAAAAGGAGACAAACAAACAGTCAACTTTAAACTGATTGCCATTGAAATTTTTGGGTGAAAGCAAAACAGAACTAACGAAAAAAAAAAATGGAAATAACAAAAATGAATAAAAAACAGAAAACGCAGAGAAAATCGGGGAAAAAGAGAGGAAAGAGAGCTTTGGGGAGTCATTAGGTATTTGTCGTTTTAAAGCCAGACAAACAACGAATTTGGGGGCAAAGGCGGAATGCGAGCAAACTATAATAGTGTCGCATCAAAATCGACAACACAAACAACAACAATAACAGAAACCAAATGAAACGATTTTCATACATAATTAAATTGATTAACTAAGTTGAAATTATTCAAGTCGTTGTCGTCGTCGTCGCCGAGCTTTGCATACTAAAATAAAAAAATCAACAAATTCGAAAAACAACCTGAAGCCCCAGACTAACAAAACAACAAACAACCGCACAGCGGCGATCATTAACTAATCTAGAGAGCAGAAAATTGTATTAAATTAACCAATAAACAATTGCTGACTAAGTCAAGTCACGAGACTTTCGATGCAATTAACAGACAGACAGACAGACAGACATTCAGACAGACAAACAAAAGAGCTTCGAAATGTCGAAGGAGGCACAAAGTCCACTTAATTTACATTTAACATCCTAGGGCTTCCCAGCTGGACAAAAATAAACCGAATGCATCATGGGCAGCTGGGAAAACGTGCGAACAGTGGTCGATCGCTAAGCGAAATCTCGTCACTTTCATTACTTTTAATTATATAGCAAAGGGATTACCAAGAGAATTAGTTTGTAGGTACATATTGCCAATTTAAATTCGATTTGATCAATTTAAATTTAAAACACAAAAAGGTTGTTAGTGTAGAACCACTGTACTTGTTTTCTGCTGCTCAACAAGTGCAACACTTTGTTAATTTTTTCTTTCGCCATTTGCCATTGTCTCCATTTCCCTTTCGAGTGGCTTTCCCATCCACAGCAGACACACCCTCGCAAAAGGAAACTACATTAAGTGAATTTTCCAGCAGGTTGCCAAGGAGCCGCGACCTTGTTGGAAAAACATCCAATTCAATTCAATTCAATTTGATTATATGAGCATTAAGCGGAGCAAACAAATGGCTCAAGAGAGCGGAATGAAATGAGACAGTGGAAAAGCCGCAAAGTAGGTGGGGAAATTGAATACCAAACAAACAGCGGACAGGAAAAAAGGATTCGCGTGTAGTTTCCTAGGAGTTAAAGCTTGGGGAAAACCGCATTCGCATGTCTGGTCTTTCGTAAACGATTATTAAGTAGCAAGGAAATAAAAAGAATATGGAAATTATAGCAGCAGTCAAAACATTGGGCACATGTAAAATACAGTAATTACATCAGATGTGCGACTCTAAGTTCCAATTTGTAAGATTTAAACCAACATATATTTTAAATTAAAGGGAATCGCTCTTAAAGTTTGTTTGTTAAATCGAAGAATTTTTCTTATTTTTATGATTACACCTTTTCTCACGAATGAACTCGTAGAAATGAAATTTTAAATGTGCTAATTAACAAGGGTTTACTGTAGTAACTCGCCCATGTAAACATACATACATAATTGGGGGTGCCAGTGTGCGTGCGTGTGAGCATAAAATACGACTATGTGTTGGTGCACGTGCGTAACTTTCAATGTCGCAATGTTTGTGGGGGCCAAATAGTTTTTGTTTTCAACTTTTGCTGATACCGATAGCAGAATTATTAAGAGTGGGCGGTAGGAGGTGGAAATCAATCAAGAAATATTTCTTGGGGGCAATATTTTTACCAAAATTATATGTACACCTTTGGTCGGTCTATTTCTGTTTGCAATCTATTTACGGCCAAAGCACAAGCGTAAGAAAGATACAAAAAAAAAAAACAAAATAAAGCCTCTCAATCATTTGTAAAATGTAGTAACCTGGGCAATACAATGCTATGACATGTTTTTATATCAAATATTTTAGAAACATCAAGAAGTCTGAATAACTATTTTTATATAATAAATGTGTTTATTGTCGGCTACACAAAACCGCTTTTAAATTATGCCATTAATTCTATTTCTGTTATTGGAACTCCTTATCTTATGTACATACCTATGTTAAACATAGGTTGACCACCATTTTTGGCAAATAAAGAAAAACAGGTTCAATAGGGCAAAAAAAGAAATGCGTATTAAAATTAAAAGACCATTTCGTTTGATTAAATATCAATATCAGTCGGAATGTTGTTTTATTTGTCTTAATTTGTACCAGTTCGGGGACTGCAAATATTTGTTTACTATGAAGAAGACAGTTTTCTGCTTGTATAGTAAATTAAAATGTTTACTTTTTATCGAAATGATCTCTTGAAATTTAAAGTGTGAATAACCTAAGTTAAATATCTTAATAATAATCTTATTTATTTATCTTGAGGGATCTTAATATCAATCGAAAAGCATTACTGTTCCCATTATAAATTAGCAATTATGCCATAAGACAAACATGTAATGACTTCCTGGGATGAGAAAGTGTGAACAAGTCGAGACCAATAAATAAAATCCAATAACTATTATCGTCGTGATCCAAATTCCAATGATGCAGTGGGCAAGGTGTATTATTTGGAGTACTTAAAGGTAACAATCAAAACAAAAGAGAGCAAAGAGAGGCTGATAGTAGGTGTCAGGGGGGCACAAGTGATTGGTAAAAGTGAGTGGGGGGTACAAACCTGTTCCGCGTGCAGCGTACGTTGTTGTTGCCTGCATGGACGACGAACTGGTGCCCGGCGAGGGGTTGGGCGGTATTAGAGGTACCGCTGAGGGTCCAGCGCCACTGGTTTTTGTGAATTTCAAAAGCATAGTTTTGGTCCGTTGTCGTCGTCGTTGTTGTTATTGTTATTGTTGTTGATATAGCAAATGTTGTTGTTTTTATTAGCCAAGAGAGCGGTCCGACTGGCTAACGGGATAAACTGAGAGTCCAAGTGGCCAAAAGGCTGCGAGTTTTGCCTGCGTCAACGCTTCTTCCTCTTCTTATTCGCCTGCTTATTCTTCTTCTTCCAATGTCTATTTGTTGCTATTTTTAGCAACAACAATTCCTCCTGCTCTCGCTTTCGTCGGCACCCTGTCCCTCACTCGCTCACTCTCTTTCGCACTGGATTCCTGCTCCTGACGTTTTTTGTTTTATCAATTATATTACAGTTACAGTTTTCGCCTCTCACTCACTCACACACGCATGCTTTCGCTCTTTCTCTTTTACACGAGTAGGTGCCTGCACATGTGTGCGTGTTGTGTGTCTTTGCTCAATTGTTTTTGTTGCGTGGTCAAGTGTTTTGCATAGTTTTTTCGGTTGCACTATCATTTGCATTCACCACTGCACTTGGTTGACAATGTCGCTGTTGCACGTTAACAAAAAAACACTATTTTGCGCACTATTTGCGGACGCTATTTCTATTTTCTTCTTCTATTTTTCAACTTGTTGCGCAGGGCTGCCAGACCGGCTACAAATAAGATACGCCATCCATGTAGAAATATCGATACCTTAGCAGCATAATCGACATCGGGTTCCAACCTTGGCTAATTCACCACGGGCTTTACTCATTTGAAAGCGTTAACTGTAATATAAGTAGTATTTATTATTAACCATTTTAGTTTAGTTGAGAAAATAAAAGCTTGATCGCCCTTATTCAAAATCGAGAATAGAAATTCACCACACTAGTCATCGATCCCCTTATCGATAACCGGCATGCCCGGCCGTTTCGATAATGTGTTTTAACGGTTGAGCGGTCACACTGGCTCGCACGTGTTGCGATTCGTGTGTTTTGGTTTGGTTACCTTATTTTAGCAAATTGTCGCGTGGATCATGGGCAAATTTCGTTCGAAGCTGAAGCGGCATGGCAAGGGAAAGACCTGGAGCAAGGGCCAGTCGGCCACCTCCAATCCCGACCAGATGAAGCACCGCCTGAAGGCCAAATCGCGATTCTTTCAGCCCAACTTGAGTTTGGGTAAGTGCGTTTAAGCCACACAACACCTGTAATGTGCAACTACTAAGCAAGAATTCCCGTCCACCTTAGCCGCTGCCTCGAACACTGGCCTCACTCTGGAGGCGGTCCACAAGCACGAGCAGCGACAGGCTTTTAATGCGGAAACCACGACGGTTAACGATGTGGCCGGCAGTTTGAAAAGCTTTCGACTTGACGACGATGATGACGGAATGTCCGGTTCGGGAACCGCTCCCACCGGCACCTTCAAAACCTTCCAGACCTTCGCCTCCAACTACAGCAGTTGCAGCAACACAAGTTTCCGGAAACTTCTTACCGGCTTTCGCGCCTCATCCGATCTCCACAAGGAGATGCTGGCCATTCTGAGCGCCCTGACCGAAGTAATTCGCATGGAAGGCGGCAGCGAGTCTTCTACGGAGTACTTCCTGCTGCTCATGGAGCAAATTGAGGCTGCCACTGAGGAGCGCGACATCGCCGCTGGCGTGGCCCTGCTCGCCATGGGCATCAAATCGGTGCCAACTCCGGTTTTGCGGAAGCGTTTCGCCCAGACCGCCGCCACCCTGCAGACGCTGCTTCAACGATTCGTAGAGTCCACCAACCAGTCGGTGATTCGATATGTAGGTGGATAATCAAGGGGTTTTTTAAGATGACATATCTTTTATAAACAAAAAATCACTTGGCAAACAAGACACTTCTGCATTTCTTATAACTTCTTTTTTTGCAGGTGATTGGCTGCCTCTCAGTTCTTTTGCGTGCCCAAGATTATGCTACGTGGACATACAGCTCCACGTTCCAGTACTTCGATGCTCTTCTCTCATTCAGCATTCACTCCAAGCCAAAAATCCGCAAGGCTGCCCAGCACGCGGTGGTCTCCATCATCCACGGCAGCTGCTTCATGCTACCAACTGCCAAGTCCGACGACGACGAGAATCAGGAGGATGCGATGGAGCAGTCGGAACCGTCGAAGGTGAAGCACCATCCGGCCAGCAATCGCGTGACAAAGTTCTGTTTGGCCCAGTTCAAACCGGAAGTGCTTGCCAATGCCCAGACGACTGTGCTCCACACGTTGGCGCTGCTGAAGGACACACTATCCGGCTTCCGAACGGAGGACATACGCAGTGTGTGCGAGCACCTGCTCTCGATCATGACGGCGGCCAATGTGCTGGTCCGAACGAATTGCTTCCAGGCGCTGCACGCCCTCTTCCTCACGCGCAGTCCCAACTTGAATGCCTCGCTGTGCGCCAAACTACTGGCGGCCATTCACGAATACCGACCGGACAGGAGCGATGTCCGGCAGACGCTCGCCTGGGTGACGGTCCTCAAGGAGGGGCATCTCCATTTGGCCGCCCTGCAGCTGGATCTCTGCATGCAGGCGCTGCCCCGTCTCATCGATGTCTGCACCACGGATCTTTGGCTCTCGGACCGAACGGAACTGGTTGTGGGTGTCTCCAATTGCATCAAGGAGTTGCTGCAGGACTGTGTGGCCAAGGCATGTGCCACCGAGGAGGATGCACAGCGAAACCGAGCGATTGTGGCCAGGATCATCGCTTCGCTGCACAAAGTCTTGAATGCTCCTTTTGGTGAGATCTCCAAATACGTGATCCTTATCTTCTCCATTGTTTTTGAGGCGTGCGGCAAACAGTTTGGGTGAGTTCAAAATGATAGTAGTCTCTTTAGTAAACTGAATTAATAATTTTATTTTGCTTTCAGTTCTGAGCTCACACCATCCTTGCTGACGATCGCGAAGCGCTACGACAGTAACAGCAACCATCGTCTGCAGATTGAGCACACACTGATCAGCGCCATCAAGGCCTTGGGACCCGAACTGATTCTCACAGCGATCCCACTGGCCGATGGCAAGGGTGGCATGCAGCTGGAGCGTTCCTGGCTGCTTCCACTGCTCCGCGAAGGCGCCAACGGAGCCAGCCTTCAGTTCTTCAAAGAGAAGATCGTGCCGCTAGCCATCGATTGCCAGCAGAAGTGGAAGGAGTTCACCGAGGCCAAGAACAAGTCGTCGTCTCACATTTACGAGCTGCTCTGCTGCCAGTTGTGGGGCTTATTCCCCGGCTTTTGTCGCAAGCCCAGAGATCCGGAATACCTGCGCCAGCTGGCTCCCACTTTGGGTGCCGCTCTGGAGAAGAATCCCGAGTTCAGGGCTCCCATTTACGATGGTCTGCTGGAGCTGCTCGACGACAGCCAGAGCGAGGAATGCCATCTGGCGATTGGCCAGTATGCCAAGAACTTTCTGCCTCGCATGTTCAATATCTACACGCAAAAACCGAATGGCACCTACGAGGCCGATCAGCGGAAGCGTGTCCTGGACGTCATTCGTTTGTATATCCAACGGGCGCCGGCCGAAATTCAACAGCAGCTCTTCGAGAACGCCCAAAGCCAATTGGCAGCTAGCGCAGTGGCCAGTTTCGAGTACGATGCTCTGTTCGATATCAATGCAGCTATTGTGAGGGTTCAGAAGTGCAAGGGGATCGAGGCGTATTTCGAGAAGTACATGGCTCCCGTTCTGAGGAACGATAAATCGAAGTTGGTGGCCAAGGATGAGCAGAAACTTAAGAAGCAGCAGAGGAAGACCTACGAGTAAGTGCATGGCTGGTTTGTCTAGAATTTAAAGACTGATTTGTACTCTCACCACACTTTTTGAATAGACTCCTTCGCGAACTGATGACCTCGGAGCAGGCATCCTGCCAGAAGTTCACCCGCAAAAACAGCATCGCCCTGCAGCAAATCCTTCTCGAGGCTTTCAACACCAGTTGCGCCGTTTGCCAGGCATCTCGCTTGTAGTAAGTTCATGTCATGGCTTAAAACCCACAAGTAAATCAGCAACTAAATTTAATGGTTTTCAACCATTTGCAGCTGCCTGAAATCGCTGATGGAATGCCGCAGCAGTCTGGCGTACAATGACCAGCTGGTGATGAAGGCGATACCCGAGGCGGTGCTCAACTACAAGGAGTTCTCCACTCGGAAAGAGCAGGTGGCCGAGCAGATAATCAAATCAATCACTCAACTTTATCAGGATGCGGGCAAGATCAACGACTTTGTGGATATCCTTACGGCTGGATTTGCGGGCGATGAATCTCTGGTTACGAACACGATCCTCGCCTTTAGGGCTGTGCTCCAGCAGCAGGGCCAACACTTGACGGTGGCCACGCTGGAGTTTGTCCTGCAGCAGGTCTCCGTCTTTCTTGTTCAGAAGTCTCGCAATCAATCGGAGGCAGCCGTCGCCTTTTTGATTACATTTATCAAGGTGATGCCGATACCACTGGTGGCCAATCACCTGGAGACTATTGTAAGTGATTCTCTGAATATATGTATTAGGTTATTCACTAATCATTTATCCCTTTTAGATGCGCTCTTTGTCGGCCATGACCAAGGATACGAAGCGCTACTGCCGCATTCAGATCGGCTACTTCCTGAAGAAGCTCTGCAAGCGATTCAGCACCGAGGAACTGGCACGCTTTGTTCCCGGCGACGATGAGGTGACCCACCGGCGGCTCAAGAAGATCCGCAAGCAAATGCGCAGGGAGACGCGCAAGAAGCAGAGCGAGGAAGCCCAGGCGGAGAGCTCCGACGAGGAGCTCGTCGGCGGACTGGAGCAGAAGAGCTACACGTAAGCGGTGGCATTCTGAAGAAGTTCTAGCAGAAGATTTCACTCCTTGCTATTTATCCACAGCATTGATGATATTCTGGCCGATTCCGATTCGGATCTGCCGGACGACATGGACGCGGAGGACGAGAACGGAGCGGGTACATCAGCTGGCAAGCGAGGCAAGAAATCCAAGCAGCAGAAGAGCACCTACATTCGCGAGGATCCCGATGAGATTGTCGATTTGGCCGATCTCAAGTCCATTGGCAATGTGCTGAGTAAGTTCTTTTAGTAATTCAGATAATGGTGGATTTTATTTTTAAATTCTTATTAAATTTCATAGCCAGTGGCTCCGCTCAAACAGCAGCTACGGTTAAGAGCCTCAAGACGAAACCCCAGCTGGCGAATGGAGGCTTCAAGACCGCCGACGACGGCCGTTTGATAATCAGCGACAAGGCACTTCGCGGCCAAGGAGGAAACGATGAGTCCGACTCCGATTCGGATGCATCGATGGCCGATGGCACTGAAGACAAGGAACCGAAGGCCAAGCGCGGCATGGAGGACGATTCCAGCGACGAGGAGGAGCTGCAGCAGCAACAAACGGCGGGTGCCAAGCGAAAGCGCACAGCCGGCGATGCGATGAGCATGAAGTCGGGCAAGACCAGTGCCAGCAGTCGCTACACGGCCGGTGGCAAGGGTATCCATCGACAGCTGGCAGCTGGAAACTCGGATGCCATGTCCGTGAAGTCAGGAAAGTCCACACACCGAGCAGCGGGCAACGAGTACAGCAGCAAAAAGGCCAAGGGCGACATGAAGAAGCGCGGACAACTCGATCCATATGCGTACATACCTCTCACAAGGAACACCCTCAACAAGAGGTGGGTGTCCAATCGTTAATTATAGCGATTACTTATCACGTTTCATTATCATTTCCTAGAACTTTGCACACTTCTCCCCATCTAATTTTCCATCTCTTTCGTTCACAGAAAACGTTCAATGAACTCGCGCAAATTCAAAGATGTTTTGCGTGGAGCCGGTGGCGAAAGTGGCGGAGGCGGTGGCCGGGTATCCAAGAAGCACAAATAAGGGAAATAGTCTGGCCACTAACTGGATCATATAGAGCTATAGAGATATAGAGATAAATAGTAATGCCGGGATAGTGCGGTTGGCTGATAACCAAGCCAAGACGTTGACAAACATTTCCCCTGTTACTTCGGTTAAATATATACATATATATAAATATAATTAAATATGTATACAAGTGTAAAAGGTAGACATGTATTAAATGAAAACAGTTTTTTTTATATAACCATTGCCTTTCACGGACTTTGAGTTTTAATAAAGCATTTTGAAAACAAAAAATGTCTAAATATCAGTTTTGAGTAACTATACAAAAATATCAGGTAGCGAGTTTAAATCCTTTTTAAACAGGCAGGATTATATACAATAAAGTATCTATAACTATTTAGTATCGTAAATGCAAGAGTCAGAATACAGATTAGTGGTAGTAAACAAAAAATAGCAAACAAATATCCAAATTCCTGATATATCAACCGGTGGTTAATGCTTCACACAATGCAAGCTTTTGCATAATCAATTGGTGGCCTGGAAATCCTTCTCAATGTGGGTTCTGCTCCACTCGCCATTGGGATCCAGTCCAGTCATTGTTTCCTCAATGAAGTGCATCTTATTCTGACTGTCGACCAGGATGACGGTGTGGGTGCGACTGCCATACGCATGCTCCTCGATGTGAACGTTAATGGAACTTAAACCTTCGCCCCAGTTGGGTGCACGCCTCTTCAGCTCCACATCGGGCCAGAATTTGTGCTTTTTCCGCAGCAACTCCATCAGGTTGTTGGTCAGCATCTCAACGCTGGAGTCGCCGTGCTCCTTTACGATCGTCTCGAACTCCTGTCGACCATGACGCACCTTCTCGAAGGGAGTGTGCGGCAGACTGTTGCCGAATCCGTAGCATTCACCGTTCCTGAACTCCTCCAAAGTTGGTGGCTTGTTGCTCAGCAGATTCACGCGTGCGGGCTGAGTTGACGGCCTATTTCGTATAGGTAGAATCATGTAATAAAGAACTACTTTCTCTTAATTCCAGGCACACACCCAATCTCGATGGACGCAAAGTTAAAGGCAGTGTACTTGGTGCAGTCCTTGAGCAGGTTTCGATTGTAGTTGAGGATGTCATGCTCTTCGTCCGTCCGGGAGACATAGTCCGCCACGATCATGCCGCGTCCTAGGAGGAAATGTTCGTTATTCGAATGCTCCCTACTTGGATGGCTAGATCGATTGTTGGAGGTGGTGGGCTTGGGCGAGGGGCAGTGGTTAATGCCGAGGCTGTTGCTGTTGTGATTATGCGGTTGCAATATGTTCTTGTGCGCTTCAAACGAAAAACAGAAACGAAGAAAGTTGTTTTGTTTTTTTTCCTTTTTTCACTGTCGCATTTGTGAAAGTTTTAGTAAAGGCCAAATGAATGGATAATGTGGATATGTGTGAGCGTGTGCTTGGAAGCGTTTTTGATTTTGGTTAGTAAATGGGCCAAATGGGTTTACCAACTGCATCGCGGGGCTTCGGCTCGCCGGTCAGGTTGAGCAGGGCGCCCACCTTGAAGAAGCCCGCCGAGTGGCTGATCGCCAGCCAGGTTCCGCCCTCGCGTCCTGGTTCCAAATCAACACCTGAAAGAAGGTAAATTAATTGAATAATTCTTAACTAATTAGGAAAATATGTAGTTTCAGCTTAACTATGTTTATATTTATAGGCCGTAATTATTTACAAACGGTTTAAAGCCTATAAATAATTTGTTGATTAAGATACGAATGAATTCTGTTGAATTTCCTTCGAGGTTAAAGGGAAACCAGATTAAATGCTTTTTAGCCCATCAATCAAAAACTTTTAAAGTTTAATCTATATAATAATGGGTTGATATCTTTGTGTTGGAGTGATAAAATAACATTTCATCATGATGTTTTGAAGTTTTATCATGTTGTTTAAAATACACGGAAGAGATTTTAGCTATCTCTCGTTATAAACTGAAACCTTGTACAGATAATGTAATTTATATTCATAAAACAAACACACCCACAGGGTTTTTTAAATTGTAGAAATTCACAAAATATTAAGTTGTTTATCAAAATATTTATGTGGCCAACATAGACTTTGTATCCAAGATTCAGGTGTATCGAGTTGACCGCTTACCACCGTAAACGTGATCTGCATTCGGCCATTTGGACACTGATCGGGTCGCCCGGGCAAAGTACTCATCCCGATTGGAGGCTAAAATCAGCTTGTAGCCACCCGGCTGAGGATTTGAGTCCGCACAGAAGAATATCACACACATCGTGGGATCGGTGTCCTATATATCCTATACTTTAAAGCTAAGCCTCGATCGCGGAGAGCGTTGTGATGTGGCCAAAAGACGACGAGAAACTGTAGGTGGAGTTCAAAGAAATGGGCTTTAATCTCCACTGGGTGTCGGTATCAAAGTGGCAGGCAGGCAGGCAGGCAGGCAGGCAGGCAGGTCGGTCAGTCTTCTCTTTGTTGCCTTGTGATTTTATCACCAAATTACCGTACAGCTGATATTATTCAGTCTTATCCGTTGTTTACGAACGCTTCTAATCGCAATCAAATAACGCTCTTTTTGGGATGGTGGGTGGGTATTTTCTATGCAGTCTCAGCTTCGATCTCTTTATGGTAATAAAGTATTCTATAATCGCCAACAAAGCAGTCTTTCAAATAATTTCGTTGTTAAGGCTTATATTGCTTAGACTTATTTACGTTTATTTTCGTATGAGAGTTGCCAGCTGACGGGAAATCGATAACAAATCGTTAACCCTCCACTGCCCTCTAAGATTAGTTTTTATTACTAAAATATAAACTTTATTTTAAACCAAACTGCGTCCAAAAGACACAAAAGAATTACTCGATAAACAAAACTAAAGGAATATTAACAATTAAAACTTTATCATATTAGCATTACCCTAAGGTTAATTTTTAGTAAGGCAATTTTGAGCAACATATAAATATCAAAACTTAACGTCTATAAGAATACCAACACTTCAACAAAAAAAAAACAATACTAGTTTAAGATAGAAAAATTTAAAAAAGTCCGCCAAAAGATAACATATCGATAAGTGTGCATGTGTTGAAAGAAGCCCAGTCGATGGAATCCCACCCCTGTGGCGGTATGATATCGAAGAATTTAAAAACATAGCGGGCACAACTACAGTCATTGATTTATTGGTTGTTGCTCAGCAATGATGTCCCGTCCTCCAAACCCGCGATCCACTCGCAGACCCTCTTGAAGAACTCGGCATCCACCAACTCAATGATACGCACGTTTTCCGGATATTTCTCGCGCTCCCGCAGATGATCGAGCACCATTTGTCCCCGGGTGTGGGTGCCCCGCAGGTCGACGGTCGCGTGCCAGAAGCTCTGCTTGCGGATCATCCGTTCATTGAAGAGCCAGGCGGCCACCACGAGCGCATCGCAGGGGTTCCACGTATCGATGCCGTACTGTTCGATCAGCGGCAGCCATTGGGCCGCTTCCACCTGGTTGAGCATCGTGATCGCCGGATGACGGGCTTCCTTGGCCCTCGCAGCGAATTCCTTCAGGCGCCAATTCTGTGGGAGCAACGGGATTCCACATACAATAAGGTGTAATTGGACATGTACCATGTATCCTTCATTGAAGGTATACCTTTGTTAAAAATCTCTCTTAGTGGTTTTTGAACTTACGATGGGTATGTTGAAGTTTTCAGAAATACAGGCCTCCCATGGCAGGATGGTGACGGGGCAGCGGGTCTTTAGCAGCACAGTATGCGCCGCCTCCGGATCCGAGTGAAAGTTGAACTCCGCCGAGCGTGTGGAGTTGCCCACGCCCTGATAGTTGCCGCCCATGATGAACAGGTCCCGGAAGTTGTCGCCAAACTCATCCCCATACATGGTGTAGCCCAAGGCCAGATTCAACGGGTCAGCGGGCCCACGGCAAAAACGGTGATCTGTTTGGGCCTCGAACGGCAGATATCATGGATGGCGGTCACCGCGTGCTCCAGCCGAACGAAACTCTCCACCGGACCGCAGTCGTCGGTGAGGCAGTCGCCGAATCCGTCGCGTCCGTGGAAATACTTCTTGTCATCCTCCGTAGAGTGAATCAATGGGTGTACGGCACCCATGTAAATGGGAATCTAAAATTATTAACCATTTAACAAGGCATCGCAAGTCTTAATATCATATGATTTTATACAAATTGTTTACTATATACTTTAGTTCAAAAGTTATATTTTCTACACAATTTATTTGATTATTTTTATATTTTGAAATTCAAATTTTTCACGGAAATCGCTTGGATTTTTCTTTCGGTGCACTTGTATAGTTCACAGTTATTATTTACGTCTGTTCGGTTGCAGGCAACCAGTATCCGCTGCATGTTGCGTGCCGCATTCTCCCTGCTGGTGTTGCCGCATCCCAGCGTGGTGACTGCCAGGAGGTGGATGCCATGACTCTCCGCCGCATGGAGCAGCGTGAGCAGAGCCCAGGCATCGTCGCTCCCTCCATCGCAGTCCAAGATCACATATCTCCGGGCAGGGGATCCCGAATCCGATTTGGTTGATGATGAGGACGCTCCGGCTCCTCCTGCGCCACCGTTTTCCACTGTGCGTCCGTCTGCCATCGCCGGCAATTGATGAATGTGCGCGCCGCGGACTACGGACTACGTGCAAGCCATCTGAGCAACAACACCACAAATAAAACAAAAAAAAAAAAAAAAAAAAAAAAAAAGCGAAATACTCATGCCCATATGCACACAGCAATCATCTGGTTTCGCCGTCGCCGGACATCGTCTATCGGTTCGTCTCGGTTCTGGTTCGGGGCTTTGTATTCAGTATTCAGTACTCAGTATTCCGAATTCAGTGGGTTGTTCTCTGTTCTGGGGCATTACCAGTAATAGAGCACCATATCACGGAATTTCATAATGCTCTCGCCGCCATCCGAACGGCTCCCATGTGCGATGCGATATGTCACCATGTGTGCAATTCATATCTGCGCTGTATTTCACATGCGCGCCAATTGCGAGCGGGACGTACGGATAAGATGTGTGGGAATAGTTGGCCATGTGGGGTCGCCCATCGAATGCCCTAACTTCGGAGGGAAATCCCGTACTATAGGGGAAAACCTTTTCAAAAATACAGCTAAACAGAAGTAAGGGATTCCCTTCTTCTGCTTTATTGGTTTTACTTTTTTATTACAAACTGAATTCGGTGTTTACTGATAGTAATATACATTTATAAATATTATATAGTTATTAGAGTTTTATATATTTTTAGTGTTTAAAGGAGATTTATATTTACTAGCCAATATATATTATTTTCAGTAGCAGCATTTGCAACAGAAGCAAAGTAAAAGTCTTCCTACATTTCACGTAATCAATAAAGCATTTAAAATATACGTAATTTAATTTACTTAATCTTAAGTATGCGTTTGATTAGTTGATAGGTTAAATGGGAACAGTTTGAATTTACCTAACATAGTGCAACTAATCTAATGTTCAACAAACGTATTTACATAGACCATAATCTAGTTAGGACTAGGTAAATGTTACGAAACCTTTTGCCTTATCAATTGGACTTTCCCCAGATAACTAGCTTCTTTGGAAATAGGAGAGAACTTGTGAAAAGTAAATTGAAATCATCATTAAATTCAATTCGAGAGGCGGGATCCGAAGGGCAACTGGAACCACTATTGTAATATTAATGGTAATCAAGTTGCGGCAGGTCGTTGCGATAATAACGAACCATAATGAGAGTCGCCGGCCGTCGCCCACTTGCGACACTTGGATTCATTTAGATTCTAGAATGCCAGACGAGACGGAAGGTACTTGCTGCATGAGCTTATATGATCGAGAAACACCCACTTAAGTCATTAAACGCCTTTGCTTCACTTATCCGGGCTTTCTGCTTAAATGGCAATTGTGAGGGTGAAAGTTATACGAAGGTTGCTTCACATATGTCTAGTTCAAAACAGGAGAAAAAACACAGTTCAAAAAACATTCAGTAAATTAATTTATTGATGTCCCATTATTTTATAACATTTTTTGTAAAACTAACTATTAAACTTACCAAACTGTTGAAATGTTTTTGCAATCAAATTTGAAATTCCTATCAGCTGTTTTTTTTTTTTTTTTTTTTGAATTAACGGAAAACAACAGCTTGTAAGCTCACCACACTTAAAACAGCTGGACTTACAGCTGGAAAATTCACCACAGCTTAGACTTGTTAAATAAACGTATGTAATTCTTCCAAAAATTTTATTAAATTGCTTTTTTTATAACAAAGATTTACTTAAATTTAATGAGTTGCAGCTTTTTGTGACAAAATGTGCACCCGACAATGCAACCAGCAAAACAAAAGCTACAAAAGAAATCGTTTTAAAAGAAAACACCCAAACCGGAGATCCTTTTTATGTAGCAATTTGCTATTAATTTAAATAATTTCTGTATTTCGGTGGCAATAATGCCAACCGGCGATAGCAACGAAAGCTCCGCAATCGATAAAAGTTTGCTTTATTTTTTGGCAATAACAACATTTTTGCAAGTGGAGCTCTTTTTTTGGCCATGGAAAACAAGAATCGTTTGGTGATCTACGACTGCGACATTGGAACGGATGATGCCTGGGGATTGGCCATGATGCTGCGGGCGGAGGGCGTGGCACTGCCAGGAGGAAGGAGCTCCAAAGTGGTGGCCATAACAACGGTGCAGGGCAACACGGACGTGGACAATGGGACGCTGAATGCGTTGAGAGTGCTCCACACTTTGGACAGGCGGGATGTAAGTTGCTACTGAACTCCACTGGATATATGTATAATCTCCTTTTCATAGGTTCCCGTTTTCAAGGGCTGCGCTGATCCTATAATGCCCCGAAATTGGACGTACACCTACCGATTCCATGGCCAAGATGGCTTCAACGACGTGGGCAACTATCCGGAGGTGGATGTGGAGAAGGAACTGCAGCCGGAGCACGCCGTGACTGCCATGTACCGCCTGGCCACTCAGCATCCTGGTCAAGTGGACTTTCTGCTCTGCGGCCCGCTGACAAACTTCGCCAACTGCATCAATCTTTATGGGCAAGCCTTCCTGGACAAGATTGGTGGCGTCTACATAATGGGTGGCAATATCTACGGCAAGGGAAACGTCACCAAGAGTGCCGAGTTCAACTTCATGATGGATCCCGAAGCGGCGCACATAACCCTGGAGCGATTGGGACAATCGGCAGTGATTCTGCCATGGGAGCCCTGCATCGATGGCGAGTTTGGCATTACGCTCGACTGGCGGTTCAATGTCCTGGGTGCCGTGGAACATCCGTTTATGGAACTGTTGAATCGTGCTGAGAAATCGATGCTACTGCCACGTGGTTTCATAAAGTGGGTCAGCTGCGATTCTCTGCTGACGGCAGCGTATCTTTTTCCGGAAGCCATGATCGCCGATCAGCGGGAGTACTATGCCACCGTGGAAATAAGTGGAGTTCATACCCGTGGCCAGATGGTGCTGGATCACCTGCGCGGCAGAAAAGTAGATGCCATCCACGGGAAGCAGAGCAACGTGCGCGTGGTTAGACGCCTGAATGGCGAGCCCTTTCGCACGATTATCGCCTGGGCGGGATTCCTGCCCGAAGCCGATATCGGACCACTTTGCGTTTAGTAACCAATAGTATATTCAATTCACGATTACGAACCCTTTGTGTTGGTTAATGGTCGGTTTATGGCTTGATAGGGCAGCAGGTGTGGTCTGACTTGGTCAAAGATTATTTTCAAGCACTCGAAAGGGGGAACACAAATAATATTGGCTGTGAATAAGGTTCAGTTACGTTCTCCGGCTGCCAAACTCCCGATAACCCAATTTAAGAGACATTATTGAGGTGTAAAAAGGTGTAAGAATTTCTTGTCAGAGAATAAATTTTCCATAGCATACTTTAAAGCGCATTTTTAAAACTTGTTAGCTTACTTAAATAAATAAGTAATGGAAATGGTACATACCCTGTTTTGGTCTGATCCACTGCATCCCGGCCTTTCAAATGGCCGTTGGGTTTTGATGCACTGCATCCTGAAGTCCATTACAAGCAAAAAGGAATCGGGCGCCTTTAAGTTCATGCCAAGTCAGGTCATGATGCAGTGCATCCTGATCCACACACCGAGCAAGAAGGCATCTAGCATCGAAAACCTAATGCCAAGTCAGGTCATGATGCACTGCATCCGGGAGTGTACTCCAGTAGGAGGTTGGATTCTGTCTGTGCCTCTCAGGAACCATTTACTAACACACACACACACACACTTCCATAGACCGGAAACAGTTTCTCGGAGAAACCGCCGGTCATCCCGGAGAACTGAGAAATTGACCGAAATCAACTGCTACTCCATGCAGAACTAACCAGAACCAGTTGGGAATTGTAAAACCAGCAAAACGAAAAATAATTTTAATTATCATTGATGATGACGTGGCCTTTAGTAAATGTAATTATTATTACATTTCTGGTAAATTTACATTACCGATATGTAAATTAACATTTTACGAGAAATGTTTGTTAATTTTATATTGCATGTTGGTTAATGCATGTGGCATGAGGCATGTTGCATGTTGCATGTTGCAAATTACATTTTCAAGCTCTCATTTTGTATTTCGATCGTTGAAATTTGCATGTTTAATTTGTAATGTTTAAATTTGCAAATATCATTTTTAGATCGGAATTTTTAAACTGACAGAAAAACAATTATACTATTTAAGAAAACGTACGAAATATGGGGTAACCCTATTTTAGATCCCAAATAAACGAATAATTCAATCCATTTTAATCTAAAAAATTTTCTGGTGTATATATTTCCTTCTACAGAGGTGTACAATCAGTGTTCCATTAAATCGATTAGAATGCGAGTGTTCAAATTCACAATGTGCGTTAAGTCTACATACATTACCAAACAAAATATTGCTCATCACCTAAGAAAGTGTAAATTAAGTTTAGAAAAGTTACTTAAAGTAAATTAAGTAAGAAACATTTTGGATTGAACGTATTTAATAACATCAATAACGTGATAATAACATCAGTTTAAAATATAATAGTTGTAGTGAAGGTTAGAAGTTTTTTTTTTGTTGTTTTAGTATACATCACTTTCTTAAATGTTAACCAATTGAATTTGTTAAGCGAGCAGTGATACCTTTTAGTAGGTTTTATAATTGACGTTTAAAGTTTTAGATATAGTTTGAGTTTCGTTGGTGAAGAAACAGTTTCTCAATAAATTTATATTGATTGTTAAACATACTGTGCGTTTAGAAAAAACTTTAACATAGATATACATTATATACTTAGCTATAACACATTAGAATAAATGTAAAGCTTGCAGGATCCGTTTATTTATTCAATTTGAGGCACATATTTAATATCAGAGAAGAAAAATGGTTGTCATATTATTAATTTAAAACTTATAGAAATATTATTCACCACGCACAGTGCACAACCAGAAACACAAAAAATATATAGTACAACCAACAAGTAAGTAATCATTTATTTGTAAAACCAGAAAAAAAATATTATTTATCTAACTAAATGTTTTGGCAAATGAATTTGCCCAGTGTTTTTTAAAGATTGTTTTACAAATTGTTTGGACAGACGGACCAATCTTTTTGTCCAGTGTTTAGCTTGAGCGTTAGACAAGATTTAAGACTTTTAGATAAGGCAAACTGGAAAAGACGCTACAAAAGCCAACTATATTATGAGGATTTCAAAAAAAAATTTAGAAAATTTGGATTTAGGTCGAGCAACGCTATGAGTATGTCTACGCCTAGGCCTACAAATATGGATTATGGATTTTGTATATATACAGAATAATGCCTTTTGCTGCTGTTGAATGATAAAGCTACGTGTTTCATGATTTTATTATGAGAGACATTTATAATATTAGCTAGAATAAAAGGAGCTCTTGTTTTAGGATTATTTAAAGGAAAAAACTTGGAAATTATTATTATAAAATTTTTAACAGAACATACTATAGTCACTAATATTTTTAAGGTCACTAAATTATTATCAAGTAAAACGGACATTATATTGAGGCGAAAACTTTCCTTTTAAATTAAATTTTGTTATGCTCTACTTAAAGGAAACATATGGTAATAATAATTCGAATAAAAAAACTGATTTCGTGTTTAAATTTAGGGTTTGTAATATTAACAAAATTGGAACAGATCTAAGTTAAAAAAAGATAGATGAATGTTAAATGATTTTCTTGGTGATGCAGCAAAAGACATCAAGCTGTGGTAAAAAAAAAACAACAACATTCTATAGTTGCAGTGCTTTGCGAGTGTATCGTTACTAGACGGGAATGCCCGTGCGATCCTTGATCTTGCCGAGCACGTTGACGTGCACCTTGGAGTAGCCGCTGGGCTTCTTGGAGAGACCGCCGCCGGGAGCAGCGGCGCCAGGAAGCGGTACCGCCGCCGTCGAGATGCCCACATCGATCGAAGCGGACGCGGAGGCCGAGGATAACGGCGATGAGTGCTTGGAGTCGTCCAGATGCGAGGATCTCTGCGTGGAGATCAGCAGGTCATCGCTGCTCGGACGCATCTGTGCCGACGAGGGTGTGTAGATCGGTTGCAGCTTGTCCACTTCGTCATCGATGGCCTTGAACTGCCAGCTCCAGTTGGGTCGATACAAAAACGGTCGGTGATCGAACCGATTGTCATCCGGACTGTAGCTCTCCATGTGAACGGATGGCGTCAGCACGGTCATCTTGTGCCGATTGATCGCGTAGCAGCGGAAGAAGTGCTTCACCTTGTCGGCCACCTCCTTGGGACTGAGGTCCCCCTTCCAGGTGGCCACCAGATGGCAGAACATGCTGTACGGTCCGCAGAAGGACTGTTTGCGCAGGCGTCCATATTCGGATAGCTCCGCATAAGTCATGCCCATGTCCTGCTCGTCCGTCTGCTGCAGTTCCCCGTTCTCCTGCAGCGGTTCCAATTCGGCGGTGGGCGGTGCCTCAATAATGGACTCCAGAACGGGTAGGTTGAACCTGGAAAAAGGAGATTTCAAGATGAGTAAATTGGTATTCTAAACGGGGAAAGGGAGATATCGATTCATGGCTTCGTTTTGACTTTGAAAACAGAATCTATATCTCCCTCTTGACTTCAATCGCAGCTTACTTATCCTTGGCGTAGTTCAAGAACCTTCGCAGATCCATCTTGGAGATACCGCCAATCGGATTAATGTCCGCCGAGGAGCAATCGTACTTGGTGAGATAACCGCGCAGCGACTCGTCCACATTGGCGGAGCCCAAAACGAGCAGTCCACCGGGCCGATTGCGCACCCACAGCATCAGCTGGGCAAAGATGTAGGCGAGCACCATCCGAATCCTCGACTGGATGTTCTGCAGGGCCAGGTTCTGTCGGGCACAACCGCCCTGCGTCCGAAACCGAGGCGTTAAGCCCGTGACGGCATTGAATATGCCCAGCAAGGCATTCACCGCCATATCGATGCTGATCTCGATGTGATAGCTGCCCAGTTGGTTGGCCAATTGGGCGGCCCGCCTGCGCGTCTCCTTGCTGCTATTCACGCTGCCCATGAAGCAGGTGACCAGCAGACGATTGCACAAGCCAGCGGCATTGTCCGGCGTGTAGTCCGTGTCCGCCAGGATCTTCCGAATGTCATGCAGCACCTGGGCATCGCCCAATTGCACCGCCTGCACAATTTGCCGGCACATCGAGTGCACAATGGTGGCGGAGCTGCTGGAATCGATGCCGCCGCTGAGCGGCAGGAAGAATCCCCCCTGACCGGAACGCCTGAGGTAATCCCACAGCCAGCAGGCGGGACCCAAGGCGATCTCCTCCTCGGGCGTGTGATTGGGCCAATTGAGCGGCGGTGTCGATGTCTTGAAGATATCGCTGTGCGTCGACATCTCAAAGTCGCAATGAATGCGCGGATAATCCGCTGCATTCGCGGCAGCCGAGCAGCGCGATCGCAGACTCACGCGATAGGCGCGAATCTCCTCCAGATCGATGGTGGCCAGCGTGACCTCCACATCCTGCAGTGCGAACTGCTGACCCCTTGCCAACAGTTCACCATTCAAGGCAATCGCAGAGCAGCCATGGAAGTATACCCTTTGGCCATCGCAGCCACGAAGATTACTGAATAAGTACGCGCCACCCGCTTTGAAGCTGGCATTCCGGATGAGATCGGTGGTGATGTGGGCCTTCCTCAGTTCCATGTAGCTGCCCGAGCTGTTCACAATCAACTCCACCCCGGCCAGGGACATTTCGATGTGCTTGCTGCGCACATTCCACAGCTCCTCGCAGATCTCGTAGCCCAGACAGGTGTCCCTGGTGGCGATCACCGCATCGCCAATGGGCACCGTTTGCTGTCCCGTATGCTGGGCAATCATGCGCGGCAGTACGAACTCCTCCGTCTGCAGGGACTTTGTCCAGGCGGTGAACCATCGCGACTCCCGGTAGTTGCCATCGTCGCACATCGCCATCTTCGGCCGGATGAGCAGCAGTTGCCGGTTGAAGAACGCCACGCGGCAGTTGTATGCCACATTGCGGTGCATCACCGGCATGCCCACGTCCACCAGCATGTTTTCACTAGGGGAAGAGGGTATTACATGATTACTTTATAATATTTTTTAAGTTATTTTGAACGGGACCTACCAGATGGGCGACATCATCACCTCCAGCAGAACCTCCCAGGAGTGCAGGAATGTGTCCGGCTCCCGAAAGTGGTCCTCGCAGCTGTAGCCACTGTGGGAAGATATATGTATATACATTTATTAGTAAATAAAAACCCTCCAAAATAATAAATAAATAAAAATAAATATAATAATAAATATAATAAAAATATAATAAAAATAATAAAATAATAATAATAATAATAAATAAAAGAACTAATAAAACTAAACTAATAGTTTCGAAATAACTATGATTTCTAAAACCTTCTTAAATGAGCTTTAATCTCTCTACCTCTCTATTTCTAAACAATTTTGAATTTTTTACAAAATGAAAGATTTTATAATTCCTCAAAATTTATTTAAATTTGATAATTTCAAAATACAATAAAGGTTTCTCTGGTTTAATTTATTTTATATTATTGGTTTTAATTGAAGTTGGAATTGGAAATGAATACTTTCGAACACTTTTATAGGTGATTTAATAACTTCTTAAAAACAGTGAACCACTGCGCACTTACCTAACTTCCAGTTCGGGTCCTGTGCGATAGCTGGCGCCCATATCCTTGGCCTCCAGGATGGACTGCAGTATCCTGGCCATATTCCCCTCGAAGTCCAATGCCCATTGGTTCAGCGTGGACACGGCCACCGTTACTTTGCGACCCATTTTCTCCTTTTAGTTTGTTTTTCTATTTACTTTTAGCTCCGATTAAATACCGTGATTTAGTTTGGTTCAGTTTTTGGTTCTTTGTTGTTACGGTTTTCGCTTAGTTTTATTGTCAGTTCAAAAATCGGCAGTTATCAACTGAAAAAATGGGGGAAGTAATAAAAAAGTAGGGAGTTGTCTTAATGCCCGGTTGATTCACAATGCAGTTGCAATTAACTTGATGGCTGCGATTCAATTCAATGGACTTCGTCGACTCTCACAGCTCTTTCGTCTGTGTGGAAATTTGTTTATTTCAGCGTTTCGTTATTCTATTGTTGCTGTTGTTATTGTTGTTGTTTTTGCTGGCGCTGTTAGTTACGGTCATATATCTGGGTTATTGATCAAACAGCCGCCGAGTCGCCGGTGGCAGCAGCGGTACTTGCAAATTGGCCCGCTGACGTAGCCGGCATCTAAAATCTAAATTTAGAGCTACGGACCAATGGCAACGGGTCGGCGGCGAAAGCCGGAGGATAATGCGACCGAGAGCCGCGAAAATCGCCCAATTAACCCTCGAACTTTTGCGAATTGCATCAGCAAAATGGTAATGCCGCAAGCGATTTCGTCTAAATATAACCGAGCAAAACTTTCTATTCGAGAAATGGGATAATATTAAGCTCCGCTTACTACTTAGTTTTAGTTACTTAAATGTTTGTCACGCCTTTGGTTGCCTTTAAAGGCAATATCTTTTCATTATATTTAAGTATTTTCATTATATTGTTTTGGATTTAAGAGTTTAAAGTTCTTAAAGTAATATTAATAGGAATATGTAGTGAAGGTATTCAACCAGCACAGCATGCACAAAATAATATGTATAAAATAGTTTCACTTGGGCAACACATTCTAAACATATTTACTTCTGAGTTTTGTGGGGTTAAGCATTAAGCCGTCTATTTCGGGTTAATCCCATGGCCAACCCTTAACCCTTAACCCTTAACTCTTGCGAATGCCCTGCACTCGGAAATTCCGCTTCAAGTTTAGGAATTTCCGGTGCTCTAGCCACTTCCTTTCGCACCCACGGCCCACTTTTGGCCACTTCCACTAAAAGTCCTCCCCGTTTCTCCCTTTTCCCCCGTTACTTTAGCTATTTCCTCATGTACCGTTACCACAGCTCCATATTTCATCATTCGTGACGCACTTTTGGCATTTCATGCTGAAAAATTGAAAGCCAAACGAATAACGGATGCACAGGAAACACAAGCATTACGATTCAATATCTACAATTTAAATTTGAAATATATTTCCATGGAGTTTTAAGCAAGAAGAGGGTTTGCATTTTACTAGCATTTAATAAAGAATGTAAAAATAAATTTAAAGATTCCAATGAAACAAGAAATAAATTTGTAATATACAATTTGAATTTTTGTTCCGCTTTTAGTTTGAATTAATTTAACTTTCCTTGGAAATAAGTTCTTTTTAAAGGAAGAATATCCCTTTTTGATATTATTACCTAAATAAATCTCTAAAGTTTTCTACACCTAAAACTTAAGATACAGTTGTTGAGCAGTTTTCAAAATACATAAATTTTCTTACAATGCTTTTTCCCCCTTTCTCCCTTCTGCCACACTTAACCAAAAAACCTTATGCAAATTTACTTTGCCAGGCAACAAAAGTTTAAAACACGCAGCGCACACACTCACACTCACACTAACACACCTACACACACACACCTGAACTCACACACATGCATGCATGCATGAGGTGAAATTTCGCATAAAGTTCAGAGTTCATTTAGTTGGCCCGTAGAAGTCGCGCATATTTCATTTCTTCGGCTTGATGGCTGACAGCAACACTCGCCCCAATCCTCAAGCCCACCGAAAAAAAAGCCCCAAAGAATCCCAGACCCCAAATCATCACCCCCGCCGAATCCCCGTGAAAGTCTGACAAAGTTGCGTTTAGGATTTTTCGACGCCTCGGCATTTGTGGAAATGTGTGAAGATGGACTGTCAGTTGCAGTGCTGCCAATTCAGTTTAGATAAAACGAAGGGAAGGAAGAGAAAGTCGAAAGAACAAGCATGTTTTAAAAGACAACAAATTGAGAAATAAATAGGGTGGGGGTGCCATAGAAATCTCCATTTGTTTTAGATTACTTTCTGTACGTTTAACTTTTGAATTAAGAATAAAACATAGCATACTTTTTAAGGCCCTCATTGGTGGCTCGAAACCAAAATAATAACGACCACTTTATTTGCTTAGGAAATATTTGAAATTCTAAACTATTTAATGGAAATTAAAAATTATTTAATATCGAATCAAGAGTTAGAAAACAGTACCCACAATTTGACTTTAAAAAGCCATTTTTGGGCGTTTAAAATCGCCATTATAACATCACTGATCAGGTGTACTGGAAATGTGGGCGCTGGGGGGCGTGTCGCATTGACGTGTGAGTGTGTGTTTGTGTGCGAGTGTGCGTGTCGCAAGCGAAATGCATTGAACTTTGAACCGCGTCAAAGGGCAAATGCTTGAGGGCAAAGAACAAAAGGCCGACGGTCGAGGAGAAGTGAATTGGAATACTGGAGAACTGAAAAACTGGATAACTGGAGAAGGCGGGAATGCAGAATGCGGAATGAAAAAACTTTTGCCAATTGGCAGCCAATTTTAATGGCACATAATCAGCAGTGGCAGCGGAACGGATGGTATGTGGGGGAATCCGATAAATATGCCAGTACATACGATTATCTGCAGTAAGGGGTGTCCATTTTGAATGGTTAATTTAACCAAGAACTAAATAACTAACCTTAAAAAGGATTGAAAAACTCCTCTTAAAATAAACAGAACTTTGAGTTCTTAAATCGGAGTCTTCATAGATTTCTGTAATATTTTTTAGGCATTTGAATTCGTATTCAGCAGGCTTGCAAATCCCGGTATATGAATATGAAATTGGGAAAGGGTCACCCTGTTTCCCGTTGGACTCGCATGTGCATTATGGCCCCAGGTGCTGGCACGCCAGGCGACCTGCTCTCTCCACTTGGCAGAGGATCGGGGAAGAGGAGGTGCAAGTGGGACTGGAAGTGGCAGTGGAAATGCAACCTGGGACTGGGAACACAATGCAACAGAAAACGGAACCGGAAAGGGAAAGGGACAGGGAGAGTCATTGGCAGCGGCGCCGCATCCCGGCGCTGTTTTCCGCTGCCTTTTCCGCTGATAGCTGCCACTAATGCAACTAATTCGCTTTGATTTGTTTGCCAGCCCGCGTCGCATTGTCACGAAGTGTTTCCCGTTTCCTTTCCGAGTTTTTCCGGCTTTTCCGGCGGCAACGGATCCCATCCGGTGGCCAGTAGCCAGTTACCCGGTATCCGGCATCGGGCGCCGTTCACCGTTAACATTTACCGCTCGCTCAAAGGTGAAAATACCGCTCGACCGGGATCGTACACTGGGAGAAATATACGACCTAAAGGATCATTTTGGTTTCCACACCCGTTTTCTATATTTTACAACGTTTCAAAATTGTTTACATTTTATCAAGAATAAAGTTCTTGAACATAATTTTTTAGAATTGGATATAAACTTTAAGGTGAACATTAATTAGAATCTCGTGTTTATTGAAGCAAATATGTTGTTGGAATAAATATTATTGATGTCTGAACTCCAGATCACATAAATTGAAAGGTATCTGTATTAAAATTATTATTTTTGTGATTTTAGGAATTTAAATTTAAAATCCACATGAAAGAGTTTTAATTATTATATAGCTGTTATAGCTAGTTATTTTCTTGGAGTGAAAACCCCGTTCAAGAAGGGAGATAAACTGAGTGTGCGGGTTAAAATCGAGTTCGGTTATCAAAGATTTCCGGGGATAAGCAGGCACTGATCCTTCATTTCGATTTGGCCAACTACAAACATTAGACACACCCAGTACATCCCACAAAACACTCCATTCGAACCCCATACACATTTCTCACCATTTAAGAACTCATGAGACACACATAAACACACAAAAAGGGAAAATCCCATTCCAAATCGAGGACAAGTTCAGCGCAAAGCTCGTCCCCAAAAAGATATAGTCTCTCTAGTTTTACAACCACGCATTGCAACATTCGCGGAGCCAACAAGTGAAGGCCACGGAAATCCGCAGAATCCACTGATTTTGGTTCTGATTCTGATTCCGATTCTGAAGTGAAAAGAGAACCTGAAAGGCAAATACCTCCTATCAGAAATGCAGAAGGGCGTCAAGGATAAGGAGAACCGGAATGTGGCAATGAATCCGGAAATCGGAGACTTTCACCAGCAGCAGGCGACTTCCAGGCAAAATGAAGGTGCGTAGTCCTCTTACAATTCTTAATTAATATTTATTTTACATTTAATTTGCATAACATCTTATTGGAGGTATCAGCTTTATAGAACTTAACCCCAAATATGTCAAACAGATAAAGAATACTGTAGTATACTGTCTTCTATCCCAAAATAATTATATAAATAATATCTGCTTATCAATGCGCAACATTCTTTTACAATTTGTATATAATATAAAAGAATTCAACTTTCTCTGGAGTAAAGGTCTTAAATACAGAAGATAAATGGCACATAATTACATTAAGTATTTTTTAAGTCAATCTGCTTCAAAAACCATAATCAATTAGTCAAACTCTTTGCAAATCTCTTGGAGAATAAATCAAAGCTCGCCTGCCTATTTCTGATTTCAGTTCGGGTTAGTTTGCCACCGTAGTTTTGGCTTAAGGCTTTTGGCTTTAGGCTTTTGGCTTTTGGGTTTAGGCTTTTGGCTTTTGGCTGGCATTTGACGTACCTGACGCCTGACGTCCACCGTAAATAGTTGCAAAAATTGTTTCTTTTTTCGGTGCCGGCGTCTATTTTCGTCTTGGCTCCTAAATGCATATCAATAACGGAGAAGCGGAGCACTTGCCGCTCTGTTTTGGCTCCTGTCACTGTCTTTTACTTCGACTGTTTGCAAAGCGCGGGGGAATTTCCCCGGAAATTCAGAAGGGGGTAGTCAGTCTTCACTGTACTGCGGGCGGCCGCAGCCAAAAATACAAAAATAAAAATAAGCAAAAAAAAAAAAAAAAAAACAAAAAATGAAGGAAAAGAGGCGAAAAAAAATATAACTACACGAAACCATTGAGCAAACACAACAAAAAATTGTATAAATGGAAAAGAACAAAAGGAGACGCAACCAATTGGTGAAGCAAAATGACATGCAAGCGACGCAAGGCTATATAGTTGTATGGGGGGTTATATAGGGGGGGTGGCGGCGGCTATATGGGGATCGGGATCGGGCGGAGGCGCCTCCGGGTGTTGCAGCAAGTGTTTTTTCTAGCTCGGGTTTGGGTTACCCCGTGGGCCCAATGACGCATTGCAGACAAAAACGATATGACGCCTCGTGGCAATATCCGGCGGATGTGACTTGAGTTGAGTGTGGTGGGAAACGGAATACGCTGATTATTTCGGCGATTATTAATCGATACCTGCCTATTACAGATTATCTTTTACGATTAGTGATTGGTAAGGCGCGATGTTTGTTTATCTACCACTGTTTCGTGTCTATTATGACCATTATTTGATATAAGTTATGGTGTTCGAATCAATGGGGTTTTATTTGCAGATTGCTTTACTGATCATTGCTGAGATTCCAAATCGATATTGCCTATCGAAGATTAGTGTTTACGATTAGTAACAGAAATATTATAATCGTTATTTATAAAATCTATTATTAGTCTGTTTCATTTGTTATCTGATATTTGATATCAACTATACCCCTAATATCAATAATAGTTTTATTTAATCAGTTTGAATTGTAATCTATTTTTGAGCGATAGATAATGCACCTTAACTTGTAGTTCAAACTTTAAATACTTTGCATTGGTTTTTGCAAAGTTTCGTAGCTGCAAAATGGGTTAATCAGCCGAAACGGATCTGTGCCACATTTTGAAAGCGTTTCCCTTGCGTGGCGCCACCGCCAAGTCATTGAGATTGAGCCGCCCGTAAGGACCTCTTCTCTAAGGACGTCCCGCCGCTGCCAGGGCGCTGTCAAATGCCAATAAGCCGACATCGTCTCCATCTCCGGCAAAAACAACCAAGCCAAAGCTGAAAAATTGGTGCCAAGCGGGCCATGCAAAACACACAAAGGGCGCGGGTGCAGAAGTGGGGGTATTTGGGGGGTGGGGGTGGTGTGTACTCTATGAGTGAAATTCGGTTTTGCCAAATCAGCTACTTTTATCTTTGGCTTTTTATTACATTTAATAGATTAATTGTATTTATTTGTGGAAAATGGGTGTAAACCTAATCGGTTGAATTTTGGTTTATAATTCTTCCTATTTATGACAACCACATATTTCAATTTGAAATTTGTAAAAAGTTGAATTCGAAATAGCTGCAACCTGTCATCGCCAAATGAAATCCCTATGCCGAAATGTTGCCAAATTCTAGCATTAATGTCAAGATTTCAACCGAAACTGTGGTGATAAATGCGTGCAATAATATTTAAATATAACATTCATAATTTTGATTCGATTTGTAAATGGCACGCCGCAAAACGTTTAAAACAGTTCACATCCAGAAAGAAAATATTTTGCTTGTGAAAACTCGACAGCACTGATGGAAATCACTCACGCGCAAAAAAAATAGCCAGAAGTAAAAGGGGATTGAGGGAAAGGCGGGATTTCAATGGAGACCTATATAAGCATTTGTCCCGGCTCAGAACGGGATTTAGTGAGCATATTTTTATTATATATTTTAAAATTGCAAAACAAATGCTCTGGCCAAAAGGGAAAGAGGGACGGGATGGATGGGCCAGGACTTTGCTGCGCTGTTTATAGCCCATGTCGTGCGCAATTTATGTTAATCACAACGGAGTTTCAAAGGGGGCGGGGTGAAGGGGTTGCGACGCCCCCTCTAGCCCCCCCCCATTGTCCCGCCCCCCTGCGCTTCCCCCTCCTGCCACGTGTAGTAGGCCTACAACAAAATAACGAAAAACTATTTTTTGTTGTTTTTCCATGTTTTCTTTTAATACTCTAGCAGAAGAGTATCATGTTTATGGCTCAACTTTGTTTTCCTTAAACAAATTACGCATACGCCATGTTACCCAAACGATGTCTTTCCTTTTTCCATTTAAATATGTTACTAATAGGTAATATTGAATCAAGGACTTGGGAAATATTTTGTAACAATACTCCTTAATTTTTGAAGTTTTATAAAGAAAACACTGCGTATGAGCAATTTAAGTATGAGCTATATTGTGTGATGAAAAACTACACTGTTGGGGTTTCCGGATCAACGTATCCCATAGCCGCTTGACTCAGGGTATAATTTCTTCGTCCTTTGGATCGGGCCTTCAATTTGTTTTTGTTTTGTTGTTTTTTGTCGGTGCCTTGCACAAAGGCAACGCCGTGGCAGCAACAATTTTAATGCCGTGGTTTACTGTGATTCGCAATTTCGCCAAAGGCAGCGACGTCGACGCCGACGCCGGCAGAGGCCACCATTGTCGTCCGCTTTGGTTTTCCAGCTCCGGTAGTCAGCAGTTGCGCTAGCAGCTGAGCTGAGCGAAGAAGAGAGCGACTCGAGATAAACCGTTAGTTAGGCTGGACAGGCACGCGCGCGTTCCTCCCATCCGTGCGATTAATTGTTTTGGTTTTTGGGTTATTTTTTTCGAGTGTTATCCCAAAGATGGCAGAACGAGAACGGGAAGCAGCGGCAAGGGAGGTTTCCGCCTCCTTTAGTCGCTTACTGAGAACCTTGAGCTCAGCTTCGATGAGTAGACGCCGCTGCCCCCTCGCCCTCCTGCAGCCATTGCCCGTGCGCCAGAACGATATGTCGATTGAGAGCACGGAGAGATGCTGCAGCAGCAGCTGCAGTGACGACAGCAACAACAACAGACGGGACAAGAGCGAAGAAAGGGAGACAGAAGCTGAGCTGGAAGCTGGAGAGGATGATGGGGAGCTGGAACCCAACAACAAGGATGATGCGGGAGAAGAAGATGAGCTTGAGCTCAAGAGAGACAGTACCGTTAATGTGAATGTGGTGAGAGCCAACTTCAAATGCAATGACATGGAATGCTCTCTGGTCCTCGGCGACTATGTGAATGGTGAGTGCCGCTAGAATCTCCTTCCATCACATGGAAAAAAAAGCAGCCAACAGTTCAGTCGATGAATATTATTATTTGATTAAAAATAAAAAATATTCATTGTGCCAAGGTGGATATTGTGCCTCTGTTCTGCACTAACCATTTAAGAAAATGTGGCCAAAAATGTCTTGATTTAGCAGTATACAAAATCATTTAACAGTAAACCAATTTTTTTGTCTGTGCACGTCCTTTCTCCATCTCCTTGCCCATCCCCACTCGACATGTTCACTCAAGTGCTGTCGACAGATAATGAAGATTCAATTTGATGTGTTAGCAAAAATAAGGGAACAAAAGAAACCACTCAAGAAGGTTAGGAAAAAAAGGAAGCTGGGATTACCTTAAAAATAAAGGACTTTCACATCATGTTTCTTTTTTTTCCACTACGGAATTAAAAGCTTGTGGTAAATGGTTTTACGGCTTATAACTCATACGCAGTGTTGACATGGATTAAATGCTTTTCATTTACAAAACTGTTTGCACAGACCTGTACATATTAACATTTAAGCACCACAATTTTATTTTAATTTGCTGACAATCTGTGCAGTTTGCAAACATTTCTCTATTATTTGGCACACGCGTCGTATGAGTAATCTGTTTCGTTCTTAATTGTTTAATAAATTTAGAGCTTACATTTCTAAACCAATATATGTACATGAAGTGATATACAAATATAGAAAAGAGTAAAGAAAAATAACAACTGACTCAGTCTCCCAAGAGTTTACACATCAAAAGACGCATGCACAATTTGCAAATATCCACCGGGAATATTGTTCAGAAAGTTCATAATTCGCTTTTCACTTCCAATTCATGTACATCGTTTATCTCTGTCACAATTATTATATAGCTTTGAAATTTGGATTTGGGTGATTTTATTTTTTGTGTGAACAAAAACACACATGTCGGTCGCTGCCAAAATATGGCAAACGGAAATTTTTAATTGCAATTTGTTAATTTGCCCAAAGCAGCCAGTGAGCAGAAGGAGCACTACAGTGAATTCTAATAAAGGAGAAACTTTAAATTGACTCAATTAATGCGACTAAAAAAGTGCATATTTATTATTTTTGATTTTTTGGTTAATGTTTTCTCATTTTTATGACCAATTTATGCGTGATATACCTTGCTTGATTAGTTCTTAAAATATCTATCAAGCTGCATCATTAGTTTATTTTCCAATTTTTGGGTTTATTGGTAATTTTTATCATTTTTAGCTGTTATTCACTGTAGATTCGAAAAGTGAGGCAAAGTTCTCTGGCGGACAAATCGGGGGAATGGGGTGGCGAAAGCTAATCGCTGGCACAATTCGATGATTGACGAGGGCCAAGCAGCGCAGGGTGGCGAAAAGGGGGCTGGGTCAGGCGGGAGAACTCGGATAGAGGAGGAGGAGTACGGGAAGGAGGGAGGGAATAGCATGCGTTTACGGTTCGGTTAGAGAGTCTTCTTTTCGCCTTGGCAGTCACTGCGTCTTGCCAAAATAGAAAACACATAAATTGCACGATCAAGATCATTGCTGTTGCCTCTGTCGCTGATGCTTCTTCTTATTTTTGATATACCCTTTTAAAGAGTATTATCATATTTTATCAGTTATTAATTAGTAATATGCACTGAACCGTGAAGCTCAAAAAATTGTTGTTAAGTAAAGATGAACAACAATCGTTTGGGCAAATTCAAAACGCAAAAAAGATCTGTTAAATGAAAGTGCACATACAATTCAGCGTTCTTCTCCCCACTTGGATCTTCAGCTTCTTCTTCGCGCTGTTCATCCACTTCGATGACATAATCCCATAGGCAGAAAAATAGCGGAATAGACGGGAGAGGGGAGAAGGAGGAGCAAGAGGAGAAGGCAGGCTGATAGAGAGCGACTGATTAAAAGTTTTTTGTTGCCTTCTCTGGCTCTCTTCTCTCGCTCTTTGACACCTGTTCGTTTTGTGTTCGCTTAGGAAGCTGACAGCTGCTGCTTCTTCCCTTCTCCCTGCCCACAAAAGTGTCCCACGGCTTTCCCACACGCCTACTTCTGATTTTCCCCCACCGCCTCTGCATTTTCCACCGATTTTCTACTGCCAGCGAGGGAGCGACTTTGACAAATTTGTTTGGCATCGAGGCTTTGCTTTGATTTGTTTTCACCGTCTTTTTAGTTTTCTTCTTTTTTTTTGCTGCGACCATTTTATTTTGGTTGCTGGCTTTTCTGGCTATTAGGCAAGAAAAACCCCCAGCAGCTTCTGATCGCCAGAGACTGAGTGGCTAAATTGTCCAAAACAAAAACAAAAGCCATCAGGAGGTGTGTAGATTATTATTAGTGATTCAGGCGAAAAAAGCTTTGTTTGTCTCTCAAATATATTTACTTGAATGGAAAGTATTCATAGGCTAAAGTAATGGAATTTGTCTTGGATATTTTGACTATATCGATGTATTAATACCTGTTTGATATCAGCAAAAACATAATAAAATTGAATAAATTAATCTAAGAATCAGTCTTGATTGGTTTTTTGTTAATGAATTAAGAATTTGAATTATCTCGATATTTAGCGAACCACTTTGTATATATCTTGCTCGGTGTAAACATGACCTGAGGATATCTGTATCCGCGATTCGTTGCACCTTCGGCAAACATTTGTTGCTCGTTAGAATATGCACGAAAATTCCACGAGCCTTGTTTGTTACAGATTGTGTGTGTTGCTGTGTGTGTGTGTGTGTTTTTTTTTTTTTTTTTTTTGGCGTATCCAAGGCTGGTTGCCTTTGGCTTTGGCTTTGTTTGAGCCATCGAATCGAATTCATGTTCACGGCATGCCATGGATGGCTGGCTGGCTGGCTGGATGGATGGGCTGGTCGGGCCTATAGATATAGAGTGTGGCAGAGGTGCATGGGTATGTGTAGAGTGCCAGGACTACCTTGCACTTCCTTGGAACATTAGACAATCGCGGAGCGAATGCGAAGGATTGAGGGAGTGAGAGCGAGCGAGTGAGCTGGCGAGGCTTTGTTTATTTGTTTATAACAGTCGCAGTGGAAATTCGAGTTGGCTCACAACGGCTCGAATCATCGACTGCGGCTCAGTTCGGCTAAATCGGTAAATCGGTAAATCGGTGAATCAGTGGTTATCATTTCACGACGCAATGCGAATCGAGCCGCAGAAAAAATCCCACGAAAAACAAAAAAAAACACGTTAAATCGTAAAATCGGAGTGGACCAGCAGCAGCAAAAAAAAAAAAAAAACACAAATAATGCCGCATATTGCGGCTTTCATTTGCGATTGCATAAGGACCTGCAATAGTTATATCCAAGTGGTTTGCATTTTTTCGATGTGTGCCAAAAACGAGTGAAGCGAGTGAAATCAATCAGCAGTTTGTGCTGCCATTTGAAGCCATTGCCCACATATCACATTGCTCCGCAACAGTCTTCCTCGGCACATCCCTTCAAAATGCCGTAAGCATCGGAATACTATATACCATGGATTTCGGAGGAGGTCGCGTGCAGTTCCTGCAGGCTCAGCTTTTTCCCGTCTGCACGCTGACCACGTCAAGTGGAGGTAATGGTTCGCATTATTTAAGGATTTATACCATATTTATATGCAATCAAAGGAACTGCTATGTTTAAGGAATGAATGGTATAAGTTGAGGTATAAAAAAGATTTTCCTAGTGCATCTTGAAGCCCATGAATATTTTATCTTATTGCTTGAAAAGCTTTTTTTTTCCAATATTATTGGATTAATACTTTTATATGGTATTTTGCATATTTTAATTTATTACCATTTATTTGCCCAATGTGTTTTTTTAATGTCGATTCATTTCGATTCATTTTACAATGCAGAAATACCTTTTGAATAACGATAAATCGGATCAACAGAATTAAATACACGTGCTTTAAAGAATTACAGACAGTTCTCGATAAAAGATCTATTTTTAATTAAAGATATAATCAGTTTTATACTCACTTTCAATTTGTTGTTAGTTGAGTTGGTTGTTACTGTTGTACGAGTAGATTGTCTAAGGGCACCTCGGTGTTGTTGTTCGTTAAGTGGTCGCTGTTAGTGGGAGCTCACTGTGCTACATGGCCAGCAATGGGAATTTGTTGAATGTTGGGCCTTTTATCGCCTCGCTGTATAAAAGTTTCGTTGTGTGTCGTTGTTCGATTCCTTTCCTTTTATTGTCCGCACCTCTTGGCCCACCTGAAATCGGATAAAGTGGCGGATAAATGGGAATTAGAATTAGCCGCAAAACTGTTTGATTTCAGTTGCCACTTGCGGCTGTCATGACAACGGCAACACAAAATCATTAACACAGATATTCCGGAATCGCAAGTCGGAAATCAAAATCGTTGCCTGTTGTCAACGTCGTCAAGAAATTATACTATATATATAATGGGGGGCATTTCAGTTCATTGGATTGCGATTAACGATATTTTACCTGCATAAATCAAAGCCCAGAGGCAGTAAACTCATTAATGTTCATTGACTTGGGCCCTCGACTATTTCGTTATTCTCTCTAGCGTGGAATTTTCCTCGGTTTTCCCGGGATTACCGGGGTTCGGGTCTGATGGATCCATTAACCGCATTCAGACTGAACCGCTGCAGTTAAGACACAAAGTTTGAGGTGGTTGCGATTCGGGGAATCCCCTAACCGGCAATTTTCGGGAAAGGGGCGCAATTACATGTAACTGGGTTAATACTGTTGCCTTTAGGATGCGAAATAAACTGATTAATTGGCCTTGCACACTAATCATTGAAGTGTAATGGTTTAATATATAGCCCTATATTTTTATATATCTTTAAAACTCTGATTAATTTTCACTTTACAATCAAAACCAATATACCCCAAAAAAGCAGTACTTTCATTCACCGATCTGTGTGGGGCATTGCCATAAAAGTGTCTGGAAAAATGGCAAACAAAGAAATGCAAAATGTAACAACGAAATGTATTAAACAAATTTCGTGAGAATGCAAATTGCAAACTCACGAAAAAAAAGAACAAAAAACAAAGACGGCCTAGAGGCAAACAGGCGAGAAAAAATGTCGAATAAAAATTGTGAAATATTGTGGTGGGGTGTCAAAAAAAAATATTGCGCTTCGCGGATCGGTTTTTGGGCTCTGGGATTTCACGGTCCGGCCTCAAAGACATTGGCCGAATGCCTGCGATTGGGATAAACAAAATGCCATAAATATTACGAATAATAATACAATTTAAGTAAATAATGTGCAATGGCTGCAATTAGAGGCGATCGTTCCGTAGAAGATATCTGCCTCTCGATTGCCGACTGCATTTGAGCATAAAAATTTAATTAACGCCAAATTCCTGCTGTCGCCATTGGCAGCAAAAAGCCTACGTTGGCGCAACAATTGAAAACAGAGAGAGCTTTCGGCTTTCTACTTTTTGGCCCTTTCTCCTGCCTTCCCCTCCCTTTCTTTTTTGGCTTTGTTATGAATAAACACGAAATGTTTGCCCTTGTCCATTTGGCCAAACCAACGATTCTTGGGAGAAGTGGTCGTTTAGTGAACACATTCAAATACAAATTCGATTGTTTATATTTTAAAAAACTACAAATTTACATTTTTAACAGTTCTATTAAAAATATATTATGTTATTTTTATTATAAATATTTGAAATATTTTACAATAAATATAAGCAAGTAGCCAAAAATGTATTGCATATCCAAAAGGCGTTTTATTTGCATTAATAATAAAAAACGATTTTTTGGCATGTATGGCTTTTGTAAATCAAATATTTTCCAATTAAACCCATTTGGTATGTAACATTTTAAATGGCTTTTAAAAGCTTGCCAAATTGCTGTCCAAAAGCAAACAGAGCACATCTTGAATCAACAACAATAAAATCATCACACATGCAGGCAGTTGCGTGGGGTGAAAGGTCAAGGTCGCCGATTGAGCTTTGTCATTGCACTTAAACTGCAGCTTAAGTAGTTGAGTGGTGTGTTTGTAAATGTGGGAACAGCTTGGGGACAAGTGCAAATTCAAGTAGAAAATACATTTGCAAGTTAATAGTCCGAATACTATTTATGTATAAATTATATATGTATATATTTTTTTATTCATTGTATATATATAACTTAACTTCAGGAAAAAGTTTTTTACAGAAATGGATAAATTTTGTTTCATGTTTTGACTTTCTTTAAGCGTCCAGTTTATGAATATTGCAGGCAAAGGTAATTATGGGAAGATCACCCATGTTCAAGAATCCCTCTCGCACAAACACTTACACATTTCCTTGCATAAAAACAGCAAGAATCAAGAAACTTTTAACGAAAGCTTCTTCAAACAATAACAATGGCAGCGAGACAAACGCCCCCATACACTCACGCAGGATAACGGTGCAGTTGGGAACAGCTGAGCGCCAAGTTAGCGTCGGCAGCGAAAGTGCAAAAGCTCGCCAGCTCCCTCTCGCTTTCTCTCATCTTTCCCTCTCTCTAACCTTCTCTCCTTGCGATTCCTCCTGCTCTTTCGCATTAAATAATATTCGCAGGCAGCGACGCCAACAGCGCCGTCGACAGCGACGGCAGTGGAGCTGAGCATTTCACATTCGCTTGGGTTTTCTGTTTTAGTCAACAACAAAACGCGCAACGGAAAACGACAAAATCGAAAAATAAAACATCCAATATACCAAAGCAAAATCAAAATTAAACAAAGTAAAATTTTAATATCATAATTTTAATTTAAAATAAAAAACGAGAAACTTCAAAAAGCACAATTCTGAGAATCAATTTTTCGAAACATTAAAATTCGCAAATATTTGAAAAGTGTGCCGCCTTTTATCGGTTGTCTATATCTTGTCTATATCCGTTTTCTATTGCAATTTTTTTAGCTTTGTTTTTTTCTGTTTGTTCGAGTGCCACAAATTTTGAACATCGTTTTGTCGAAAAAAATAAATAGAAAACAAAAAACGGCAACAAATATCTAAGCTAATAAGAACAGCTGTGAGAGAACCGCCCCCACTTTCTCGCCCCCCGCCACCCACAAAATTTAGCGTCCTCTTCTGTTTTCGTTTCGCTTTTTTCGCCCGTGTTTTTGTGGGCTTTTCGAGATCGTTTGGAGGAGCGAGTTCCGAATTCTGTGCCGGTAAGATATTTCTTAGGATTTATTGGGGTTACACATACCGAAAAGTATTGCGATCAATGATCACTAAATACCTCTGATATCAAATTGTTATTTTTCAAACCTATGTACACATAACAGTTTAATAATCGTTTCTTTTTAAAGTCATTTCACATCCTGAAAATGATATCATAATCATAATGAACATTTTTGCAGTGTATTCATATAGATCCGTTTAAAATGAGGCATGAGCAATTTGACATACTTGTGCTTAAGTGCTTCCTCTCAAAAACCAACTGAATAATCTCCGCGACAGGTTCCAAGAATAATTGGCAAAAGATCCCCTAACAGAACTCTTAAAAATATTGAGATTAGTTGTGTGGGGTTGGCTACTTAAACCTGAACATATTCTGAATAACCAGCTATTAATTATTAATACAATTTTATTTAAAAACTTGTTAGGCAGTAAATATATATTCCAGTTGTATAACCATTTTAAAAATCAGAATTTTAAACAGCCTGGGTTTCCTTCGTTTAAAGCAATTTAAATTCTTTTAGTACTGTTATTTAGCTTAGCTTATAAATTTATGAATTCTAATTTGTGATGCAGAAAAAATCTTTAAATGCGAAGGCTGTATATTTACAAATTTTATTCTCATTTTATGGCCTTTCGCCGAGCTTAATTTTAACGCGAACATAAGCCACATCCAAATCCATTAAAAATCCCCGCGGGACATAAACATAAAAAGTAAAGAAAAAAGCCAAAAATTATTAGCGATATTAATCGACTTGACAGGATCTAAATCGTTGGCTGCTGCGGGAAAACTTTTTCGCTGGAAGACCCCTAAGATTTACAGTTGCCAGACATTAGCCCACACCATTTTCCGCCTTTCCAGCGAAAAATTGCAATAAAAGAAGCCAACGAGGAGCACAAAACATGAAAGAAAGAAAACAAAATCTGCTTTTATGTGCTAATAAAAACCGACTAAGCAGACACACGCACACGAACACCACACACACATACACTTACACACACACACACAATGAAAGAAAGAAAGAAACCAAAAATTAATTAACAAAATATGTTGCACTGCTGCTGGCAAACAAGAAGCAGCAGAAAAGAAAACGCTCCAAACAGCAGCGAAATGAAAACGAGAAATCTCTTGCGAACAAAAAACTTTACTTCGGGAAATCGGGGGAGCCCCCGCACATATGGCAATTAATTGTTGTTGACAAAAGTCGCCAAAAACGCCGCTCATTTAGGCCATATTAATGGCGATTTGCGCCTACCAGCTAAACTTTTTGGCCGCTGGAGGAGAGAGGAGACAACTTTTTGGCACGACAAATGTTTATATAGTTACTGACCCACTGAACCACCACCCCCTCTCATAAATCAAACAAACAAAAAATTCTAAAAGGAACAAGCCTTGACTTAAACATCACTTTTACTCACTGTCTATATATTTTACATATCGTTGCTGTAAACATCTCGGTTTTGGGTTGAGAACATTTTTATTTTGGCTCTTTGAGTTGACAAAATTTTACAATACGATTACGCGATCAGCGGTATTTGAAGAACGATCATCAACGATAATCAAGATAGCTCAAGTAGTGATTCAATCCTTGTATAAAAAGACATTTAAGCGCTTTAAAGGTACGACAATACTTGTTTATTTAAATTAACCAAATGTGTCTTAATCAAGAAATCTTAGATACAATATATAAACATTTAAGAAAGAAGGATTTTATTGCTTCTATTTATTATTATTATTCATTTGTAAAAGAGTATTCAATTTCGTATTGATTTTATAAGTTATGAATAGCTTTGCTTTAATTTTTACAGGCATCCTAAGCACATTTCTATTGAAATCGAGCGCCCATTAAAAATTCCTTTATTCACTTAATCCTTTCACATCCTTTCTTGCAGGCTTCCTTGGCAGTTTCCTATCGAAGGGCCTGAAGACCAATCAGCTGGTGGTAAATACGGATGAGAAGACCCTGCGACCGGTTGCACGTCTGAAGGAACCGCGCGATCTCTTCGCCCTGCCGAAGGACAAGGACAATGACTGCTCACAGCAGGCCCCCAGATGGCCGGTTGAGTGCCAGGTGAGTGGGCCAGCGTGGAGAGTCCTTCTCCGTTCCCCCTCCTCCCCCTCAGACCACAGACCTTAGACCCCAATCAGCAGTCCCCATTCCCCATTTCCCATCCCAATCAATTCATCCATCGAAGGACGAGTACGAGGACGAGGCTAAGGAGCTAAGAGGCTAAGAGCTGTCCTAGATTTATTTGGGGGATGGGGGATGGGGGATGTGCTTCAATGCCTCTGACACGCACCTTGTCTGCCAGGATATCACAGGACATGCGTGCCGCGCCCCATAAATATTAATGCATATAAAAACACTGTGGGGCCAGGGGGTTAATGGGGTGAAGGCTTTTCAAGGAGCAGCCGCAGATCCAAAGAAAATAACAGGACAGCCTCGTTAAGTCAAACTAATTTAAAATGCTTTTAAATGCTTTTTTCATTTCAAGGCCAGCATTAAATCATAAATTTAAAAGCGGGAATCGCAAGTTGAATTGAATTAAATATGTGTAACCAGTACAAGTTGAACTCAGGAAGGTAATACTGTATTGCCCCTCAACCATCTTGATTTAATGTAGGTCAAATTGCAATAAAAGGTGCACACACTAGGCCACGCCCATCGCCGCCCCCCGCTTAACCCATGGCATGCGGTAAACGCTCGCCAAATGCAATGAAAAAAATCCTTTCGTTTCCGCTTCGAGATTTTATTTATTTGGCTTTGTTCGCTCTTCTTTACGTCTTTTTCGTTTTTTTTTTCCTTTGCCTAATTGTTGGCCAAGTCGTTAGCATTGTTAACAATCGATTTTATTTATTTGTACTCGATTTGCATTCGATGCGCTGCCAAATTGTGTTGGGCAAATATTACACATTACACATACGCCCCGTCTGCCGCTGAATAGTAGGAGGGGACTTTCGGGGAGGCGTTTTCTTTGTTTTTGGGGAGGGCGGGTTTCAGGAGAACGGGTTCTGCCAAGGGTCAAACAACAAATTGGCCAACTGATTGATTAAACAGGCGGCCAAAAGGGGGTGGGGATTGCGATTGAATCAATTGGAGGTCAATTGTTGAGCAGTTTGTGGCGCATTTCGAACAAATCGAAAAAAAGAAGAAAAAAGAAGGGAAATCACCGAACATTTCCTTGTCAATTAACATGGCATAAAATGCAAATACATAAAAATGTAGATATCCATGAAAGGAAAAAATAAAGTAGAAAAACTTTGACTAATTAAAAGTTTAAATCAAAGAAAAAGTTAGAATGCCAATTAAAATCCTTCTGCTTGCAATATTTTTTAAGGACATCCTTCCTAATCCAACATTCAAAGCATTAAAGTTTTATTTAATTTTCTCGAGAAAAACGGATTACCGCACGTAAGCTTGGAATTGAATTTAAAAATCCATACTCACCTTATTTGCTAACGTTTTTCCGTTTTCTCCTCACCTTCGTCGTTTTGCCGTTAAATCGCTTCCTTTTTTTAGGCTCCAGGCATCCAAAACGTCACACACACACACACTTGCACACTCAAAAAGTTCGGCAAACTGTAAATGCAATTAAAAGAGCAAAAATAAATAAGAAGTCAAGAAAGTTTTTTGGGAAACGTCTTTGCAATGGCACACGCTTTTCCTTCGCCGTTTTTTTTCTGTTCGTCTTGCCGTTTTAAGTCTTTTGGCCATGACGTCCAAAATGCAAACTCAAATAAAAAGTGAAATCCGAAAAACGCCTTCGGTGTTGACTTGACTTGCTTTGTTGCCGTTTTTTTTTCAGTTCATTGTTGTTGTTCTTGCCACAATGACACTGGCATTGGCAATGGGCATGAACAAATTCTGTTCTGTTTTTTTCTTTGCAAAATTTCATTACCAGGAAAACGAGAGGGTCATATTAGCTGCAAACGACGGCAGAAAAGCAGAAGCCGTAGGGCAAAATAAACAAGCTAATTATTTAGTTAGTTTGATATCGTACGGTACAATCACAGCACGAAAAAAAAACAACCGAACCGAATGAAATGAGCAAAAAAACAAATCCCCTGCCACACGTCTTATAAACAGTGGAAAAGGGAAAAGAAAAGAGAGAGAGGGAGAAGGGAGAGGGGAGAAGAGAGCGACTGTTGCAAAAACTGACGCTGATATGTTTCAATTAAGCCATCACACAGACGCACACAAACAGGCACACACACACACACTAAAGCCTACAAATCGTTGCCAGTGTGTGTATCAGATTTGCATGCCTTATCGTCCTGTTTTTGCACAGTGTGCAAAAAGAAGAAAAAACATTTGACAAGTTTTGGTATAAAAGTTTTCTTATCGGCGAGTTTTCACCAACAACTTTGTTACAAAAAAATAGTACACATACGCCATGTTGACAAAATGATGATAAATAAGGTTTGCTCATTTGCATGCCATTTATTCTCGATTTTTATACTATATATTCTTGATATTTATATTTAAAATGTGAAAAATGCGAATCTATGCCAAATGCTTGTAAAAGCGGCAACATTGCGTATGAGTGATGAACCCATATTAGAACTATCAAATAATGCAATAATGGTTTAAAGCCTATGCATTTTTCATCCGAGCTTTTGTAAACTCGGCCCACTGTGCAAGTCTTACATGTGTAAGCGTATCAAAAGGCTAAGCAAATAAGCTGCTCAGTCTTGTGGGCAGAATTACAACGACGGCGAAAACAACAGCAAAAGGACATCAAAGCCTCAGCTGAGGACAGGCAAAAAGAGGACTAAAATGAATGAATGAATATGGGGCTTGTTGCTATCCTTCTTTAGTGACAAGGAGTGGGCAGCTGGGACCACCGAGCACAAAGCAAATCGTCATCGGTGACAGGGAATTTAAATGTAATAATAACTCCGACTGACATTCGCCAATTTCCTTGCCAAGGACAACAGAAAGAAAACAATGTGAACTTGCAAGGCGAAAACAGATGGTGGCATGATGTCAAAATATAATATATATATTTCCGCCTTTAATTAGCAAAACCTTGAAAAAACAACAGGTGTCGCAGCTATTAGGGAATTTATTTTGATTGAGCTTATTAAAAACGAATTAAAAAGGGATTTTCAAATATCACTATTAATAATTCTCCTTAAATTATGATGGTTCCATTCTAGAAGTTAGGTAGTATTTAAATGGAATCGATTTTTTGGAGGTAGAGAATTCACTGGTTTTTAAAATACAACACATATGTATCCGTTTCATAGCTGACTGACTAAAATGTTTGGAAATGTTTGCACTAAATATTTCATTTGTTTTTCCAATTTCTATCCAGGTCATCGAGGAGCGCATCACACACATTCCGTACGTGCCCGCTACGCCGGAGCCGCTCAATTCTCCGACCGGAAACGAGCTGAAGCCACGCCCCGTGGGCGAGGAGAACGGCATTGTTGTATTCAGTTATAGTCCGATTAGCGCCGTTAACTACGTGAGTATCTATAGTCTACACATATGCTCAGCATCACTTTTCCTCAATATTCGATTTCCATTTGCGGTTTTATCAATTAATTGGGTTTGCATTTAAATTAAAACAAAATATGATTAAAAGACATTTGAAAATAAATTTTCTTTTGGGTAATTAAAGCAAGATATTAAATACTATTAAACAAAAAAAAAAAATAAAAATTATGATGCAAACAATTTTTTTTTTTTTTGTAATTTTTTCTTATTTAAAGCTCTAAACGCAAATTGAATTCGAATATATTTAGTGAAGTATAAGTATGAGTACTGCCAGCACTTTGCACTTGCACTAACAAATAACAGTGGGGAGTATTTAAAACAAAAATAATAATAAATAAAGGGGTAACTTTAACCAACTAACCGACTAATTGGAAAGCCAAGTGAAAATGGGAAAACTAAAAGCCACGCTAAAACGCACACACACAGGAAAAGCCAAAGGCGAAGAAGGAGGATGATGAGTCGAGTGACGAGTCGGACTACTCCTCGGATTCCCGCCAGGATTCGACGCCCCCGAGCCGTGCCACGCCCATGCGTTTGGCGGGGGGCGGTGGGTGTGCCCGCGGCAAGCTGAACAGCGTCTCCAAGATGATCAACACCGTGGACAATCGATCGACGAGCGCCTCCCTGGACGACAACGATGACGAGTACGACGATGATGAGTACGATACATCCGGTGGCTATGGATGCGGCGGGAGTGGCGAGGCCAAGGAGAAGGCCATCATCAAGGATCTCATCGAGGCGAAGAAGAAGCGCTACCAGGAGGAGGCGGCCGCTGGCACGCCCACCGCCGGCGGAACGGGACGCAACTCGAGGGCGGCCAGCCATCGCTCGGAGGCGAGCAGGAATCCCAGCGAGATCGATGACATCTGGAAGAACAACACCAGCGAATACAAGCCCGCCTCGCCGCGCTACGTTCTCAGTCAGTTCGGGAAGAATGTGGCCAAGGCGATGATCGATCGGATTGTGGACCAGGACGATGGCAGCGGTGCACCAGCGCCGGGATCTCAAAAGGTATCCAACCAGTTCGCCGTTGCGCCGGTTAGGTTGCCCAAAACGAATAAAGCCCGCTTGGAGGTGGCCTTCGAGCGATCCGCTGCCGAGGTGGCTTCCAAACGGAAGGTGGTGGTGGGCGGGCGGCAGATCGCTGGCAAGAACGAGAGCTCCTCCTCGGAGGACACCAGCAGCTCTGGCCTCGGGGAAGAAGAGGAGGAAGAGGACGAGGACGACGAGGAGGTGGATGGTGATAATCAAGAGCGGGAGGAGGAACCAGAAGAGGACTCCGGTTCGGAGACGGAGGATTGGCCAAGTGGCGATGCCGTCTGCCGCCTTCTGGGCAGCAACTCGGCCCGGCTCGCCGGTGGCGCCGAGAAGCGTCCTTGTCCCAATTCCGGATCCGTTTCCGATACCGAAACTCTGGTGGGCGACGAGAGCAAGAGCAGGCTGGCTGGCCGTAAGTTAATGGGGTTTTTGTAGAGATTGGTTAGCAGGTTGGATGGGATTCAGCCTTTCCTTAAATCCCTTTTCCATTTTAAAGTAGTCATACATTTTTAAAAGAATATTGTAAAGCTTTAAAAACAAGGGGTTTTTATGAAATAGGTATTTCATATGGGATCTTGAGGATCCAGTGTTTTTCCCAAGGCGAAGACCAGAATATGGCAGCTTATGCATAGTCCAATATGATCTTATACCAAAGTATTACATGTGTAAATGTTCCAACTTGAATTATAACAGGAAGATATCGATTTTTGAAAATATCGGTTAACTTATCCTATAATTGAAACATTAACATATAATATATATACTCGTATAAGAATAATAATCATATTTAAGAAGATATTTTCTAGATTCAACAGGGTTTTCTTATTACTAGAAACACCTTGATGTTTCCCTTTTGACTTTGCTTACCTAATTAAAGTATCGTTTACCTATATATGCATATAAGCTGCCAGAATCTAGTCCAAGCCTTCAAGAACACTTCCTAGTTTTTGATTATCCCCGAATCTAATAAGCCGATCCCCCAGCTGGAGGTCCTGGCGCGCAGGACCACGCTCGTTCGCGGAGTCGCCAGCAGTTGCAGGTGAAACCGCCACCCCCGCGGGCAGTACCGCACACCCATGCGGCGACCGTTGCGGCGGCGGCGGCAGCGGCAGCGGCGCTCGCCAGAGGGCGCCACCGCGACAAGGACGGCTGTTTGGGCGGAAGGCCAGAAGACTCTACGCGGGGCAATTATGATATGCCAAGGGAAGTGGGAGGATTAGGAGGAGGAGGAGGAGGAGGAGCGGATGCGGGAATGGCGATGGGAATGGGAATGGGAATGGCAATGGGCACCTTGGGCAGCACTCGCACCGAAAAGAACAGCAACGTCTTCCGGCTGAGCAAGGATGAGCAGCAGCAGCAGCTGCCACAAATGCTGCATCCGATGGCCAGCCAGGAGACGACTGGCACCATGAACTCGACAACAAGTAATCCAACGACGACGACCTGCTCGTCGCAATCCTTTTCCTGCTCCGATTTATCCCAAGCGCAGTTCAGTCGATCGGCGGTGGGTGGAGCCCGCTTCGTGACCAACTGCCATCCGATGAATCCGGAGGAGTACGACGGCCTGGAGTTCGAGTCGCGCTTCGAGAGCGGCAACCTGGCCAAGGCGGTACAGATCACGCCCACCTACTATGAGCTCTACCTGCGACCGGATCTCTACACCAGTCGCTCCAAGCAGTGGTTCTACTTCCGGGTGCGACGCACTCGCCGCAAGATGCTCTACCGCTTCTCGATCGTCAACCTGGTCAAGTCGGACAGCCTCTACAACGACGGCATGCAGCCGGTCATGTACTCCACCCTCGGCGCCAAGGAGAAGAGCGAGGGCTGGCGGAGGTGTGGCGACAGCATCTGCTACTACCGCAACGACGACGAGTGAGTGGCGTTGACCTTTGACCTCTCTTTAAGTAACACTAATCTAGCACATTCAGTTCTACGAGAACTAAAGTCCCTCTAAGGTTTTCTATTAAGAAGCTATCTCATTCAGAACTTATTAGAATACTTTTATATGAACTAAAAAAATATGTAAAAAGAATAAGAATAATTTTTCCATCTTGCAAAGGAGTTCAAGTAAAAAAATTTATAAAGACCAGATAGGACTTTTTGCCATTTAATATACATTTAATATATCATATAGCCCATTGAAGTGTTTCAAGAATGCCACATAATATTTGCACTTTAGATAAAATAATTTAGATAGAGCAATGTCCTAACAGAAAACCTTTTAGTATCACTCTAAACATAACAAACATTTAATGTAGCACACTTTTATGAGCATTTGGAAATGATTTCAAACCTTCAGAGAAATCGTTTTGGAACTCTTCAAAATGTATATTACGATTTCTTACTATATTCTGTGCATTTCTATACTTTCTGCAAACAGAAGTGCCAGCAATAGCGCCAACGAGGACGACGAGGACAACTCGACGTACACGCTGACCTTCACCATCGAGTTCGAGCACGACGACGACACGGTGTTCTTCGCGCACAGCTATCCGTACACGTACAGCGACCTGCAGGACTACCTCATGGAGATCCAGCGGCACCCGGTCAAGTCCAAGTTCTGCAAGCTGCGTCTGCTCTGCCGCACCTTGGCCGGCAACAATGTCTACTATTTGACGGTGACGGCGCCCTCCTCCAACGAGGAGAACATGCGGGTAAGTTGCACCCATCGCCATTCATCTGCGGAGCAACTTTTGGCCACTGCTCCGCACAAGGTGCTCCTAGATAAACGGATTGTTTTACGGACCCTCGCCAAAGTAATGGCTAATTACAGTCATTAGTGTAAATAAAGAGCTGATAGCGAGCGATGGTGGTAAAAGTCATAATTAACTAACTGTCAGATAATAATAATGGATTACTTGAGTTGGGATTTTTATTATAAAAAAGTTCATTGCATATCATATTTTTTTCTTTCTTTAAAACGATTTCAATTTGTTCTTCTAAAAGATCAAATTAGTTGATGGTTTTATTGAAATTTATTCATTCTATCTCACTTCTTCCTAAAGTAATTATATTTATTTAACCTTCTCATCAAACTTTAGCGAAAGAAATCGATTGTGGTGTCGGCGCGAGTGCATCCCAGCGAGACTCCCGCCTCGTGGATGATGAAGGGTCTGATGGACTTCATCACTGGCGATACAACGGTGGCCAAGAGGCTGCGGCACAAGTTCATTTTCAAACTGGTACCGATGCTCAATCCGGACGGAGTCATCGTGGGCAACACCCGGAACTCGCTGACCGGCAAGGATCTTAATCGTCAATATCGAACGGTCATCCGCGAGACATATCCATCCATTTGGTATACCAAAGCCATGATTAGAAGGTGAGTCAGCGGAGATGTTAAATGGGAATGCAGTTCAGACCTCGGAAATAGTATTTTGAAGGACAGAGCCAAACTAAATCATCACTAAATCAGTTTTGTAAGGCTATTTAGTCCGCTCTATTCAAGGGTGCACCTTCCATTCTATTTTATATGATTCCCCATATAGTTTGTTTATGTTTTAGTAATAATTGCTTTTGATTAACAGACTGATTGAGGAATGCGGCGTGGCCATGTACTGTGATATGCACGCTCACTCACGAAAGCACAACATATTCATATATGGCTGTGAGAACAAACGCAACCCGGAAAAGAAGCTCACCGAGCAGGTCTTTCCGCTGATGCTGCACAAGAACAGTGCGGATCGGGTGAGTTATTATATAGAAAGATATTGGATAATAGGTTAAACCAGATACTTGGTAAATTCATTGGTAAAAACTACTTTAAAACACCAAAAATCATTCAGTTTTCAACCATTTTTGAATGCAATCTAATATTTTTTATATTATATAATCCCCCCGAATACTAGTTCTCCTTCGAGAGCTGCAAGTTCAAGATCCAGCGCAGCAAGGAGGGAACCGGACGCATCGTGGTCTGGATGCTGGGCATCACCAATAGCTACACAATCGAGGCCTCCTTCGGTGGCTCCTCATTGGGATCGCGCAAGGGAACGCACTTTAACACGCAGGTGGGTATTATATTACTCCATTCCATTCACTTAGTTAACTATATAGTAATCTATATCTATTAACAGGACTATGAGCACATGGGACGAGCATTTTGTGAGACACTTTTGGACTACTGCGACGAGAATCCGAACAAAGTAAAGCGGCACGCAAAGTTGTTTAAACAAATCAAAAAGATAAGAAAACGCGAGAAACGCGAACAGAAAGCATTGAAATTACAGAAAATGGCCGATCAGGGATGTATAATGAACGACAAACTAAAAGTGAAACGTTCTGTGGAGAAAAGTGTCTCCTAGGAAGGTTCCATCCCCTCAAAAAAAAAAATAAAAAAAACAAAAACCCCTCGATTCACACCAAAAAAAAACCAAAGATATACGCTCGCTCCTTTCTGTAAATCGCAACTTGTGCCAGTTATTGTTGTTGTTTTTAATCGTAAATTGTGAATCGTAAATCGTTAATTGTAATCACTTTCGCTGCCTAAAAAAAAAAATCCATCTGTTTCATAAGGCGCTGCTGTGCTGACCCATAATTTAAATCCCCAATCCAAAAAAAAAAAAATCATCTCAACAATTTCGTGTTGCCAAAATAAAACACACACACACACACAACAATCACAACAAGACATCGGCCAGAGCCACAGAATGCTATATGACGGATATATGAGAGCATATATATCGGGGCATATATCATCTGCATATGTATCCACAATCGGGGATTATGTATGTGCGGCATTGAATTGAATTAATTTGAATGCTGTCTATTTGCGCGTATCGCAGTTTTTCTAATGTTTTTGAGCACCAGTTGCGTGGATAGAAGCCCCCAAAAGCGGACATCCTATCCACGCAAATGGTACTTTATCTATATGATATATATATATATTTACACACCCACCTGATCCCGCACAAACGTAACTATATATGATATATAGTGTGACACCCAGCACAGCATCGCCAGGCACTTGAGCTCTCTACTTTATTTACTATACAAATATCTCCTAGTTATTTAAATTATAATCCGCGTTTTTCAATGTTGCTAGCCATAAGCTTAACCGTATTATTATAACCGGAGTATATTATTTTTTTCGAAATAAAAACCATATCTACATACGATTTGAGTTGTCGTCTTTTAGTTAGTTTTAAGTTTTTACGCTTTTCACTTGGCTTTCAACTGCTCAATTGTTCCAATTTTGCTTGATTATTTAGCACACATTTAACACATTTTCATTTGATAACATTTATAATTTACTTTTCCTTTTCGCCAGTGTATGATTTTTCACTAATCCAAATGCATTAACATTTACAATAGATTTTAAATTTACTCAAACAACAGGACAGGCTACGATCCAAAATTATCGAAAGACTGATGCGAGAAGGCTCCAGTGCCGATGAGCCATTGAATATACCATTATCTGATTACTCAAGGTGGGTTCTTCTATATCCGAGTTAATAAGGGTTTTCACTTTTTTATATGGCATAAAGAGAATTGTATTTATAGAAGCATTTTCCCTTGAAATTAACCTTTTTATTTATGAAACCATTTGGCTTTTTAACAACTCCTAACCCATACTAATCCTCGAATAACTAAACCTTTTAGCGACGAGGGCAACTGCAGCTCTAGTTCGGATAATGAGGGCAAGCACTCGATAACGGCCTCCGATCTGGAAGGACCTTGTTGTGCACCCACCCGAGCACCGCCCAGTTCGCCCGAGGTCATTCACGAAATCCGCAAGGTGAGTGGTTGATCTATATAGAATACTCTATGCACTTGCACTGCACCGCCACGAAAAATCACCTATGTAACCCCAAAAATGCAGTTCCGCATGAGGCGCATGCGCAAAGTGATGCACGAGCTGGACAGGATCTACTTCACGCCGCTTTTCCAGCGCAAATTCAAAACGCTCACAACCCTAAAGCGAAGGCGTCACAAAATGGGCGGCAAGACGGCTCCAACTGGCAAGAGGCTGCGAGGCGGAGGCGGTGGTGTGGCCACCGATGCCACGCCCACTCCACAAACAGCCGCCCCAATGGGAGGTTCGATCGGGGAGACGAACGCAGGCCAACAGCCGAATTCCAGCAGGCAATTGGCCATGGCCAGAAAACCTCCAGTTAATCGAGGTAAACCGATGGCGGTGGAAAGTTCGGAGAGCACCGATAGTCTGGACTCCTCCAAATCGGAGTCCACCCGAGATCTGGATGGCTCCAGTGCCAGCACCGAGGTGGCAACCGGAAAGGAGGCTCCCAAGCGAAAGGTCAAGGCTTCCGGCTCCAAGAAGACGGGCAAGAAGAAGAAATTCATGCCCACGGAGAAGAAGAAGGTGGTGGTGAATCAGAAGCTGCGCGTGGATCGCAATTTCCGACTTTGGCTGGCCAACCGACGTATCTACATTTATCGGCGAAAGAAGGTATATATATACCTCCCAAAAAAAAAAAGTACAAATCGGAATTCATCAACATTCCATCAAAAAGATTTATAAGAATTTTTTAACTAAAGCTTACCCTTTTGAAATCAACAAATCTATCAAATTAAAAGTAAAACCATTTTTAAACATACGATTACTATAAATTAATAGTTCCTAAACTAAATCTACTCTTCATAAAAGCAATAAGAATCACCTATCCCACTTTCTAATTGAATTTTTATCAGAGTCAACATATTTCCATTATTTCAAAATTAAGATTTTCCACTCGAAATATTCTCCAGTTCAGGAATATAACCATGTTACCCAACGGCTTGTTAAACTCTTCTCCCAAATCCAACAGCACACCACCAGCACTTCAGCACTTGAGCACTTCTAGCTAACTAATTGCGCACTCTCGCCTGGCATCTCCCCCTCTAATCCATTTAGTCCACGCAGACGCGTCGCACCAAGGTGAGGAGCAAGCCGCCCAAGAAACGCGGCGAGGTGGTGCGCACCACCCTCGACTTGCCCACAACGGATCCGGGATCGGATCTGCACTTCTCCACCGACGACGAGGAGCACTCGCCGACGACGGGACAAAATGGCTACGGTGCAGTGGCTCCGCTGCGTCACACGCTGCTCCAGAGCGATTTGCAGAGGCGCTACATCGAGGAGATCGGCGATACGGTGGTGCAGAAACCGAAGCCGGCGCACATGCCGCCGGAACTGATAGTGACCACGCCCTCGAAGAGCGGAACTCCCGGCGGTGGCAAGAAGCTCGATGTCTACAAGCTGACGCCGCGCACTGCTCCCGAATTGGACACCGGCGGCCATCACATGGGCATGATGCAGCGGCAGGCCGGGGGAACTGGCACCTCCGCCAGACGCACCTACTCCTGGCACAATCTCGACCAGCAGGAAATACCCAGCGGGAGTGGAGGTCAGGGCAAGGCCAACTTCTACATGGGTGATGCCAAGCCGACCATGAAGGCCATGACCAAACCGCCGCCAAGAAGGTGGGTTAAATACCCTTTATCCATTTATATAACCATTTGATCCATTCCTGGGAGAATCAAGCAATAAATTTTGTTTTTAGGAGTGTCCCCAGTAACTTCATTCCCCAAAGACATGGCAATGTGCCAACGGCGGACGACTTGCAGCTCAAGCTCTCGCTGAAGAAGAAGGTCTGGACGGGAGCGCATGGAGATGCGGATGGAAGACCACTCTCCTGGTACAAAGGTCACTCGATAGCCGGATCTCAAATGCCCAACGCAACGGCGGCGGGCATTCGAAGTGCAGGCGGCGGCGCTGGAGGAGGAGGAGGAGGTGGTGGTGTTGCTGGTGGAGTAGGCACTGGTGGCAGTGGCCAAAACCGAACCATGTTCACGTCCAGTGGCAGGGAGCAGACAGCTGCCTCGGGAGGCATCGCCATCGGAGTGCCGCCCGCCTTCGTTGGAGCACCACGCAAACCCAGAAAACTGGAGCAAGTGGATTTGTTTAAGTGAGTGATTGGGGATTATCCAAGAAGGGATTTCAATACATAGGTCATATTCCTAACATCCCATCCTTTGTTATGTTGCAGTGCCTGTTCGCAGAAGTTGCTCATGTGGCAACAGCAGGAGGAGCACAAGAGGTCGCAGCCGCAGCAAGCGCAACGTTTGCTAAAAGTCGACGATGGCCAGCAGCAGCCAAGGGATCGTGAGCGAGAGCATCGCGAGCAGCAGGCCTTCAAGCCCATGCATTTGGTGAAGAAGTCGGCGGGAACGAGCAGCCAGAGCAAGGTGATCCAAACGTTGATGGCAACCGAATCGGGAGGCAAGGTGAAGCGCAAGTCGAGCAGCATGATGAAGATAGCGGAGACCACGCAGCTGGTGACCCGCTTTGCCCGGAATCGCAACAGTGCCGGCGGATCGGCGGTGCAGCACCATCAGCATCAGCATCATCATCATCAGCAGCAGCAGCAGCATCAGCAGCAGCAGCAGCAGCAGTTGCACCACCAGCAGCACCCACAGCGAATGATGTTCAAGGGCCAGGCGACCGCATCCATTGGCGGACGCATGCACTCTGCCGGAGTCATGCAGCAGGGTCACATGCAGGGCGGCAACGGAGGACGTGCACCGAACAAATTCAAGACGGGCGGCCTGGTCATCACAGCCGTTCAACAGCCATCCAATATGCCAGGCGGGAATAGTTCGCGGCGGATGAGGAATGCAGCTGGCTTGCAGGCCAAGAGCAGCACAGGCGCCTTGGGCTCGTCCTCCGGGCAGATGCAATATCAGCGCAGCAATGGCAATGTCCAGGCGAACAAATCCTCAACGGGAATCTCACTGGACACCGTCAATCTCGTCCGGAAGGTGAAGACCAAGCTGAAGAAGCGCAAATCCCGCACTTTGTCCACTGGAGCACCAAAGTAATCGTGGTGCGCATCAGTTTTCATGTCAGATATCCAAACAAAAGAAAAGGCTGCTCCAGATACCCTCCTCGGAACGTATATATATATATATATATATTTATATATATATATACATATATGGATTACCCATTTTTTTTGTTCCAAATTCTAGTCGAATTTAATCCCCGTCCCCCAATCAAGTTTCTTACGCAAAAGACGATAAGGAAATGATTAGCAAAATTATTTAAATAACTCATATCTCTTTAGAACTATATATATGCATATGTGTAATCCCCGATCTCTGTACCTACAGTTAATCCCTAAAATAATGTTGAAAGTCCTAGTGTGTGTGTTGTTTTTTTTTCGCTGGAAGTTTTTCTATTGAGATTTGCAATAAAAAATATAAAAAAAAAAAATTGCATGCGAGAAAAGGCGGGGAGTGTGGAAATCGAGGGGCTTCTTCGAAGTTTGGTAAATAAATAATGCTTGACCGCTGACCGAAAAATCAATTACGCACATGTCCGGCAATCGGTGGGCGAACGGATTGGGTGAAAGGATTGTGGCCGCAGGACGATAAAGTCCTGTATAACGTACCTCCGGCAAAACAACTGGCGTCCCTCCGATCCTTCGCACAATTCACCACGCGCCTTCTCTGTCACTTTACCGCTCGAAAACCACCGAAAAGTTTAAACTGGCGAAAGGTAAACAAATTATTGCCCAATTGCAAGAGTGACCTCTAGTGATGGCAGTGCCAGCGATTGCATTCTATCGGGAGCTTTCGATGGTGAGGGTGGCCAGCGGTGTTATCGATAGCGTACAATTGTTCGCTATTTTCAAATATAAATCAATTGTTATTTGAATTGTTATTGCACTTTATTTAAAGCCAGTAACTTTCATTTAAATTTAAGGTTTAAAATTTTAATATTTATACTTTCAACAATCAAATAATATACAACTACGAATTTGGAAAAGAGTGAAATATATTTTTAACCAGTTACGTATACGTGATATTTATGTTTCCTTAAAAACTTCATATAATTTCTATATAACGTATACGTAATCAATCACAGGATTGAAATAAAAGAAATTTGTGTTGAGTTAAGTTAAATTTTAAGTGAAATTATAATATGAGTACAAGTTTAGTTAATGTCAATTCTTTATTTGGAAAAATGATCAAAGTGGTGGAATAAAGTTCAGTTACAATACTCAATTTCTTAAATTTGCATACAAGAAATTGAAATAAGTAAACCATTCGATATTAATACTTTAATTTTGATTTATATTTTGGAATGCAGCGCCCTAGGCGCCATTGTTTATTTGATTTAATTTATTTTGTTATATACCCAAGCCATTATACTAGATTAAACTACGTACACATGCATGCGGGACGTGTGTCATACCGTGTGTGTGTCTGTGGTGTGTGGTGTGTGTATACTGTATACTGGTTAAGTGTTGTGTCCTGGTGGCCCTCCTCCTCCTCATCTTTCTTCTCATCCTGCTCATCACATCCTGGCCATAACTATACCCCTTCTCAACGATCATGCTCATAATATTTGTTCCTGTGGTCGGGGAAGCGGCATTGATTTAACTAAATCTAGGTGACTACGAATAAATAGAGTAAACGCAAGGCTAAAACGAGAAAACGAAACGCAATAATTCCGCGAAATTCAATTGAGGCCGGCTCTAAACATTGACGGCATTCTGCAGAGCGGTCTTGTCATCCACGATTATGTTGGCCGCCGTGGTGGTCGGATTGGAGCTGAGCAGCTGCTTGGTGGACGAGCTGGAGGAGTAGCTATCGCTAGAGCTGCGCGTCGAGGCCGAGTTGCCGCTAATAGGGCTGTCCAACATGTCTGGATAAGAATGTATTGGTTTAAACACAAGTAAAACTGATTGAACACAAAAAAACTATTCACCTGGAAGTGAGCTCACGTTGTTGGACTTTAAGTCGACGACCGTGGCCACCGAACCGGAGCCCACCATGTTGCCCACCGAGGTGGACTTCTTGTGCAGGTTCTTCTTCACCGCACTGCTGAATCCCACGACGACCGGTCCCACGCCAGCTGGTCCGCCCACCGAACCCGAGCTCCGGCCAACGCCCAAGCCGCCATTGCCACAGCTGCCAGCGCCCAGGGGATCACCGCTCTTGGCTCGCTCCGTGGGGCACAGTGGGCTCAATATCGAGTTTTGAGTATCTTCCGGCGTGTAGTAATCCGAATCCTCGGCCGCTGCTTCCGAGGGCGACGGTGCAGTGCCTCCGGTGAGTTCTGGCCTCGGTTTGGTGCGCTTCAGCGATGCGCTCTTTTTCAGGCTGGACTCCTCCGTGGATCCACCATCCGTGGAGCCGCCACTCTTATCGACATCATCCGCCTCCAGGCAGGCAACCACCTGCTTCAGCGATTTGCTGGACATGTTCTTGCTCTTGCTGCCCGGCGAAAGTAGCGGCGACAGCTTCTCGTTCTCGCTGTCCACATCGTCATCGGTGCCCGCGGAGCCATCGCCACCGGATCCAGCCGTCGATCGCGGATACTTGCGCTCGTTGACGATCTGCAGCTTGTCCTGTTTTGGTTCCGGCGAAGTGGATGCCCCCAGAGTGGGCGAAGTACAGGTGGCCGTGCTGGACTTTTTCGGATCGCTTTCGATCTCCACCGAGTGTGTGGATGAGCCATTGCCGCCGCCGCCGCCACCAGATTGGTTGGTAATGGTGCCCACCTCACTGGTCGACGTGCAGGTCGAGGCGTTCTTCTTGATCTTCGGCCGGCGCTGGCTATTCGATTTGATGGGCGAAGTGGCCTTGATGTCGGCACTGGTCATGGTCGATGCGGCCACTGTGGCAGCGGAGTCGGTGATGTCGTGTTCGCTGGTTCTAAAAGGGAATACAATAAACAAGATGTGAGCATAGTTTTTTGGTCATGAAGAATCCCTAGCCCACCTTGCCCTGGCCACATATTGCGGTGGTCCGTTGAGCGCCTCGATTAGAGAGACGGGAACATAGCCCGGCGGCAGATCCACCGGCGCTGGTTCCCCGGCCGTCGATGTGGGCGTATTCTGGTGCAGCACATGCGTGCTTATGCCCTTCTGCACCGCTCGTATCTGCAGCAGAGCTCGGAATGGTGCCCGGCAAATGGGACAGTTGTTGGCCTGATAGCGCAGCGAATCCGCGCACGAATTGCACAAGCAGAGATGTCGGCACGGCAGGATCAGCGTGTCCCTGGTCTCACTCATGCAGATAACGCACTCGCTGCCATGATCGTCGATCTCCTCGTCCAGTGAAGTCTTGTTCACCGCCTTGTTCTCGATGCCATAGATCTCCTGCAGCAAATAGCACAAGCCATCCACGAAGATCTTTTGCTTGAGGGCACGCAGCACATAGCTGCCGTTCTCCGGATGATGATCGATCACACAGATGGTAGTGTGCGACTGACGACACTCGTCGCTGCCCTCCTCCACCACGCAATGGATGGCCACCGGATACTGCTCCCTGCCCGGACTGTAGCCCAATTCATCCTCGGGCATCTGCTGTGGGTTGAAGACGTGCGACGGCTGCGAGAAGCACTGGTTGATGCCCTTCTCGTAGTGGTACGTCTCCGAGGTGAGACCCTCGCGCGGCACCAGAGTCACTCCGCTGGGACTCACGTCCTCCGAGCAAAAATAGTAGATGGTAATGGCGCACTTGGCGTCCGAGTCGAAGGTGAACTCGATGTTGTAGGAGCAGGGCGGCGGTGGAGGCGACAAATCGACATCGCCGCCACCCAAGCCCATGGAGCACAGGACATTTCCGTCCACATCCTCGATGGTTACGTTGGACTTCTCCTTGTCGAGGTCCAGATCCCGATCGATCTCCTTCATCTTGGGCTTTTCGATTACGCTCATTTTCTTGTCGTTCAGTGTCTTAACAAAGCGCACAGATTCCTTGCGAATGTTGACAAGACTTTTCAGGGTCTTCGTTGGTTCATTGGCCTGCGGCGGTGGATACGGGAAGGCCGTCGGACGATTGCCCAGGAAATTCAGATCCGCATTTTCGCCGAACAGATACGATTCCGGTTGGGGCGTGTCGAAACGCTCACCGCCCATGATGAAGTGCGTTCCGAAGAAGTTTCCCATCCGCGGTGGATACTTGTAGGCATTGTTAATGCTCGGATCCGCCTCCTCGACCGCCGCATTCTGCCTGCTCACAAAGTTGCCCATTGGGAAACGGAAACTGGTCACCAGATGCCCTCGATATCCAATCCAATGCGATCCCGTGCAGCTTATGGTTTTCTCTGTTTTATTATTCTATTTTCTTTTCCTTTCTTTTAGAGCTGCTAAGCCATCGACGGTGAGTGTTATCGATAATAAGTTTGGTATCGAATTATCTTTCTATCAACATATAAATGTATCGCTGTCTTAACATTTATAACGGTTTCACCACTTGAATTGGCTTAAAACAGCGCCTAATGTAAGTGAATTGGACTGTGATCTTTTTTATAATTGAACAAAAACATTTAGAAACGTGGATAATTGTAAATGCTTATGGTACAATATATAAAACCTTATTCAAATGATTTTACTTTTGTACTCAAGAAAGATACCTAATGTACCAAACAGCAATCGGCGTTGCCGGACTATTCAAACCCGCATTGCCAACTAACTGACAGCGTGCGTTGCCAACAAAATCAAAGCAACAACAAACGGCGCCAAAATAGCGTAAGAAAACAAGGAAAAGTGCGAAAAAAAAAACCAATTCGCCAAGAAACACGGAACAAAACACACGCACGGCCACCATGAGCATGGACGAGTCCATTTGCGCGTACTTCGTAAACAACCTGAAGCCGGGTGGCAGTGACCAGGATGCGGACATCCTCGAACAATTCGAGGCGGCGCTGGAACTTGTTGGCGAGCACCTGGCGGAAACGCAAGTCCGGCAAATAAAGCCCAGCGAGGGCTATCCCCTGATAGCAGCTGGCAATCTGACCAAAAAGGATGTCTTTGTGTTGGCCCAATTCGACGGAGACTTCTTCGATCAATTGAAGCAGACGAAGGCCCTGATTTTGGGGCCACCCTGCTTGATAACTTGCCTGCGCCACGACGAACCCATTCCCCAGGGCAGCAGTGCCATCTACACCACGGCCATGCGGGATCTGCAGATCTCGGCCACGGGAATAACGCCCCAAAAGAAGGAGGAACTGAGCAGGCTCATCAACTGGATGGGCGGCGTCTACTTCCAGAGTTTCGGCCATCGCACCACACACCTCATCTCGAACACCATCAAGTCGAGCAAATACGAACAGGCAACGCTAAACGGAGTGCCCGTGATGCACGTCGACTGGGTGCAGTACGTCTGGGATCAGAGTCGCCGCAGCCAGCGCGAAGGTATCAGAGCCACGGATCCCGACTTCGACAAGTACCGCCTGCCCACGTTCTTCGGGGCGAACATCACCTGCAGCGGTCTGGATGTGGCGCGCAAGGATCAGGTGATGCGTCTGGTCAACGAGAATGGCGGCATCTATCATCGCGCCTTTCGCTCCCAAGTGGTGGACATTGTCATCACGGAGCAGTCGAAAACGGACACGGAAAAGTACAAGGCGGCCGTACGCTACAAGAAGGATGTCCTGCTGCCGGAGTGGATCTTCGATAGCTCGAATCGCGGCTATGCTCTGCCCACCAAGGACTATGAAGTGCGTCCAGGCAAGAAGGCCTCCACGCCCACGAAGCACAACCGATCGACGGCGAGTGCAAGCTCCGATCAAAATCAAACGCAGCTCTCGGATCTCTCGAGGATTAGCTTCGTATCCGGTTCGCGGCGCATGGGCAGCGATCTGACCACCGTGAACGAAACGCTCGGCAGCCTGGGTAGCAATTCGCCCGCCAAGGAGCTGCTCAAACAGGCCACCAGCAGTGGCCGGAACTATCAGCAGGTGCTGGCCGAGATTTGTCCGCGGCAGGCCAAGAAGGCGGGCTCCTTTCTCGACGGCTGTTGTGTCTACTTAAGTGGCTTTCGCTCCGAGGAGCGGGAGAAACTCAACAGGGTGCTGAACACCGGAGGAGCCACTCGCTACGATGAAGCCAATGAGGGGATCTCCCACATCATTGTGGGTCAACTGGATGACGCCGAGTATAGGCAATGGCAGCGCGATGGCCTCATGAGTTCGGTTCATGTGGTGCGCCTGGATTGGCTGCTGGAGAGCATACGCGCTGGACGCGTGGTCAGTGAGCTGGTGCATCGAGTGTCGCTGCCACAGAACCGAGAACCTGATGTCGCCTCGCCGGCCAGCAAGCGAACACTGCGCTCGATGAACCACAGCTTCAAGCAGCCCACGTTGCCCATCAAGAAGAAGCTCTTCGACCAGGAACCGGAGCAGGTGCGTCAGCAGGAACAGGAGGAGCCGGATCACCACCTGCTGGATCAGTACTCGCAGGATCAAGGAGCAGTGGCGCAACTGCCGCCGGCGGATATGAGTCTCCTCCATCCAGCGGCGAGTTCCACGCAAATGGAGATACGCCAACGGAACTCCATAGCCACTCCAAACCCCCCGGCAGCTCTACCAATTCCCGATATGAGTGCCAGCACGCTGTCCATTGATTTCGAGAAGCTGGACTACTTTTCGGGTCTGTCGGTGTATGTGCACAAGGATTGCTTCAACGAGGAGTTCTACAATCATCTCCTGGCCGAATGCGAAACAGCCCAGGGCTTGCTGGTCCCCTCCAGCTTCGCGGATGAGGTGGACTTTGCCATCGTCAGCTTTGAGGTGGCCTTCGATGCAGAGGAGCTGCCATTGAAGGCGCGCCATGTGGTCACCGAACTGTTCCTCGAGAGCTGCATGAAGAAGAACACGTTGCTGCCGTTGGAGTACTACCACAAACCCGTGCCCGTTGCTGCACTGCTTCAGCCGCTCAGGGGCATGACCATTGTGGTGTCCATCTATGCGGGATTGGAGCGGGACTTCATCAATGCGGTGGCCGAGTTGCTGGGCGCCTCTGTAAACAAGACCTTCATCAAGAAGGAGAAACCGCTGCTGGTCTGTCCCAGTGCCGAGGGCTCCAAGTACGAGGGTGCCATCAAATGGCAGTATCCGGTGGTCACATCCGAGTGGCTGGTGCAGTGCGCCCGCACGGGCCAGAAGCTGCCCTACGTGGGCCATTTGGTGGGCAAGAGTCCCGAGGACTTCCCCACATCGCCTCGTTTGAGGGAGAGTAACAGCCGAACGCCAAGGCGACAGGAGGAGGCGACATTGGTGGCGCCACCGGAGGTGTCCTTCAGAGGGGAGGAGGCGGAGAACCAACCGGAGGCAAGTGGCATGCCAATTGCTCCTGCCACACCAGTGGCAGCAGCTCCGGAATTAACGCCACTGCGAAATAGAAGGGTTTCCGAATTGGCTGGGATTCCAGGAGGCAGTGTTCGTCATCGGAGCGGCAGCTCCACATCCTCACCAGACTCACCTTGCACTCCGCTGAGCCAGGTGGGTGCACAGCGCTATAACTTTGACTTCCTGGAGCAGTTCGTCGAGCGTTTGGACACCCAGGAAGGCAAGGATTGCGTGCGCCAGATAATCCGCGAGATGCGCGAGAACCAAACACCCGAGTTGGAACGCATTCGGCGGCAGGCTTGTACTCCAGTCAGTCGCAAGAATCCCCGTCCAGTGCCTGGTATTCCCGATTTTTGCCTCACTCCGGAGTTCCAGCAGCGGATGGCCGACGACTTCGAGCGGCGCTGGCGCCTGCCAACCCAGAAAATCAAACCGGACACTCCGTTGGCCGTCATCAGGAAGAGAGTGATGCGGATCACCTGCGAAACGCTGGGCATTGAGTATGATGATGAAGTTGAGCCGCAGGAAAGACAGGAGCCACCAAGCACGCAGAAGAAGAAGCCGCCGACGAGAACTCAAGCCACTAAACTCGACTTTGGGAGGTCACCCAAAACACCCAAGTTGTCGGTGGGCAAGAAGACGCCTCTGCGGCTTTCCACGGGCTCACCGCGCACCGGAACACAATCACCTTTTGTCCCGAGCACACAAAGTCCAGGAGCAGAGGCAACTGGATCCGCCGCAGCAGCAGAAGAGGCATCCACTTCCCGACGATCGGGAGGATCGGGAGGAGCACTTGTTGGCGACGAGGGTCAGAGCACCATAAACTTCGATAAGATCAGCTTCGAGGAGTCGTCGGTGCCCGTGGTGGCGCCAGATGTGAAGCAGATCACGGATTACCTAAAGAACTGCGAGTCGCGGCGGAATAGCTTGAAGCGCAGCCACGATAGCAACATGGAGTGCGCCGAGAGCGAGGTGCAGTACGTCCAGCCCTTCGAATCGGAGGGATTCGCCCTCAACACCGAGGACATGGTGGATTGGCGCGATCCCGCCGAGTTTCATGCGGCCAAGCGGCGATCCTCGGGTGCCTCGCCCAAGATGCAGTACCGTGGAATTCCCTGCTTCAGCATCTCCTGCAGCGACGATGAGAAGCGAGCGGAGCTAATCGAGCGGATCAACCAATTGGGTGGCAAGCTGTGCGAGAACCTGGTGAACTACGATCCATCCTGCACGCATCTGCTGTGCGAGCGGCCCAATCGCGGCGAGAAGATGCTGGCCTGCATTGCGGGCGGCAAGTGGATCCTCAATCTGCAGTACATCGAGCAGTGCCATGCGAGGGGTAGCTTCCTGGACGAATCCCTCTACGAGTGGGGCAATCCCAGAGCTCTGAACCTGCCCACTTTGGCGCCGGAGGAGGAGCCCATTGCGGCTGCAGTGCATCGTTGGCGCACGGAACTGAGTGCCAGCGGTGGTGGTGGCGGTGCCTTCTCCGATCACCGGGTGATACTCAGCCTCCATGAGCGGAGTGGTGCGCCCATCAAAAATGTCCTGCGCGCCGGTGGAGCCACCATCCTGGAGCCGAATTCACCGTTTTCCAGCGATCCCGTGGCCTCCACGGCCACCCATTGTTTTGTGGACGTGAAGAAGACGCCGCTTTCTCCGCGGGACCTGGCCCATCTGAAGCAGTGTGGTGTGAGGGTGCTCAGCCAGATTGCAATCAATGCTTATTTGATGAACGGCAGGGACGCCGATCTGGAAAAATACGAGCTCAATTAAAGGGATCGTATTCTAAAATCTGATAAACGATTTTTTTTTGTTCAATTGCTTTTTTGTTTCTGTTCTAAATTTATATTTAAGTCTTTAATTCAAATCCTCAAATGGTTCGAATTTAGATTAGTTTAATATATTATTTGTAATTATATTTTCGAGAGTTTAAATTCCAAAATGGATTTCTTTGGTTTTCGTTAATAATGTTGTATATTTTCTAGGCTGAAAATTCTACTCAGAATATAAGTAATCACATTATATGTATAACCAAATCGTGTTTTGCTCTAAATGCTAATTAAATATTGTAAGTTTTTCTGGTCAATTTTCCTATTTCTTTCAAAGATCAGTTCATTTAAATTTTTTTTGTTATTTAATTTCCATTTTTTGTATTTAATAAATAAAACTATAAATCGAAACCCTAAACGAGTGTTTTGTTTAAATGTTATCCCAATACTTAGTTGGCGTCTTTTAAACCCATGTAAATGCAATAACAAATTGGTGTTCAACTGTATTGTACTTTTCTTTTATTTAACGTTTATATATTTGTATGTGGTTGTGTGTGAGTGTGGGTGTTTGTATATAATATAGCATGTATGCATGTATAATTTCACTTAGCTTCTGTTCCGTTTTTGTCTCAGTTGTTTAGTAATTAATGGTATAGCAGTACTTTAAGTTTGATTCATATGGTTTACATGTACGTGTATATATATATATATATATATATATAATTTGTTTTTTGTTTTTACAATCCATGCAGTTTGCTTTGTTCTGTGTGGGGATTCTCTATAAAATTCCATATCATATAACTATAGGTATATAATTGTCTGTGTTTTGTGGGTGTGTTTTAGTGGAATCGCATGCTCTAGGCTACAAATTCATCAAAAATAGATAGTACACAGGGATCGATTTGTGGCATCGATCTATGATTTATAGTTGATCATCTTATTTTCCATCCATCTGTTTTCCGTTTGTCGCTTGTTTCTTCTTTTAAGCCGCAATTGGCAGACTGGCGGCATTTTACACGTTAAAATTACACTTCTATAAATTAATAATTATTTATATATATATACGGTTTATTATGTTTCTTTTTTGTTAGCTTTTCAATTTGTTCAATGTTGGTTTTGTTTTTATATCGCAGCGATAATTTGTTTAGTTTTTTTTTTATGTTAGGAGGCAACTGTTTCAACTTAACGAAATTGGAAAGCTCGAATTTGCTTCATCTCTTTTCAGTTGAATAAACGCGTTGACAGAATCGCGACAAAAAAATTAAACAAGGTTCTGACAATCGTAATAATAAGAATAATAATAATAATTAGAATAGTGGAACTTGGAGCTTAGCAATTAAAAAATCTCTTTGCTGGGCGTTGAGATTCCCAGTGGCTGTTCGTAGTCGCTGGCCAAAACGGTTGCTGATGCTGATGCAGATGCAGATTCGGAAGCCTTCTTCTCCTTGCGCTGCGACCTCTCCTTTTTATGCTTCTTCTTGTGCGCCTTGGACGCCACCTGATCCTCCTGATCCCCCACCGCCAGCTGCACATCGATGATGGCTTCCGATGCCGCTTCCCTTGACTTCTCCTTGTTCTTCTTTTTTTTGTGATGCCTGGCGGCATCTGGAAGGATGCTATTGTTGCTATTGTTGTTGTCGTTGTTGCTGTTGCTGGGGGCGGATGTGTGGCTGGGACTGACCGTGGGCGTATCGGCATCGATGAGATCGATCACCGGCTGGGCGGCTGGAGTTATCGCCTCCTTGCGATCCCGCTTGCTCTCCCGCTTCGCCTTTCGCTCCTTGTCCTTGTCTTTGTCCTTTTTCCTGTCCTTCTTCGAGGTGCTACTGCTGCCCGCCGACTCTGACGGCACCTTGAGATTCTCCTTGCCCGCCGCCGCCGATTTCTTTGACGACGACCTCACCGCGGGCGCCTCGAAGTCCGTTCTGTGTGGATTGTTGAAATAGAACATTATTAAAAGTCTGATATTGTAGAAGGAAACTAAAATTCAAAAGCTCGATTTAAAATTCTATATGTACATATAAAATTCATAATTATTAAAGCTATATTTTTATATTCTTCAAATAAATGAACACATTAACTTGGTTTTAATAATTTTAGTATACCACACACTCAACAATTTATAACTTACATATCCAGTTCTATATCCAGAGCACGATGCGGATCATTGGGGTCGTATCTGCCATCCTTATCCTCACTGTCCGACAAGGAGACACCTTCGGGCATGTCCAGCGTGGTGTTCACAATGTGCAAGGGTTTCGGCTCTGCCAAGTCAGCAAATTAAGTACGATTTCCCAATATAAGCTTGGCTGGGTTAAACTTACCACCTTCCGATTCGGAGCTACTGTTGTAGGCCACTTTGTTCTTGGCCTTTTTGCTCTTCTTGCCCTTTTTATGCTTTTTCTTGCCATCCTTGCCGCCCTGAGACGCCGCCTGCTGCTCCTGGAGATATTTATCCGATCGCTTGGTGACTGTACAAGGGAATAATAGTTAGTTAAGTTAATTAGCACAGTTGATGCTTCAAACTCACTGCCCACTCGAAGATCGGCCACGCCCTCCATGTCCAGTGGGAGCTCCGTGATGGGTATATCGTCGATATTGTCATACTGATCCGCATTCGCTGAGCCACCACCACTCGCCGTTGGCGTGGACTTGAGGTAGTGAGGATTGTTCGACTGCTCGATGAGTCGGGCCATCCGCTGGCGTTCCAATTGCTCGGGAGTCAGTTCCAAGCTCGGTCGTCGCTTTCCGCCGCTCCCCGAACCACCGCCGTCCACTCCCGTTCCGCCTTGCGAGGCGCTGACAAAGAGCTCATCCTTGTCGTGCTCCGAGGACGAACTGCTCGCCGCATCCTCCGGCGGCGGTGGATTGATCCACTCATCCAGATCGAGGCCATCCGGCAGGGGCACTTTCCTTTGCGCCTTGGGCGCCACCGGAATCAGTTCGCCAGCAAATAACAGCGTCATCTCCTGGACAATCTCAATGGCCAGCGGCGGAATGCCGCCATCCGTCATCGTCGTCTCCATGGAGATGGCGTCCTCTGTCGTTGAAAGCTGGTTGCGCAGCATTTCGATCAGCATGCAAGCGGAATTGGCTCTCTCCTGCACTTCGATGTCGCTGGAACCATTAAAGTGTTGCAGCTTATCCAGCACATGGTCACAGAGCTGCAAGGGATTAGAACGATTAATAAATAGGGAAATCGTTGGGAGAAGAAACCACATACTCTCACTAAACCGGGAAGATCCTGCAGCTCCAAACACGTGGTGGCCAGTCGAGCAAATAACTTTATCACATTCTGCACATAGACACCCTGAATGTGACCGGGCAATTGTCTTGGACGCAGCAAGATATTTAGGGTCTTCTCCGCATCCTCCAGTTCGCCAGCGAATTCGCCGACAATCCAGGCGGCGGCATAGAGCACCTCGTACATGGAGTTACTTTGCGCCGAGACGGTGAACGTGTCCAGCAGGTTGGTCATCTCATTAACAGCGAATTGCCGAACCACAGGCACTCGAATCGCAACATCAAGCAGCTGCTCGGCAATCAGACGACCATGTCGCGAGCCCGCCTCCAACTGAATCAGCTCCACGAGCACCGTGAGATACCACTCGAAGTTGGTCACATAGAGGTACGAACTCTGCGCACAAATCTCGATCACCTTGTACAGCAGTTCGTCCCGATAGGCCGAGCCCTCCGCCCGTTCCATGTGGCCGAGTAAACGCTTCACAATCTCCATTAGGTTCTTTTTCGAAACCATGCCGTATAGCAAATCCAAAGCACGCAGTCGTATCGACTCATCCTTGTCGTCCAGGCAGGCGAGGATTAGGTCCTTGTGCGCCTGCACGCTCTTCGGATGCGTCTTCAGGATCTTCGACATGGCCAACAGTCCAAGATATTTCACTGCAAAGGGAGGAAAAGGTTATTAATATAGATGTTATAGGGGAGGAGCCTTACAAGCCACCTTGAATGAAGGGATATTTGAACTATTAAATCTTACTATACTTACGATTCTGGTCGGAGTCCTCGATGAGGATGCGCAGCTTCTGCACGCAGAGCTGGATGGAGGCACTGTGGTTGGGCATGCCGCTGCTGATGCTGATGAGCACCGCGATCACCGTGTTGATGCACTCGTACAGGAGACTCATCGCCGAGGTGCTGTTGGGTGAGTTGGGTTTGGTTTTGGTTCGTATTTGTTTTGGTTTTTTTTTTTGTTGTTGGTGGTTCGTTTGTTTTTTTTTTGTGGGTTTTTTTTTTATAAGTGGTTTGAGAAAAAAGGAACTTGTATTAAGAGTAAGCAGCGGTAAAGCGACAAACATTGCACTACAAAAATAGCAAGTGGCAACAACAACAGCAATATCGATAGCAGTCTAGTGGTAGCGATAACAATTAGCGATTATTGCGATAGACAGTAGGAAAACACAAGATCGCAAAGCAACGCAGCAGAGGCAACCAAAAAGAATACACCAACAACAGCAAACACAACAACTGCAACGGCTCAATTCCATTTCTTTTTCAATTATCCTAGTTAGTTATTTGGTTCTCAATGAGTGTGCTCGACAAGCAAAATATCGATATGCAAAATATAGAAAGAGCGAGACAAAACCAAAACAAAAACAAAAACAAATACAAACTAAAGCAGGATGGCGACAGTCATAAGTTAAGAGCGATGGAGAGAGAGAGAGAGAGAGCGAGATAGTTAACGGACATAAGAAGCTAGATTTGTACAGTTAAATAATAAAAACTAATATATAATATTCGCACAATCATCGAGCAGCTTCAATTGTCAATCGATCGATAGTTATCGGCCATTAATCGGTCTCATTTTGCTTTCGATTCTTTGCGTTCGCCTTGCTTTTTGTTGCAATCGTTTTCCACACACTTTCGGGGAATCGCATTTTTTTTTTTAATTCAGTTCTTTTTTGTTTTGTTTTGCAATGGTTTTAAAACTTGCCTATGAATTAGATTTGTGAGTGGTTCTATTAATTTCTTTCCTAGCCGGGGTTCTAAGGGGGTTAAAGCGCCAAACTGCAAATGCAAAGAGAAAAGAAACAAGCAAAAAATTATAATTCACATACAATCGAAATCATCAACGTCCTTATCCACAACTAAAACTAACGCTAAACCGAAAACTTAACTTAAAATAAAATGGTAAAAAACATAAATTAAAACTCTAAAGTATATATTTCTCTTTCTCTTAAACTGGCTGTGAGTTTGATTCAATCTTTCTTCGGTTTTTACTCTTCGTGTGGTCCTTTTCCTTCTGGAATGGATCTCATGATGATGTGTCTATATATTTTTGAAGTATCTCAGGGTTTTGGGTGTTTGTTTTCTTTGTTTTGTAGCGAAATAAACGTACAATTAAATTGGTATACTTTTTATGTTTTAAAGTTTCGTTTTTTTTAGTTATATCAAGCGAATTAAGCATTTTTTTTTTAACACAATGAAGCCAAAGGAGTACGATTTGGTGGATTGGGTGAAGTGAGGTGTGAACGAATAAAAACTTATTGCCAAAGGTTTTAAGACTTTTTAAAAAAATTGCATAGAATTTTTCAATATTGTGATTAGTATTTTATTCCTTTAAAACAAATTTTTAATAATTTTTTTTATATTTGAGTACAGTTATTTCATATATGATTATTTAAATTATTTAAAAAAAAACTTCGAACTTCAAATATTGTAAAGTTAAAGTTAAAAATTGGTATTTTTCTTAATTTGTATAAGCTTTATTCGTTTTGAGGATTAAGGAACATCATGTGCATCAACATGGGTGTAGAAAAATTGTGTGTGTGTGTGTGCTTGAAATGCAAAGTCAATTTGGGTAATTTGAATACAATTATGATCAATAATCACCAATTACGACGCTCATGGGTTTTGAATGTGTGAAGGAATTCAAGTTAAAGGTGTTGTTTAAGGTGGCAAAACCGTAAAGGATGAAGTATTTTAGGGATTAGTTTGACAAATACTCCTTATCCTTTGACAGATTCGCCGTGAATAAACCAATTGAATCAACAAAATAATTACTTGGGCTTTACAATATCTGTGTTGCTTCCATTTAAACAATTATGAGTCCAAAATATATACGAACGAAACATAAAAGGGTTGTTCAATAACTAAATTGTAAATAGTAAAATGCTTTAGAGAAAATCAAAGCGCGTGCTGGTTTTGATTAAGTTTCTGGATTGGATTTGTCGTTGGTCTGATTAAATAAAAGCGCGCCGATAAAAACCTGGAAATAATTTCAATTAGGGGCTGAGTCAATTTGCGTCCCAGCGCCGGTTCAATTGTCGTGAGGCTCGCGAACTAAAATTCATTCGATTTTATTTGGCATTTCATTCGATTTTCATTAGTATTATTATTTTCGTTTTTTGTTTTTTTTTTTTGGAGTGGTTTGTATTTATTTTATATATATTTTTTTGTTTGTTTGTTTTTTTTTTTTTGGAGCGGGAGCAGAGGGAGGAGAGGGGGAGGAGTAGTTGTAGTGTTAATTAACTTTTTGTTAGACAAAAATTCATTGTCGTATATAAAAGTATACGTATATATACATATACAGCAAAAGAAATCGGTGTTTGTCCATGAACAAACAGAAACGAAAAGATATAGACTTAGAACGTAAGAACTTAGGAGTTAAGTAATAAACGTGAATCTTTTCGGTGGACAGTGAGGTGGATCATCACTCACCAGCTTGATGATCTTGATCAGCATCCAGTTGTTGGTCGATGTGGTCATCAGCTTGAAGAAGATCGGCGCCAGCGGAAGGTAGTTTTTTGGATTCTTACGCGCTAATTCACAAATAACATTCACGGCAGCTGATTGAACACCTAAAAAAATGGAAAAAAGAAATGCATATAATAAAATTCCATGTTAAAAGCATTCAAATTGTCTGTTTTTGTTTAAACCTGGATCTGGATCTTCCAGTTTCTCCTTGAGTTTGGGAAATGCAGGTCTCAAAGCTTCGGGGTAGCGTAAAAATACTTTATACATCATAAGGACGGCTTTCATGCGCAGATACGGTTTTGTTGAGCTCATCTGTTTAATACAAATTAGCAAAATAAATTAGAAATATATAGGAAAGTTATTATAGGATTGCTACATACCAGTGTCATAATATCATTGGCCAAATCGCGGGACAGATCGGGAGATATAAAGCAGCTTAAACCACTCAGCGCCACACCGGCATCATATTGGTTCTGTGAGTTGAGATCCTTGCGTATCATATTCGTAGTCAGCATGAGTAGCTTAAAAACAAATCAAATCCAAATAAATCATTAACATGTTGCAATATGAATTGGTAAATTAAGTTTTGTAATTGACTTCAAATGCAGAACAGAGTTAAATCATTATGAATGTAGTTAATAGACTTTTTAGGATACTATGGATTAATTATCTACCTCACTATCCGGATGAAAACATTGACTGGCCGCCAGGTAGCCAATTCGCTTGCAGGTGAATCTGGATGAGCTCATCACCTCGATGATGTTGAAGCCTGCCCAGGAGATGTCGTAGCCCAGCATTTGTATCTGTCCAAGTGGAAATCGAATCAATAAATATTAACATTTTCTGCTGATTTTGTGCAAACGAATGGGTCGCAAAATGGCATGAGGTCCTCGTGTGGATGTGTGCTTATTAAATATGTGTGCAGGAGATGCTCAAGGACTCGTTAGCATTGAAATCTCTTTCGCTGCAGCTCGCTTTCCTACTTTACGATGGAGGGTAAAATAATGGTCGTAGCTTAAAATATGATCTTTGTAGGGAAACATTATCTTTTATAAATGTATTTCTTTAAATTGTTTTAACTAAAAGAAATTTAACAAAGCTATGCATTGTTATACAGGTACTTTTAGACAGAGTACTGCATTGTATTTAATTAAAAAATTAATGTTTTCTTTTGGATCCCTAATATTTGTACCACAATTGTGAAAGCCCATATATGATGTGTTAGTGGCATCTTTCGGATCGCTTGTTAGTTGGTTGTTGTGTGGGTGGAGGGCTTTGTAGCCGCTCCCCTTGTTTTCGCCGATTCAGTTGTTATTTTATGGCTGTTGCTGTTTTCGTCCTTATTGTCACACTTGCCTACAAGGACCCCGCACCTCAGGCAATTTGCATCAAGTGCAGCCAGAAGGCAGGCACTTCGTCGACTTTGAATGGCTGCAACCAGATTCCAGGACATGCACACTGCATCCCCTTTTTTTTTTTTTTTTTTTTTTGTAATCCAACGCTAAGCCCTCCTTTGGGGGGATTTCAATCGCCCTTGGGTTCTCGGCAAATTGAAGGAGGGGATGCTCTCAATTAATTTCAATTTAACCTTTCTCCTACCTTACAATTCATCTCGTATTACTTTTTAGGTGAAAATTAATTAACAAACATTTTAATTAATTCTCATTTTCACTTTTAGTCTATCTTCAGGGTTTTCCAGTGCGTGGAATTAAGTCTGATTGGGTGGTTTTTGGATATTGGGTTTTGGATGGGGCGTTTGTGAACTTACGTAGGTCAGCTTGGCCACCGCATTGCACTTGACACTGATATTGTCCTGTCGCAGCTCCTGTTTGATTTCCTCGATGCACGTCGATATGTATTTGGCCTGCGGAGAATTTATTGTCAATCAATCTGTGTATATATAATATGGTATGCGAAATGTGCAATGCCAGCGAATCATAAAACAACAAACATATCTGGGAATCGTCTTGGGGCTATCAGTTCTACATATATGTACCCCCCACACACACACACACACACAAACACACACGCAGCAACGTGGGCAGAGTCAAGTGAAAACAAATTCCAAATCAAACAGTTGCAACCAAAATATTAGAAACATTGATTTCGTTGAAGAAAATGTATTAAATTAAGATCTCAATTTATTTTGTAGCTATTGTTTAATTGCATAAAACGCCTGTCAACCGATGAGTAACATATTGAATTGATTAAGCTTACAAATGTATTTGTACAAAATAAAAACACATTGGAGATAATTAAACTACAATAAAAACATAAATATTTACTTTTCAAACAGGATTGCCCAAAAACATGTGCATGTGTACGCAAAATAAAACCACGAACCTCTAAATGGTCTTGCTCGAAATTGGCATTTTTGCATATCAAATATCATAAACACTTTTCTCCCTGTGCAACGAAAGAGGGGGAGTACCGTTAGTTGATCCTGGCAAACAAGCTGATAAGGACCAAAAACGCAATCAGCAGGGGACTTTCCATGGGTAAATATTTGATAAAAGCACTTGCCGCTAATTGAGTGAATAAGGTGGGAGTTTTTGACGTTCAGTTCTGTGGCTTTTCCTGCTTTTCCTTTTTGCATTGTTGGCAGATGCCGACGCACACTCACGCACACAGCCACTTTCACTCACACACGAACACCACGAAAACTAAACTCTAATAAGATTCCCTTAATGCAAACGAAATTTGTCAGCCAATTAGCGAGTTCTAATTGGACGCACAGCTGGGCGATGGGGGCGTGGCAGTGGGCGGTCTTTTTCGGGGGGCGGGGGGTTTGTCGTAAAAGGAATGGAAGAAAGGTGGGTCGGTTCGTCAAGACACGCTTACCTCATTATCCTTGTTGTTCCTAATGCCGCGCACCAAATCGGTGAGGTTTTTATCAAACATACGCTCGAAAAAGTTACCCTTCACTTTCTTCAGTGCCATGTTTGCTGCTTTTTGTTGTTATTTTTGCCGTTGCTTTAAATTGCACTTGCTTATTCACTTGCGGGTTTAGACTATTTTGGTGAGGCGATTTCAGCACATCACCGGCGGCAGCAAAGAGCACTAACTTCCGTCTTTTTCCGATTTGTTTTCGTTTTTTTTCTGCAAAAAGTTGCTGCAAAAAGGAAACATCGATGTAGTGTGGCCAGATGGCAGTGGCCGATAAAAGCCCGCAAAACTTGTTCGACGACGATGTATCGATATGAGCGTCGCGCCACTAACTGTCGATTGCTCTTGTGCCAATCGAGTTTAAATACCATTGAGAGCAACAAGTTCGAATCAGAGAGAGAGAGGGCTAGCAAGTATGAGGGAGAGAGTGATATTTATATAGAGTGAGAGGGAGATAGATACATAGAGAGATGGAGAGGGAGATAAAGAGAGTGAGTGAGAATATATTTTTCTATTTATTTTTAAACTAAAATAAACAGCAGTTGCCGACGAGAATACAGAATCAATATAACAAAATCTCAAAATAGAAACACTCCTTTTTAAAGAATTTTTTAATGCAATTAAGCGTTTATTTCGAGCTCGAATTACGGTTTAAAACTGTTCAAAACATTAACATTTTAAAACGTTCTCTAACTTTCCCATTTAAAATACGTAACATTCTCTTATTTTTACTTTATAATTACCCTAGGGCAATTGACAAACGCACTTTGGAGAAACGAGATTTAGCTTAGCTTTTTAGTTGCGCCATATTTTCTGTTCGCAACTACAGCCTTCGTTGTAAAAAAAACAAGGGGATTTTACAAAAATCAATGTGCGCCTTTCGACAAACGTACCTCCATTTAATACTTTTCGATTAGAACTACTCAAAAAAATCTTTAATAAATGAGAGTTAAACATTCGAGATATCTTAAGTTGATGGCTTGCAGCCAGCCGATTGACGGAAATGCTTGAGATATACATAGATAAGTGCAGGTTCTTTTCGACTCAAAATAGCTTAGTAAATAGTTGGATTAGTTTGCTTGATTGCTTTTGTTTGCTTCGTTTGTTCAATGGCATTGTGGTATCTCAAATATTTAGCAGCAGTTGGACTGGATGCAACGATGGTGGCCTAATGATTCTGATATTGGCACTGGGATGATGTGATGGCAGGCACAAATGGAGATGGGTACTATTCCTTAGGGGACTGTGTGTTTACAACGAACCGGCTGCTCTGGAAGTTTCTGTGGTTCATGCTATACACATTGCTCATTCGCATGTGCTCGAAGGTGAGCGGTTTGCTCAGATTGGTGTCCCTCTTCTTGTAGTACTCGTTAAAGTCCAGACGCGTACCGAACAGCTGGAGATTCGGATCATCGCTGGTGTTGAGGGCCATAAGGAAACCACTAACGGCTTTTTCATATGCCAACGCAATCACTTCCAGCCCGCGATAAGAGGCGTCAACCCTTTCGGCAAAGATCTTGGTCTCGTGGTCGCGCTGCAGGATGTGCTCGTTGGTCAGCCCATAGTGTCCTTCCTTTTCCGATTTCTCCACCATCCGAACTAGATCCTCGCGGGCGCCCAGCTCCTTAAAGCAATCCTTGTAGAAGGACGACTGCCACTTTTCCAGCTCGATAATGTTCGTGTACACCGTCTCCAAATACTTTCCAATTTCTGTCTCCGAGTTGACGAAGCAGCCCAGAGTTATTGTGGCCAGGAACTTCTCGTGTGCGTCGAGGATGTCGTCGAGGGCCGTCGCCTGATGCATCTTCTTCAGCAGCTCCACCCAGTTGCACTCGATCACCTCGAAGAGCACATAGTAGTGCATCTGGTGGATGAAGTGCATGATCTCCGACGTAAACAGGTTCAGGCGGTGTGACGCCTTGCCGATCTCGGAAGTCATCGGGCGGAGGGCCTGTAAAAATAAAATTATTTTGTCTATTTAATTCAATTTACTTCATGATTTATAAAAAATTTAAAAACTAAAACAGCATGGCAACGCTCTAACAGCGATATCCGATTGCCGATAAGGGCGTCTATCGATTCCACCATTGTTTACATTCGTGATTTCATTGGATTCTGATTCCCTTTATCTGGCTTATCAGCTGTCGTTACGGCGGAGATTAAGCTTAGAAAATCACGTTGTCTGCGAGATGGCCCTCTCTATCTTCAAGGATCTGCCGGAGGAGCATCCGCGCCATTTGATTCCATCACTATGCAGGCAATTCTATCATTTGGGATGGGTCACCGGCACAGGAGGTGGAATGAGTATTAAACACAAGTGAGTGGGAGGTAATCTTCTCCAGAAACCACCCCCAATTTACCCCACCAACCCCTTCTAGCGATGAGATCTATATTGCACCATCGGGCGTTCAAAAGGAGCGAATGCAACCAGAGGATTTGTTTGTGCAGGATATTACTGGAAAGGATTTGCAACTGCCGCCCGAGATCAGGGGACTTAAGAAGAGCCAGTGCACACCGCTCTTCATGTTGGCTTATCAACATCGCCAGGCGGGAGCAGTAATCCACACTCATTCCCAGCACGCCGTAATGGCTACCCTTTTGTGGCCAGGAAAAACCTTCCGTTGCACCCATTTGGAAATGATTAAAGGCATTTACGACGAGGCGGATAAACGATACTTGCGCTATGATGAGGAACTGGTTGTCCCTATCATTGAGAATACACCCTTTGAGCGTGACCTGGCGGACAGCATGTATGCCGCCATGATGGAGCATCCCGGTTGCAGTGCCGTTCTTGTTCGACGACATGGCGTCTACGTTTGGGGACAAAACTGGGAGAAGGCCAAAACTATGTGGGTTGCAATAAATTATATTTGACTAGCAAATCAATACCTAATCCCATATTTGTCTTCCCCCAAACAACAGGTCGGAATGCTATGACTATCTGTTCTCCATTGCCGTGGAAATGAAAAAAGCCGGAATCGATCCGGAGAAGTTCGAGAGCTCATAAGCTGATAAAAACACACATGCCGTATATTGTTTAACCCTTTATAGGCCTTGTTCTGCATTTACTATTGTAAATGTTATAGTAATGTATAGATTTTCATTGTCTGAATATAAAACAGTTTCAATAACGCAAACCATCGAAGCGTTTCCTCCAAAATATAAAAAGTAAAACAACTAGAAAAAAGGTTTTTGGCTATTCGTAGTCGGTAAAAAGGGTGTTAATAATATTTTTTTTGAATGAGCTCGTGAGGTGGCATATTTTTTAGTAATAATCTGAAGAGTCTTCAAGCCTTATCGCCGTTTTATGAGCATTTCAAACTGAGTGCGCACTTTGCACTAAAACTTGGACCAAGAATCGTGGTAACAGCCATGGGCAACAGCTGATAACCGCTGTTAGGAATTCATGTTAAGCGGCCCATATTTAAGTCTAAACTCCACACCTGCTACAGTGTACAAAAGATAATGTTCAGCAAGTATTATTTTTAAGGGCTGGGTATTTTGAGAAGCGTTAATAATGAAAGCAAAATGGAAAAATTATTTTACTTGGCCATTTGATAAAGGCCCGCAATGATTGTAAATAAAAATTCACTCTATATTTCATTACATTAGACCCCACTGTAGAGTTAACAGCTTAGCAGTTCTGCGAGAGCGACAGAGTGAAAGAGTACCAACACCACCAACATACGCCAAAGCAATGAGAGCGAGCGGGAGCGGCATAGCTGACCGGCTCTCCACCACATCGCCGTCTCACTCTCTCCCCACAAGGGGAGCAAAGTGAGAGAAAGCGGCCATAAATTCGGGATTGCACGCCGCCTGCTCATTATTTCGCGTTCTCCACTCCGAGCGTAAGCATTTCCCACGGCGCAAAAAACGAACAAACCGCTAATTTTCTTTTTTCTAACCGGAAAAACGCACAGAAAATACAACACACAACCATGTCTCTGCAGTCGGACGCCGTTTTCCAGAAGATCATCGATGGACTGAAGGAGAACGAGGCGAAGGCCAAGTCGGTCAACGGTGTGTTCCTGTACAAAATTACCAAGGACGGCAAAGTGGCCAAGGAGTGGAGTAAGTAATACTCAGCGCTAATTGCGCCCCCGATTGGAAACCCCCGCCCTTTGAAGACACACCCTCCACAGGGCAGGGGCGTATCTAGGGTAACATTTTGGGGGATCCTCTGTTTGTGTGTTGACATTCATGTAATACTTTTTTGTTGATATACGAAACATGTACACATTTTTTTTTGGTGGGGGGCTTAATAAAATACGCACCCCCTCTGAGTTTCGCTCCTGACACCGCGAGTACGTGGTCTTTGCGTATGTGAGGTCTTTACATTTTGTAGTAGCAGCCTGCCTAGCCACAGTTCAAAGTGCAATGTTTTTTTTCCGGTGATTGTACTTTGGCACCAGCTGTTGCCATTAACAGTTCTTCGATCAAGAAGATATGCTACAGCACAGGGCTCTACTTAACATACCTGTTGCGCCAAAATGACTGTTAAAAAAAGCGTTAGCTTTAAAATCACTATGAACACATCTTGATATCGCACTATTTATTGATATTGTTCTTATTTAATATCCTATAAAAAAAAATAAAAACTTTTAAACTATTCCAACTAAATGCCAAGTTTTACAACCTTTAAAGCCTTGTCAACTGATTCAATTCTCCCATTGGTTTTACCCATCGCAAAATAGATTGAAAACTAATTTAATATCTCACATTTTTAGCTCTGGACTGCAAGAACGCCAAGGCCTACGAGGGACCCGCCCAGGGCGTCAAGGTGGACACCACTCTGACGGTCGCCGACGAGGACATGGTTGACATCGCCCTCGGCAAACTGAATCCCCAGGCTGCCTTCATGAAGGGCAAGCTGAAGATCGCCGGCAACATCATGCTCACCCAGAAGTTGGCGCCGCTCCTGAAGACCGACGCCAAGTTGTAAAAAGGATCGACAGTTTGGCCTGCACATTCCTCACCAACAACAGTGTGTGTTCTTTTTTTTTTGTGTGTATAATTTGTAATCTGTATTCGTGTTTTTGTTTCACCACATAATTAATGTTATTTTTGTACGGGAAATCGTCTACAAAACTAGAAAATAATACATAAGGCGAAAGCGACAAAAAAAACTCATGTGCACTTTGAAACTATTGATGGGTTTATCGGTAAGTGGCGGATTAGATTACGAGTGCAATCTAATCAAGGTCTTATAGGCGATTTCTTAACTGGAACCTTTCGAACTTCGACTTCCTTCCAGCACCGAAATAGATTTCTCCACATCTGAGTTGCCAGCTAAACTTTTATCTCCGCTAAATTCTTGCTTAATCTTGTAATACGAAAATACGAAAAGAGGCTAACAGTTCACCTTTTCAACTAAGATAAGCGTTATTTTGGTCTATTTGGGCTTATAGATTGCGATGTCATAGACCTCGAACTTGTAATGAGCGGACATGATTTTTAATATAATATATATCCGTTTAGCAATGCTAGTCTTTGAATTTCAGGGTACAAGTCGGAGTCCGTCCTCCAATAATTTTCCATTAAATATGTGCATGCAATCGAGACACTGATAACGAAACGAAATTACGAGCAGACTCACCTTTGCATTGCCCATTTGCTCTTTCCAAATCTTCATCGAAAGTACGAACTCCATGTGCTTCATTCGCCAGAGTGGTTTAAAGAGGTCCTTGTAGGTGGACATGGTGGGCTCCAGCATGGTGGCCAATGGTCCCTGAACGATGTACTGCAGCGAGATGACGTCCCAGCCGATATCACCGGTGTATGGAGGATGCACCACCACATCGAGGTGGTTTAGTATATCCGGATCATCGAACTGGGCGTTTGTGCAGCGCAGAGCGGCATCCAACATGGAAGAGAGATCGTGGGCATATATATCATCGCCTGTGCGTTCCAGTTCGTGTCTGCAAAAGGGTTTACAATTATAACTTAATATACAATTTAAATTAATAAAAACCCACTTCATATTCTCAATAAGTATGCTGACAAAATCGCCCTGGCCAAGGAGCAAATAGCGACGCATTCCCTGCAGGTGAACCAGCAGCTTGTGGGGACCAACCATGATGTCGAGGACATTTTTGGAGGTCTGCTGGTAGCAGGTTTCCACAGCCGCATGCCACGCAGTATCCGGCACGTACGAAAATATGTGAGAAACTGTCCGAAAAGAGTTTGTTTTTAAGTTTAGTTTATAATTAAAAGCTATATCCACTCACCACTATTGTCCATAATGTTCTTGAGTTCGTTGCGCTCTTTGACCAATTCCTGCATCTCGCAGATTTCCCTTAGAAAGTTGATGCACTTGCCCGTCTTGAGAATCTTATCGGCCAGATCCAAAGGCACAAATTTGGGCAGCATGGCCACACGTAGACGGAATTTATCGTGCCACAGCCGATCGGGACCCACTTCGTTGAGGGCCTCCACAAAGAACTCGCCGTAGATATCGCAAATGCCGCCCTCCAGCATCCACTTGGAAATCATGCGCACCAGCGGGCCACAGATTGCGGTCAGCACTTCTTCCACCAATTCATTGACCATAGAATGGCCGTTGTCGAGCATATCGTAAACGGTCGATGCCAGTTCGCCGCCCTTCTTCATCTGACAGGCGTCGGCAATCCTGGTGAGCCATTGCAGTCGATGCAAGGGCTTCATGTACCAGGCAAGCAGCTTGAATAGTGTTAGCTCGCCAGCGTCATCATCATCCTTCTCCTCGCCAGACTTTTCCGGTTTCTTCTCCTGCTTGACCTTTCGAGAGCGACTCAGTACGTCGTGTAGCTGAGACACCTGCCCATTAAAGGCTGTCAACTCCTCCTTGAGCTTCGAGATGAGTGCCTGACCCATGCAGCCCATGGCATTAAAGCCGGTGGATACGTCTGCAAACTTCGCTACGCGATCGTGATAGTAACCCAGCTCCGATAAACGCAGCAACATGCCAGCCTGTCCGGTTGTCAGCACCTTAATATTCAATGGATCCAGTTTAAAACGCCCGGTGACCACGTCCTTTTTCAAGTATTTTCCTTGCACGCCGGTAAAGGAGTAAATGGCATTTGAAACTATGTCCTGACGCAACTCGAAGTTCTTGTTTTCTGCTTGGAGGTCCTTTATGTAATTGGGCAGAGGCTTCTGGTCCAAGCCCAGGTTAGTTTGCGAGGAATTATAGCTGTAGACGGATTGTGTCTTGCCTACGCCATTTCCATTAAAGCTGGTTGTGGATATTTTGGAAGTGCCGCTCGAAGAACTGTGAATCTGTGTGTCGGACGATCCGCCATTGCTCAAAACCAAGTTGAGATTATCCGATCTCTCGGTGGCCGTATAGCCGTTTCCTCTCGGTGGTCTGTTGACCATCGCCAGGAAGTATCCCACCAGCGAATGCCGCATATTGGGTTCGATCTTTTGCTGCAGAAGCCTCCTATAGAGTGCATAGAATTGCGTTCCCGACTCCACACTTCCCCGTTCATCGCGGGCATTAAGGAGCGATGTTATCTTCTGGACACATTCGCGTTCGCTGAGAGGTGTCGAACTACTGGCACTGGAGACTATACAGTGAGCAGCACGGGCAACGTTGCGTTCTGTGGAAAGAGGATATATATTAAACTCCGGGCATTTTTGAATTACTTTTCAATGTTGCTCTTCTCATCTTGCTTCTACTATAATATTGTATTCATTAAATAAGCATTTGGTCCTAGATATTTTTAATTATTCATTTCATTAAACATTTTAAATACTATAAAATATATGTTTTAAAGGAGGGATTTCCCTTAACAAGTCGAACCTGAGACAACCTAAAGATTGTCAAAAAGTGCCTTTAAAATCCGAATATATCCCCAAAATCTCACCGTGAGTTTCGGGCGGCTGTTTCCCCTGAACGCAGATGCAGATTTCCGAAAGAAGTTCCAAAAGCCTGCTGTTCGTAAAGACATCATTGGACAGCTTTTCTTGCGACATCCTGTTGGACACAAACTCGAGTTAAACACTTATATTTCCTTAAATTCCAAAAATACAAAGGGGCGCGCAAAAATTTACCTCGTCAAACAAGCAATTTCGATGGCGTAAAAATGCCAAAAGCAGAACAACTGTTGGCCAAATATCCACGCACAGATGATTTCCGAAAGTTACCCGGCATAAAAGCACCTGCAATGGCTGCCAGTGTCCAAAATGTTCGCTATAAAAGTCTAAAAAGCGTCCAATTGGCGCGTACTTTGTGCAAAATTTAATAAATTATGAAAATAGCAACAACAAAACGAAAAATGCAGTGTTACCGTATACGGCAAACTGGTCAATGCCAAAGCTAGTGATTTATCCGTGAGTGCATCCACTTGAAAAAATGTACTTATCTGGCAACCATACGTACATCTAAATTCAGATTTAAAATATTTTTTTTAATTATTATTTAAAGTTAAGGTAAATTTATGATTAAATCACTTTCATAATTTAATTATAGTTATTTTCTTGTAAAAAGTATGGCAACTTTGTTCTCATTTTCTTAGGTAATGGTCACACTCACTGAAAAATTGCTAGTCGCTTGTAAACAACAAAATTCTAAGTATTCGCTAATTAGTAAAAATTATGGGTGTAACTGTGCTGCAACCGTATCCTCTGCCAGAAGGAAAATCGGGTGCGCACATTATCGATCTGCTGGGAAAACGGTTACTTTCGCTTGGCGCCACACATGCCGGTCAATTTCTCGTCGACTGCGAAACATTTATCTCAACGCCGCAACAACACAATGGAGCGCCAGGACGAGCCGTACATGTCCTGCACAATTCGGAATATCCCGCCTCGACGTTCTCGATCATCGACAACGGAACCGGCAAACAGGTGGCCCTCGTCGCCGACAACATATTCGATCTACTTATGCTCAAGATGACCAACACCTTCACCTCCAAGAAACAGACGAAAATCGAGTCCAGAGGCGCCCGTTTTGAATACGGTGATTTCGTTATCAAACTGGGATCGGTTACCATGATGGAGCACTTTAAGGTAGCACCTAGTTCGGAGTTCAACAGTTTGTTTTCCTCATTCGCAACTTTACTTTTAGGGCATCCTGATTGAAATCGAGTACAAGTCGTGTGTGATTCTGGCCTACTGCTGGGAGATGATCCGGGAAGTGTTGCAGGGATTCCTGGGCATTGGAGTTGGTAAGGACTTCCCTTCCTACTTTGCACCGCAGACGATAATGACGGCTATGGGGCAGCAGCAGCTGCATGCGAAGCACAACGACATCTACGAGCCGATGGACACGGTGAAACAGTACCTAGAGCAGTTCACCAACTACCGGAAACACGTGGCCCTGCTCGGCGGCATGGGGAGTGGTCCCGGTGGGCCACAGGTGGGTCCGCCCGTTCATATGTCGCCCTCGGTGGTGGGGATGGGTCGACCCTGATCCGCTGATGTTAAACTGGAGCCGCCGGATGTCCCAGTAGCAGATTAAACTGAATATTACCAAGGAAACCCATTATCTCGGATTAAGTAACATAGGTAATTTTATGCAATTGCATTGGCAAAAATATTTCCCTTTTTTCTTACAAAATTTAAGTTGTTAATCCATGAATATTATTAAGAAAATGCATATATTTTAATATACGGTTTATAAGATTGAAAGCCTGGGCATTATGGCCCATTTTTTAGGGACCCTCTGGCGTCGCGACTTTTGTTTTATTATGTGAAAAATAAGTCTGGGGATATATTGTGTATCTAGAAAATTATTCGATTGTGTAAAACTTAGCATTAATGTAAATATTGTGTGACATTTTATTATTCAATAAATGTTAATAAAAAACAAGATATTTAAGGGAAACTGCTTCAGCTTACTTTACTTTAATTTTTTTTAACTTATTTAAAACCGCACATTAAGTGAAAAACCTCTCACTGATATACATCGTCAAATTAAATTAATTAAAAAACAACCATATTTATTTTTAATTAAATTTTTATGTATATTTCTGCTTTTAACACAATAGTTTATATATATATATGTAGATATATATATTTTATATATATAGATGTGTGGGTGTATGTGTAAGAATAAGTCGAATTTTGTTTCTTCATGAAATGTAAACAATTAAAAATATATGTGTGGCGAAAACAAAAGTCTTTTTCTTATCTTATAAAATGCAAAGTTTATTCAATCAAAAAAAAGAGCAGGCGAGAAAAATGTGTATCGTAGGGTAAGATGTATGGAGTAAGTAGTATGTATAGTTAATCTTAATTATGTTAGTCTTCTAACACACAAAGTTACAAAAAAATTAAGGAAGTTAATCATGAACATGCGCTTAGGGAATAATCAAAATGATTTGCTGAATTTCAAAACAATGGAATTTGTGTGTTGTTTTGGCTGTATAACAGTGGCTGGTTAAACATAAATTTCATTACAGCTTTCTAGCCGATTTTTGACGAGGGGTGTACGAGTGTGTATAACAGTTTCGTATAAGTAATATGCTTTGCGTTCAAGTGGCATAATGACAGCGTGCTAAGTACGCTGCTGTTCTTTTCCATCTTTCATCGTCTATATGCAATCCGATCCGAAAGAAAACCGACAACAAATGCTGCTGGATAATCTTTGCTCCTGCTCCAAAGTATTCTCATTTCTCCATTTCTCTGGCTGGATTCTCTGTTTGTGATCTCTTTACTCTTCTTGTTTTTACAAATCTTTAAAATACACTTCCGCGTTTCTTTTGTAGTTACATGTAGGTAAGATATACGTTGTAGGTGTTGATGTAGGTTTTATAATTATGGATATAGTTTAAACGGAGATCAAATTCCGATTGATTGTTTGTTGGTTTTTTTTTGTTTTGTGTGTGTGACCGTTTCTGGGTTTGAGGGTAGGTTCTTTTTATCAAGATTTGCGACAAATTCTCCATTTTGTCTTTTCTTATCATTTTTTGTTTGTTTGTTTAGTTTAATATATTCTTTGCATTACCAGGGATTTGCTCCTTTTTGAAATTTGGTGTATATATATATTTTTTTTTTTTTGTTTTTCTGTTGCTGCTTTCAGTTGTCCTTGGGGTGGAGTTGTCATATAAGCAAATGTAGCATATAGGGTCCCCGTAGTCCCGATTTAATCGCGTATGGGCAAGGTAGCCGGCTTAACGTGACCGCCATCGCCCTCAGAGACAAAACGCTTGCGTCCGCTGCAAATATATAATTTAGTAAACTGATTAGAAATGGGTTAATCAATATTACGAGGGAGGGAAGTAGAAATAATAGCCCCAATTACTGACATTTACATATCATTCGATTTTATGTTGCCAACAAATTTAATAAAACTCATTAGCTAACTTCCCTCAGAAAAAAAACTTGGGTATTTTAGGATTCTCAAAATCATCTTCTATCGTTTAAATCTGTTGATTAAAGTGCATACATATGAGTGTGAACCTAAAAATACGTTTCTGAAATCACACGAGATAACAGTAAGCAAGTAACAAAGGAATAAAATACATAAATGTATTTTAAATGCAGCTGCATAATATTTATCTCTCTTTCCTGCATTGTTGTACGCACTTAGCAATTATACAATTATGCAATTCAATGCAATGCAATGCTGCAAAAACAAAGAACAAGGAAACAAAGAGGAAAAAACAAAAAACAAGTTGCAAAATGCTTGGCGCAAATTTGGCAACAACAATGACAAGAACAACAACGAATTTGCACAAAAGTTCATTCAACCGTTGACCCTTTTTCTCGCTCTCTCTCTCTCTTTGGGGGCCTCTCTTGGTCTCATTGCTCCCCACTCTCTCACTTTTTGCAACAGCTGTGCAAAAGTTGCGGGTGAACTAAGCAGAGGGGAAAGGGGGGTGCATTAAAACTAGTTTAGAGCGCGACCAATCAAAGGATTCCATAGCGTAGAAGAACAAAAATAACGCCAAGCTGGAGCCATAATTGTTGCTTCTATAAATATGTGACCAAGTGGGGGACTAAATGCACACATAAATATGTACATATATAAAAAGAGTCAAATAAAATTGCGGCAAGATAAGCGTGCGGCCACAAACACAAGTAAATACACGAATTAAAAAGCAAAAAAAAAAAAAAAAAAACACAAAAACAGCGAAGCCCCCCAGCAAAGCTAGATTAACGGCGGTGTTGGCAGGTTAGCTAGTTTACAGTTAAGGGGGTTGAGGGCTAGAGTAAAATAAGATTTTAAAATAAGAAGAAATTCTTTTTCAGATCATAAAAATAATTGCAGTAAACCGAGCTTTGTTCTCACAAATATTTCTTTAAATTCAATTACCAACAAGCTTAGCCGTCTTTTTATTTTTTTTGCCAACACTTGGCCTCATCAACCGTTAGGTCTGAGTGTCTTGGCATTGAGCTCAGATTTTTTTTTTTTTAAGCTTTTTGCAGTTGCAGTTGCGTTGGCGTTGACGTTGGCAGAGACGCTGGCGTTATACATATAGTTTGTATGTTGTTGTTCCTGCTGTGTTTGTGCAAAGTGAATGGTGTTGTTGCTGTTCTTGTTTTTGTGGCTGCTGCAGCCGCTACTAAAGTTGTTGCTGTTCTTGTTTTTGTTGCTTTTGTGGCTGTCGCTTTGTGTTGTTACTGCGCTAAAAGTGGCAGAGTGCAATAGCCGCAGTCAAGGCGAATGCAAATGCAAATGCAGTTATAGTAGCAGAAAAAAGCAACAACAACAACGATAGCAAGTAAAGTGGGAGTGGCAAGCAGGTCGATAACAGCGACTTGGCCGCCATATTTACCTTCGCACAAACACTAGCACACACTAAAATCACACACTCGCATAAACAAACAAAACCCCAAGACGCTCTTGAGCCACATGCAGGTTGTTGCACCAGCAAACAATTATAAAAAAAAAAGATTCACTACAATTCAACAATGCAAAGTTTGCCGCGATAAAAAACCAATCGATAAGAGACTTCCGCCAACACACCGCCCCCCTTCACACGTAGGGATAAATGCTACTCCTTTTGCAAAAACATCACATAAAATTGAACCAAAAATTAATACCGATGTGGTTATACCCTAAAAAACAAGATCTCATCTTTAGCGACTAAAAAGTATATAAAACTTGACCAATTCATTTAACTACCAACTAAACAAAAAAATACAAAAGTTTACTAAAACCAGTTTAAGAAGTTTAAGCCAAGACATTTTGATGGAAAGTTTTTTGGGATAAATCTTGTCTTATTCTTTAATTGATGGAGACATCAGAAACTCCTGGTTATATAATACGTTGGTTTTAAAACAAATGTCCGAAAGCCAATCACCACCATTATTAATCCCCATCAAATGAAAAAAAGTTTGCCCCCATCAAAGAAACGGAAAGTAAGTAAATAAAGAAGCAGATGGCAAAGAAGGAGAGACAAGAACTCGGTATAAAAATAAATATAACTAGCCGGCACCTGATAAACCGGCACAACAATAAAAACAACAACTGAATCGACAAGAAAAACAACATAAACAATAAAAAGAGAACCCCAACCAACAATCGGCGACTGCCTCAACGGATGACGCGTCGTACGTCAAGTTAATTCCAAAATGCGAAACTAAACTGCGCAATAGAAATTTCATAAACAAACATATGTATGTATATGTATATATATATATGTAGGTATACACTCGCACAGACAAACACTCCGGCGGCCACAAACAAAACACGTCTATATGTACTACCCCCGTCTATATAAGAAACTGAGCCAAAAGCGTAAAAAGAAGAAAACAAAAAAATGGGAGAATAATAAACAAGTCGAAGCCGGCAAAAACAAAAAACAAACACGTACAATAATACATATCTGAACACAGCGGTGGTAAAAATTATAGTCATTAAATTTAAAAATAAAAATAATTTGCTTGACTCACTCATTAGGGCTAAAGAGCCCCGATTATTATTTTTAGAAAATCGTTACAGCATTGAGTTGGGATTTCGAGGTAATCATTTTCGAGACATTCGATATTTATTATACTAAAATCTATAAATACTCCGCCTATATAAGCAGTTTTGCTGTTGTTTTATTATCTTTATAAAATATGTATACTGTTAAATAAATTTGTGTTATAATTTAGACATATTATTTTACCCACAACTGTTTGCACTTATAGGCGCAAATTAAAACCAACGAACGGCCTCCATAAATCTTGGCTATACCCTTCGCCAAAAATAGAATAATCAAATAAATCATATCATAATCGACATTTAGTTAATTGTGTTATCAAATTAAACACCGAATTGTTATCAACAATGAACCTTTTCCTTTTTATAGCTGGCGATCGGATCGATAGGCCCTCTTCCATACATAGAGTGTATAATTTGTAAACAACAATGTATAAACCTTTTTTATGGGGGGCAGCACTCAGGGGGCGTGTTGTCTTTATGGCTGCTAAGATTACGTAAACACGTCTCGCTCTCTTTGCTAACTGAGTTTGTTTTCTTGCAACAAGCTACATACACACGAATATTTTCATAAACAGGTGGGCTGATTGTTTGAATTGCAGTAAGGCAACCCATCAAATTAGAGTTCTTAAAGTAATAAACATTATTGCTGTTTGAAAACCCCATAATAACATGGTTTAAATTCTGATTTTCTTTTGTTTATACATACATACATATATGTAGTTTGAAAACTTACCGCGATGGCACGTTGTTTATAATTTTGTCGGTAAGGAATCCGGCGCGATTGCAGCGTTCGACAAAGCGATCGAGTATTATATAAGCCAGGGGCACATCCAGAACTATATCCGCCATGTCATCGAAGACGCGCATAAAACCCTGAAAATATCACGAAGTTAGGGGTTTAATGGAATTCTAATAAATAAATTCAATACCTTACAAGGTTCATTTAAATGGAAATTGTATAAAATTGTGGCAATATAAATTTAATGGATTTAAATTACAAAGCAAGTAAGCGAAAGGATTTAATGATAGAATAGTTGAAAAGTAGGATAAATATTTGAAGTATTTTGAAAAAGCTTTTAATCCTTTATCCTTTATATAAAGATTCAATTTTTTTTTAAAGTGAAAATATCGAAAACTATTGAAACTTGAAGTTCCAAGCAATTCCCTGTTGTCAATGTGGAACTAATAAAATAATATAGTTTCATTAGATGCATACCTGCTCCATGCCCGCGGGCAGCACCAGGCAGGTGAGATCTAGCTGCTTGAGCAGCTCGCACATGGCCTCCTCGGTGGTCTGGCTGAGTGACTCCAGGGTCATCACGATCGCCTCGTAGACGAGCTCGTGATGGTAGTGCGGCACCTCGAGGGAGCGCAGACAGCGCTGGGCCTCGGCGACGTCGCGTGAGGATATGTACTCCTTGAGCAGCAGCTCCATCTGCTTGGTGATCGTCTTCACCGGACGCAGCGGGCCGCCCATGCCCCAGACATTGTCCAAATGGGCCCACACCTGCTTGTGGAGCAGCGAATCGGCGCGACGCAAGGCCTGCTCGGCATGCTCGCCGAGCTCCAGATGACGCAGCTCCTCCTCCGACTTGGCCACAAACTTGGGCGGAATGCAGTCGTCGGCCACGGCGCGGGCCATAAAGTTGCCCAGCATAATGGGCGCCTCTGGAGTGTCCAGGATGAGATCCGGCAGATTGGCCAGCAGCATATTGAAGCCCTTCTCGATGTCCTTGCCGGTTATCACTCTACCGTACAGATCGGAGATCAACACCGAGGTCATCTCGCGCTGCGAGTCCTTGTGATCCATGGCGATCTCCACAAGGATGCTGGTAATGTGCTCGCGCAACGGACCCTGCAGTATCTCATCGAAGCTGAGGGCCACCTCGTGCGGATCCCCGTGCTCGTAGTACTCCAAAACGATCGGTTCGGCCAGCTTGAAGAACTCCTCGGGTGTTATCTCTGCAATCACCTCACGCAACTCGACATTGCGATCGTTGCACTCGCTATCGTAGTTCGGATCGTTCTCGTCCTCGTAGACCTCGGCCAGAGCCTCGGAACCGGGCAATCCCCAGACGCCCTTGCCACCGGCACCACCCTTCTTGGGCAGTCCACGGCCACGATTGAGGTTCCGCGAACGACGGCTGTTCTTCCAGCGGCGATGGGGCACCACATAGCCACCCGGTGAGGGTAGAATGCCATTGATGGCTAGCGGCGCTCCACCAGCTCCGCCGGACGACACACCATTTCCGTTGGTTTGATTCGGACTGCCACCGGATCCGCTATTCTGTCTTTGGATGAGCCGCTTGGCCTTGCGCTTAATCCTGCCATCCTCCACGGGCAGCGGCTTCTTGATATGCCCGTTCGAGTGGGCTCCCGATCCACTCCCGTTGAGCTCCACCGCCTGAATCTCACCGTTCAGCTCCCGCTCAACGGAACTCTCCTTGGAATCGGATTCAGCCGGTGGGGAGTGACGACCACCGTTGGTGGCCCGTTTGTTATTCGATTCCACTTCCATATCGCCTATTTCTCACTCTCAACTACAGTATATTATCCCTCGTTTTCCCCTTGGAATGCACAGCAAGGATTTTGTGGCGGTTTGGGTATTTGTACTCTGGCACCAGGTGCGTCCTTTATGTTTCTATAAATAGAGTGCAACAAGTGGAGGGAAACCGTTTTCTAATTAACATAAAGTTGATGTTTAAGATACAAAAAAAAACACTTTAATATTTCGATTTAAACAAAGCTGGGAAAACTAGATAATAGTGAACAAAAAATGGTTAAACAAAGCTCTAATTGCACCTCCACTTATGATAAAAAATTCTCTTAGTAAAAACAATTAAAGTTTTAGATAGTATCGAATTCCTTTATTCTCGTTAAAAAATACCTCAAAACTGTTTATGTTTATAACCAGATGACTTTTGTATCTGTTTATTCCAATCTAGGGAATTGTGTTCGGTGCAATGCTTAAACTTAACTCTAAGGAAAGTAAAAGGAACATGAGACAAAATAGGGTTAAGCATTTTTCTGGGGATTCACTGCCAATTGTTTAATACGGCTTAATTTACATGTCTCGCCGCCTTAAGGCTGGAATGCTTTGGAAGGTCTTATTTGTTATTGTGCGTTGTGTTTGTGGAACTCATGGCACTAAAACAAATACACATGATTGTCTGGCACGTAGTCGCCACCTCCTCTTACCTTAAAACCCCCTTCGTTCCTAGTTAACGTTTTTTTTTTGTTTGTTATTTAAATTCTTTTGTTTCTGGCGTGTTATAAGCTAAAAATACAAAAGCTACTTGGACTGCACGTAATTTACATCGTTGTTTTATGCTCACTTAACTCACTCGATGCTATTGCCAAGTAATACAATATCTTACAACACCACAAATTTAAAAACGTGGTGTTTTCAATTGAAATAGTGATACAAAATTTAAGAAAACCGTCTAAGTGACGGTTTTTAAGTAATGAAAATCCTACATTTTAGGTAGATCGTAAAGTTTTTAAGATCTTGTTTACGACCCACTATTTTATCCTGTAATGAGATAAATACTGTATTTTCACATCTTTAGCGCCATAATTTTGACCACATCTGTATATAACGGTACTGCGTCTTGGAAATTGCAAATGTTTGTCAATGGGCGTCGGTGTGACAGAGATAGCAATACCGACATGTATCGAAACTCCCCTATAGTCAAAATTCAAGGTCACGCAACAACAACAACAATGGAAAAGGGACGACATAATTCATTTACCGTTAAAGCTTTCCAACCCTCACAAACATTAGAGCCATCTCTTTCGCACTAACTCTGAATTGGAAGTTGCTTTCATTGGCGTATGTGCTTGGTTGTTTTGTTTTGCATAAATGCCTATTTGTTAATTCCCCAGCTGCTCTTGTTTTCGTCCTGTTTAGAAATACAACTGTTGTAATATTACTAAATAACAATTCTTAAAAAATTTGGTCAAAGTATTGACATATATGCAATTATGTATCTGTAATTCAAAATAAAATTTTAAAGGGTTCTTATTTTTTAGGTCCAAATTTTCGGTTGTAAAGTATTTGATTTCTAGTTCTTTCTATTCTCTTTCCACACATGTAAGGTCTAATAAGAATTAAAACAAAGATAACGTCCAAAAAAAAGCCGCATGGCTGCGTTGTTTTTGTGTCATTTTGTTGCGTCTGTTTTTTCGTGAATGTCTGTGCTTTATATTGCGTCTCTGTTGCTTTCTCCTACTCTTCCCTTCTTTGGCCGCTGGTTCTTATGTATTCCCCCCACTGCAAATATATTTGTACATATGTATGTATGCTGTAACCGGTTTTATGTTTGTTTTGCCCGGTTTAACCTTGAAAATTTAGTGCGCCTTACGAATTTCTATGTTTTTATTGCCGTCTCCCTCCTCTCTCTCTCTGTCCATCTCTTCTTCTTCTTTCGCACTTGTTGTGCCCGCTTTTTCTGATAACAACAAAAACAACAAAACAAACAATTTTCGGCTGCTATCCCATCTCTTTTACTCCTTCGCTTATGTTGATGCGTGTCTGAAATTATTTTTTTTAACCCCCGAGAAATCAGGCAAAGGTGGAGACGTGGGGAAAAGGAGAGACAGAGAGAAAGAAAAGGGGAGGGGAAAAGCATAAAAGTGACGCTGTCGAAATTGCGTCGCAAAAATTTCGCAAAAAAGCCAGCAGGGCCCAAAAAAATAACAGAACCAGAATCGGCTACAACATTGTATGAGGCTTTTTAGATTTTTTTTTTTTTACAAAGATTGTAAAAATATAAGTCACACCAAATAATTTTACCAGCATTCGCAAGTTAAATGATACCTTTTCTATAAATATTATAAAACCATCTGCGGTCTTCGGTACCGGCATTTTTTCACAAAGATACATATGAGTTTGTTTATTTCTATAAAGGTTTACTGCAAAGTTGGAATTTTCTTACAACAACTTCTAAAATTGTTTGAATTATTAAGTCAATAGAGCCTTGCTGCCGGTAACAAAACCCTATAAACAAACAAGTTTTTCAAACGACTAATGATTATTTAAATTGCAATAAATATTTTTCCTTAGGCAATGGAAAATTACTGCCTTTGCCGTAAGCTGAAGCTTTGAAAGAAAAAAAAAACTAAATTTTTATCCACCACTGTAATTTACATACATATGTATGTACATAAATACAAAAACATTTCTTTCCGTTTGACAAATATGGACAAATAAGCCTCGAGACGAAAGCATCGAATGACATGGAAACTTAGGAAGGGGCGCCGAATGCAAATAAACCTCGAGCAGCGAAAATAAAAATAAGAAACAAGTTGAGCAGGCAGAAAAACAAAACAAATTCCCCCCACCCCCCTGCAGCTGTTTTTTTTTGGCTTTCCTCTTGTTGTTGTTTTTTTTGGGTGCGTGCGTGCGTGCCGGTTTAATTTATCACGTAGACCAAAATCACCCGTTTTTCCAATTCGCTAATCAAACACTGTTATTAATATATTTAAATTTAACACTTTCTAATATGAACTTAGCTTTTGACATTATTTTCTGTCCACGACTGTATATTTGTTTTGCATTTTTTGCTTTTATATTCTCATTCGCCGGCATTTTTTTTCGTATTTACTTTTAATCGGTATTCGTCAAGATCGATGTTGTTGTTGTGTTTCTTCCTTTTCGCCACTTACCTAAGTGCTTTTTCTGTCCCTCCTGCTGTCTCGCTCGCTCTCCCTTCTCTCGCTCTGATGCTGCAACAAGAACAACAACAAACGACGCGACTGCAACAACGTTGGCCCACTGCAGTCGACGTCGACGCTGACTGCGCTGCTTCTATGCGCTGGGAGCCTGTTTAATTGTTGTTGCTAGTGTTTTTTGTGGGCTCCTTTCTCGCTTGCTTCTTATTGGCGTGGGGGCAAATGGCAAAAATGCACTCAAATTTCTTTTGGCTCACAGAAAAAAATACACATGTGTGTGTTAACAAGGAGGCTCCTTCACACACACTAGCACATCCACAACCACTCAGTTGTGTGCGTGGGGGAGCTGTTGCTGCAACCGTGATTTTTTTGTATTATCCTGCTGCACCTTCGCCTTTGCTAAGGATGTTGTTTTCCGCTGTTTAAACTTTGTTGGAGCGAAGGATTGGAGAACAGAATGTATCAAAGTGTAACTTCGACTGAGCGACTGACAGAGGTGGAGACCGATGGAAAACTCGATGCTTCGGTGTTTTCAAAATTGGAAACATCGATGTTTGACTATCGGTGATTTTGCACCCCTAAAAGCGTTTTCCATAGAACAAAACCATGGTTGGTGCCTCTGGTTACTCTGTTTCTGTAAAAGCGGCAGCAATGCCAAATGAAAATTGGGTATCCCCCAGTTTTTTCCAATTTAATATCTTTTGTTTATTGTCTAAAAAAGAACAGGTTAATAGCTTTTAGGAAGTTTTCCAAATTGAAGTTTTTTATATTATTATTAAAGCTTACAAATAAATTGTTTTTTACTTCAATTTTGTTCAGGCACTGCTCCACAATAGGGTGGCAACGACCCGAAGATCCGTTTCTTTTTTTGGAAATTGCGGTTAAATGTATTAACACTTTCTGATTTACCGTTTGGCGCAAGTGTACTTTGAAATTATACTTATAGTTCATGTATATGAAAGCAATGGATGATTCTAATTTGAACTGTTTCTCCGAATTTCTGGATTTAAAAAAGAACAAGAAAAAATGTTGCTGACTAAAGCTAAAAAAAAAAGCACCTACATATGGCAAATCGGCGCCGCTTCTTTGTGTGGTGTCAAATTACTTATAAAATAAGAACCTAAACAATGGCTTCATCTGAGGGGTTAAATGTAAGAACTGTTGAATATAAGATCTAGAATCGCTGGCTTTCCAGGAAACGACGCCGCTCGCGTTCGCGGAATTGGCGGCGGGCTGCGGGCGGAGCTCCCTGCGGATTACGGATTACCAATTCAGTTTCGCAATACTTCTTGGGATCATATGTGGGCGCTGGCGGTTCGGCATCCCAGTCCTCCGAGCATGCAATATTAAACTCACAGGGACGCGGCTCTGCAGGCGGCATTGAGTCCGGCAGCTTGTAGCGCTCTAAGGCCGCACGGTCGGGGCAGTCAATAACATGTAACTGCAAGTCGGTATTAATTCAGATGCTAGTTTATTTAATTGAAAAACTCACCTGCATATTGGTAACGGAGTGCAAATGGGTTGTGTTGAATGGACAGCGCACCATCTTGGAGGAAGGAAAATTCTTGGCGCAGCGCGTTAAATGATACGCCAAGCGGGTGGGCATTATGCGATGGACTTTATCGTACGGGCAAACGACGTACTCCTCGAAATTCGGACCGCCACAGTACTTTTCAGACATTTTCAAAACTTTTTGTTCGAAAATAAAATTGATGTGTGTATGTTCCCTCTCTAAATGGGCGCACTTAAAAAATGAGATTGCGGTCTGAAAAACAAAGCGTTGCCAGACGGCGTGTGTATATATCGATAGGCGATACCCCGCCGATTGATGTTGTTTATCTCCTTTCAACGCACGTGCACTGTAGTTTTTGAGAAATATCTTAAATAATTTGAGCAGTTAGCTAATCCAAGATGCCGCCCATTGCCCAGGAGGGCAATTGCCTGATTTACCGCGGCAGCAACTTTCTCAAGCAGCGGCTAATCCTCGCCTGCCTTTCTGGCAAACCGGTAAAGATCACCCAAATCCGCTCGGAGGACGAGACAGCGCCCGGTTTGCGGGAATACGAGATAAGTCTGATACGCCTGCTGGACAAGATCACGAATGGAACAAAGATCGAGCTGAATCCCGCCGGCACAAGTGTCATGTTCTCGCCGGGATTACTGCACGGCGGTCAGGTTCAACACGACTGCTGTGTTCAGCGTGGAATTGGCTACTACTTGGACGCCCTGATTGCCTTGGGTCCGTTCTGTAAGAATCCCCTACAGTGCAGCCTGCGCGGCGTGACCAACAGCAAGGACTCGCCGTCAGTGGATCACATCAAGGGTGCTGCGCTATCGCTGCTCAAGCGTTTCCTCCTCGTCGACGAGGGCCTCGAACTGAAGGTGATTCGCCGTGGAGCCGCTCCTCTGGGTGGCGGGGAGATCTCCTTCCGCTGCCCGGTGAGAAAGAGCTTGCGAGCCATCCAGTTCCAGTCGCAGGGGATGGTAAAACGCATTCGTGGCACCGTTTATGCCTGCAAAGTGTCGCCCGCATTGGCCAATCGAACTGTGGAGGCGGCCAAGGGTTGTATGCTTAAATTCCTGCCCGATGTCTATATCTACACCGATCAGAACAAGGGCAAGCTGTCTGGTAATTCACCCGGCTTCGGCATCTGTCTGATTGCGGAAACCACGGACGGCGTTTGCTTCGCCGCCGATTGTTGTTCCAACACAAGGGAGGAGTCAGTAAGTTGGCGCAAATCCACAGTACAATTTTGATCGTTTTGTTAACTAAACTCCCGCTTTTCAATAGGACACCCCTTCCATACCCGAGGATCTGGGCCAGGAGGTCGCCATGCGTTTACTGGACGAGATTTACCGCGGTGGCTGCGTGGACTCCAGTTACCAATGGCTGGCTGCACTTTACATAGCATTGGGACAAAAGCATGTCTCCAAATTCCTCACAGGTACTTACAAAAGATTACTTCACTTCTAAAGGTCATGCATTAATTGTTCAACTTGGTTTAGGTGCCCTGTCGACCTACACGGTTCACTTTCTGCAACACCTGCGCGACTTTTTCTCGATTACCTTCAAGCTGGAGAATCCCGAAGCGGAGGACGAGGACGAGGCGGAGGATGTGCGGGGAGCCCAGAAGGTCCTTATGGCCTGTGTCGGGATTGGCTACACAAATATTAACAAGCGTGTTACATAAACTGTTTTCTAGACTTAAATTTGTAAGAATAAACTTGTATTTTTTTTATGACAATTTGAACTCAAACCCGATTTTTATCAAGTTGGCGATGAACTTCCTGTGTTGGAAATAGCTTTCTATCCTCAGTAAAACTTAGTTTAATTTTAAACGCTGATCTGTTTAGGTTTGCAGTTAATGGATCTATAAAGTAAAGCGAGCTCTGGCCGAAAGTGCGAGGCTATTTGTGTAGCGATGAACTTCCAGCCAGGGAACTGCAAAGCTAAACATTTTCGGTGTTAAGGAGTTAAAACTTTCCCAGGAATTCAGTATCACATTTAAGAGTAAGTCTGTGTGGTAATGGTAAGTTTCATTTTCAGAATGACGAGTACGCAAAAATTTTCCGGTAAAATAATTTTCCATTGTTGGTAATTTTTTTTGCTTTACTTAATAAACCATAATATTTACCATAAGTGGGTAAACAATAAATTTGTATTTTTTATGTTATATAACTTTGTGCAACTTAAGCCAAATTATTTTTTGTTGAGTTCGGCATAAAATTGTATTTACCTTTTCAACAATGTATTTATATTTTGATAAAGTCCAATAATAACAAATCCAATTTTGGCTTTAAACGTTGTGCTGCCAACAAAGGTAGATGCGTTTAAATTGCATGATTTTAATATATATTCTATTTAGCGGGTCATTGATTTGCATTTGGCCGGGTTCCAATCGCTAAAGGTCAATGCCGGGTCACATTTGCGGATGAGTCTCCGATTTGACGCAGGTGTTGCAAGTTTGTTGCCAGGTCAAGCCTAATCAAGAAATCTATATAAGTTTATTAATCAGCCGGGATTACAAAATATGTGCAGAGAAAATATTTTTTAAGTGGACCTAAAGAATTTTAATTCTAATAAATGTGGGATTTTTGCCTAGATAATTGGCATACCTATTGCAGTTAATGAATTTGTGCTTTTTTTGTGGTTATTATCGTGAGCCCACCGCGATCATTTATGAATGGGCTATATTTTTTTTCATCTGCAATTTTTCGCCAAGTGTGAAGAGGTTCAAAAACCTTTTTGTGATAGTAGAAGCCATGCGAAAAAAATCGATTTTTGTAATTTTCCCTTGAGTTGCAGTTTAAATCCGGCGACTGATCAGCAGAACGAAAAACTAGAAGCCAGACAGCCGACTTCCTGTGGTCAGCAGAAAATAGTTCGCACAGCCATCGGAATCGGAGCTATATAAGCCACAAGTCTGGCCGGGAATAGCCATCAATCGTCGTTCAACGTTTGGCCAGATCTGATCCAAATCCGGTATCCCGAAATGATGAGTTTGCGCCTGTGCCTGCTGGCCACCTGCCTTGTGGTGGCTGCCCAAGCCTCCAAGGATGCCTCGAACATGCAGCTGAAGCCCACCAAGTGGCTGACCGCCTCCGATCTGGAGAACGTGCCCTCCCTCAACGACATCACCTGGGAGCGTCTGGAGAACCAGCCCCTGCAGCAGGGCGCCAAGTTGATCGAGAAGATCTGTAAGTAGTTTTCACAGATCTCTAATGAAGTTAGAAATGCTAAAAGATAGTTAAAGATTTGAAGTCATCAGAAATAGGTGTTAAATAGAATGGTAGGGATTAAACACCACTTGTTTAATACAAATTGTCTGAACTTTTATTGAAAAATAGAAAACACGTCCTTAAAAAATATATTTTTAATTACATTGTAACATTACCTATACGATTTTTAATAACTTAAGATGTTTTGAAAGCCTTTCCTGATTTAACTCTTATTATCTTCCTTTTTCTCACAGACCACGTTGGCCAAATCAAGCACGATCTGACCCCCAGCTTTGTGCCCAGCCCCAGCAACGTGCCCGTGTGGATCGTCAAGTCCAACGGCCAGAAGGTGGAGGCCAAGCTGAACAACTACGTGGACACGGCCAAGGCCCAGCCCGGTTTCGGCGAGGACGAGGTCACCATCGTGCTGACCGGCCTGCCCCACAACAGTCCCGCCCAGAAGAAGGCCCTGCGCCAGCTGATCCAGGCCTACGTCCAGAAGTACAACCTCCAGCAGCTGCAGAAGAACGCCCAGGAGCAGCAGCAGCAGCTGAAGAGCAGCGACTACGACTACACCAGCAGCGAGGAGGCCGCCGACCAGTGGAAGTCGGCCAAGTCCGCCAGCGGCGATTTGATCGTGAGTAGAGAGAGGATACATTCCAAACGATGCAACATTTAATGGGTTACCAATCCTGACCAGTTGCACTCCCGTTTTTATTCTTTTTGATCTTGGTAATTACTTCATTATGTTTCAAACCGCAGATCATTGACCTCGGCTCCACCCTGACGACCTTCAAGCGGTACGCAATGCTGGATGTGCAGAACACCGGCGCCATGATCGGCCAGACCTTGGTCGAGCTGACCAACAAGGGTGTGCCCCAGGAGATTGTCCATCTGATCGGTCAGGGTATCGGTGCCCATGTGGCCGGAGCTGCTGGCAACAAGTTCACCGCCCAGACTGGCCACAAGCTGCGTCGCATCACCGGTCTGGATCCCGCCAAGGTCCTGTCCAAGCGTCCCCAGACTTTGGGTGGCCTTTCCCGCGGCGATGCCGACTTCGTTGATGCCATCCACACCTCCGCCTTCGCCATGGGCACACCTATCCGTTGCGGTGATGTCGACTTCTATCCCAATGGACCAACCGTTGGTGTTCCCGGTGCCGAGAATGTGATCGAGGCCGTGGCCCGGGCCACTCGCTACTTCGCCGAGTCCGTGCGTCCCGGCAGCGAGCGCAACTTCCCCGCCGTTCCCGCCAACTCGCTGAAGCAGTACAAGGAGCAGGACGGTTTCGGCAAGCGCGCCTACATGGGTCTCCAGACCGACTACGATCTGCGCGGCGACTACATCCTGGAGGTCAACCCCAAGAGCCCCTTCGGCCAGCGTAATCCCGCCCAGAAGCAGGCCTCCTACCACGGTGTCCACCACGAAAGCAACTAAGGCAAATGGACCATGAAATACCAGGCAGTTCGATCTGATACCCAGAGCCACCCGGAAAACGTAGTCTAGTTAGCAGTTTCATAGAACAAGCACAAAACAAAAAACTTTATAAAATCCCATAAAAATATAACCTGCAAATTTTCTAAAAACGTAATGTTATTTATCAACACAGATGTACATACATACATACATATGTAATTTAACATCTGTTAAAAAAAACACTACATTTCTTTTATGTGATCTTGAGCAGATGCCCAAAAAACAATGATAAATGAAGCAAACAATTAATTTTTATAAATTATCAAGACACCTACATACATACCACATACATACATATGTACATACATATGTGCAGTCGAAATACTTAGTAGTATTTGAAAATGTTAAATTTTTTACAACAAAATTATTTTGTAGGTTTTGTGCTGCTTTAAATGCTGCTGAAAGAAACTTTAACAAGGAGTACACTTGATGCTCAACAAGCTGTGCAAGTAATTAATTAACTTGAGAAAGGAGAGAAGAGAGTGCTGCAAAGTGGGTGGGAGTGGGCCAACTAGTGCCCGGTGCCACTTGATATGCACTCAATTAAAAGTGGCATTTAGTTTACCGTTAGCGCTTACACGTTTAAACATCGCTCGCCAACCTGTGCAAACTCAATTGTTCAGCTATTTTTCGGACATGCGCGGTGTAAATGTCAAAGTTGAACTTTATCATATGCAATAGACAAACCTTTTCTAGCAAAGAAAGCGAAAAAAATGGCCAGAAAAGAGCGAAGAGAGAGCGAGAGCTGGAGTGACAGGAGCTGAATGACAACAGTTGGCGTCCTTTGTTTGTGCATGTCGTGACATGTTTGCTTTGACTCTGACGGAGCAAAATACGCGGTAATAGCTAAAGCTTATCACCGTACACCTAGAAACGCTTTCTCGCTATCTTTTTTTTTTTTTTTTGCAAAGTTTGCAGCTCGCGCAACCTTCCCCTCCCCCTTTTCTCTCACCGCCTTTCTCCCGAAGAGAGTGCACAAGGACGCCGGGACGTTGGCATTTCGTGGGGCCCACCAAGTCTCTTGCAGGAATTACACTTATATTATTCATTGGCCGATATGCATAAATCCAATTTACGGAACCCCCTTTTTAGCCTCGGCAGCTGCGTCCCGTAAAAGAAATGAGGAGAGAGGGAGAGCGAGCGAGCATTTACATATTTGGCGCTTTCTCGCGCGCTTTTGTTGCGCACAATTAAAAAGTAGGGGTGTTCCAAAAGACTTAATTTTAAAAGCGTAAACCAATTTGTTTACCTCATATATTTGTCCGTAGACTTGGAGAAGTGTACTTCGAAACAGCCCCCATAGCCCATTATTTCATAAATTTTGATCCGATTTCGAAGGTGCACTCGTAAATATTGGAAATTAAATTTCTAATAAACCTGCGGTTAAATGTATCATTATGAGGAAGGTAGATTTTTAGAGATCCAAGGTAGATTTTAAGATACAAGCTTCTGCTGGTTACTAGATATGTGACGTTAAACATAATAATAATAATAATAATAAATTAATAAGTGGTTTCAAACCTCAAGAAATTTGCTTCTTAACCGCTTTTCGAACCGCCCAATGCGTTTGCCGCTCTCTTTTGCTCTCTCTAGCTTTTGCTTCGCTTCGTTTGATTTGGTTCGGTTTTAGTCCGTTAACGTTCGGGTGGATCTCTTGGGCTGCGCTCTCTGGGATTTTCGGTTTAACCGTTTGGGAAAACGTCCAATGTAAAGTTTCTGTGAAAAAAGCGCCTCCAGCGCCCCAACGGACTGATAGACCCGAAGAAACTTCTACCCTGCACTGGCTCAGTTTGGCGTCCAGTAGTTGGCTTATTTTGAGTATTTCAAAAATCGAACGCAGCCGAGTCGCAACATCGTCGCCGCGTGCTGTTTTTCAGTGTGTACGTTTTGATTGCAAAAAGAAATAAGCAAACGGAAGGCAGGCAACAACGAACGCTAAAACATTTTTCATCTGCGGCCTGGAAAAGCGCCCAAAGAAAATGAATAGATAAATTGTGTTAATCGCCCCATCGAGCCAGCAAATATTTACTGTATATTTTGTTTTTGTGCTTTTTTTTTGCGTTTGGGCATTTCTTCTTTCGTTGTTAATTGTGCAGCTGGCCCGCCTGCGAATGATAAAAATGTGAGTTGCCCCTGAAAGTTTGTGCTATTTTCTCAGTTTTTTTTTGTTTGTTTCAAAGTTTACAAAAAAAAAAAAATGGTCTAAATAAGTTAGGGATAACAGTGTTTGTGAGTGTGTGTGTGGGTGGTTGCTGCTCTGCGTAAATGCGTAAGCTGCGTTGCGTGTGTGTGCGTGTGTTGGCTGTGGCCAGGTCTCAAGGTCCCGTTAGCCCTCTCCTACCTCTCAACGCGCTTTTTTGCTCTCTTCTCTAAACAACAACAAGTCTGTGATAAGATTTTTCCATGCGTAATTTTCTCGTAAAGCCTTGTTTTGTTTTGGGTTTTCGCAGCTTTGTGATTTCATTTTTTTTAATTTTATATCTGGTTTTGCCTTTTTCCGTAAACAAAAAGAAGTGTACGATTTTTGGTTCACAAACACCATGCAGCTTGAAGACTTACACATAAAGAAAATATAAAAATTAAATCAGCCTTAAAAAAAAGCGATATATCACATATCTTAAATAATGGTTATTACTTTCAACAAAAAATATTTTTAAAAGTTGTTTAAAAACATACCTAATTTATGTTGAATTTAAAGTACATCGCACAGAAGAGTAACCGGAAGAAGTCTTTTTTTCTTGTGGCACCAAACTTTTTTATGCGTGCGTTTGTTGTGTTTTTATTTAGCAGTTGTGGTATTTATAAATTATTAATAAGCACAAAGCGTGCCACAGGTGTGCTTCAAGGAATGAGGGAGAGGGGAAAAGTGGGAAAGAGAAATGAGAGTAAAGGAAAGAGAGCCAGAGAGAGTGAGCTCGACCTTTTTTATTTTTCTCTTTTCCATTTAATTTAGCTCACTAAACTTGAGACTTGGATTAAATAGGTTTTTTTAACCTTTGCTCTCTTTGCATCTCTACTATTTCCGTCTCTGTCCCACAAACACTTTAAGCTGTTTCCGCCTGAGTGCGCCTTTTTTTTTATTATTATTTTTTGTTGCTTTTTATTACCGTTTTTGCACTTTTTTCTACACCTTTATTTGTTGTATTGTATTTCTTGGTCAATTACCATGGCAATTTATTTATGAGCTTGCTATTGTTGTCCGCTTCAATTGTGCAAGTTTATTTCCCCTATTTTTGGCATACATATTTATTCGTGCACTGTTTGAGTACCGTTTTACAGACTTCATAAAAAAGGTTTTGTGCAATAAAACCATGAAATTTCGACCCATCTTCAATTTTTGTTTTTACACAAAAGAAAATTTGGCAACCATATGTCTATATACAAATAAAATCCATAACTTGACGATACGAAGTTTTTTAAACAGTTATTTGTTTTTAAAATGCTGAGTTTAATTAAATTATTCAATTGAGAGCTTTCTTGATCACGTTTATATTAAACGGAAGTAATGCATTTAAATTATCTTTCTATTTTTGTAAATTGTTTCTCTGTGTATACCCTTACTTTACCCTTTGGTCACATCATAAAAAAAATTGTTAAATGACAAAATACATCATAAACACAACCACATTGAAGGCTACGTGCACTTTGGCCAGCTCTTTTATAGCCAAGCCACATGTGTGTGTTTGTAATTTGTTTATTGATGGACAGTGGGTCGGAATGCGGTATAAAAATCAGCAAAATTAAGTCTATTGTCTTGCGACTTAAGGAAACCCATTTATTTATAATACCCATAAAAGAAGCTCAGCTGTAATAAATCTTATCACTCTAAAGCATTTTCTCATCATGATTGTTCAGATTGCTTATCTTTGATAAGCTCAAAATATGCTTGTAAATTGTTGTCCAATTGTTTTGTTTTTTGAGCTTTAAACAGGATTTCTGTTCTAAGCATCCATCATACCTCACGCTGATCACTATTAAAATATGTACAGTTGTTCCATTTTCAATAACTTTTGATCCAGGGTAGAAAAGAAAATCTGTCGCCGCATTTTCTGTGTCACAAAATGTAATTATGCTAAGGAGGCAAAGGGATGGGGGGAGGCAAACTGGAATGAGGAGGAGCAGGCGGAGAAAGCAGGGGAAAAGGGGCGGGGGGAGGAGGGGGAGGCAGCAGAAAGCGGTGGCCATATTGTTGGGGCTTACGATTGTGTTAAGGCCTGCCATGTAACTGCCATGACATAAACATGTGCATGTCTGTGTACGGTTTTTTTTTCCCCCTCTTCTCTCGCTGTGCCCAATAATTATTGATTGACTGCCTTTCTTCATTGTGCCTCTTCTTGTAGCATCGCCCCTTCTTCCACATATGTATGTTGTGGCGAAAATTAATAAGTAACAACATAGGAAATCATTTGAAGTTATAATCATCGTAGTAATATTGGCATTTGAATAAAAAAAACGCAAGTGCGCCAATGGACCTTATAACATATGTAGGTGCAAAATTACTATTTCCATAAATTTAGATTCCAGACCGTCATACAATGAGCTCCAATGAAAAAGAAAGCTCTTTTGGGATCCATAAAATAGAAGAGGGAATACAATAACATTTAATGAGTAGCTGGACAAATTTGTGGGCGAGATAAATGCAAGATAAGATCTAAACAGATTAGGAGTCTAATGAAGGTCATTAGCGCCAAAAGTTGACAGCTTGTAACCACAGTGGAGTTGGATTAAATGTGAAAAGTTAGCGTGCAATAGAGAAACAAAAGCGCTCATTAAAAACTGTATAATAGGTATTAAATTACTTATTAAGTGTGCCAAAATGAAATTTGTATTCTTTTAGGGGAAACTGTTGCATTTTATAAGGTTGCTTGAGTTACAAATAATCAAGTCATATATTTTTTTTAAACAAATAATTAAGTGGTCTACTCAAATTGTTTCGAAAGTTTCATCCAACGGATGGATACTTACTGTAATTATAGCCACCCTTATTAATGCAAACCTAATTAATATTCATGCACGGGTATTTATCACTTCACTATCAGCATTAATGATAATTCCCCAATCGCCCTTTTGTGTTTGTACAACACTCGACTTTAACACGTGTTTGTCTGGCCATTTACCACCCACCACCCTAAATTAGCCGCCCACAAAACGGAACCCACACTCCGTAAAGTTTATGTCACATTCCAATAGGTCAAAATGTGATGCAAATGCGTCAGACGTCCTATATATCCCCCCTCTCCCTTTCACCTTCCCCCCCTTCCCCCATCTTCACTGCCCATGTGACGGTATTGCTGTTGTCAGCAGTCAACAATAAATCCAATTAGCAAAAAAGATAGGGACGGTAGAAATGGTTCAAGGTAAGAACACCAACGAAATTATGCACGATAAACTGAATTTAAGCGTAGTTGTAGTCAGTGATGGCAATTATAGCGATTGGCCACTGCAAAAATGTAGAAAATATTCATTTATAAGATACTACATTTAATTTGAAATCAGGATTTATTACTAAGAATATAAAAAATATGTGAATTTACTACAAAATTCATTGGATCATATGTATCGGTAGGTGTCTACTTATTTACCATATAGTAAAAGCTGTAGGGAAAACAGGTCGACCGGACAGCACTGGCCTTTGTTTTGAAATGCGAGACCGTGCTTGACCTTATCGGACACTCACTTCTTGTTGTTGTCATTTAATTGACAGTGTCTCTCGTCCCGCTTCCAAATCCCCGAGAGCCCTCCAGTCACATCTGATTATCTGGAGTGCCTGTCAAAGACTTTACCCCCTCCCCATGTCGATGTCCCCATTCCCTGTCACTCCAAATCAATAAATAAAATGGTAATTTACAATTTGGAGCTCACGCGTTGGTAATACCCATTTGACACGCGGGACACCGGAAAGTGACCTAGAAAAATTGCAAAAAAAAAGTGGATGGGTTGTAATAACTTCAACTATATATATCCGGGCTTACAAAGTTATTTTTTAAAGAAATGGTTGCACAAGTAATTGCAAATTGTTATTATTAATTTCTCACAATTACCAAATTAAAACTTTATTCTGGGTTTTCTTAGTCTATTTTAAGACGTGTGAGTATTCTCCTTATTTGCTGGTCTGAAAATATTTTTAGCATTAGTTCGCTTCTAAAAGTCAATTATTCAGAATTAATAGCTTCAACAATGTTTCTTTCTTGTTTTTTAATAGTCTGACGTTAGCAGCTTTCAGCTCGTTTAGTGGTTAATTAAAGACGAAATTATTAGCTCTTTTGTGCGCGTATTTTTAAAATTCCTTAGTATTTAGTAAACATATTAAAAATTTTACTTTTAGCTGTTTGCATTTCTGAAACCAATAAAAAAACTTAAAAACTGTTTGCCCCTAAAAATTCCTCAGCAAATATTTGTGAAGAAAGTTTGTTTCTAACTTGTAAGTTACTTTATATCGTATCGTATAGAGCTGTCGGTTTTCAGTGCTCAGGTTGTCCATTCAGTTAAATGTCACATAGACACAAGGGAGAAGCCATAGCAACTAGAACACCGAACACCGACATCTAGAGCTCTACACCTCCAGCCCCTGGAAAAATATCGACTAACCTCGCCTCGTTTTCCGATTTCCCTGTTCCGCATTCGGTTCGGTTGCTCAGGTCATAGACGAGGTGCCCACCCCGCCCGCCAGCAAAGCGTCACCCCGCACATCATCCAGCCATGACCAGCGGCAATCGATGATTGCCATTCCCTCAGCCAACGAGAGCCAATAGAGGCAGCCGGAAAGGAGGTGGACGGATCCGTCGGAAGAGTCCGTCGCCGTCGCCATTCGAGCACAACCACCGAAGCCAGAGGGAGGGAATTCCACCTTTGAAGGGACTTAAAGGACTACACACTTCACGCCGCCAACATGCTGATCAAGGAGTACCGAATCCCCCTGCCACTCACCGTGGAGGAGTACCGCATCGCCCAGCTCTACATGATAGCGGTAGGTGGAAAATTGCATCCTTACAACCTTTCCATAAATAAAGAAAGAAAATCTCATCTCATTAGTTCCTAACATGAAACAGTTTACCAGCAAAATCAGCCTAAAACAGAAGCATTTAAAAATAGTTTCTAAAGGCAATTTACGGTTGATTGGTTTCGATGTATCTTAATTAATAGTAGTCATTGGATCAATAGTTCAGAATCCACAACAAGTAAATAACAGTCGCAAAACAGGTTTAGCTCACATCACCATTATAAAACAAAAGCTGAAAAGATCCATGTTTCCGGAATCCGGAGTAAAAGTTCAACAATTTCCAAACATAATCTTTGACCGTCATAAGATTTACAAAGTGTCTAGAATTGTTTATCCGCTTTTGTGCATTCGACTTATTTACAAATATTTGCTATTTGCCAATATTTATCGAGCGCATTCAAAGGAAACTGTTCGAAAATAGATGTTTAGTTTATTTGTGTAAATCATAATGATCTCGTTAAACTGTTTTCCCATTTGAACAGAAAAAAAGTCGCGAGGAAAGTCATGGCGAGGGCAGTGGCGTCGAAATAATCATCAATGAGCCATATAAAGACGGACCCGGCGGAAATGGCCAATACACCAAGAAGATCTACCATGTGGGCAATCATTTACCGGGCTGGATTAAAAGTAAGTCACTTACTCAGAATATTATATTTTAAAATGATTGATTTGTTTACTTTCTAAAAAGGTCTCTTGCCCAAGAGCGCTTTAACTGTGGAGGAGGAGGCGTGGAATGCTTATCCTTACACCAGAACCCGCTACACTTGCCCATTTGTGGAGAAGTTCTCGCTGGACATCGAGACGTACTATTATCCGGATAATGGCTATCAGGATAATGTCTTCCAGTTGTCCGGCAGCGATCTGCGTAATCGCATAGTTGGTTAGTCAACATTCTAGAGAGCCTTCTTCACTTGTCTTTCAACCATTTCTAACACATGTTTTTTACCCCACAGATGTGATTGACATCGTGAAGGATCAGCTGTGGGGCGGCGACTACGTGAAGGAGGAGGACCCCAAGCACTTTGTGTCGGATAAGACGGGCCGCGGACCCCTGGGCGAGGACTGGCTGGAGGAGTATTGGCGCGAGGTGAAGGGCAAGAAGCAGCCGACGCCACGCAACATGTCCCTGATGACCGCCTACAAGATTTGCCGCGTGGAGTTCCGCTACTGGGGCATGCAGACCAAGCTGGAGAAGTTCATCCACGACGTGGCGCTGCGCAAGATGATGCTGCGCGCCCATCGGCAGGCGTGGGCGTGGCAGGATGAATGGCACGGCCTAACCATCGAGGATATCCGCGAGCTGGAGCGACAAACGCAATTGGCCCTGGCCAAAAAGATGGGCGGCGGCGAGGAGTGCAGCGATGGTCAGTCCCAAGTGGCCACCACCACCACAATCCTATCAAGCACATCCATCTCACCACACACCCTTGCCAAATTGTAACAGTATTTGCAAAAAGAAAAAACTTACGCAAGTTTTAAGTAAAAAATAGATTGAATTATAGGGAGCAACTCCGTAGTTCGTTGCTCCATGCAAATGTTTTTTGTTTTTTTTTTTGTTTTTGTAATTTCAAGGAGTAGAGAACATACCTCAGATTTGATTAACTAGGAAAGCCAACATGTATTATTTTAAATTAACCCAGTTTAAAACCTCGAAATGTCACTGTATCATCTGTTTGTGGAACTTATCCATTTCAGATAGCGTATCGGAACCCTATGTGAGCACGGCGGCCACAGCGGCCTCGACGACGGGCAGCGAGCGGAAGAAGTCCGCGCCCGCCGTACCGCCCATCGTGACCCAACAGCCGCCGAGTGCGGAAGCCAGTTCGGATGAGGAGGAGGGCGAGGAGGAGGACGACGACGAGGACGAGAACGATGCCATTGGCACGGGCGTTGATCTCTCGGCCACCAACCAAGGTGGTTCCGCCCAGCGGTCGCGTTCCCAGAGCATCCAGATGGCCCAGAAGGCCAAGTTCGGGTCAAAGGGCGCCCTCCATTCGCCGGTGGGATCGGCCCACAGTTTCGATCTTCAGGTGAGCACCGAAAATACGCTCAAGTGCTTTTTGTCCTTCGTCTTTTCTCTCTCTCGATGTCCATTTTGTGACTGTTTTCTCAAGGATTTGAAATTGTTTCAAGTTCAGCGAATGATATTCAACTACTTTTTTAAGCCTTTAAATATTTTGTGGATCATTGATAAGTGACAGAAATGTCAGGGATTTTTCTATATGATTTTTAAAAAGTTTTTTATCTTATATTGAATGCAAATGTTACTTTAAAACGAATAATGAACTATGGTTTGTTTTTATAAATGTATTTGTGTTTTTTGAGAATGAATTTTTTCAAATGAATTTCAACTATTTTTTTTTTTTTCTAAAATAAATGTAAATATTTTATACCACCGTTTTAAGGACTTGTCTTAATCTTTAAATTAACTTTTTTTTTTTTGGAACTTTAATTTATTGATGTAAACCGTCCCTGTGTTTCGATTTTCTGAGTGTTGTGCGTCGCTTTGTCCCTTAAAAGTGCTGCGTCTTACCAAATAATCTTTAATTTACCTTCCATCCAACTCGATCTACCGACAACAACTACAACACAATCGATTACCAAACCGAAATCAATGAATCTATAAAACACAAATTGCAAACTAAATCAACAAAATCCCAACAAAACTAAACCCATTAAACCGAAAACCAAAAACCAAAAACTAAAAACCAAAAACCAAAAACAATATCAGTCCAAAAAGCCGCATGCAAAGACAGCGCCACGCAGACATGTAAGTTCTCCCCTCTCTCTCTCTCTCTCTCTCTATCTCTATCTCCCTCGCCCCCTCTCTGTCACTCTGTATATGCCCTCTCTTTCGTTTTCATTGGCAATAATTTGCCTAGTCCATTATCCCATGATTACAAAAAGTTAAATTACCCAATTACCCAGTGACCTTTAGCAATCATCCTACTTCCCTTTAGTAATTTGCTTAGTCGCAGGTTTTGATTAGCCAAGTTCCATTAGCCTAGCTTTTGGCTGCCAACCTCTGCCTTTCAATAGCGGTGTTTTTTTTTGTTTGTGTAAATTGTAAAGCAGAACCAGAGATACATATTACATAAATAAGTAAACAGTCTCGTTCTTTATAAATAAATTAAACGAATTAACGTTCGTCGCAGGTGGCAAACTGGCGCATGGAGCGGTTGGAAGTGGACTCCAAGTCCAACTCGGATGAGGAATTTTTCGATTGTCTGGGTAAGCACTTGTAATTTATATTTGCGAAGCTTTATTTTTCAATTTTCCTTTAAAAAAATAAATTAATGAGACATTCCTATGTCAATTCCTATGAAAATTCTTTACTAGATTATTGAAAACCTTTTCTCTTTTAACATACAATTCAAATAGTAAAATAATAATTCATTTAATAAAGTCGAACAACAATTTTCGAAACTACAATTAAATTTTCCCGTTTACCGACTTAAATAGATTAACCCTTTATTCGCACATTTATTGAATAAACCCCTTAACTAAATTAAATGAATTGTTGAATAAACCCTTTAACTAAATTAAACGCTTTTCCTTTTTTTTCCGCAGATACCAATGAAACAAACTCGCTGGCCAAGTGGAGTTCCCTGGAGCTGCTGGGCGAGGGCGACGACAGTCCACCGCCACATGGCGGTCCCTCGAGTGCGGCCTCGGTGGGCGGTGGGCGTGGCAGTTCCCGGCAAGAGGACAGCATCTTCAACCAGGACTTTCTGATGCGCGTTGCCTCGGAGCGTGGCAATAAGCGCCAGTTGCGCTCATCGGCCAGCGTGGATCGCAGTCACGACTCCTCGCCGCCGGGATCACCGAGTACACCGTCGTGTCCGACCACCATTTTGATCCTGGTCGTCCATGCGGGCAGTGTCCTGGATGCGGCCAGTGAGCTGACGGCCAAGAAATCGGATGTGACCACTTTTCGCGGTTCTTTCGAGGCGGTGATGCGACAGCATTATCCCAGCCTGCTCACCCATGTGACCATCAAGATGGTGCCGTGTCCATCGATCTGCACCGACGCCCTGGGCATCCTGTCCAGCCTGAGTCCGTACTCCTTCGATGCATCTCCCTCGGCGGCGGATATACCGAATATAGCCGATGTTCCCATTGGAGCGATACCACTTCTGTCCGTCGCCTCGCCGGAATTCCATGAGACGGTGAACAAAACCGTTGCAGCTGCAAATATTGTCTACCACGAGTTCTTGAAATCGGAGGAGGGACACGGATTTTCCGGGCAGATTGTCATGCTGGGTGATTCCATGGGCTCGCTGCTCGCCTACGAGGCCTTGTGTCGCTCCAATGGCAGTCAGCCGGGAACGGCATCGGGTGCCTCGAATTCCGGCGGAGATGGTGGCGGTCCCAATGCGAATATCAACACCCACAATCCCCTGGGGCCACGGCATTCGCGTTTGGATGACGACGAGCGTTTCATCGAAGCGGACTTGGATGCCAAGCGATTGCTGGTGGCTCCATCGCCGAGGAGGCGACGCTCCAGTTCGTCGAGCGATTCGCGGGCCAGCAAACTGGACTTTGAGGTGAGCGACTTCTTCATGTTCGGATCGCCGCTTTCGGTGGTCCTCGCCGCACGGAAGCTGCACGATGCCAAGGCCGCTTTGGCGAGGCCCAACTGCCACCAGGTGTACAATCTGTTCCATCCAACCGATCCGATTGCCTCGCGACTGGAGCCGCTGCTCAGCGCCAGGTTCTCCATTCTGGCACCGGTCAACGTTCCCCGGTACGCCAAGTATCCGCTGGGCAACGGTCAGCCATTGCATTTATGTGTGTATTTGATTTAGGAGTGGCGTTATATATACTTGATTAATATTTAATACCTTTCAGTGGAGGTGATTCAGTCGCATCCGCAGCACTTTAACGATGGCAACAACCTGTTGGCCGGTCGCCGTTTGTCGGACGCCTCGATGCAGAGCACGATATCGGGTCTGATTGAGAATGTCTCGCTTAGTACGATCCACGCCCGTAAGAAGCTCGCTATCCGCTAGATATTATACACATTATATACCCCATATAATTTATATGAAAACGAATCTAATCGCATATCCCCTTGCAGTTCAAAACAAGTGGTGGGGAACCAAGCGACTGGACTACGCTCTGTATTGCCCGGAGGGATTGAGCAACTTTCCGGCCCACGCCTTGCCGCATCTGTTCCACGCCAGCTACTGGGAGAGTCCGGATGTGATTGCCTTCATACTGCGCCAGATTGGCAAGTTCGAGGGCATACCGTTTGTGGGCTCCAACGATGACAAGGACAACGCCTCCTTCCATCCGGGACAGCCGCGCGAGAAGTGGATCAAGAAGCGCACCTCGGTGAAGCTGAAAAATGTCGCCGCCAATCATCGGGCGAACGATGTGATCGTCCAGGAGGGCAGGGAGCAGCGATTGAATGCCCGATTCATGTATGGCCCACTGGACATGATAACGCTCCATGGCGAGAAGGTGGATGTGCACATTATGAAGGATCCGCCGGCGGGCGAATGGACATTCCTCAGCACCGAGGTGACCGACAAGAACGGACGCATCTCGTACAGCATCCCGGATCAGGTGTCCCTCGGCTATGGCATCTATCCGGTGAAGATGGTCGTCCGGGGCGATCACACCTCGGTGGATTGCTATATGGCGGTGGTGCCGCCATTGACCGAATGCGTTGTCTTCAGCATCGATGGCTCCTTCACCGCCTCGATGTCGGTGACGGGCAGGGATCCCAAGGTGCGAGCGGGCGCCGTCGATGTCTGCCGGCACTGGCAGGAGCTGGGCTACCTGCTCATCTACATCACCGGCCGACCCGATATGCAGCAACAGCGCGTCGTTTCCTGGCTGAGCCAGCACAATTTCCCCCACGGCCTCATCTCGTTCGCCGATGGCCTGTCCACCGATCCTCTCGGCCACAAGACGGCCTATCTCAACAATCTGGTGCAGAACCACGGAATCTCAATCACCGCCGCCTACGGCAGCAGCAAGGATATCAGTGTCTACACGAATGTGGGCATGCGCACCGATCAGATCTTCATTGTGGGCAAGGTATTGCCATTGCTATTGCTTCCTGCTTGAATATATATATTAATGAGTCCTGCTTCTAGGTTGGCAAGAAGCTGCAGGCGAATGCCACCGTCTTGAGCGATGGCTATGCCGCCCACTTGGCCGGTTTGCAGGCGGTGGGCGGTTCGCGTCCGGCGAAGGGAAATGCCCGCATGGTCATCCCACGCGGATGCTTCAATCTTCCCGGACAGACGGCGAATCCGCGGCGCAGAAGGTAAGATGGCGGGTGCCACGGGATGGCGCCGCTTGAGACGATGATCCACTGTACAGAGCGCACCCACTGTAACGCCCGATCCTCGCTGTATATGTACATATCCGTATCCGTATCTGTATCTGTGTTTGTGTTTAGTGTAAATAGGCCAACGCATTCGTGTATGCTAATGTTATATGTTTTGTGTACAGTGTAATGCCTTTAGCTGGTCAAAATAGTAATGAGGTAATTAGGTTCGGGACTTCAGGTTAACTTAATATAAAGTACCAAAGTTAATTTCTATCATCACAAAATCAAAAACTAATATTTGTTAAATGATAACTTTTGTTTCTTGCACTATATTATATTTTACCAAAGGAAAAACACAGGGATATGAATCTTTTTAGCTGATTAATTATAAAACTATTAAATATTGTAATTATTATTTTACTAAACTATACTTTTGTTTATGTTTGTGGCATCTACTTTAAAAAGTTTTTGCTCAACATAAAATTGATTCAGCTGAAGGCATTACACTTATAAACCATTGGAAACCGCTTTGTTGGTGTATACATTTATACATATTTATTTTGTGTGGCTTTTTGTTTATGATTTCGTTTTGGGTCGCATGGCCGTTTATTTTGTCAGCCAGCCTTTGTTTGCTTTGCCATCGATGCAACGATATAACCCCAAACCATCCAAACATCCCACTAAACGTTCTGTTTTGTGCGCCGTTCTTCTGAAAACAAAAAATGTAAACTCTTGCCAAAAAAAGAAGAGAAACTGCAGTTCCAATTAAGCTAATCACGCCACCCTTTTCCCTTGCCAATTCGCCACTAGCAATGCTTTCGAGCTGCAATTGGCCAACATCAGTCCCTGCGGCAGCAACATCAACAGTCCCAGCAGCAGCAACCACATCCTGTTGGCCCAGCTGATTGAGAATGCCATTGAAAAGGACACGCCAGCCGCCTAGGCGAACTAAATAAATAGTAGAGATAATATTTTAAACTAGAAGCAATCTGTGCGTCTCTCATCCATCCTATCCAAAACTAGTCCGCCACGAATCGTATTGTATTTTTATTGAAAAGTCTTAAGTTCCTCGTAGAACAAATGCCGTATTATTTATTATGCTATAAGTTATTCGTATTATTATGAGTATTTTTATTGCTTTCATGTACCATCCTTATTATTGTATTATTGTATGATATTATTTTGATTGCGAACAAAAGCCAAAATGCAACAAAACATAAAGAATACGTACGCCGCAGTATGTAAAACCAAATAAATTAAAAACAGTACAGTAATGGGTCTGTTGGAAAAATATATATGTATACATATGTATATCCATATAGAATATATATGATTTTTAATGTTTCGATTACGATTTGTATCTTTTCTTTGTTTGTTTCTTGATTTACGGATAACCAAAACCAAAACCAAATATATATATAATAATAATACTACAAAAACGCTTAACGCTTCACGGCCTCGAAACCCACCACGCTGTTCAAAACCCACCACGTCGACAATCACACCTCCACACAAAATACACCACCATCAGGCTGCATGAACAAGCAACGAATGAAAATTAAATTGCAACTTAAACGAAAAACAATAAATTGTTTAGAGCAATTAAACTGCAATGAAAAGCATCTTGTAAACAGATAGAAGCAAAAAAAACCTAAACAATACAGACAATTGGTGTTAGTTTTAGTGTCTTAGAATATTCCCTATACTCCCCACACGTTTTTTGAGTTTTTACGTTATAAGTATTTTGAAGCATACTTAGCTGAGCATTTTATTTATTTATTGATTGATTGGTGTTGTGAAGATAAACAAAAAAAAAAAAAATCAAAGTTTTTAGAAATCACTGAAAATACCCACCATATTAGAGGTGGGGAAAATTCGATACGAGTCGAGTCCACCTTTAAAACTCACTTAGAGCCAAAATTCAACTCTTTTTCTCAACGATAACTCTGTCTCTCTTTTTCCAAAAAAAAAAAAAAAAACAACAAAAATTGCTTGAACAATAAAAAAAACCAAAAACGAATTACCCACACACACACATACCACACACGCACACACTGCCATCGACCTTGTTATCGATAAACAGCAACGAGACAGGACTCTCATCACCCATACGCAGTGGTTACCTGAAGCGCAAGACCTACCTGAGCCACCACTAGATCAACCGAGATGCAGCTATATAGATCGATCCGATCAGATCCATCCGACAAAACGAAAGATCCCCCAGAACCCAATTTAGAAACCCCCTTCGAAATAGCGAAAAGTATATAGCCAAAGGACAACAGCACCGAAGCCTCCATATGCCACATCTGTGTATATACCATATATATATATTTATATACTATGCGCGATATATTGAAAGTTCAATGGTGTAATATATATATATCAAAAACAAAATATGCAAATGAGAAAAAAACAATTGTACAACATTTAACAAAAGTCAAATGTGTCACGCGGTGAGTATAATATATATGCACTATGTATAGTCTACATTATAAACCTTAAAAATATAGACAGACTGAGTCCAGACATTATAATTATTGAATAGATAGGAATATACATTAATTTATTTTACGGGTTTTAAGGAAGTCTCTATTGACTAAAAACCAACAAAAAAAAAGGTGTTTGAAAAGATAAATTTAACCACCTTTGCAAATAGTATAGATCCACTAGATATTTCTTTGTTTTCATTTAAATCTTAATGATTTTAAAATAAAATTATTCTATTATCCATTTCTGATAGGTACCTGGAAAGAAAGACTGTTTCCTCCTGTTGTTTGATGGTTTTTCAAACCACTTAAAGCATTAAAAAACATTGAAAACTACACGAAACAAAAGGCGATCGTTAAGCGATCTACTAAATACAATTACAAGAGATATATACAAAGATATATTCAAAATATAGAGAAGCGTTTAACATATGCAGGCGAACAAAGTTCAACAAACCGAGCAAGGTACAACAACGGAAGGACAAACCAATGAAACCGAAGATCTCCCGATGACTAAGGATACAACTAAGACAAGGACGAGGACAAGGACGAAGACGAGGAAAGCGTTGCAAAATCAAAAGGCAAATTTTATGCATTTCTTGACAAACAACCACTAAAAAACTCTTACGAAAAGTATAAATTAACGGCTTCCGTAAACCAAACAAAAATCTACAAATATATATATCTATATATATATATATATATCTATATGTGTGCGTGTAAAATTGACAAAAAAAAGAACAACGGGTTTTAGAAAAGAAACTTGAAATTAAAATCGTCATGAAAATGAATACAATCTCTTACCTGGCCCAGAAATTTCAAATCTCCATAATTGTGATAGTCTTTCGCTACCAAAAGTTAAATTAAAAAATGAAAAAAAAACAGCAAAGTATATTTATCTCTACTAAAATTGTTAATCGGAAAATTTGAATTCGAAGAAAGTTGATGTTGATGATGTTGGATATTGTGTAAACGTAAAACCCGATTTTGTGATACCAAAAACTAAAACCGAAACCAAAGTTGAGTTCGAGATTAGATCAAGCCGAAAACTCCTCGTGTTAGAAGTCTAAACCAAAAACCAAAAACCAAAAAGAAAAAAAAAAACTCAAGGCGACCTGAAGATGTAACGGGCATGGAATCTGACCCATTAAAAACTATATATATATATATACCACTATGTATGCATAACCCAGTTATGTGCTGTCCACACAAGTTAACTAAAAACTCTCTCACAACAAATAAGCAAAATAAATCTCAGATATAAACCAGATAAAACAGAATTGAAGGTACATACATACAAAGGGACCTTAACGTGAAGCTAACTATATAGAGTATGTATTCAGTTCGATCTGTTTAGCCGAAGTTGGTTAACCATCGAGTAGTTGAGTTGCGAGAATAAGATATTTCCTAAACTGCTAAATTAACGCAAATTGAAGTGTTTAAACCGATAGTTGTAACGAGAGCAGAGTAATTGTATATGTAAGGCCAAAGACTATAGAATATCAAGATGTTGCATCCCATACAAAAAATTTTTCGTTTCTGTTTCGAGCTTCATGATGCGGTCGGTCGGGGTGAAAAGGGAAAATCTAAAAATAGAAACACGACGAACTGCTGCTTTCGGCTTTCGTCTTCGTTTTTAATATTCGTCGTGTTCCCAAAGTGGGAATTTGATCATAGCTGACAATTTTCAGTTTATCGGGCTTTATACACTTTACAATAGTAGAAGGGTATATCAGACTTGTAAAGCATTAATATTTTATTTTCTTTAATTTTCATTTAAATCATAATTTTTCGTTTATAATAATTAAATTAAAGAATTCTTAGGTGCAATATTAATAATGTTCCTTATTCAGATAATTGTGTCGTTAAATTTTCACCCATGCGAATGTACATACGCGTGTTAGGGTATTTTGCTGCTCACCATGATACAATTATACAAGGTAGTCCACTCGGCTTGCCGAAGTCGTTCGGTTTTGGTCCCTTATTTTCAGTGCGTCCCTGCTTGTCAAACTGAAGCACAATGTAGCCGTTTCACTCACACTTACTTGACAAAGTTAAATTAGGGGACTATGGATTTTGCCGAGTAGACTACCTTGTATAATTGTATCAGGCTGTTCACCACTTGCATGAACGCAAAAAAAATTATAAAAGCAAAAAATTGAAAAAAAATGTAAAAATAAAATAATTAATTAATTTACACACAAAAAAAAAGAAAAAAAAACAATTTATGATATGGCTGGGGGCTCGGCGGGGATACGAACCCGGGCCTTCATGTACACGAGGCATAGCATCTACCACAACACCACCGGGCTTCATGAAGCGCGGCGAACTAATTGAGTATATGGTCTTAGCTGCCTTTAAAAGTGCAAAGTCATGTGGGTCTCCATATCAAGACCCACCATAGAACGATTTTTTTGAGGTCATGCAACATCTTGATATTCTATAGTCTTTGGTAAGGCTATATACCTACACTATATACTGTATATTTATCTAGCGCAACTACATTAAGGACTTTTGAAGCTAGCTAACTACAAAAGTGTTCCGATAAAAGTATTGTCCGGCTATACGTTCCTCTTTCCTCCATTTGAGTCGATTTAAAAAAATCTACGTTTATTTTTTGTAGCGAGTATTTGAATAAAAAGTAAAAAGCGATGGAAGATCCACTAGATTGTAAGATGATTCTGTCTACCCACGAAGAGTTTATCCTATATAAGTACGTAGCAAGTTGGTTCCAGCATGAGGAATAAAAGTTTAAGGCAAGTCCTAGGAAAAATCACACCAGATACTCATAGAGTCGAAGGGTTTATATCTGTCTATTTAACTGGTATATTACAGCTTTTGGGCTAAATGTTTACTTTAATTAACTTTCCAGGAAAAAGATTTATTAGAGCTAAATTACTTACTCAAATTTTCCTTGTGTTTTTAAATGTCCCAAAAGTCTTTATGTTTGTTTCTTAAATATTCCTGGTTTATTATTAGTAGAACTGTCTTTCTTGCCTCTCCTTTAATCCACCAAAAGAAGAACTCCCAAAGCCAATAGAGCGCTAAGCTAAATTGTATTGATATTTTGAGAACCCACCATTTAGATAATAAGCTAATGCCCCCACAAACAATGACGACGATGACTAATGCAGAGAGAAAATAATCAAAGAACAAAGTACTCCAAACAATGGACAGGTTTAAGAACTAAATGCAATTGTTACGTGAATAAGTGAATATATGTCCGCATGGTTATATATTTTAATTATTAAGTGCAAAAGTCCAGGAACAACAAATACGAATTCAGATTGTAAACAATTAAAAGAAGAACGAGGCAAAGAAGCAAAGAAAAAATATATAAAATTATTTATTGACAACCAAATCTACAAGCAGAAAAAGAACAAAAAAACGCGGAGCAAGCCAAATGCAATCTATTTACAAAAACCTAAAAAGAATATATGTATGTGAAGCGAAGCAAGAATGACAAGCAGAAGAGTTAAAGATAGCTAACCCGAGAGAAAGGAATATATATACAAGCATATATAATATATAAACCTACCCAAAAAGAAAAGATTTTTAAGCCAATAGTTGCAATTGGACTATGACAAATAACAAAAGTAAACAAATTGAAATATGACAGTAAAGAATATTTTTCGATGTAAGCTGTTTGTTAGAAAAAGATCGAGTTTCAGCGAATGATATGGCTAAATCAGTTAATCATTTCAAGCAAAATCGAAAACAAAGCGGTTCATGAAAAGATAAGAAAAAATACAAAAAACAAATGTTCTATTTGATGTTGCAAATGAGAAAAATAAATAAAACATGCTATGTGAAAAAATGATTTGTGTTGTTTATTTTACATTTGCAGAGGGTTTAATCTAAAAGTGGGATGAAAAATAAATCTCAGGGGACTGACATTTGTTATTGAATATTGTGGGCAGCTAAAATACTATAAAATCTAGCAATAACAATTGTTTTTTTCAGGTGATGAAGCTTATCTATTAATGCAAGAGATCATAAATTAAATTCCTGACACGAAACACAATACATTAAGTTCAATAAACTACTCTTCATTTTGAATCTATCAACATACATATGTATTCTCTGCAAAACATGTGAATAAATAATCATTATCGCCATTATATGACGAATCTCAGCAAGCTGAACTGATTGTTTGATTAATCAAATGAGATGCTAATCAAAATTCAACTTGCAAAACAAACAAAGCTACCAAGCTCAGTTCTGTATAAATTCCCTGAAACAGAATAAAAACGAAGCCATCGGATGATTGCTAGCTGATCTATATACAAACATATATATAGTACTTGGAAACTTAGGTACTATTATCATAAACAATGCAAACAATTACAGTCGAACCTTTTAATATGAAACCTGTTAGCAAAGTGGAAATTCATTAAACTGTTGTTCATATTTCAGATCTCAGATTCAGTAAAGATTTCCATTTAAAAGGTTGTTCGGTCTAAGCAATTTAAATGTTTCATAAATAAGCTCCCAATTTTCCTTTTTATAGAAATGCCACTGTAAAGAGTTCACTTAGTCGAAGATCACTTCCATAGTCACATACAATACTTTATTATCAATCAGGTTTAGTTGTTTACATTAACTACGAACGTCATTTGCGATTTGGAATGGAAATAAAAGGGGGAGGAGATAGAAAATAGAGGGTTGATATCAGCACGACGCCGGAATACATAGTGAGTATAATTCTACAGCTTGGGCAGACCCGCCGAAATGGAGCTCTCGATGCCGCAGTGATCCTCGCCACGGAGGATGCGGAAGAAGCCATGATCGCCCCAATCGGTGTTCCACGAGTTGCCGATGAGCCAGTAGGGGATCTTCTCCTCGCCCCAAACGCCCCAGCCCAAAATGCGAATGGCATGACCGCCCAGCTCCTTGCCGTGCTCGTGCTGATAGACACCGTCCTTGTACAGAATGAGATCCTCGTAGACGGTGAAGGCCCCCTCAACCGGTCCATTGGTCATGATCTCCTCCTGGATTTCGCGCACATTGCGCCGCACCGAATAGGACTTGGAGCCGAAGTGCTTGTCCTTGGCATAATCCACCGTGTAGCCGCTCTGGCAGACGTGCTGGCACTTCGGTGTTCCACCGCCATGGGCGCACGGCGGACGGGTGCCGTTCACGTGGTGCTCACACGGCGAAATCTCGTACGGTCGGCAGCCCTGTAATGAAATAATTTCCTATTATAATTATTTCTTTAAAAAAGAAAAAGGTATCTTCCATAAAAGTATGTATTTTGCCTTTAACATTTTTTGAAATGATTCAAAAACTTGAAAAGATATTCTTGACCTTATTCACAATCCAATCTATAGCTGTTCTTATCTAAAAACTGAGTGACTATAAGTACATTCCGTATAATATATCTAATAGAATACGTGCAATATATTTAATACATCCTATACTTCATTAGTCACAAAAAAATATATATATTAAAATGCATTTAAGACTTGATAAAAACAAAAACGTGATTTCTGCGATATATTCTAAATAGAAAAAAATTTAACGGCGTCGTAATCTTTATAGCTATGTATATTGCAGCAAACAAAGAGTTTTAATTGCTCTTAATCATTTTGCGCTGCATTTTTCTAGTAAAACATTGTGAGATAAACTCATAGATAGATATTTAAAAAACAAATCTACAGAGGTATACCACTCATAAATCGGATAAAAATTAGAAAAAGTATTTATTTTGTAATCTTATCACTTTTCTGCAAATCCATTTTTTGCAAATTTTGAAATTGAAATTTTTAAATTCCTATTTTTAGTAAGTAGGCCACTTACCTGGTTGGAACCGAAGGGTCCTCCGCTGACGATTCCCTTGCGCGTCCAGTAGCTCCATGCGGCACCGGGGAATCCACCGTTGCAGCCAAATCCGCAGGTGTGACAGCAGGACACCAGATCGTCGGCCGAGAAGTGGAAGTTCACCTTGCCACCGGAATGGATGCACACCTTTGTGTAATCAGCAAATCAGCAATAAAAAATTGATTAAAACATCAGCTGGCCAAACAAAGACAAGGCGGGGCCAAGAGTTCGATAAGATAAGTGGCTTACCCGATCGGACATGGCTTCCACGGCGCCAAAGGCCCAGCATGAGCCGCAGGATCCCTGATCGCGGATCTCTCCAATCGTTGGGCAGTTGGGCCAAGCCTTGCGGGAATCGAACTCCTCCGGAATATCGTTTGCGGATTCCTTGTACAGCTCGCCGAGAACTTCGCGCTTTTCGGGCAAAGCAAACTTGTGCGCTTCCGGATGGACACCCATCAGGCGACGGATGTGATCCTCGGTCACGAACTCATCGAAATTACGGCCCACCTGGCGGATAGAATACGGAAAATGCAATTATACTTGTCACGTCAGCAGGGAAAAACAAAGGAATTTGGTTTACCTGCCAGGTTTTGGCCTTACTGCGCACCACCTCGATGAACTCATCGGACAGAAAGGTTGGCTCACCGGCGGCCAAAACCACCACGGAGGCCACGGTGGCCACCAGTAGCAGCAAATTCATTATTTCGCCAACGTATTCTTAAATCGAAATTCTATTGAAATCCCAACGCTGACACAGCAAAATCACAAATCACTTTTTTAAAAAAATGGTGGAAATGACGCTTCGGATTTTCTGGGCTCTCCGTTCCGTTGTTGTGTTCGAACTGCTTGTGAAAATCGGACGGAGAATGCTCTTTATGTCTCTAATTTCTCTTGTTTTTGTTCTGTTCTGAAAAATGGTTGGCGCCCGCTGATTACACGGCCAGTGTGTGCACACCAAACGAAAAGCAAAATGGTCTATCGAAAACAGAGATGCGCAAGTGATAGCTGCTAACTCGTGAAAATAAATAAAATAAGATTAACATACTGGGTGTTAAAAAATATTTTAAAAATACATTTTCTGTAATAAATCTTGATATCAACGCTAAGAATTTATAAATTTCGATTTTATTACATTTTTTTTGTCATAATCATTATAACAAAACCATAAAGCTGATAAGAACAATTATCGATACATGGCTCTTTGTCAGCAAGCATAATAGAGGGTGTGGCCACACTGGCCGTGAATGTTTTGATTAGGAGTTGGCAAAGATGCAGATTTTCTACGGGATACTTGCGTTCCTGGTGGCCACCAATCCCTCAACCGAGGCCATCCAGGCGCGCAGTGACAAGGAGCAGCCGCAGACAGTGGTTTCCGGCACAGCGGTGCAGTCGGTTGTGCCCGTGCAGGCGCAACTTGGCTCCGGACTGGGACCCTCGTCCGCCGCTTCCTCGTCATCATCATCTTCCGGCGGAGCAGGGAACTCCGCTTTCAACCCGCTCGGACCGAATGTGATGTGCTCCTTCCTGCCACGCGACTTTCTGGATTGCAAGGATCCCGTTGACCATCGGGAGAATGCTACCGCACAGATGGAAAAGGGCCACGGATGCCTGCGATTCGGTGGTTCCACCTACGAGGACGTGGAGCACGCCAAAGTGGTGTGCACCGTGTTCGCAGACATCGATTGCTTCGGCAATCGCACCTTCTACCGCGACGGAGTCCCCTGCGTCCGCTACACGGACCACTACTTTGTGACTACCCTGATCTACAGCATGCTCCTCGGATTCCTCGGCATGGACCGCTTCTGCCTCGGCCAAACAGGTACCGCCGTCGGCAAACTCCTGACGATGGGCGGTGTGGGCGTCTGGTGGATCATCGACGTCATTTTGTTGATCACCAATAATCTTCTGCCTGAAGACGGTAGCAATTGGAATCCCTACGTCTAGACGTGTGATATGTGTCCTGTTTCCTAGCGATAAGTTGTTCAATAAGATCATTTAGTAAACATAGCCAAATTGTGGGTATTATAAACATACATTTGTGTTTGTGAAGTTATTAATTTTGTTTTGAAAGGAGCAAACCGCTTCTACGAAAATGTGCAACTTAAATTAACTTTTTATCGTTTCTCCATGTGAAGGTGGCCCAAAACATTCTATAGTAATTTCTACGACCTAAGAATCTATATATGTAAATCACTCAATACGGTTTCCAAGATTTAAAAATCGCGCTCGCTTATGGAGTCGCGGCTGACTGTGGTTTGTGTACTTGCTAAGGTCGGATGATGGCAATGCCAGGTTAGGAAGGTGAACCGGATAGTTTAGGAGGGTGTATTCGCTATGATTCAGAGAGAATTTGGAGCTGCCAAGCCGTTCGGGTTCAGTCCGTTAACGTTCGGGTCGCTCTCTCGGGTTGGCTAAGAGAATTCACCATCCGTTGTTAACCGATTGAGAGAACGTTGTTCAGGTTTTTTACCGTTGTCCCTGTTAAATTTGAATAATCAAAGATAACAACCGATGGTGGGGTCATTAACTAAGTCCGAGATCGAGTTTCCATTTAGACTTTGTTGTACTTTGGTTAGCTTCTGTTCCTGATTTCAGCCCATTTTGGCTGCCACGCATTAAGTACCCGAAACAATTTAAGTATATTAAAATCTCACAAAAAATTAACCTATTGTCATATGCCAGGCCATATTAAGCCCCATGCACTGCATAAGGGTTAGACAACAGACTCTATTGCTGATTCGTTCGCACTTATCGGAAAACACACTTTTACTCGCACTCATTGTAGAAATTTTAAACGGACTGACGGACCCGACGATACTTCTACCCTATTCTTATTCTACCATGCTTTAGCCCTCGAAACTCGAAAGCAGTCGCAAAAAAAGCCTCGGCGACCGCGCGGTCAACAAGAGAGTGGCGCGGACGCTTTCTCTTTCTTCATCTCCATTTATCCATTTCTCCGTTGCGCGTCTCTGCCGCAAGAAGCAAAAACAACTACCAGAACGAAAAGGAACCGTAGATTGCACGGTGCATAAATGAAACATACAAAAACATTAATTGTTTGGCCAGAATTTGTGCACAAAACAAACGCTAAATGAAAACGGGAGTGATAAAAGTCGAAAGTATTTGTACTTCATTAATCGCGGCACAAGAACGTAAACAAAATCGTGTGTAAATTCCACGGGAAAAGAAGTACAAGAAATACAAGAACAACAACATGGGGACGCTTACGCCGTCAGCGACGCCGGCAGAGACAGCGGCAGCGCCAATGCTCGAGACAATTCGAATTTCTTTTCGGATGCTGATGGACTAACTGTGCTTTAGTGGTTGTTCTATATGTGCGTGTATGCGTGTGCGAGTGTAAAGTGGAAAAACAGCCAAGAACTGAATGGTAAATAAGTGTAAACAGAAAGGCGAAGAATGAAAGAAAGAAAGGGAGAGCGAAAGAGAGCCAGTAGCGATTTCCATTTATCGATCCGCTCGCACACCTGAAGCCATTCCATTCCAGCATCATCGACTTAATCCGTTCGAGCGGGATTAAGGCTGCGCCGCTGCTGCGACGCCCACGCAGCGTCGAAGGCGCAGCGACCGCGTTACCGGTCGCCGGTAATTAGCCGCCAAGGCCGTCGGCACCACACAGAAAGAAAGTTCTTACAATCAGTTTGTTTTAAACATGAGTCCACAATTGCCCTTTTAGTAAGAGATTTTCATATTCGATATTTCAATATACAGTAGAATCCGCTTATAGCGACTTTCAAGGGACCGACGATTTTTCGTCGTTATACCCGGAAGACGCACTAAGCAGAAGGATTTAAGTGTAAAAGTCTGTCTGGGGACCAATCAAGCCATCGAGGTTTCGTCGCAATACCCGGACGGACACTATAAGCGGAGTCGTTATAACAGGATTCTACTGTATTGGAAAGCGATGGAATCCAAACAAATAGAAATTCATATTTTGCCATTGTCAAAAAGTAAAAGTTCAAAGTGCAGCTGAAGGACTTGACCCCTGGCATTTGCCAGGTGCACAGAAAGAAATCAGTGAAAAATTTAAACAGTAAACATAACAATCAATTTAAAAATAATATGAATACTTCAAATTAAATTCTTGAAAAGAGTTTAAATACATTTTTTTCTTGGGGTTGTTTTTTTCTGTGTACATAATTGCTTCAGTTCTGCTGCAGCGGTGTGAAAGTTCAGGCTCATTAAGTGCAGCCTCCTAACGGTACTCGGCAGCCGGTACTCGATACCCGATACCTGGTCCTCGGCTTCCGTCACACGACGATGGTATAAACGAGATTAAGCGAATCCAGTAGCTTCCTAATTAGCTGCATCCTGAACAGGCGTAACATTAATTTAATGCAAAGTCTTCTGGGTAAAGTTTAAAGAATACAAAAAAAAACTTTAAAATTGTCTTAAATTTCCATTAATGCAAACTGGGTTTGCTTACCAGAGGGTAACAAACTGAATTAATTCTCCTAAAATTACAAGATAACTACATTTTCATAGGGACATAAAATGTTAAATGAAAAATTGTGTTATGGGGCAATAAAGTTACAAGAAAATTGGATGGGAAGCCCACTTGCGATGACAGTTGCGCTTTATTTCCTTGAAAATGCTTAAACTCAGAGTGGCTGAAAGCCAATTTTCTCGCTTGACAAGTCGCTTAACCCTAGACAGGCTTCTTTACGTTTTCTATTTACATCTTAGGACACTGAAAATGACAAAAATTAGAAAGTTAACAGTTTTATATGTACTTGTTTTTTTCAGAATTAAAATAAGTGTTTTAAAATTGAAAGTCTGTCCATCTAGGGTTAAGAAAGCACATAACTATCAACGAGAAGTAGCTTCAGGTCATGTTTAAGGTCTTGACAGGCCTATAAATAGCCAACAAACATTGCGAATTTAATCATACCAATGCAAACGACCAAATTCTAGGAAAACTAGCTAGTTTAGTGGCGATTGCTCTCTCTCTCTCTCTCTCTCTCTCTCTCTCTCTTTCTTTTATCTTTTTTTACCTTTCGCGAGAAAGTGTTAAGAGAAAACAACAACAAACAATAATGCTAATGAAGCCAACCGTGAAACTTTTTTTCTCGATTTTTTTTTAACGTTTGGAATTTTGTTTCAAAGTGCAACCAAAGCAAAGCAGCGGAAAATAAAAACCATAAAATATTACAAGAAGCGGAATCGGTGAAAAGCGTTAACCGAAGCCAAAAAAATTACCGAAAACCAACATCAAAAGTTGGCAACTTTTTATTTTCGACCGCAGCAGCCGAAGAAGCAGCGGCGTCAGCAGCGACGCCCGACTGCAGCCAGCGTCGCGCTGGCAACAACAAATTGCGGTAAGAATATTCTGCACATTTTTCCATTTTGTTTTATAAATAATACAAAAAATAAACCTTCTTCCATATTGGACATAGAAAAGAATTTTTCGAACAATATAAACTACATATTTTAAATAAAAGATGCTCTTATAAATACTTTTGTATATTTGCTGTTTAACACTATTTATAATACGTATAACATTAGTTGATATAAAAAAGAAAACCAATAGGTGTTAATGTTTGATGTTTTATTAAAGACTCATCCTAAAAATGCTTGAAGACTTTTTAACTTGGCATAAACTTTTTTTTTTCTGTGCATATACACTCATCTTCCATCTGGACACACTCATCCATATATATTTACTGCTCGCTCCTTGGTTCTGTCGCACACACACACACACACTGCTGATTTTACTGTTTAGTTTGTAATTTTGCCAAATTGTAGACACAGCATTATAAACACACAAAAAGAAAAACCGAAACTAGAAATGTAGTTCAAAGTTTGACAGCCTGAGGGGATGGGGTGAACCTCGTTCCAGAAAGTAATTCACTTTAATCTGTTACATAATGGAAAGGCAAACCGCCGATTAGCCAAATTAACTGTAGCAGTTGGTGAATGTCGGATAACGGTTTAGTGGCGAATAATCAGTCTAATTTGATCGCATGCCAATGATATAATTTAAGTAAGTGTAGCAAATCCAGTTTTAAATTAAGTTACAATATTAGCAGAGTTTAAGAAGAGTTCACAAATCAGATATACACTTCTTATAAATTAATTCTATCTTTTTGTAAAAGCCTTGGCGATGTTTTTCGTCTGTCTGAGAGGAAATGATAGGTAAATGTCATCCCCGAATTAGAAGCATAAGCGTCTTGAAAGGTTTTAAGCCTCGATGGGAGCAATCATCCCCCACATTTCCCGACGATAACGATTTTTGGCCATAAAAAGTCATCCCCATCGCTGAATTTAAGCGTTTTGAACTGCTGCAAGTGTGAATGATTTTTAAAATTGAAATTAACGTTTATCCGAATGAGCCTGCAAAAAAATAAGAAAAACAAATAGGAAAACAGAACGCAACGGGAGGTAAATTAAAAAAAAATTGAACAAAAAGTGCTAAAAATAGTCAAAAATTCGCTGATGCCTGCGGGCAAAAATTACACAGAAATAAATATTGTGGAAGTGGGCTAAACTTTTAATTACGAAATTTTCTTAGTTCTTAAAAATATAAGTTAGTTCCAATGAAGTAATTATTATATGTAAGAGATAAAAATATCTTTATGATATTACAACTCCCTTTTATTTTCACTGAGTAGATTTCGCTTAATATTTCAATAACTTTTGTTGAAACTCAAATAAGACAAAAGTCGTACAGCTACCATATCATTGTTCAAACGAAAATGATAATTCGCAAATAGAACGTACGTGCCCATGGTGGCAATATTGGTTCGTCGTTTTCCTGCGTGTATGCAAGGTGGGTGGCAATTTTCGGGGGTGGCTGGCGCCTGCCGCCTGCTGCCTGCTGCCTGCTGTCGGGAAAAATGGAAAAAGGGAAAGCGGAGGAATGAGACAGACGCCACCAGGCCAAAAACACAGCCGTATTCGTTGATTTTTCCGTCGCCGGTGTATTCTATTCTCTGTGGCTGTCCATGTCCAAGCATTCCATTTTCCTATCCACCTAACCCCCCCGTCCTCCCACTTCCCTTCACCCGTGAAAAAACTTGCGTGGAAGAGCTTCACTCTTTGGGGGTTAGTTATTTTTGGGGACGACAACTGCAGCGGCAGTAGCAAAAGTACCAAAAGTGCCAGCAGCCCTCTGAACTGCGGAGGAGGATTGCGGATAGAGGATGTGCGGATATGCGGATGTGCGGATATGCGGATGTGCAGATAGAATATGTGCTGAGGATGCCTGTGGCGAGTGTTGTTTCTCCTTCGGTTTCGGTTTCAGTTTCAGTTTCGGCCTCGGTCTCAGCTTTCTAGACTTGGCTGTACCGCCAGTGCTCCTGAGATATATGTATGGTAGTTTATGACCAGTGCATACTGTACAGCCCACGGATGCGATGGCAACCAGAGAGCGGACGGAATGAGCCGATAAATCTTCACTGAACCACAAAGACCTGTTTTGGCGGATCTCGAGCTGTAATAAATAGCTTAAAATAGATTTTATATTAAATGTTATATCTGTAATCTATAATGGTTGGTTGGCCAGAGGTTACTAAAATTTTCTTTGAGATCAATTTATCCGTTGACAGATTATCAAAAAAGAGGAGAAGGTGGTTTGCACATTTATTTAAAATCATAGTCATTTCAATTATGAAGTTCAATTTCCAAATGATTTGTTTTAGAGACCTTGACGTTATGAGTTGAACTTTGATTGGTTTTGTTTATAGTGAGGCTATTCCATCGGAACTATTGACTTTGGAATGGCCATTATGTTATCCGGCTGAGTCAGTAATTGATCGCCGTATCTGGATCAGATGGCAATGCAATCTCTGAAGCGAATAGCTTGATAGGAAAATGTCAAGGGCGCCCTTTCGTTATTCTTTTCCTGTGACTGTGATTGTGACTGTGACTGTGACTGTGACTGTGTCCTTCTGACCATCTGTCCATATGTCTCGCTCTCAAAGTGAGTCAAAAGAAGCACAAACTTGGCGATGGCGATGATTTTGTTGCCTGCTCTGTTGTTCTGTTCTGTTTCTTAACTTTGAAGGATTTTTCCCATCTAGGATGCTGTTTGGCATGCGTTTAAGTGTGTGTGTGTGTGTGTGAGTGTGTGTGTTTCGTATTGGCGAGAACTCCCCATACAAACACTTGCCCAGAGGGCCACGCATAATACACATGCAAATGTCAAAGCTGCCAGGCTGTCGCCATAAGCGAGAGCGTCACTAGTGTGCCACCTTGTGCCACCCAAAACACACCCAACCACCCAACCACCCAACCACCCATCCAACCATACCAGCACCCACCCACTTTGGCACCCAGCTCGCCACCATCCCATCGCATCATCTTCATCCACCACGACGGCCATCGGCGAGTATTAGCGGATTTTGTTTGTGCCGGAATGGAAATCGTCTTCTTTGCTGTCGCTATTTTGTTATTACAGTGCAACCTCCAATCTGTTTAATGAACTTTTCTCACTTGTAATAGACATCACATGGCCAAAGGTTATTATTTTTACAATTGCTTACGCTTGTTTTGTGACAGGTTGTTATTTTTGCAAATAGGAAAAATAATTCAGACTCATGGGAATATCTAAAAATCCAATTATGGCTTTTTATTAAGCAGTGTCTTTATAATAAAATTTAAAATCTTAAGTTTGCTTTAGTTTCTGTGGGTACATTGTACCCATCTTGCACTGTTTATTGTTTTTGTTGTTATTGTGTGTCATCCACGCGTTTTCTCCATGCTCCAGTAAAACTCAAGGAGGGTTGTTGAGGAAAACCGAGAGGTGGGTGGGTAGGTGTGTGCGTTGAACGGTGGGTGAACTTTGAAAAACTCACCACCGTCTTTTGCCAAACCGGTCTCAGTCGACCTCTTCCTCTTTCTACTTCTAACTATCTTCCACACGCTGGAAAAATCAGACAGCTTTAAATTCGATTCATTTAACTTTCAAAATCATGCGAAGTTGTTTTGGAGAATCAGACACTAGAATTTAAATACTTTTGCCATCTGCAAAGGATCCCAAACGAAAACCAAAAATTTTGCTATAAGTTTGTTTAATTCTTAAGCAAGAAATCTTAAAATATGTAATATGTTTGGGTTTTAGTTAACTCTTTATGATTTCATTTTTTTAAGTGTCTTCTTTTCGCTCTTGTTCGTTTTTGGTTTTGTTATGTTTGTCAAATTGTTTGGCACAAACAATTGCATTTTTGCAGGCTCTAGAACTTTGTTGCGTGTTTCCTGTTTTTCTCCTTTTTTTTTTTAGATATTCTTGAGGTACCTTACGTAAGGGGAATTAGAAGATTTGCTGCAATGTTGCAAGTAGAAGTCGACGACTGTATTGTTTTTTCTTGCAGCCTGCGGAAAAATACCAGCGCAGAGGAAAAGTCAGAAAGATTGAAATTGCGGCACTCAACACGTCTTCTTTTGCACTTCCTCCCCAATTTCAAAACCTTTCTTTTCACACGAAAAAATTATGATTTGATGGCTTGTATATCTTCAATATTGTTTTGACTTTTGAAATAGCAACAAACAGCTTATTAATATTTTTTAGATATTTTTCAAATTCATTGTAGCGAAAGCAAAGTAAATTGAAATTTCTTTTCGTGCACTTTCCCAACCATTTTCTTTTCTCCTTGGCCACATCAATTACAATAACAATGGAGCCGGAAAACAATGCGTGCGGAAGGCTTTTCCAACGTCTTAAGAAGCTTTGCCTTTGGCTTTGTTTTCTTTCAGTGCTTCTGTGTAACTGTATGTGTGCTGTTTTCCCTTCTTTTTGTTATTGTTTATCCTGCACGCATGCAATTCGCACTACGTTGTTTACTCCTTTTTTATTGTTTGCTCCTGAAGGAAAGTGGAGACTGGTGACTGCCTCATCCTTCTGGGCAACACATTGATGGTGTTTTTTAATTGCATTTTGTAATTATTGTTATGAGCGCCCATCATGCACAACATTGATATTTAACAACATGCGTTTGAGATATTGAAATTAAATAAATTGCTTTATAAATCAGCCAATAAAACTGATAAAACATTTAGAAAAAGTAAACAAAGCAAACATATTCAAACGTAAATTTCACTCAACAATTAAATCGCTTTTATTAGCGTTAAAAAATTACAAATAATTTGCTGATCCACTTTCCTATAATATTTATTTCTACTGCATAATGCAGCACTTAAAAAAAAATTGTCTGCTATTCTGCTAATCCAACTAATTAAATTTTGAGAGTCTCGGGCAGTCATTGTTTTTTTAATTTATGTATGTGCTGTAACTCCTTCGTTTCGGGCCAAAAATCCAGAGCTGGCAGCAGCATTCCTTGCGTGTTTCCTGCCTGCCCTTTATCTTTGTCCCGCCAACATTTTCCATCCCTTTCCATCCTTTTCCGGCTTTTCCGGCTTTTTTGCCTTCATGCCGTTGTTGCCTGCCGCATTCCATTAGATATAATAAATACCGAAATGCGATAAAAAAAAAAATAGAAAAAATAGAAGGCGGGCAAAGGAAATTAAAGATGCAAAGCAATGTAAAGCTTTTACAGAACGCAGACGAAGGCAACGAAATTATCCATCCAGCTTGTTTGTTGTGCGTCTCCGAATCTAGTCTATGAAAAGCCACTCACACTAGAAAATTGGTTAAAAATGTCAAATGAACAGCATTCCTCGCTGCTGCTGTTTTTTATTATTTTATTTTTGTCCTGTCATCAAAACCAAACCCAAACCCAAACCCAGCGAAACGAAACGAACTGGGAAAAAGCGAATGCGAGGAATAGCAATTCGTTGTCTTGTTTGTTGTCTCGAGTTCAGTTTAGCTAGCACTTTAAAATAATGGATAAAGAGCTCTTGAAACTTCAGTTAAGACTGAGGCAATCGTTTGCACTGCGTTTGTATATATTATTACAAAGTTGAAGGGCAGGCTTTGACATTTAATTATCGCCCAAGGGTCTCAGAAGCAACTTGAGTTGTTCGCATTTTAAAGAAGTAGGAATTGTTTTGATTCAATTGAATTGGAAACTTTTAAGCCCAGAATATCCTACTGCGATTTGAAGTGTATCCTTGGCATATGCAACGATTTATTTTATATGTGCGCTGGCGTTTTATAACCGATATATAATATATATTCGCACTGGCTTATCCACATCCACATCCACATCATCTATCTCTATCTGTATCGTCATTAAACGGGGCTCGTCATTATTGCCATACAACTTTCTTTTTGGTTTTTGTTCTTGTTCGGTTCCTGCCGCAACTTTTGTCCTATCTCCATCTTATTTTCCATCCATCTCTCTCTTTATTTTCCATCCCTTTCACACTGAATGAATCTCCGAGTGCTGCTGGCATTGGCCTTTTAGTTGATTTCCGTCCGACACGCTGCCTTCTGATGACATTGTTTTTATGACGCGACCCCCCAGTTTCCCTAGATTTCCCGCCAACGCATTTCACCTACGGACAAAGGATACACTAGCCATATAATATATATATATATATATGATATATATGTGTTGTATAGTGAATGTGTGTATATCGTGCATAACTTTGTCAGGGGCTGGGCTTTTGTGCGATTCCGATCCCATTGCAACAAACAACACAAAGGCTCTGCCACGACCAACTGAGGGATAATGGTGTTAGTGATGGGGCTGTCAATCAGCCGCCGATGTGCTATATTGACAGAGGCATCGATGCCATAGATCCACGTCGCGATTGCCGTAACACAAGTGCGGAATTTGGGTCACACAAATATGTATTGCCTTAGTTACTAATTAATTGGCGAAGTATGAATACCGGAAAATTGATATTGTTGGGATAAAAGTAGTAGTAGAAGACTTGAACAAACTTAGAGCGGCACATATTTGCAGTAGATATGCATATAGTACATATAGTACAGGGTGCGCCATCTCGAGCTTCGGTATGAAAATATTGAATAACTTTGGAAAAAAACAAAAATTCATGGAAAATGTTTTATGTTTATTTAGATTGATCCTTTACAATTCATTTGAGTTAGTTTTTGAAGGGTCTAGAAAATTTCTGGTTACAGCAGGACGGGGCCCCATGTCACACAGCAAACGAAACCATGCTGTTTTTGCAGCAAAATTCCTGGATGCGTTGTGTCAAAAAGAGGCGATATCGACTGGCCGGACTTGACCCCGCCGGATTTCTTTTTGTGGGGTATACATAAGCAAGCCCTAGACCATCACAGAGCTCAAGGAGAGTATTCGCACCGAAATGGCCAATATATCGGCCGATTGCTCAAGAAAGTAATGGAAAATGCTCGAAAAAGGACACTTTTTGCCATCAAGAACAAAGGAAGTCACTTAGTCGATATTGTGTTCAAAAACTAACTCAAATGAATTATAAAGGATCAATCTAAATAAATGTAAAACATTTTCCATGAATTTTTGTTTTTTTCCAAAGTTATTTAATATTTTCATACCGAAGCTCGAGATGGCGCACCCTGTACATGTTTCCACTTCACAAAGATTTATCTGAATTGCTGTTATAATCAACAGCAAACCCTGAGCAATAGTCAAATCAAAAATAGAAATTATTATTTGCGCAGTCTGTCGATTAAAATTCATTTGCACAGCGGTTGGGGTAGGTTGTCAATCAGTTGCAATGCCATTCAATTGAACAGACATAAATGCAAAAGCAAAAAGGCTCAAATGATGTAAACTGTTGATATTCGTTTGAGAAAAAGAAGATTAATCAACTAAATGCATCTAAAGTGCATTACTTTGATTAGAACTGAATGCGAAAAGTAAACAGAAGTATGATTCATAGTTTAGAACATGGCAAATATAGATTCAAATAGATTTTGTGTTAGAACTTTTCAACTTGTTTGTTAAGTTTGTATAAACCCAACAAAGAGGAATAGATTATTCTTCAAAATCATTGCCATTTAAAAGCTTTAATCTTGATCTACAAAATTGCTATTAAAGTGTAATATTTGAATCACACAATCGCCGGTTTCCTACAATTTTCGGCCCACTAAACTGTGTCATATAATGGCGAACCACCGAAAAGAACTCATTTCATTTCGAGGGGCTGGGCGCAACATTAGCGGCTCGTTGGCGAAAATGCTGGCAAACCCCCTCATTATTTCCCCTGAACCGCCGGGTTTCTATGTGTGTTTACCTTTCTCAAAGCGCAGGCTCGCTGTTTTCCATACCACCCACCGCCCACCGACCTGACCCACCCACTTTGTCCGGTCGACCTGGTCGACACCCTTGACAAACATTCAGAAAAAAATTCACAAAAAAAGAAAACACATATTTTTGTATACAAAAGCTCATAACCTTACACAATTTAGGAGAATATTTGGCATTCCATATAAATGTTTAAGATTTATGGAAAATGTTGTTGACTTTAAAATTTATGAATTTAAAATTATGAATTTTAGACAAGCTATAAATTTCCACCCAAAAATGCATACACCAAATTGCTTTAAAGTCTTTATTGAGAAATATTTTTTATTCAATTTCTTGCTTGATTTTTTTCGAGTGCATATCCCTTCGTCGGCATTTTCCTTTTTCGGGGCCTGGTTTTTTTTTAATTGCTTGGAAGGGAGCGCGTCACGCGAAAGCTGAAACTATATTATATGGCGAGTAGGAAGTGGAAACCGCAATCAGAGAGTGCGGCCTGGGTTTATAAAGTTATTCAAAAACCAAGGGAAGGGGGAAAACGGGGGTGGTAAAGGGGGTGGTAAGTAAGAAGTGAAAAGTAAAAATGGGCGGAAGCAAAGGGGGCAGTGCAATTAACCCCTGGGGGGCAAGTGCAGTTTCCGTGGGTGAGTGTGTGCCATTTACCTTTGCAACTTGTAACTGCAGCCCCCAAAACGGGCTAAAATACGAATAATTTATTCCAAATTACAGCGACATAAGCGACCAGCCAAAGAGCGATGGAAATTCAATTGTGAGTTTGCTAGTTTGCGAATTTGCGAATTGCGGATTGAGAATTGAAAATTGAAAATTGAGCGAGATATGCGAAAAATGGTCCCATAACGCCACTAAATAGCAAATGCCAGCGGAGGTTTAGCGGCGGTCCATCTAATTTTAGATCGATTTTCCCCCATCCGCTGGTGTTTGCTTTTTATAGACTTTAAGTAAATGGATTCGCAAGCGGCGCGGCTAAATTTAGTATAACCAAAAGCAAACAGTCAACAAATCTGGGGTACACAAAACATCAGGTTACATTTCCAATCGATCCGAAAACGTGCCAGATGCCCCATTAGCCGCATATTCATGTTCGAGGGTCGCTCCATGGACTTCGCCGAACAACTTTCTCGCAGGCCAAGTGCCTTGTTCAATATTTTTTAGCGTCGTTCTTGCAAATCTTTCACTTTGCCAAAAGATACAGATACATTTCGATTCGACATTCATGCATTTTTGGAAACATTTTGGGCCAACGGCCAAATTGTTAACGCGGCGATTGGTCGAGGGCAGTTCCATTTGGCCTTCATAAGCACTTGTTACGCCACGAGTTTCTGGGAAATGGGGGAAAATTTATTGGCACACTCGTACATACAGTTCAATTATATACTCGAACGCAAGTTCCTGATAGTTCCACTTCCCATACTCGTTTCCCTATGGCTCTTAATTATGTTTTCCCTTTAATTTCCCATTATTTGGCATTTATTTATTGGTTGTATTTATTTTTCTATTGTTGGGTTTAGTGTGATTCCCACGCAAGTAATTGGTTTAGCCATGGAAACGGTTGAATGCGTTTCACCATGATTTATTTTACATTAAAGAAAAAAATATGAACCTTGTTCTCTTGAAATATATTTTACAGGAATAAAAATGAATGGTTTACAGTTGTGTGCGGTGGTTAAGTTATCATCTACATACTTTGAATTACTTGTTGCTTTACTTAACAAATGTTTTGTTTTATTCAAATCGATACCAAAAACGACAAAAAGATCCTTTCTTAAAACGGTTTCTTGAGTGGTTCTTCACCCAAAGCCTCGAGTTCCTCGGGATCGGCGCAACATTTCCACGATTCCTGAACACCAAAATGATAGATGGTCTCGTGAAAGTAGTGCTCTCCCGGGTTAATGAAGATCCGCGGAAAGTCCGGTTGATTGACGGCATCCGGATAGTTCAGTAGCTGCAAACTAAAGCCACAATGCTGCCAATATCGAGTGCACTTCTTCCCCAAAATCGGTTCCTCGCCAAGAGGTTCCTGGGGAAAATCGTTGGCAGTGGCGAACTTAACACACGGCTGATTGCTAGAGATCTCCATGAATCTGCCCGATTCGGGATGCAGAAACCTGCCCACATATCGAGTTATATTCGAATCGAATTCCTTGTCGAGGGCATAGCAAATGTCGTATCCCTTCACTGGACTCCTCGCAAACTGACGCACTCGATCGCCCATGAAGACGGGCAATCGGATATCGTAGACGGAATCATTAACGCTTTTGAATCGACCCGTTGGCAGTCCATCGCTGCCAGAAGTATCCATTGTTTCCGGCGCTTCGATGTTGATGCGATGATCGAAAATACCCGTGATTCCAGTGGATTGGCCAGCCAAATTAAAGAAGATATTATTGGATATATTCACGGGGGTGGTCTGATTGGTATTCGCTTCGATTCGGATAAAGAACCGATTGTCCTCGTCGATGGTGAAGTGAATCAGTACGGTCAAGGTGCCGGGATATCCCTCGTGTCCATCCTTCGAAACGTGACGCAATGTCACGCCATCCGGTCGCTTCATATACAGATCCCAGATGACCTGATCGAAACCAATGAAGCCACCGTTGATCTGGTGCCTCTGGCCCAGATTCTTGGACACAATCACCCGCCGTTCGTCCATGATGAACTCCCCGTTGCCCACCACATCCGTCACCCTGCCCAAAGTGCATCCGAACTTGTAGCTCCTGTACTTAACATAACCGGCTATATCATCGAATCCGAGGACCACGTCCGACAACTGGTGATAGGCATCGGGGGCGTGAATCCTCTGGATCGTGGCTCCCAGCTGGATGATGGACACCGACAGGCGATTCGTGTTGGTGATCGTGTAACGACGCACAACATGTGCTTGTTTTGTAAAAGGATTCGTCGCGATCCCGAAAATATCCTCCACAACCTTAACCATAATTTCGAATTTTGATTATTTTTTCCCCCTAAATTTTGCTTGCTACTTTGTTGAAGCCAGATCGAAAATGTTTTTCGGCTGTCACTTTACCACCTAAACATTTATTGCTGCCTAGTCATTATTATTTGTAATAATACATTGGTTAAAGTCTTTAAGCATTTACCAGTGTTTTCCTTCATTGAATGCAATTATCAGATTACAGTCGATAGGTAATTAAATAAATGAATGAAGTAACCCTAGCTTGCGGAATAAATGAAAACAATTCCATTTATTTTTCAATTATTGATTGGCCTAGGCCGTTACAATGCTTCAAACTCAAACTAAAATGCAATTAAACTGCCATAACCATTTGAAGTTTACAACAATTCTGACATTGTCTAGTGCAAAAGGAAGGAAACATAATTTTTATAGGCATTTCGGATAGCTATGAACTTGTGAACTTCAACCTAATTGACTTCAAGTAATAGATTTTACTTGAAGAATTCGTAAAATTGTATGAATCAATTTGGGAAATTGATGAGTTAATCAATTGAATAATCGAACGTTGTGTGCTTAAGTGCAATAAAGATATTGTTTTATTGTTTTCTTTCCGAAAATCTTATCTAAAATGGGTATTTCTGAAGTTTGATAAATTAAAGTTGGTTTTTCGAGCTTGATATTAAAGCTGCAGCTCAAAAAGCACACATGGAATTCATTAGTGGATGGAAATAGCATTAATCTTCCGCTAACTTAAAGTAAACACAAACCACTTAGTTTTAGTAAATCGTTTAAAGGGCTTATCGTAAGTCCAGTTGTTAATTGCACCCATTTACCATCTGTTTACCAATGCGACGGTGATATCGTCCCAATTTGTTGGCTCGAGTGCATGCCACCTGTTCGTACATCGAACCCCTCAAAGGCAGATAATGTACGATGTCGCTGCTTGCATTGGATTATCTTATCGTGCGGGGCCTGTACCCGGACCAGGTCAAAAAAAAAAAAAAAAAATAAAATATAGAAAACAATGAAATGAAAAAGCAAAAGAAGCGATCCGATCCAGGTGTGTGATTTATTGGGAGCAGGAACAGGCACCAAAAATCTAATCAAAAATTGGTGCGAAATGCGCTAGCTGCGGATCATTATTTAGCCAATAACCGTGACAGGAATTATCATCATTTATAATGGCAATAACTGAATAATTGAATGCGCTGCCATATATGACGGAGACAGAACAAAAGAGTAATTGCCATCAATTACTCTGCCCTTGCCCCATTACGGCTTCTTCGACAGCTGCGTGGTTTTTCACACTACACTTGAATAAATTATGCTTAACTCCGGCTAGTTATTCAAGGAAATCAATGAACCCATCCGTGTAAACAAACTATGATAGTATAGTTACCATTTTATGTATGCAGTTGATAAAGCTTAACTACTCGAGATGATGCCATTATCATAGATACTCGTATCTCTTCTGTACCTTGATTGTGATTGAGTTTTTTTGCAAAGTGCACAGGCGGGGAAAATGTGGGTTATAATGACCATACATACCTGCAGTTGGACTAATGGCTTTTCGAGTTGCCAGCGGCTTCTTCGCCATTGTTCTTCCCGCGCACCGTTCGTGCCTTCGATTCGATATCATGGCTCATTGGCCATACGGCTGAGTGAATGGTGTGCAAATAAATGCAAAATCATGGCTCGTCATTATCCGCCATTCACATATACTACATATACATTCGCATTCGCATCGAAATCGAGACATGGATACCTCATCATCGTCACAGTCGTCGCCAGTCGCAGTTGGAAATTGTCGGCCAAAGTTCAGGGAGGCCAATGCCAATGTCGGTCGGGCGTTTTTGTGGAGCGTTCAGTTGCTTCACCTTTGCTATTTCGCCCGGTCGGTCGGTCGGTCGGTCGCCCCGTTTCGTTTCGCTGGCAGAAAGGTAAATGTTTGCCGATAACAACTGTCACTGGGCTCCATAGCCTTGAAAGTACGCAGCTCTCCCCTCCCTCCAGTTTGCCAGCATCGAAAAATGAAAAACGAAACTGAAACGAAGCTCTCGGGTTGGCGATAAATATTGCAGGAATATAAAATCTGTCGGCAAATCGTCCTCTGGAAATAAGGAAAATAAATAAAGAGAGAGGGACACAAACGTATCTCCGGAAAGGTCAGCATTTCGAATAAGCACAATAGTGTTTGCATTGTTTTGCAAAAGGCAAAGGTTTTAATTAAGATCGAAGGTCAGTTCAACCAGGACTTTAATGTTAGCAAAGAAACTAACTAAGTTATTATTACTATCTCGAGTGTTCTTAGTTTAATTTGTCAAGGTGAGATGATGGAATATTTTAGTGTTTTGTTTTCAGTTTTCAGTTGTTTAGCCTACTACACCAAAATTTACAAATTCCAAATTTTTCCTGTCGATTTTATAGTCTGTTTATATTGTGTGCTATATTTCTCCACGCACACTGCAAATATCGTTTGAATTGGGTATGTAAATTAACTTAATAGTTTAGCAACTTTCGATGTCTTGCTGATATGCAATTACTCAAGCTATTCCATTTGCAATGTATAAGCTAATTTAATTAACGCAATGACTACTTGATTTATTTTCTTTAAATATCGGAAAATTATAATTATTGTGATTAGTAAAACTGCAATCAGCAATTGTAGTTGGCTGTATTAATTGATTTTATTATTATTAAACTATAAATGCTGTTGTATTGGATATTAGCAATACCATTTGCATTCGAAAGGTGTTGGTTTTTATCTTTTGATATTTAGCTCTAGTCCAGGAACTCAACAAGTTTATTATTCGCTTGTTTATGTTTATATTTACGGAGATCGTAAAGTTTATTAATCGACGAGGCGCTGGCCAAGTCTTTAAAAATGCTATATCGAATGGTGATTTGGCAAATGCGAACTACCATATAGTGATGTATTGATTTTGACTGGCACTTTCGTGCCTGATAAGTCCGCTGGGTGGGTGTTCATGTCTTGGCGTCATTAGCAAGTCAAGTTAATCAGAGTCCGGATATGCAAATATCAGTATGCATTCCCTTGTACGAATCCCATGTTAGTCCCGACTTATCGGACCCCGATGCAATGTCAAGCCAGCGATTATGGTGGGGCTCTCCCAACCTGATGGCTCACACCCACCGAACAAGTTGTTGCACACAGAGAAAGTAATGGAAAATGGAATGGCACTACTGGTTTCAATTGAATATCTATTAGCTGGGAATTATTATTAGACAAGTGTGTCAAATCCGAAACGAGTATTAGGCATTTTAAAATAGGCACATAAGTGCTTTTTGCAATGGCCGCATTAGCTGATCTATTAAAAGCAACACAATGTTGTATAATTGCCTAATGGGCCAAGAATTGTCAACTATAACAATAAGCAGCTAATTCAAACAGTTTATAGAAAATAAGAATATTTCCATTTGCTTAGGATTTTATTGAGTTAAGAGTTATGTATTGATTTCTCGATCATTTTTGAGTTTTTACCTCCAGTTAAGAGGTTCATATTACCAGTTTCTTTCTGTGTAGACTTATTTGACCCCCTTTTTAGCACGCCCTGCTCATGTCTAACCCTGATTATGCTTTGCTTTACATTGCACTGTGGGGAGGTTATCCCCCCTCGCAGTTCGAAGGGGAACCTTAAGCTGTCTAAAGTCGTTCGCTTTGCATATTTGCATGCAGGCATGACTGTACTGCCAGTTAGAATCTGAACACTGCTACGGCTGCCCCTGATTTTCCCGGGGGGATTACGATTTGCAGCAGCAGCTCACAGGAGCGCCAAGAGCACAAAAATCTGTCCTTTAAGCTGCGAGCTCATATCGCGCGCTGCTCGAACAGCTGTGACTGCGGTTGCTTAGTTACTGCTCAAACTAATACTTTCCATACGGAAATAGCAAATTTAATATTCATTTTGTATTTAATTTCTGCGTATACGCGATAATGTCTGCAGTTCATAACTCATACGCAGTGTGGCTCTTTTTATGGCTACACAAATAATATTCTGTAAAATGTTAAATTTCTTTTGAACTCAATCATTTTTGGGGTTTTCAAAAATAATTTGTACATCATGTCTGCAAAAACAAGTAATGACACTTTGCGTATGAGTAATAAACTTAAGATCAATCAGGCTTTCGGGTCATTACTCATACGCAGTGTTGCTTTTGTTCATGCAGTTTGATAATGAAGCGATTGATAATGAAGTATTTGGACTGTTAATTTGGGAAACATAATCTACATGGTTACGTTTATCAGCATTTTTTTGCAATTTGCGGCGTATTTTTAGTAATCCCAAGTGGGTAACTTGAAATGTTCATATAAAATTGAACTAAAACTTATATTTATTTATTCCCAATTCCAGATGCCTGGACTTGTGGTCTTCAGACGTCGCTGGTCTGTGGGCTCTGATGATCTCGTGGTGCCGGGCGCATTTCTCCTGACGATACATTTTATATGGTGAGTAAGCGCTTAAAATACTCCTTCTTATCCCCCAAATTCTTGATAAATATGCAATTCTTGTTCTTCTTTTTCCTCCGCAAAAAAAATCCCAATTGTTGTGACAGTTTTGTGATTGTTAGCGTCTCGTTGGTTATCTTTGAGTATAATACACGAATTTTAAGCGTAAAATTATTGTTCTATCATCTAGTAGGCTACTTGTTGATACTGTTTTGTAAGTATATTCTACCCAACATGAAAGATTGTGTATTGATATGCTCCCCCACAGTTTCAATATGTGTAGAAATAGGTATATGTGTGATCTCGATGCGTGGCAGCATTCTGGATGCCGAGGCGCGCACCTCGATCAACATCTGGATATATCTCAAGAGCTGTAAGTTATCCAAAAGACCCCTTAGATCTATGATCATTATATTTTATTTTTCTCTTATCTTAGTGGTAATACTGTTCGATATCGCCTGGTTGGGAGTGGGATCCGTTTGGCTGGGGCATTACTACACCACAGCGCCAATCGATGATCCCAAAAAAGTATACATAGGTGAGTTATAACTTATAGAGTCTTTATTTATGAACTTAAAATATATCTGAACTTTTGATTTATATTTATGTGTATTCATTTTAATGAGTACCTCTCAGGCTTCATATTAAAAACCATTTTGGTTTATCCCATTATTTGTCCTTTTTTCTTTTCAAAGCCATCATCATCTGCAATTGGGCTCTGGTGGTGATCACCCTCATCACGATATGGTGCACCTTCGATGCGGCCGGAAGGTCCTGGGTGAAGATGAAGAAGTACCAGCGATCGATGCGCGAGACGGAATCTCGGTTCAACTACAAGAGGAGCAACAGCATGAATCGCAACTGGCGGCAAAGGTGAGTCTTCCGTCCTCTCAAATCTCCGAATATAATAATTATCTAGAACATAATAACTTTCTGCATTTAACATATTTTATTGAGGCTAGTTTTATGTGTGATAGTTATTTAAATGTGCTGTTATTTAATCCCCTTTTTGATCCGCAGAAAAGTGATGCGCGCCTACCAGGATAGTTGGGACCATCGGTGCCGCCTGCTGTTCTGCTGCATGGGCTCCTCGGAGCGCAATCGCAACTCCTTCACGGACATCGCCCGCCTGCTGAGCGACTTCTTCCGGGAGCTGGACGTGGTCCCATCGGACGTGGTGGCCGGACTGGTCCTGCTCCGCAAGTTCCAGCGACTCGAGCGGGAGGCCATCGTGCGGCAGCGCAAGAATGGCACCTACGAGTTTCTCAGTGGCGTGCCGATCACGGAGCGAACCCAGTTCCTAGCACTCAACGATGCCAAAAACTACGACTTCTTTCAGACGGTCATCCACTACATGTACTTCGCCCAGGGCGCCTACGGCTGGCCCATGTACGTCATCATCAATCGCAGCAAGATGTGGCACCTGCTGCCGGAACTGAAGTGAGTACGGGGTAAATGGTAATCAATTCTTTGCCTTTTACAAGTTTTCCTTTTTTATACCCTTGCAGAGCAAAGGGTATTATAATTTTGGCCAGAAGTTTGCAACGCAGTGAAGGAGACACCTCAGACCCCATAAAGTATATATATTCTTGATCAGCATCACGAGTAGAATCGGAATACGTCTGTACGTCTGTCCGTCTGTCCGTCTGTCCGTCTGTCCGTCTGTCCGTCTGTCCGTCTGTCCGTTTCTGCCTAAACTAGTCTCTCAGTTTTAAAGCTATCTCGCTGAAACTTTCCCAAAATGTGTGTAGTTATTGCACGCAGTATATAAGTCGGAACGGGCCGGATCGGCCGACTATATCGGATAGCTCCCATACGAGAGAATGAAATAAAAAATTCTTACTCCGTTGTTTTTGATCAGATCGACTTGAATTCTTCAAGATGGCGTTTTCTAACTGTCATTGAATTTCGGATTAAATTTGATCAAAATCGGATAACTCTATCATATAGCTGCCATAGGAGAGATCGAAAATTATATATAGAATTAATGGAAATAAATTGATAACATCGTTGTTTTTTATCCCACGAGCATGAAGTTTTGAATATAAAGTTTTTTAACAACGTTTATATTGAGAAAAAAGTTTCATAAAAATCGGTCATCTATATCTTATAGCTGCCATAGGAAAGATCGAAAAATCTATATAGAAATAATGGAAATAAAATTATAACATCGTTGTTTTTCATCAGACAAGTATGATTTTTGGAATATACAGTTTTCTTACGACTCTTGAATTACGAATTAAATTTGATCGTATAGCTCCCATATGATCTATAGTCAAAAATATGGAAAATGAATAGAAAAATCGTCTTAGCTTCGATGTTGTCTAGCCTTTATGAGTTTTGTTCGACATATTTGATGACTGCAAGGGTATATAAGCTTCGGCTTGCCGAAGCTAGCTTCCTTTCTTGTTTTGTGGTACAAACCTTCATACAACAGTCAAATGCCATTTTATTTTGGCGGGGAAGGCACTTTCTTTACTTCTTCTAGGCTCAGAAAGCAGTTGCATAATTGTAAAAATAATTTTTTTTAATTTTTTAAAATATTTTGTATGGGGTATCCCCTATTTATGGCGGTAAAACCTGCTTCCTTCAATAATCCTTTTATTCAGACATTTTTCTTAGCTAAGAAAATGAAATAAAATTTTGTCGCATATTTTTTTCCCGAAGTATTAAGGAAAATTTTATTTAATTTTAAAAGTTTTCCTATGTACATTTGCAAACAGTCCCCATTATGCTTCGGCACATATGAATGCTCAAAATTAACCTGCACGCAATGGTTATAAAAGCAAATACAGCGCCGTAAAACTTTTTTACATCACAGCAGTTTTATGTGAAATTCGCATGACGCTGTTTTTTCTGGTCTCAACCTGTTAGGGTTTTTGTACGCTTCAGTGAAAAGTTTTAATGGAATCTCTTTATTTGCTGAGCTCAGCGATCAGAACCTAAAATATTGCAAATATGATGGGCTGAGATTGGTTTTTAGCAAGAAATAAATTAAATATCTACAAGGTTTGTTAGTTGCAGGTAGTTATTTAAATCGTTTCTATTTGTTTTTTTTTTTGAATTCGTTGTTTTCTAAATTGAACCCTTTGGGGGGAATCTTTTCTTTGCAGGTGCTTTGGCTGCTGTTGTGGAAGTAACGACGACACGGAGGTAATTCAGGATAATTGCTGCCTGTGCAATTATGCGGCGCTGAAGAAGACTTTGCAGCTGGGCGACATCGACATCGTTTATGCCACCTATCACGTGGACGTGGGCGAGACGCCATTCTTCGTGGCCGTCGACTACACCCACCGGGCGGTGGTGATCAGCATACGCGGCACCCTCAGCATGAAGGACATCCTCACGGACCTGAATGCCGAGGGCGAGGTGCTGCCCCTTCAGCCGCCGCGCGACGACTGGCTGGGGCACAAGGGCATGGTGCAGGCGGCCATCTACATACGCAACAAGCTGCAGGAGGAGAACCTCATCGAGAAGGCGCTGCAGCGCAATCCGGACCGCCAGACGCACACCTTCGACCTGGTCCTGGTGGGTCATTCCCTGGGTGCCGGCACAGCGGCCATACTCGCCATCCTCCTGAAGCCGGAGCATCCAACGCTCCAGTGTTTCAGTTACTCGCCGCCCGGTGGCTTGCTAAGGTGGGTAGCCATTAGTTTTTCCAATTTCTATATTAATTAATTGGGTTTTCCGATTCAGTATGCCCGCCGTGGAGTACTCCAAGTCATTTATCACCTCAGTGGTTTTGGGCAAGGACGTTGTTCCGCGAATCGGTCTCAACCAAATGGAAGCCCTGCGAGCGGACCTCATCAATGCCATTCAGCGCAGCGTGGATCCAAAGGTATGTTAAATGATATAACTAAAAAATGTAAAATTAAATTGAAGAATTTATAAACATTTATAATATTTTTTATAATTTCGTTTATTGAATTGTTTCAGTGGAAGACCATTTCCTGTTCGGTCATCTGCTGTGGCTGTGGACCGGAGCCCACTTCCGTGGTCAACATGTCTGGCCAGGACACGCACATCAATCAGTACCAGGAGGTATTTACTATTTACCCTCCAAAATGCATAACCTTTTGAACTGATTTGAAATACCTTTTTTTATCCAACCATTTCAGGAACGCGGCACTGCCCGTTCGACCAGTGCGCATCCGACGGACAGCTCGATAGCTTTAACCCTGCACCAGCCCTTATATCCGCCCGGTCGCATCATTCACATAGTGCGACACCATCCCAAACCCGACGAGTGAGTAGAGCTCAAGCGAAGAGTCCCCTTCCCTGTTTCCATGAGCCGACGGGCTGGAAACAAATGCCAAACACAACTGGTCGCATCCGCATTTGTTTCCTCCTCGGTCTCGCAACCCGACCTCCTGACCCACAAATGATTTATTTGTTGATGTTTTTGTTTGATTCGCAATTCGAGATCCGCGATCCGTGATCCGCGATCCGTTTCTGGCCAAGGTCTGTGCTAATTGATGTGCGATAATCGAGGAATGGAAGCTTATCGCTTGCTTGAGAGTGAAGTGAAATGTCAAGCTGATCCGCATGTGATTCATTCGCCAAATGACGTCAGTGTTGGATTGTCATGGCTTCGACTACTAGAGTGCCTCGCCCATTCGTAGGTGATGATCTCGTTTTCGTCATCGGGCGAAGGGGAGCATTGAACTCTCTGTGGAGGTCGGGCCCTTTGCGGTTCGTTGGCAGCCTCTAATTGAGGTCCACGAATTTACATACCCACGTAACTTATGGCCGGAACGTGCTGCTTCAGTTATTGAGCTCACAAGTGCCCCATTTCGTTGGCTGTAACTCGATTACATACAGAGACTGCGCCGCTATGGAATTCCCAAAGTAGGGCTTTCTTGGGAGACAGTCTGAAGTTAAAGAATGTTGAGTCATTAGGGGGGAGAAATTTTGATTAACACATACTTCTTAATTTTTTTGTAGATTCAGTTTATAACAGCTTTATTAGGGGGGAAAAGAAAAAAATTAATAAGAAAATGGAAAGTTGGAGTATTATTAAACATCTTAAGAAATATTATTTAGATAGGATATAAAAAATAGTAACTGCACTCGGCGGATTTCTCGAGCGATATCTTTCACTAGTTATTGTTTATATTCGTTTGAATTCTGTCTTGTTTCGTTATTTTTGTGTTGCTGAACGTGTTTGACCGATTTCTGTTTGCCCCAAGTCCCAAAAAAAAAAAAAAAAAAAAAAATCCCCGTCAATGAGAAAAGAAAATAATGTTACCAAAATGTTTTTCAGGCAAAAATACGACAGTGGTTGGAGGTAGGCACACACACAGACCCACCCACATTGACAATCGCACACACAGACACACACGAATCGCATCGCACACAGATACAGATACGAGCGCACACACGCATCCAAAAGATTGAAAGAAGAAGAGCTTGAGCAGCGCTGCAGTAACTCAACTCGATCTTTATCTGTCTCTATCTCTCCTGTCTCTCTCTGTCTATGTCTATCCCACTCTGCCCGTGTTTCTGCTCGCCCTTTCTCTCTCTTTCTCTCTATTCCGCACACTTTCTCTGTGTCCTAGCTTGTTTGGTTTGTGTGTTGACTAGTGGCAGTCCGCGAATTCTTCTGTTCTATTTGTTTTCCGTTCGAAGAGTTCTAGAATCTTTGTTGCATGATTCATCGGTGCATGCATCGTTCCCCCTTTAACTCTTTTTACACTATCTGAGTTCTGGTTTTTGGAATATCTGACAAATAGTAAAGATAACTAAATTAAAAATTCCCAAAAATCGGAAGAAATTCAGGTTGTGTAAAAGGCTATTAGATACAATCTCCTTCACTCGCTGTCTCTAGTATTTCAGTTTTGAGCCTTATAAATTGTGATCAATAAAGCAGGACCAGCATGATATTAGCTCCGGAATCTTAGATTAAAAACTTATTTATCTCTAAGCAGGGTCACATAAATCTTTTCTTATCTTAACCCTTTACATGGCAATAACTCCGATTTTCTTCATTTTTTTTTTGTTTGGTAGATAAGTGAAAATAAAAAATACACTTCTTTTTATTTTTTTAATTTTTTTGGTTTTACCTTATTTTTTCTATGTGTAAAGCTACTTTACTGCATATCTGCAACAAGGCAAAATTGTTGATTTATTCGTATTATAATGCAACAAACACAAAAACTCGACAATATATAACTAAATAAAATTTTACCTGTTTATAAATATAAATTAAATTAACTATACATTTTTTTTTTATATTTAAATTTGGATAAGAAACTGCACAACCAGTTCAGATTTCCACATTCACCAAATTGGCGGGAAAAGTAATTATCTGTTGAGTATTGGACAGAATTCTGAGTGACTAACACTTGTTATGTAAAAAACGAAAGTTTCTGAACTGCATCAAAAAGATTTCAGAAAGTTTTGCAACGCCCGTTGAGAAATAAATGAATTTGAACGGTATGATGCAGATATGCATCACCACCATGTAAAGGGTTAAAATATAATTTCATAATTAATTCAAGTTAAATCCATAATTAACATTTTACTATTTTTGGTAATCTTTAAATATTTTAGAAACCAATTAAATTAACCACTCTTTTTGATGTACATTTAAACTAAAATCTTGCTGTTTACTCATGAATATACTTGTAAAAAAAGTAGTAATACATGCCTTTCTTTTTTTGTAGATAGTTAATCAAATTTTGAATAAGTAAAAAAAGGTTTTCTTACCTCTAGCATAGGTAACACATTTTTTAAAACTGTAGTCTTCTGTTTGTTTTTACAAAAACGTAAATGAGATTTCTGTGACACCTTATTGTCTCTCATTGGAATTAAGTTGAAAGAACTGTGTGTAATACCTTGGAGTAGATTCATATCTAGATAGTTAATAAAAGTGCCCCCGAAAAAAACACTATTTGATTGAAGAACTTGTGTATTTTGCAGGAACGTGCTGAAGAATCGGGAGCCCGTATACCAGGCCATCTGGGCCGACTCGACGGACTTCGATGAGGTGCTCATCTCGCCGGTGATGCTGCAGGATCACATGCCCGACAAGGTCCTCGCCGCCCTCAAGAAGGTAATTGCCGAGTTCGACGACGAGCGCGGCTCCTCGGTGCACAGTTATTCCACAGCCAGTTGATCGGATCGGATCAGATCTGATTGTGTTTGGACGGCAAATGGAAACCGAGAATGAATGGAATGAGAATGAGAATGATCGTTGACACCCCAAAACACCCTACTTCCTCCCCCTCTTCGTCGTCTTCGTCGTTGTCCTAGAACCGTATATAGTCTAACTATAGCCCTTAGAATATCTAGAGTACGCAGCACCGATCTAGTTAGTTGGCTCGATTGCCTAACGTACTGTCTGTACTCTCTGTACCTTGCCCCTAGTGTAGCCGTAAGGTTGGAGGTCGCAGAAGCACAAAACCACCAGCCACCAACCACCAACCACAAGAGCCACTCGAACACCAAAAACAACAACAACAAAAAAAAGAAGGAAAAAAAAACAACACCACCCCCACAATCACATGACAAGCATATTTACACCAATGCCTATTTATCAATATATTATATGTAAACTCAATTACGTTTAACGTTATCTAGTCTAAGGCCGACCTATCGCTTATAATTTCAATAATGCTAAATTGTTCGACATTGATTTATTTGTATTTATTTATTGCCTTGTTTTGATAACTAAGAAATTATGCTTTGATATATGTTATATGTCCAGAGTAAAGAACCGATACTTAGCCAGCACTACACATGCATAGCCAAGAATTCAGTTAATCTATTGTATTTATCGCTGTGTGAGGCATTGACAATGGACTTTTCAATGTTTACAATTACGCCTAAGTTATATTTATATTTCTATTTATATTGATATACCCGTATTTTGTTTGTACTGCTTAAGTAACCCTTGTCCAATTATCGTATAAGTTGAACAGATGTAATTTGCATTTCGTTTTTCTCAATCTCACGCCCTTAAAATATCTCCTATTTCACTTAATGTTTAAACAATTTGTTTTTTTTTCTATGACGAATATACAAACACTTGTACGTACTTAAAAGGTTTATTTTAATTGTTGCTTTCGATTACATTTGTACTGGGGGCACAGTTTGTAAGTTGACCTGTCTACTCCACCAGAATGTCCAGTTGAACCCGATTTCGATGGATTAATGATGTCCAAGAAAATTCACTATTAGATGGAAGAGTATCGTATCGGTTTGGAACTTCTAGCAAGTAGATGATGATTTAATTTGAGTTCCTTATTTGTGGATTTAATTTGGTAAGTTTATTTAGTTCGACTTTTCGTTGTGCTTTAATCACAAACACTACACAACCATGAAACATACACACAACTTCTTCAGAAATATCTGCTGCATGGGAATGGTTGTTACATTGTTGTAAAGCTTATGGAATGGCAAAAAAAAAAAAAAAAAAAAACAAACAAACTATGCTATATGGTAGAGGAACGTATTCGCTTTTGCTGAGCTGGGAAGAGGAGGTATCGGCCTCGGCTGTGAGCTAGTTGCAATGAGAGAGTAGTGGATCAGGCTATAGGATAAAACCCCTGAATCGATTCTCAACCCGACCCGCCCTTAGATGATCCCATCCTGACCAAAGCTAGTATTTGTATATGCGACGAACTTGTGTAACCACCGATGTACTTAATTATGCTTTTGTTTTGCCTCTTTTATGAAACTTAACGATTATCGATAACCGATATTTGAATACCGTTTCTTACCGATTTGTATGTGACCCGATCTTCCGATGATGTGCACAGGTCGTGTCTTGTAGAGATCGAACCGTAAAGGCATGTACCACTCGTAGACGTAATGATAACACGACAATAACTACAACTACAACAATTACAACTACAACAACAACTACGACAACACAAAATACAGATACCAGGTACAGCCGCCCGTCAACTTCTATATAAAAAAAAATGTTATCATTAAACAAAAGACTAAAGCAACTTTCCATTTTGCTCTCGTTAAAACCAAAATCAAATTCTTAAATATGTCAACCGAATTACAAGTCTCTCTCTCTATCTCTCTCTATGTATATTTCTCTCTCCCGCTCTCAACCCAACCTCAAACAAATACCAACAACAAACCTATCAATTTTTGTAAACTAAACTCTCTAAATGTAATCGTACCCGCTGTGTATGTACAACGAAAAACCAAACTCGATATTGTGTCTCGCACCCGTAAGCTCCCAACCACCCTCAAAAAAAATCAACCTCAACACCTCGCCACAGTGAACTATCGATCTATCGAGCCATGCGCAACTGTACACCCACATCCCACTCGCTTAGCTTTGACGCAACTGTACTTTAGACACTCCACTCGCTATATGCATTTGCATCTGTCTATTTCCACTCTCGCTCATCTGTGAAACTGTACATACATGCATCCCACTCTCGCTCGCTCTGACTCTCTCGCTCGCAACAACATCTACTCGTCTCTTTCTGCATTTGTATATGTAACTAGGAGTTGTATAAATCAGGATTGATTGATTGGTATATCTGTCTTGAATTAGTTATGATCAACAATGGATATTTAAAAAGTTTTACATTAAATATTAAGCTATTGAAATTGGTAACAAGTTACACAAAAACCTGCAAAGGTCTTCATATAAGGCAGACCTATCAATCAACCAATTGGTTAAACACTTCAGTAGGACTTAAGCCTAGACCTAAGCTTAAAGTGCGAGTTCCGGCAACCACTGATCCACTGATTTCCCTACTCGCTACTCGCCATTTAGGTTGTAACAACGAGTGGGCCACGCAAGCCGCAGCGCCAGACATCCAATGCATTCTCCACCGGATCGAACGATGCCCACGATGCGGAACTGGAGCCGCCGCAATGCAGCAGCCGTCAAGGTGAGACGACGGATGCGATGAGATCCGAACCGGAACCGGAAATGGAAATGGATCCCAGTCGAATGCAGAACCCGCACTCGCACTCGCAGTCGCAACACTGCAAGCGGCCCTCGCAAAGTTCCTACACGAATCTGAGCAACTGCCTCGTCCTGACGCCGACGGCCCAGCACAAGCTCTGCCTGGAGACGTCCTTCACGAACGGATCGGCGGCACCGCTGCAGCCGGCGCAGCGCCTGCACTCGGCGGGATCCTCCCTGCTGAGCTCGGCCACCACGCCGTACGACATATCAAGTGCTCTGGACGACAGCCTGGCCACGGTGGCCCTGCGGCAGAGTCCCTCGCTGATGAGTGCCGAGACCACGGCCACCGTGATCGGTAATCCCGAAACGGATCCCTACTCCAATGCCAATTCGAGTCCGCATCCCAATTCGGATGAGATGGCCATTCCCCGGCTCAAGGCGGTGGCCTTCGACATGGCCTTAACCCCGCCTCCCTTGCTGCCCGAGAGATCGCTGCTGGGTCGCCAGCACTCCGAGAAGAAGCCGCGTTCCCTGCCCCTGGCCCAAGTTCAGGCCCTTCGCCGTGCCTCGGATGCTTCGGCGGCGGTGCCGGGCTCTGTGGACCTCCTCCACGACGACTGGTATGGCCTGGCCCCGCTGGCCAGTCCCGAAACGCTCTCGGAGATCTCCAGCGTCTCGTCGCGCACCAGTGTACCGATCAGTCTGGCCAACAGCATCGAGCGGTATCTGCAAAACATGGGCGTCGGCGTTGGAGTCGCTGTGGGCGCCCCAAAGGTTCCGCTGGAGGACATCTTCGAGTCGCAGCTGCACACGCCGAAGGTGATGCGGCGGGCACCCAAGTTCACCGAGAACTTGGCTGGCTGCGCCGAGGATACGAGAAACCTGGATCAGTACAAGCGACTGGGCCGTGTGTTCATCACCTTTCCGCGCATCTTTCCGGATCAGTCGGACCAGTTTGCTGCCCACAGCCTGGGCTCCTCCAGTGACGACAGCTTCGAGTCTGCGTCGGCGCACAGCCTGCAGCGATTGCAACTCCTGCCACATGGCGGTGCTGGTGCGGTGCAGAGTTCCAAGTCGGCGGATCCGCTGGACGGAGCACCGGAGAATGCACCGCCGCCGCCCAAGAAGCTGACCTTCAGCGACAGCGACATCCTGGCGGACGCGGACTGTCTGCGGCTGTGTCCTCATTGTCCCTGCGATCGGGATGTCCAGCATGGCTGTTGCACGCGCTCCGAGCATGGCAAGTGTGGCAATTCCAGCGGCGGAGGAGGCGGAGGCGGAGGAGGAGGAAGAGTGGCCGGCCAGCACCACACCTTGGGCTCCACGGACACGAGTTTCTACAGTGCCAGCTCCTCGTTGGAACAATTCGGCACACCGGCCCGCCAGAATGGTGGACCGCATCTCGAGGAGATCCTGATGCGTCCCGGTGTGTTGGAGTCGCATTTTCCCGTTGTGCCCGTTGTGGGTGGAAGCGGCGGCGGTGGCGGTGGTGGCATGGAAACGCCCGCTCTGGTGGCACCCGCATCCCCGTCGCCGCTCAGCAATGGCAAGCGACCGGATGTGGTCGGCGGGAGGGTGAGGAAGCGGCTGTCCTCCGAGGAGTTCGTCTTCTTCCGCGGCGACGAGATGCCCATTGTCGGTGGCTTGGTGCAGATCGGTGATAGGTGCTCCGGCGGCTCGCCGGCGGGACGCAGGCGTGGCAAGGCGTGCGTCTATCCGGCCGGAAGTGCTGCCGGGCTGCGCCTGGATGCCGTCGCTGCCGTCACTTCCGGTTCGCCCACGTCCATTAGCAAATTTACCCGCACCCGCGTGGCGGCCGCCGCCAATAACGAAAGTAATGTTTAATAGTTGTAAGTTGCAAGCAGTACCTTACCAGATGATATAGTATACCCGAAACTCGTAACTCTCGTCAAAATCTCGTAACCAATTATGCCGTTGCCACTGCTTTCATACGAGCGACCCAGAAAGTTGATAAAACAAAAAAAAAACAAATTAAAAAGAAAGACACACACAATACAAAACAAACTAACATTTTGCATACCGATTACCTAAGGAAAAACATTTAGCGTTAACACACGGGCGTTTACTATTAAATAAATGCAATATATATACATATATATTTTTTTGTGCAGCCGGACCCCATGCGACGACAAATTTTAATAAAACGTTTTAAAAAATGAAAAGTGCTTCTGAAAAAGAGGGGGATGTGTGGAAAAAAATATTATTTTTAAAATAATGAGTTTTCTAACGGTCAACGGTTATTTTAAAAGCTTAACGGTTTGCTTTTTGACAAATCAGCTGAGTCTTTAGCCCTATCAGCTGTTTAACAGCACGCATGGTGCGCACAACAGCACACTGTAAAATACCTTTTATTTTGGTATTTTGGTATTTTAATTTTGTCTAATTCCAAAGTTCGCTGCGTCTGCATTTGTTTACATCACTTTGTTTCAATAACTTTGGGGATTCCGAAAAGGATGTCACTGATGCAGGCGAATCGAAGGCAGGCGGCACAGCTCCTGTTGCAACTGAACCGCCAGCTGAGATCCCTCGCCGCATTCTATTCCTCGACATCATGTAATGCACCGCCGGATGTCCACCAGCTGAATCCCGTCGAGCTTCTAGGACCTGAATCCCTGCGGAGATGCATGGAGAAGATGCGCAACCTGCCGGCCTTCCCGCGTCCCAAGTCCTTGACGCCCAGTCGCCGGGAGAAGCAGTCCTCTGCGGTCCTCATCGCTCTCTGCCAGGAACGGGGAACGTAAGTATAGTCCACTTGAGTCCTCTTTTTCATATTTCATATTTTTTAAATCTGATACACCCGACTAAGAACTAGGTCCTTGAACTGCGTTTGAAGTTATTTTGAACTCAAAACTTCCATTTAGGAAAATATATCAAAATAAAAAAACCAAAAAGCATTGGAAACATTAACTTTAATGTGAAATTCCATCTTGTGGAAAAAAAACCAATGTTTTATGTTTTTCCAACGAAAACTGAAGGCCCACAATAAGCGCCAAGATTATGGGCAGTATCTTATCAACGTTTGTATTTCCAGGAACGAGATTTCCCTGCTCTACACGCGACGATCGCGCCACCTGCGCAGCCATAGTCTCCAGATATCCTTTCCGGGTGGCAGACGGGACGATCAGGACGCGAGCTACGTGGACTGCGCGCTCCGCGAAACGGAGGAGGAGATCGGCCTGCCGCGCAGCCGCATTCAAGTGTGGGGCGAGGCCAACCAGCTGGTCCTGCCGCGGACCTCCTCCATTGTGCCAGTGGTGGGCGTGGTGCACGACTTTAGCATCTCCGAGCTGCGCATCAACTGGGAGGAGGTGGAGGAGGCGTTCAGCGTGCCACTGCAGGCACTGATGGTGCCCCACGCCACCAGGCATACGCAATTCCGCAGCGGATACAGCGGACCAGTGTTCGTGGTGGATCGCCACCGCATCTGGGGCATCACCGGCTACCTGACGCACCTCTTCCTGCACTGCCTGTTGCCTCCCAGTTTGCTGCCCGACAACCTCAAGACGAACATCAAGTTCATTCGACCATTTAAGTTGCCTCCAAAGCTGCCGCATCACCGCGAGCACTCCGCCACGGATCCCTCGATGCGCACTTGAGGCGACGTCCTCGAACCAGACCCTAACAGCACTCAGGCTAGGCCCAATTTTATATTAACTAATATTGGGACCAATTAACTCAGACAAAGGCCTTTGATTCGGTCCAACCGAACGATGGACTACAATTGATTGTGTTCTTTTTTGTGTACATGTTTACTGTGAACTGCGTAGCGATATTTGCTCAAGTTTGTATTTATACAAATCTAGGTAATAAAACTGTTGACCATTATGTTGAACTTAAAGTGGATTGTTTAACTCAATAATCTGAAAGATTGAAACTCGAAAACCACATTCTTTCCCAACCAAATCTAAATCCCAATCCCTCAATAAAAAACAAAAGGTTTGTCTTTTTGTGTTTTTATTTGTAATTTTTCACTTAAATACAAAAAATACTCTTCATTTCCTCTTCTAATTTTCTTTTTTTTTTTTTTTCTTGTTACGATACAAATATTTAAATAAAAATTAAAAGCGAACAAAATGGCAACTTGCGCCAGGGAGCAAAAAAAAATCAAAATCATAATTTTGCAAAAAAAAAACAAATTTTTTCTTCCAATGCGAAAAATAAAAGCTCCTTGCAGAATACAAAAAATAAAATAAAATAAACATTGTTGTGAGACCGAGAAGCGGCTCATCAGGCAATCGATGGATTTTAATTGACATAGCGAGCTTAATATGCATGCGTTCGCCCGGACATCTGTATATCAAACACAAATGCCTTACTATTAATTAAACAAAAAATACATGCAGGCGGGCAAAGTAAGTCAAAGCCTGCGCGGTTGGTTGCGGCTGGTGTTTAAATAGGGTTTAAATTAAGCATAGCTGGAGAAAGGCAACGCGGCTGCTTAAAGAACACTTGTTGTTATGCTTGTTATGTACTCGTTATATATAGTAGGTATATATATATATATATATAATATATGCATGGGTAGTTTATCCGTTAAGTATACATCTATGTATAGTCCTCAGAGTTGCTGCTGTTGTAAAGTTGTCCAAAATATTGTGGTTGCTGTATACTATAAGTTGATGTGTGGCTGCATGGCTCTGCTCCATAGGAAACCTACTCCGAAATATCAATTGGAATGGATGTGGTAAACGTGGGCGTCTCCAGCTCCTCGTGCTTCTTCATTTTGAGACTCTGTGGTGAGGCGGTGAAAGTTAGCGAAAGGTTTGCAAAGAAATGTGTGCATATTTTCGAAATCAAACATACCTGTTGCAGCTTATAGTGATTGATGATGTCCTGATCAGCCGGGCACGATTGTGTGAAGGCATCCAGCTGGTACATGTGGTACATGTAGCGCCACAGCGCCGTCAAATGCGTCTGCAAGGAGCGGGAAACGGGGAATGGTGAGTCATAAAAGTCTGCTTGGTGTACTGAATCGATTCTGAACAAGTGTGGAGCTAATGACTGTAATTGCTCTGCCAACGTCTATTAAAAGTGATTTTAAACCCGTTTATGGCTTACGACTGCAGCGCTCATTAAAATTCTCAAATTAAAGTGGCTCTCTTATCAGTCAAAAATATATCTTTAGATTTACAGCCTTACTTTCCGTTAAAATAGTAAAATATCTACCATATAAAGTAGGGGTTAAATCAATAAAAATTTCCATGACGTATCCGTTTACAAATAAGCTAATGACTCTTTGTGGACAAAAGTGGATTGCGAGTAACCAATCGGTCCGACTTAACCGTGTGATATGAGTTATAGAAAGGCTGCTAGGAAGACCCTACTATTTGTCCTGCTTTTGGGAACCCAGAGTGCTTACCGGGATCTCAAAGTCGACGAAGTACTTGCCCGCCACACGGATGTGCTGGAGGCGCACCATCAGCTCGCAGTCGAAGCAGCACATGGTGTCGCCGGTGAGGAAGCGCGTGTTGCGCGTGGCCAGGTGATCGTTGATCTTGCGCAGATGCGAGAGCAGGGCGTTGTTCTTGGCCTCGTCCTTCTTCACCAGCATCAGCTTGAGCTTGCCGTAGAGGGTCTCGATCAGCGTGGCCACCTCCTTGTCCTGGACGAACAGATTGTAGCCACCGGGGATGTTCTTCATGATGTGCCGCTCGATCTTCTCGTTCTCGAGGATGGCCAGCCCGTTGTCGATGAGGATGGGCGGGTGTGTGGCCTCGAAGTTGGTGCGGAAGTCGGGCGGCGGCTTCTGCATGTCCACCGTCGTCACCTTCAGGCTGATCGTCTTCAGTTCGGCCAGCAGGTAGAGGTCCATAAAGTACTCCTGGCAGAACAAGCAGGCGCCCTTCCGTCGGCCATCGATGGTGGAGGCCTAGAAATTAAATCGGGAGCCAACATTAGAAAATATTCAAATTGGACAGATAATAAGTGCTAACATATTTAGGCTTTTAACGAAAAGGAAGTCATTCAAATGGAAAATGTCTAACGTGTTTATCAAGGTTTTTCTGAAACGGAAGCTTTTAAGTGGAAAGTGCCTACAAATTGGTATTTTATTTATACAAATTTGACTAATATATTATGCCCGCGATACCCATCAAGTGTTAATGTGGGTCACATTCCGCGGGACTGGGCATTTTTCCAGCGATTGGACATTGCCTTCTGCCCGCTTAATGGACATAATGCCCCATCGCGTGCCGGCAATTACCGATAAAAAAAATCAAACAAAATTTTTAACAAAATAAAACAACATAATTTTGATCATGTGACATCATCGGCGTAAACGTTCTGTGTTCAGCGTCGCGTGATGAGCCATCCATCGAGGTTTGTTCGCCTGGCGATGTTTTTAGGGACCGGAAGCGACCCAAAAGCCAAGACGCCAACGTTCAGTGGATCCGAGCCAAGCCAAACGAGAATTCTGCATCGCTGCACTGCCAAGGCCAGCAGCGGAAAGTGCACACTCGCAGATACACAGATAGAAAGATAGATGGCAATGACAGTGCAGCGGGCCAACAGTGAGTATTGGCCAATAGCCACAGCGGCCATGATGCGACTATTTTTAGGCCTTACTTCATCACTATCGTACGGAAAATATTTCACCCTAAGATAAGGCGAATATTAACAGATTAACCATATTACAAGTTTCCTCTGTACGTGATTTATTTATGTGTTTAGAGCTTCCTCTTATGATATAGCAGTAGTGATAAATATGGTTATGTTTTTTAAATATAAATATTCACTCAATCCACTCGAAAGTTTGTTAGCAATAGTTTCATGACTTCTTGGTGAGCAAACAAACTATTTTTAATATTGCGAGTCCGCGTTTCTTCACTGCAGTTTCGCTGAACCCCTTAGCCAATAAACACTGTGCTGCTGCAGCTGAGAAGCAGCTAAACACATCACATAAAACGACGCTGTCGATGCGATGCGATGACGATGATGTCATCAGCTGTGCGCGAAGTTTACTTGTTGATTGCCGTTGCCAGCCTTTTTATTTGCCTTGCCGTTCAAACGCACGAGTATGTATGTTTCTCCATTTCTGTTTCTGTTTCTGCTGGCGTCGACAGCCGGCTTTACTTCAAATGGCCCCAACGCCGGGCAATCAATGTGCGTATATGGCAGTGTGCATATTTGTATAGTATTCGTTAGATAAGCCTTCACTGTTGCTTTCACACACAGCACACAGCACACAGCGCACAGTTGGCAGTTACAGAACAAAAGTATGAATTCAAAACCAAACACGATAAACTATTATAACGAACAACCGACTGATCGAGAACGAGGCTGCCATAAGTTTGGCATTCAAAACTCCAATTTGCTAACTTCCAAATGGCCATGAAGTGCCAATTAAGTGCTGCATTTTATTTTCGACCTCCCCAAAAGTGAAACAATGTGTCGAGAACCATTAACAACCACATCTACCATCTAAATATGTATACCCTAAAGATTATTGTAAAATTAAACACAGCAACAAATGGGATAACGAGGCGTCAACAATTATCCGCTGTTAATTTGAAGTGCGCTAACTCCTCCAATTAAATTAAATTTTACGCACCAATTGCGGGCAATTAAAATATTATTTCGAATACGGAGTTAATTAGCATTGCCCTGTGTGCTAATGGCTTAATAACCGAACCAAACCAAACCAAACCCAACCCATTTTCCAGCCCACATGGCCGCAGAAACATAATCAACTGTGGAAAAAAAAAAAAAAAAAAGCAACAATAGTTGTGGGAGCGGTTTTTTCGTATCATTTTTTTTTTTGCTGCGGTGCTCAAACGGTTTATTTGTATTCTTTCACACATTATTAACTGTGCACGTTCGTTTACCTGGTCTACGCACATCCATAGCAATTCCATAAATTCCCAACTGACCCGGATTACTTTCAGTCGAACGTTCGGTTCGTTCCGCTCGTATTTGTATCGTATTTTCTTGGCCCGCATTTTTTTGCCCGACTTTTTGGCCCATTTTTGCATTGATGAAAGGGGTTATAAGTCTGTTAAACTGGCGTTAATTTGGAATTTATTTTATTTAAAAAAAGTATACTTGATGTCCACAATGAAAACAAATATTTGTTACTACGAAAATAAAATTTATTTATTTCCAGTGTGATTATTGAAAAAAACAATTTCCTATTTATATATCCCGATTTTTGCCATCACTAGCGACCAAGTTTGTTTGCAATATGAGTTGCAGAAGTTGGAAATGGAAATTGTACAGCCAAGAGTACGATGTGTGGCAACGTCAAAAAGGTCAGTGGAAGTCAGTCAGGCAATCATCTCGAGTTGAGAGTCCAAGCCAAGATACAGATACAGATGCAAAGTGTATGGGAAAACTAAAGATACAGATAGCAAGTACAGATACAAATAGCGAAGACGAAGACGGCGGCCAATTGCAATTGACGTTTCAAAATAGAAATGACGAGAGCGAGGGAAGGCAAACCGAAAAGCAGTTAGCAAATGTCAAGTGCCATTCACAGCACTCGTACACGTATGCTTCAGATATACTATATAAGCCACATCTGGCTAATAAAAACTGCCGGCAAAATAAATACCTTGCCAATATCAACGTCCGTTTGAGAAAAATAAGTTGTGGTGGAAGCTAAACACAAACGACATCAAAATAATGCATACACATTTGAACACATAATTCAAGATTAAAGTTTTTATTATTTGTATTATTTTTCAATTGCAATTCAATTTAGTCTTCATTTAATAACTTATCTTATCTATCTTTATTATTTATTGTTATCAATGACTGCAATTTTTGCATTATTAGTATTTACGTAAGTTGAGAACACGCCTTTTATTATTTCAGAATACTGTGTTATTTCAGTGGGCGTTTTTGTTTTAAATAAATTTCATTAGCTCTTCCATTTTGTCCGCGACTGTACGCCCACGTACATATGAATAGGCGCACTCAAAATCTTCGATTTGTTTTCCTTTTAATTGTAAATTCGTGGCGCGATAAGATAGAGACAGAGAAGCTAAGTAAAGTCAAATAAAATGAAATTTGTAAGCTCTGCGACGGCAACGTGAAATCGTAAATGTAAACGAAAATGAAATTGGTGGAAATGGTTGCTTGCCCCCAACTCTGTTTTGCCCCTCCACGATTTTAGACGTTGGATGGGTTTTATTTTGGGAACCGGTTCGCTGACAGCTGCAGCGCAATAATTTAATTATAATCGTGATGATGTTGGGGCCAGATGTCAACCTTGAAGAGAGCTTTCTTCGTATCCCCGTTGCTTTCGATTCTTTTTGGGCAACACAACAAACATAGAAACACCCGCACTCGCAGGGAGATGTCTGTTTGCCATATCTTATCAAAAGTCGGGCGGAAGTTATCGCCGCAGTTTGCGACGATGATGGTTGATGGCTGGTGAAGTAATAGCCAAAATAATAGAATTATAATCAGGCCAAGTGGTCGCATGGCAGTTGAAGTCAGCCGGCATATCTTGGCCCACAAATTTTTAATGGGCTAATGGGTTTTCCAACGACCTCAGAATAACTCAACTTCTTGTGCCATAAATTACAAGACTTTTGAAGGATCTTTTATCAAACACATTGCACAACTATTTTTAGATCTTGGAGCTCAAGGCGAAATTCTTTAATTAGAAAAATTAGTTATTGTCGAGGAATTTTTACCCTATTTGTGATGGAATTCTCATTCAAGCTAAATTATTTCCAGAGCTATTCTGACTTAATTGCTGCACGACAGAAAAAACGTTAGGCAATTAACAGAAATAAATAATGTAGGAAGTCGGTTTCGAAAGGTAGTTAAGAAACGCATATAAACCGAGAAGATAAACAAAACAACCGATTGTAAATGAAGACTGATGCTCTGTTTGTGAGGCAAAAAGGGGGAAATTGTGGGGGCGGGATTGTGAGGAGGTTGGCAAACCTTTGCGTGTTTTTCTTTGCTAAAATGTCAGTCACACACCAACGCTCACACACACAAACCCACAAAAAGCACGTGGGGGCGTGAAAAAAACAACAAAATAAAAAACTCATCTGTCACATTTGCACACATTCACACAAAATAAATAAAGCAAGGAAGACACGTACAGTGGGTTCTAGATAATTTCGAACTTCCGGACAACATAAGAATCGTACATCATCATTTTCAGGTGACTTAATTATTTCATTTTGATTAATGCATAGTTACATTTAGTACTTAGCAAAACAAATGTGTCAAAAGAAAAAAATTGAAATGTAACTATTTTCTATGGCATGTTCTTTCTCTTTTAAAAACCCTGTAGACCTTTATGTGAGAACGATGACTGTGCTTGCATTAAGTGCACCTTTTCATCTCGGCTCTTTGCTGCTGTTGAAGTGGCAACAAAGAAGCGCATTTTCCTCAACTCAACACAACTTAAACCTGGACAATTGCTTGCGTTGTTCAGACTTAACAAAAGGTACTAAATAAGATAGAGTTTGTATGGAAGTTATTCTTAGGGAGAATAGAAACGTGCAGCACAGAAACATATATTTATATTACTAAAATTTATTATAAAATATTCATCTGCCCAATGATTTCAGTAGTATGTATTTTGATATTTATATATATTGAAACTAAAAAATATCAAGTGCTCAAAACTGCACTGATGATAGAATAGAAGTTAACGGCTGATTTTTTTGCGTGCAGGGAATCGCCTTTTGTTTTGATTGCCGCTTTGTTTTGATTCGATTCGATGGCATGGCCAATTTCTGGAAATCTCGCGTGGGCGATGACTCGAGGGTAAGGCATTGGCTTTGGCCTGCCTTGTTTTCCAAGCCAAAAACCGAAGTAAAAGCCAAAGCCAAAGCCAAAGCCAAGCCAAGGAGGCGGAAAAGCGCGCACGAGAAAAACCTGTTTAGCGTTCAATGATTGTTTTGTTTCCCCCGCAAGCGAACAAACGAAACAAGAAAACACATTTGTATTTGTTTGTTGCCTGCACGCGCGGAACAGAGAGGCATGCCACGATCCCCAGCAATATGGTTGGATCTATAGCTCCCACTTTTTAGCTCCGACACCACCAACTACAGCTTTCCTCTGGCGCCGCAAATTGAACTTTCACTTTTTCGCTGGGAAATGGAAATGGCTTTTCACATGGGCCTTGTTTGGAGTGCGTTGCTGTGCGAAGTTATGTCAAAGATGCTTCTGTCACTCTTCTGGAAAAGTGAACTCTTGCTTTTTACTTGTTGAATTCCAGGCAAAAAAAAAAACAGCAGGTGCCTTCAAGCACTTTCTCCCACGACAACAGGAAAAGGGAGTGGGGCTCCATGCACCGACATTTTGGCCATGGCTCATCGAATTTCAATTGGTTTTCCTTTAGGGTGTGATATCTTTCGATTACTTTTGTACCTAATCAAGTTTACCCCAATGCATCGTTTGGAATTCTAAAGTTAAGTCTGCAATCATATTTTACCCATACCATTACCTTTCCCAAAAAAAATGTCTATATTGGGAATATGACTTGTGCCCTGGCTTGAACAACAAGTACTAACCATTCCCATCACTGATTGCTCATAGCGTTTGGTTTGGCGTCGAGTGGGTTTTTTTTTTTGGGAACGAAATGGTATAATATGGTATTGTACAGTATTGGGAGGTGCTGGAAGGTGAGGAATTAGTCATGGGCAGACGACTCGAGAGGTGCGGCCTCCATTTGCGTGGGCTGGATGAGTGGCTAAGTTGAGTTGAGTCGAGTTTGCCAATAGAATCAACAACAGCAGGGCTCCAAAGTGTTCCGAAAACAATTACAATTACTTCGGCAAACAGTGGGAACCAACAGAAAAAAAAAATGAAGTTAAGAGGAGTCATGCTCGAGTTACAATTGCGGGAAAAATGATAGCTCACAAATTGCGACCTATAAATAACTGAAGGCTCACTGCTGTAATCTTTGAATTCCATTGACTCAATTTTCTAAATTAGTTTTCTGAGGCGATGAACAAGTATTGTATCACAAGTTTTTCCCTGGCGTCCCACAAAATTGATAAGAAATGCTTTGTATTTGCAAAGATGGTTTTGACTTCAGCACAGAAAATCGAAAAAATTCCAAAATTTAATTCATTAAAGTGTTTCATCCAATTAAACATATTAGGGGAAACAACCGACCGCAACTAGTTATCAATTCTAACATCTTGACCGCAAATGTAGGTTCTAGCTGTTTGTTTTCTTCGATTCTTTGGAGGGGCATGACGTATGCGTCAAGAAATTTAGAAATCACTAAAAGATAAAAAAAAACCTCTAATTCATACACACAAATACAGAGAAACATGTAGCAGTGGGGAAGGTGGGGGTTACGGAGTGCTATGAAGAAGAAGAAGGAGCATTTGTTGAGCAATTGGCGCAATGAAATGTGATTAAAGTTTTAACAGATAAGAACCACAGAAATAAGTTACGTTCCAGAAATTGCAGACTTTGCACACACTCGATCAGTTACACATGAATAAAATCTTTAAACAAACTGTTTCGTTTCGAAAATAGATTTATGTATTCAATACTTTAAAACAAAGCACTACACAACTTAGAAAATGATATCATTTAATCCTTATTATTAAATATCTAAAGTACTAATCTATCTAAGAACTGAGGTATTTTAAAACTATCCCAACCTGGACTCAAAGAACAAATACATAGTTTAAAACACATTGAGTAGCAATTTGAAGCCTTCTTTACATATCTGAATTACTTTAGTATAGAGATATTGCTAAATCAAAAATATGTAAAAATTTTCGTTCTGTGCAGATGTGCAAGTGTATGTGTGTGTTTGTGCGATGGGGAGAAAAAGGAGAGAACCGGTTTTGGCGATGCTTAGGAACAACCGCAAGGCGAAAGGGGCGCAACGAGGAGGGGGTGCTAAACGTATTCTGTTCGTTTTAACCAAATGTGACACACTGCAAAGTGCCAAAGCGAGAAGAAGTCTAAAACGAAGGAGAAAAAGGGAGGAGGAGGAGAGGGAGGAACGAACGGCAGTTTTCCCAGTTGCTTGTTTTTGCCTTTGTTTGCTTTTGCTGCATTTTCACTCTGCATGAAAATTTGCGCAGAGCGAAATGGAAAACGATGTGCAGGTATGTACATATGCAAATTTTGCCATATTCGCTGTAATTCGCTTACCTTTATGATCAGTTCTATCTCGGGCACATCGAATTTACTGGTACCGTTCGTCTCCTGACTTTGCTGCGCTTCCACTTCGGACGACATTGCTTTTGCTGATCTGATCTGATCGGGGATCGAAGAGTTTTATCCGCGTGACGAGGTGCGTGCGTGTTCGTTTCCTTTTCGCTTTTGTTGTGCTAATTTTCTTTGCCAATACACACACACACGCTTACGCACAAATACTGGGGCACACTACACACACACACGTAGACTGGGGGCAGGAGGAAGAACAAGCTATCCTCTCAGTGTCAAAAAAAATTTGATGCGCGCTGCTCTGAAGCGTACTGACGATTAAGTGACCGTTTTTGGCAGCAGCCGCATATACCCGCATGCGTCTGGAAAATAACCTAACGCAAGAAGTCCATGGTGGTCGACAGTATATACCAACTTTCGGTAATCTGTGCTGTTATTATTTTCACTCTGCATTACCAGATTTGAAAAGAATAATTAAGAGAATTACTTAGAAAATTATTTAATTTCCATTTTTCGTACAAGGAGTCAAAGCCATAAAGGCAGATAACAAAATTTGTTGCGTAAAATATATAAAAGCCTTGACTGTAGTTGTGGCGCGAAAATCTGTGGAATTCGTGACGCTCTGGCCACACTAACACGCTTTGGCGTGCGATTAAGACTGTTTTTTTTTTGTAAAAGCCGGGTTTTCCCAAGATGGATCTGGTGGAGCTGCTGCAGCAGGCCCAGCGCCTGACGAACGAGACCAAGATGGACACGGAAATGCCGCGCGTGGAGCGGACCATGTCGCAGGTGCTGCAGGCCACGCAGGAGCTTCATGCGCGTGTCACCCAGACGGGCACCAACGATCTCCAGGCGTAAGTAGCACTGCCGGTCTTTTAAATTCATCCCATTACTCATCCGAACCTCTTCCGTTCATAGCCACATACTGCTCGGCTCTAAGGGCGTGGATCTGCCAAAGCTGACGCAGAAACTGGAGACGCTTAGCGCACGCCAATCCTTCGAGCCACTCGATCCCGTCGCAGACACCGATGTGCAGGGTTATTTGAAGAACGAGCGTGAAAATGCCATACTGTCTGTCATCGACGAGACAAACCGCAGTGTAAGTGGACCAGGAAAACAGACGATTAGGATCCTTTACTTACAAACTCTCTTACAGATTTTCGATTCCGTAGAGCGGATAAAATGGAGCCGCGTCTACGGCGAGTGGGGCGAGGAAAAGGAGGCGCTGCTGAACGCCCTGGTGGGTCCGCGCCAGCAGGACTTTCCCGACGTGCAGCGCCAAATGGTGCCCACGGCCATGGCCGACGAGCCTAGTCCGTTCTCCCGCCTGAATAACATCCAGCAGCTATACGCCAAACAGATCGTCGCCTACAACGAATCGCACATCCAAGGCAGTCAACGCGCCAATTTAGTGTCGGCCTTTGCCCAATTGGCCCAGGAGTCCTTCGACGATTCGCTAGTCGCCGAAATGTGGGACGTGTTGAAGTACATGGCTGTAGTGACGCCTCTATCGCGCAACATTGATCCCATCAAGAGTCGCCAGACGGCTCCGCAGTTCATACAGCAGGCGCGCGCCTATTTGGAGCGCAGATACAAGATCTACATGAACAAGGTTATCGAGCAGAATCTTGTGCTGGCCCGACGCGGTGGCATTCCCAACGTGTACAACTTGGTTGGCTCGTATGTGGGCGTCATCTTCCAGCAGCCACAATCCCTTTACGGTCTGCACGATGTGAGCAACGGTCGTCCGTTGTGGCCATTGGTTTACTTCAGCTTGCGATCCGGCGATATGGGTGCCGCTGTGAAGTACCTCAAGGAATCGGGAACCTGTCCCGAACTTCTCAAGCTAATGACACTGCAGAAGCTGGGCGATACGGATACCTCGAAGGCCAAGATCGAGGGCCAGCTGAAGCTTGAGTACAACAACAAGCTGCACGTCTGCACAGATCCCTACAAAAAGGCGGTAAGTAGTCGCCATTGTCTATAGTTGATTTCAACTTAATGGTATGCCTTTCGTTAGGTTTATGGCATCGTGCTGGCCTGCGATCCGAACGATTCGCACCCGGAGCTGATGCGCAGCATTGATGACTTTCTGTGGCTGCAGCTCTCCATTCTGCGCGGCCAAGACAAGCGGGACTACAACATCGAGCAGCTGACCTACAGCGGACTGCAGTCTCTCATTCTGGACAAGTACGGCGAGAACTACTTCAATGCCCGCGAAAAGGCGCCGCTCTACTTCCAGGTTCTGGCCCTCACCGGACAGTTCGAAGCAGCCATCGAGTTTCTGGCCCGCACTGAGGCAAATCGCCCGCACGCCGTTCACATGGCCATTGCGTTGAATGAGCTGTGCATGCTGGGTGCACCGCGTTCCGTAAAACAGCCGCTTCTGAGCTCCGAACCTGACGATCCACCGCCAATGAAGCGTCTAAATCTGGTTCGATTAATTGTCATGTACGCCAAGTGCTTTGAGCAATCGGACACCGAGCAGGCGTTGCAGTACTACTATTTGTTGCGGCACTTCAAGTCCGAGGACGGCATCAACGTAATGCTGAGCTGTGTGTGCGATCTGCTTGTGGAGAACTGCGATGACAAGATGCTGGAACTAGTCTTTGGTGTCGAAGATGAGTGCAACTCCTTCCGCTTCACTGGGTGAGTTTTTCCTGCCGTCTCTTAATTAAATATAAGAATACTAATGGTTTTCTTCGTGCGCTTTTCCAGCGGCATCTTCGCCGAGTTCCACACAATGGATTACGACAAATACTCGCTGGCCGGAATGGTGGGTGATGAGCTGGCGCGACGCAGCAACTATGAGTCGGCCATTAAGCTCTACTTCATTGCCGGCCATCTGGACAAAACGCTGCGTTTGGTGTGCTCTCTGCTCTCCCAGGTGGTCCATCAGCCATCGCGACCGGGAAGCATGAGGGAGCGGCTGTGCAACGTAACTAAGCGATTGGATGCGGCGCTGGCCGAGCGCAAAACGGATGTGGAGGCCCAGGTGATGGTATCTTACACGGTGCTGTCGCAGTTGATGGACTTCTTCGATTTCTATCACGAGGGCGAGTATCGTTTGGCATCGGAGATCCTGTCCAACAACCGGCTGATACCCGCCAACTCATCCGAAGTGGACGAGTGCGTGACGAACCTGAAGCGAATGGCTCCAGAAATTATCAAGGTGCTACCCGACATTCTGCTCGCAGCCATGGACATCGTCTACGAGGAGTATGTGAGCCAAAGAGGTTCAACCGGATCGGGTTCATTGTACGGCGATGAATCCAAGAGTGAAAACAAGGAGGCCGTCCTGAGGCACTTGCGCATCAGGGCAAAGGCACTGACCAACATGGCGGCTAGCGTTCCCTACCGAATGCCATCGACCACCAACCAGCGGCTCGTTCAGTTGGAGATCTTAATGCACTAGCCGAATTAAACCCTTCATTTAGCGATCGTTTTGCTTAAATGCGTCTTTTTTGCTTGTTTAGTTTAGATTGCACATTTGTTTGAAAGACATTCTTTGAGTTACAAGTTAAAAATACATTGCGCATCTATAGAAGTTTCTCGCGATTGAAGAAGTATACTTTAAAGCACTCCGAAAATTAATTGTAAATGCTTTGGTGTTCGAAAAGAATATTTGTAACAGTTTTTAGCTGTGCTCTTTGTTTCGGCTGAATTAATCCAGCAATCAGTTAAATTATTAAAACAACATTGCCAGTTAAGAATAAAGTATTTTATTGCATTATTTGAGACACCGTTGCTATTGCTATGAAACCTCAAGAGGTCTCAGGAACACCCCAGGACATTTAAAGAACACACATTAATATATGAAAATAGTACTGCCAACAATTGCTGCAAAAGCAATAACAATTGTCGAAAGCGTTCAGGAATCTATTACATAGTTTTTAACAGATCCGCTTGGAGATCCTCATGCACTGCCATGAACATAATAAAAAGAAAGCCACTAACTTAGCGATCGTTTCGTATAAATGCATTTGTTTTCACTTCTGTCTGTTTTAGATAATATTGGTAATTGGAATATGTTGATTGCGATAGTTTGATCGTTGATCTGTGCGTCATTCAGTCAATGGTGGGTGGTCGAATCGTCCCCGCTCAGCCCATGTACTGATACGAGGCGCAGACGGGCTCCTGGTGACGGGCATGCGGCGAGGACTGGAGTGCCAGACGCTGCAGGTGGCACTCGCGGCAGAGCAGGCGCCCGTCCAGCGGGTAGCAGCGCTTGTCCGGCTCGTCGGTCAGCTGCATGCCGCACTCCTCGCAGATGTAGCAGTCCACGTGGAAGTCCTTGTCCATGGAGACGACCCGTACGGTTTCGTCAGTACCCTCAACGGGGGTGATGCCTATTCCAGATTGATACAAAGGAATCAAATAGAATTTAAGAGGTTCGGCGAGTTGCGAAGTATGAACCCACCCTTGCCGCAGCTGGCGCACTTGGGCGCAAACATTCGGTGGTAATCGTTGACACAATAAATCTTGTGGTCCACGTCCACGGTGAAGGGCACACCGTCTAAGCACTCATTGCACACACAGCACCGGAAGCAACCCGGATGATACGACTTGCCCATGGCCTGCAAGATCTGCAAGAGAAACCGAAACCGAGGTGAGTGTTCCGTTTAGAGCGGGATGGATGCAAACAGGACTAACCATCTCCATGATCAAGTGGCCGCAGATGGCGCACTTTTCCGCCGTCTGCTGGAAGCCCGAATACTGCAACAATGAATTCTTATTATTATTAATTAATATGTGTGTCAAATAATAAGTAATCAAATCAAAATTGGTTTGAAGCCAGTGAGCAAAAATATTTGATTTAATATGACTTAAGTTCCAAACGTAAGCATTTCAAATAAATTACAGAAAATCACAGTTTTTGAAACAAAAATAATTTAAGAAGTAAATCAATATTTTTGTGTATCCTGACCAAACTACAACAACTCTCTTACCATGTAATCTTCCTCACAGTAGACCCTTCCGTGCACATTGTAGAAGGCCTTGCCTCTGAGAGCCCGTCCGCAGGAGCAGCAGATGAAGCAGTTGGTGTGATAAAGATTACCCATCGCCTGGCAGGCCTGACCGGCACCCTTCACCTTCTCCCCGCAGGTGTGACAGATGCCTAAGAATCATATCATAATATGTCATTAGAGTGAGTACGGTCAATCATTGGAGTGCTGATAATCTACCGAAATATTCGCCGTGCTCCTCGCTCTGCTCGATCTCCTCCTCCAGCTGGCGGGTGAGCTCCTCGATCTTCCGCTGAGCCTCCGTCGGACCAGCCGGGCGCGGCGGGGTGACGCTGTACGGCAGCAGATTCTTGGTGAGACCTGCCAGTGAACGAGCAAATATTAGATCATGCTTTCTATTTGGGTTGCCAGCCAAGTTGGACTTGGTCAGCAAACAAATCAAAACCAAATATGCGGGAGTATTGTTGGAACCGGCAAATAAACAAACGGCAAATAAAGCTAATAATGCACGACGTTTTACACGATCGTCATTAGTCATAATACAAAAATAACTACATCGAATCAACAAATGAAAACCCCTAAGTGGTTAATTAAATATGAAGCGAGATTATTTTTAGACTAACACAACAAATTTAATTTTACATGTAAAGCAACCTAATAAAAATTGTTTTTATAAATATAATATCATAATTTAAATCAAGAGTCAAACTGAAGATTACTATAAATTACTAGGATTGGATACGTCTCTGGTTTGTGGTTTGAAAACGATTTCGATTTTCTGTGAATCGGTTCAGGTAAAGGACTTGAAAATAAACCGGTTAGCGGCAACCGTTTGACCGAAGTTTGTCGCCCCGCCAACCGGTTTATGATTGAGCGATGAGTGATGACACAAACGGAACCCAACTGGAGACCCAACCCCTTTTGGGCACCAAAGCTTAGCCCCTCCTACCTCTCCTGGGTTTCAAGGCAGCATTAATGGCTGCGTGCAGGCATTTTTAGTGGGAAAACATTTCGATTCATTAGTTTGATTAATACAATTTGGAATGGATGGAGCGAGCAGTGATGGGTTGTACCAGGCAGATAGATACATATTTCTAATACATACTTTAAGCCTAGGTGGAATTTCGAAACTTCCACAAAGGCAATAACGTACCCTGCCCATCACTGAACATGAAATACTGTTTTGGTAAGAGATCCACTCACCTGTGCTGCCCTGCGACGGAGTGGGCGATGTGGCCACCGCCAGAGGAGCTGTCATCGCAATGGGCGTGGCCCTCAGGGAGGCGTTGGATGATGATGTTTGTGGTGGCTGTGCTGCTGCCGCCGCCGCCGATGTGATTTGTGCATTGGATGTGGCTGGTGCCGCTGCTGTGGCCATTCCCATGGCCATTGAGGACGATATCGTAGCCGGCTCCTGGACAGTTCGCTGGGCAGTGGCTCCCGTTGCTGCCGCTCGGCCAGTGGCCAATCCCGCTGCCGAGTTCCTGTGCAGATTCGCCGTCATGCACACATAATCGGAACTGTTGATGTCCTCTATGTAATTGGGATTAACCGAGACATTGATGGCGCCAACCGGAGATTTGATAGGCGTGTGTTGCTGCAGTTTAGCCACCGATTGTGCCGTAGGCACCGGACTAAGATGGCTGGGCAGCGAAAGGTTCCTATACCTTTGGGTGGGCGAACCCAATGAGCTTGAGCTGGCCGTATTGCTGCTGATGCTGCGCTGATGCATGGGCGAGGCCAGCAGTGCATTGAGATCCAGGCCGGCGGTGGAGGACCCGCCAGAGGAGTTGGACGTGGGCTGCATCTCCTGGTACATGGTGGCGGTGGCCGGCGAGGCCTGCGGCTGTGCCCGCTGCCCGGAATGGGGAATGATGTTTTCGTAGATGGGCGCTGCATGTTCCTCCAGATCGGCAGTCGGTCCCAGGGTCACAGATCGACCTGCTCCTCTGTTCACCGTTCCCGAGCCACTTCCCGGATTCTCTGGCACCGGCGTATGTGCGAAACGGCCTGCTCCAATGGGCTGCATCAGCAGATAGTCGTTGAGCATGGCGCTCTGTCTGCTACCGGGACTTTGGGGTTGTGCCCTCTTGTGATTCGAATCGAATTGGCCGTAGAACTCAAGGTTTTCGTACACCGGCGAATGTTTTTGCGGGGCAATGCGTTGACCCAAAATCTGGGCGGTGGGTGCATAGATGTGAGCACTGCCATTGTGGCTATGCTGAAGTTGCTCCACGGGACGGGGCGTGGCATATTTGGAGGCGGCTATGATGTTGCCGCGTTCGTACAGCTTGTAATCCTGATGGTGATGGAGGTGCTGCATCTGATGTTGTTGTTGGCTCTCTTGCAGGAAGTTCTCGATGGCGCCCGGTGACCGTTGGTAGCTCCTCATGGCCACGCCCCCGTCGCCGAGGCCTCCCCCGCCTCCTGCTCCTCCTCCGATGTGGAGGCGCTGCATGAGTGTCTCATAGTCGGATTCGGAACTGCTGGGATTCCTGGCCTGCGTTTGCGTTCGCTGGGTGGTCATTATGCTGATATATCCTTATCCTGCAACTTTGGCTCCTCCACCTCCTTTTCTCCTGCTCCTCCTCCCTCTCTTTCTGTCTCGCTCTGCGGGGGGACGCCGCCCCGAAATCAACGATTTCCTCGTTTTCCCCGGACGGAAAAACGCCTTAGCTAACTGTGCTCAGCTAGTTGGCAATCAGTTTGGCGGCTTTTCCTTTACACTTTCAGCTTTTTTGCATTTTCTTTGTTTTCTACTGCATTGGAAAAATCAAAAAACTCGGACCGTGGGAACAACTTGTGATGAAGTGTGACCGTAGTTTGCAACCGTCATAATAAACCTTCCGGCAAGCTCCGGAAAAATACTGCAAATATACCGCAGAACAGTGCGAGTGGGTCACCCTAAAAAACTGTTTGGGAGCTTAAAATGTTCTTGAAATTTTTAAAGTTTTGAGTTTAATCTAGTTCTGAGTAGTTGCTCCGTAAATATTTAAAATTAAAATTCTTAATCTCAAGCTCATCCCAAGAAAGAGAAAAAAAGAAAAAGACTTGCGTGTACAAGTTTTGTATATTTAAAGGTTTTGGTCTGCCGCGTTTACATTTTGGTTAGTACAGAAACATTTAAATTATATATATATATGTATATAACTAGCGTATATATCTGCGTAAATTGCATTAAGTTAGCGTAGGAAGCCACAACAACGCGATGGAGCAAGGGGTCCAGTCTACGAAGAGTGCTCGGAGCAGGTCTGGTTCACCTTGAAGATATTGGAGAGCTCGTCCAGCAGCGTCTCATAGCGATAGGCCACTCGGATCTCGGGCACATTGGTGCGGGTGATGTCGTTGCCCATAATGCCATCCTCGTAGTAAATGGGCCCCAGCCACTGCTGCTTTATCTGTAGATGTTACAAAAAATAATAATAAGTAATATGATTTGGGTTTAAATTCATTTGAAACGCACAGCGTGTGGGAATCCACTCATCATCACACTGTTCCTGGCCAACTCGCACATGTCGCAGGAGCTGAGCTTCCACACCTGGGCCGCAATGCTGTATTCTTCCATAAGGGGTTCCTAAAACAAGTCAGGTAGTAATTAGAAAAATATAACAGATCAAATAATAGAACCAGAATTAATAAACTGACTAAAAACTCATCCTCAGGATTTCTAATAAGACAACTTATTAGGCTCACTTACCTTGGTAAAGTGGAATTGCAAGGGATCGTCCGTGGAGAGGGAAATGATAAGACCTCGGGCCAAATACTCCGGCAGCGGATTGCGATGGTAGTTGAGGAACAGGGAATTGTTCGACAGCGGCGACATGGCAATGCCGATCTGGGTCAGATAATATAGATACTGTAGCACCGGCACCTTGCGGAGCAGTAGGCCGTGGGAGATGTTTTCGGCCATCAGGAAGCCGCACACCAAATGCTGCACGGGTCCAGCCTCGCCGCAATGGGGTCGCAGCACAAAGGTGTTCATGCCACGCGAGCTGGAAGGTATTCATGCCATCATTAATTGTGAGTACAAAAGACTAACAAGACAATCTAAATCAATTCTGATTTTTAATTAATTTTTAATTAAAATTTGTACAAAAAATGGAAAAATCGATTTCGCAATAAAATCAAATCAAATCAAATAAACGTCGAGCAGATGCATATTAAATTTAGCTAACTTTGATTTACCAGTTGCAACCTTCAAAAAACGAACAAATCGATTTTGCAAAAAAAAAAAAAAAATAATAATTTTTTTTAGGGAATGGATTGCTTTGAATTGAAATGTTTGTTTTGTTTGAAGTTATTATCTTTTACTCACTGTCTAAACTTGTTCAGCACCGTCATGTTGGCGTACATGTAGTAGATGTAGTACGCGTAGGGAGGATTCTCCTCGTAGGTCCATTCCTCCGGCCGTGGAACATCGTTATCGAAGAGCGGATTCTCCGGCTTGGACTCATCGTCCACGGAATCGAACCCGATAACGTACTGCAAAAAGCGATGCAGCTCCGGATGTTGACTGGGTCTGGCTGTCGCCTCGAAGAGCGGCAGGAATATGTTGTTTAAAATCTCCTGGAATGACTTCATCATCTTGTTCGACTTGAAGATGTCGAAGAGACGCGGTATCTGGATCAGCCAACGGATGTTCGAGCTATAGACATCGTTATCGATGGCCCATCTGGCCAGTTTGATCCACTCATCCGGCGATTTGCCGTAGATGGAGAGACGCAGCTCAGCGTTCTGGTACTTGGACTCCTCCAAATCGAAAGCAACTTCCTAAATGTATTAAATAAAATCTCATTGCATATTCTATATTAACAAAAGGATTGTGAAAAACGCACCTTAATAATCTGCGCAAAGTATTTTCCATTCAGATAGTTGTCCGTCTTGAGGAACACCTCCCTGAGCCGCGACTCCCCGATGGGATTGTACTTTGAGTTGAACTTGTCGAAGCGATGGAACGTATTGCGATCGGCGTGGACGTCCAGCATGTCGACGGTCAGGTCGTAGGTGGTCAGGTTCATCGACTGGAACACCTGGGCGAGGGTCATCGCCTGACCATTGGTGTGGGTGACCACCTCGTTGGCGTTGTTCTTCAGCGTCTTCTTGATGAAGCGCAGCAGGTGCTTCTGGTTCATGCAGGAGGCGGCATGGATGTGGGTGTCCACCTTGCGTGTGTTGTAGAAATCGCGATGTGGCACCGCCTTCTGGGCGGCCAGCTCACGGAGTTCGTTGAGGAGCACGTGCATCTGGTACTTGGACGACAGATAGCAGAGGCGTCGATAGCAAAACGATTTTCTGTAAGGGAAAACCAAACAAGTATAAATAATAAGGTTATGAATATATGGTTAATACTTACAATGGTCCATCGGCAATCATATTGCACATGACCTGCATGTCGTTAACGAATTGGCTCATGTCCGGGTACTCAAATTTGATTTCGCTGCTCTCATTCTGGAAAATGAATTCACAAATTCAAGGTTAAAAAAATTCTCGAGTTAAATATATTAAATATATAATTAATTATCAATTACAACATTAAAGAAGTATTTAAAACATTAAATTTAATAGTAGAAATATGTATAAGTTGATGAGATTGTACTTACTTCATTCTCGTAAATGTGGAACACTCCGTTGAGAGGCTTGATCTTGAAATCCTCATCTTTGGGAAACTCCACGTTCCACGGATTTGTAATCTTTGCGTGCGAAGTCTTCAAATGGGCGTCTGTAGATTCACGGTGTTTCAAGTGTGTTTTGTGAGTTGTTTGTTTTTTTTTTTGTTAAATTAAAAGAATATAATTTTGTTTAGTTGCAGATGTGATAAATAGTTTTGTCGATCGGTAAAGTTAGTGGTATAACTACACTCTACACTCAGGTGTCTGTGCGAGTGGTGTTTTCTGTAACTGTTGTTTTTAAAGTGTTATAGAGTTGGTTTTTTAAAATCAGTAAATCTCTTGTCGTTACTATTTGCATTGCATTTTACTTAAACATTTCTTAACCTTTTTTTTATTACAACAGACGACAGGTTCATAAGAGATTCAGGATGTGATTTTAAATTGTACTTTCATGTGAGTTTCACCCTAGTGCGCGACTAAACTTTGATGTTTAACTTGTTCTACAAAAGTTATCAAAGCTGAGTTTGTTTTTCCTGTTGTACAAGGATTTGCTTTCGAGTGGGCCAACAAAAAGAGTGACAAAGGGCGAGAGTTCAACTTTAAAGCGGCTACAACTTTAGTTCAGGGCGTGTTGTTGTTGTTGTTGTACTTGGTTAGCAAACATATATGGAACACACAAACTGAAAGCAAAGTAAGCAAGGAACACAAACAAATACGAATAACAGATGCAAAACGCTGTGGAAATTCAAAAGTACAGAAAATATCTTTGCTGCAACGCGTGCTGTGTCAAGCAGATTTTAAAGCGAGCGTTGTAGCTGTAGTTTAGTGTGGTCAACTTGGTATTTAAAGCAGCGATAGTTGGCAACACTGTCTGCCTTTGTAGTTATAGTTTAAAGGTACGCAGAATAAGATTAGGCAGTGCACAACGAAAACGGAAAACAAAAATCAGGCAAACGAAAAAAAGAGTTGTTCTTGTTGTACTCAAATCGAACGTGGTGGGAAAATTTGAAAGGAGAAAGGCGGGTAAAGAGGAAAGTCAGGTGTGCGCACGAATTACCTTGTATGTTCGTAACACTCATTTTGCGAATGATGTCTATAAGAAATAATGAAAAATACGAAAAGAGAAATAAATAGTCGATACGAAATCAAATTGGAATGCAAAAAAGGGCTAAAGAGTCTCAAACACATAGTTTTTAACAAAGAAGGGGAATATGAATGGAAAAGTAGCTTATTAGAGCTTTAAATAATAAAACGGTTGGATTTCTAACGGTACGAGACACGAGCGAGGCGGCAGCTGCTAAGGCAGAGGCGAGAAAGAGACAGACACGTGAGCTGATTTCCGGAATCAAGCGATGTGGCAACACCGGCGCGTACAGTTTACACAAAACACACGCTAATATCAGCTTGTATAATACATAATTCACTTAAAAGTGAATCAATTGCAATATAAGAAGGAAATGGTGCATCACAACACTTAGGGGCATTTGTACAAAATTGCTCTTTTATACATTTTTACACGAACACGTTGGTCTGGATCTATTTTTTATAATTAATATAATTATTCTTTTTTTATGCATGATAACATCTCTACAGAATTTTGTCCCACAGAATAAAATATTTTATAAAAGCAGTCCAGAACTTGGATTTCTGATACCTCTTTCAATTGAAGAAAGTAGCAATATTGGAATAGGATTTCTAACCTGATACCTCCTTAACGGGAATGTTGTTGATGCGATCCTTGAGCCGCACCGTCTTAAGGAATCGCGCAGTGGTCGAGGGGAACGACTGATCCGAAATGGACATGTAGTGGCTGCGCAGGCGCAGTGCTTCGATCAGCAGGGTCGAGGCCCGCTCCAAATCCTCGAGGGGAACGCCGCTGGTGTCCTCACCCGAGATGGAGACCCGCTGAAAGTTGATGTCCGCGTCGTTTCTATCCATTTCGGTGGCGGAGTCGTGACCCTCGGTGCTGCTGGATGATTCTCTGTGCGATGAAAGCACGGAAGCTGCGGCAACTGGTCTAGGTCCTGTGGCCTGCCTGAAAAATTCAACAAAAAAATATTCTATTATTTAGAAATTAAATTAATGTACAATTTTCCAAATCTAATATCTAATATTCAGCATCAGCGTAATCAAAGCGTTTATTGATCTTTGATACCACTTGTTTCTTTTTAGGTTTTCCCTTTGGCTGACCATTTGGAATCCTCGGGCTGATATTCGTAGCACCGCCCAAAGCTATAGCTGTCATCCGCGAAGGACATCCTGCCTTGACCAGTGACTACCGATAAATGGAGTCCTCCGCTCTGGGGTTTCCCCTTTGATGGGCCGTCCGTTGAGCACGGAGATGGTAATGATCGATTGACCAGTTGATTTATGGCAATGCGAAGCCACCGATTGTCGCTAATTTGCAACCCGGCACGCCATGGGAATATCTCTTGCAACCCCCAATCGATTTCGAAAAAGACCAACTACTTTCGACCCGTTTGCAACAAATTGCGTGACTTAAGGTGCTCTCTAAACTAAATTACTATATCTCGATTGTCCGAAAGAAACTCCAACAAAGAAGAAAGTTATTTATATTAATTGTTGTTTAATGGTCTCTATTAAGAAGTTTGTGGGTCTTTTGACTACTTCAAGCCAATAAAAGTCACATTAAAGAACTTAGCTCGGCCAATGTTAAAAAGTTGTGGAAAAATAATTGTAAAGAACCCTTTATAAAATTAAAGTTTTTCCTGATTTTGAAGTAAATAAATACATTTAAGGTTCACCTCTATTGTAGACCTTATAATAGGTTAATTAATTTAATTTTAATTTATTGCTATTTCTTTCAATAATAACCAACTTTCAAAGAACTGTTCCCAAAGAATTCCGAACTATTTTTCCATACACTTTAAGTCGCTTTGGGTTCTTGTTCTTGAGTTCTTGCGGCCCAAAACTTGAAAAGTTTATAAGGTTCTCGGGAAAGAAACCCAAACTTGGAGGTTTCTCCCCTCCTTTTTATTTCTGGCGTACGAAACTTGTCGGGATTCTTGTTTCGAGCCAGAAACTTGAAATGTCCGTGCGAGTTGAAAACTTTTTTCCAACACCGTTTCTCGGTTTTGTGTTCTTTATTGTTGTTGTTGTTGTTGGTTTTGTTTTTTAGTGACGCCTGGCGTGCGACACGAACAATAACTATGGTGGATTTTAGTGGGGCATTGGGTGGCGATGGCGATGGCTCGATGGGTGGTTTCCCTATAAAGAGGGCTCAATGTCAGCGGAGGTCGCACAGGTAGAGGCAGGTGGGAAACTTTGGGCCGCGTTTCGCGCCGTTGAGCTGCCCGCTTATTGGATCGGAGCGTACTGAAAGTGACGGCATCCGCGCCAGAACTCAGCCACAGTGGTTACAGTGGTGCCCTCGCTGCTGCTGCTGCTGGTGGTGATGGCGATGGCGGTGGTGGTGGTGGTTCGTTATGCCATAAGCCCCACCACCGGGCACCGCCAGCACCACCTCGATTCGGCCGTCCAGGCCCAATGCCTAATGCAGTTCCATTCAAAATCAAAACGTGTTCTGCATCGGTCTACACTTTCGCCGGGCCAAAAACCCGAAACCCGGACGGCGGCCGAGACATAAGTATATATATGTATATATACGAGTATACACCTATGTACGCCCATTTTGGATTAGCCGGCAAACACCCGCTCCACCGGAATCATCGCCCACCTGGGAGCCTGATAATTGCAACGCGTGCAACGCCCACACTTTGCGGCTGCCTCATTACGGAGCTATAGAAACTGCCCCGGAAAGGAATCCACACAGAGAAACTTTTACAAAAAGTGAAACATGTTCGTAGGGTTCTTCTTTGTCTAAAATCTAATTCAATTTTTTTCAGGCAAAATAGGGTCAAACTAGTAGAGCCTAAAAAGAAAGCTAAACAAATTTATCTATATAAAGTGTTATTTAAACTCTTGTAAGAGTTTTATTTAAATTATTGTACAAGTTTTATATAAGTTGTTTCGTGTTGTTATTATAAATTAAGTGTTAAAAATCAATAAGAAACCAAACCATCTATAAATTTCAAAATTACATTTTTCAATGAATCAAAACATAAACAAATGTTGACAAACAACCAACTGAAGAAAATAAATGTTGTCCAAAAATATCTGTATTTACTTCAGATTAGAATCTCAACGAAAACAAAACAATGAAATGTTGTTTTGACATCTGCGTTATTTTTTCGTCTGTACAATTAGAGAGATGAGATGAATTGCAATGGCAGCATGGCCTTAGTAAGCATCTAACCTTAAAACAGACTTGCTGATAAGGACTCAATCACGAGATCTGTGAACTCGCCGTGCTTTGTCTGGTGAGCTTGTAACGTAAACAAATCAACACAGAAGTAGCACTGATTTAGGCACTGATATGATTGCGGGGCTCCACTCTAATAATGGTCTACGAATGAAAATGTTTCACCAGATATCACGAAATCCTTAAAATTTGTGGTCTTAAATATTTAACACACTTATCAGATTTTGACGTATGTAGATATTAAGATACACATCCCGTAGATTCTGTTTAAAAGTTCTTGTTGCTTTTTTATACATTTAATCAACTTTTTTTGGTCCTAATTCAACTTACAATTTTAAAACGCGATGCTTCATCGAATTATTAAAATCACTTGTAATTTGAGCACGTAGGACAGGTTTAAAATCCAATTGATAACTGATTGGCTTGAAAGCGAACTTAAATGTTTTATACTTATCATCAGCGAATGATTCGTAGACAGCATTGCACTTTAGCTGATAAGCCACAAATAGTTTAGTCTTGCTAAAAAAAACCCTCTCTTTTTAGGTACCATGTATAACTAAGCAACTAGGCTCCTTAAAGATGTGATTTTATTTTCGGGATATATTTCCCTTAAAATTATTACTTCAGTTATTCAAACTTACTTTTCATTGAGATGGCGCTGGATTTGCAGCTTCTTTTCTATCTGTTCAATGGGAAATTGTGGCACCTCATATGGAGCCGAGATCTCGTTGGTCACCTCCACATCAGCTTCGGCTTTTTCATCGACCGGAGAATCAGTGAGATCACCTACAAAATAATATGAATGCATTTGGATTAGAATCAAAATCAAAGTTGCTGCAAAAAAATATGTGAAAGTTATGGTACCGGATATTCACTTTAAAAATTATCGTTAACCATTAGGGAAAATCGAGTATTTCTTATAGAACCTAAAGTGCAGAACCTACTCGAATCGTCTGAGACGAATGTGGGCGTGGCAGTGCCTCTGTCGTTTAGCTGGTTACCCATTGATCCCCCATAAAGTTGAACGTCCACGCGCAACCGATGGGCGGTATCCATGCGATTGAAGTTCATGGCGAAAAGTGCGGAGAGAAAAACCGGAAAATGAGGATCGTTGCCAAGTTGCTGAAGTAACCTGGGCGAGAGTTGTCGCCTCAATGAAATCGGAAAACATCGAAGATCGGAGAATTCCAGGCCGAGACCAACGACGTCGGCAGAGGCAGAGGCAGCGACGGCGACTGCGGCTGCAGCAGAGGCGCTTCATCTTTGGCAGCGGCAAAATATTCAACAACAAAAACCAGTGCGACTCCCAAGAAAAACATCCACACAAAATTGATTGGCGATTACAAATTGGCAAGCAACAAAATGTTAAGAAGAAGGGGCACACTGAGAATAAAGAAGTCCAGAGAAGCCAACCAAAAGTCAAAGATTTTGCCTGTCAATGAATATTATATGCTGATATTAAGATAACTTAATCATACCACCATTGGATAGACATTTTTTTTGTTTATCAAAAGCATACAGCTTAAAATATATATATTTTATATTTTCTCTAAGTGTATCAAGGAGGAATGGGGGCTTTGAACATCACCAGCCGAGATAGCAAAATACGGACAAAATCAAAACACGCACTCAACAAACAACAAACAAGATGAGAGGACTGATTTGAGGGATCCGAAGTTGAAATACACTTCAAGGTCAAACGCCAGAATAATTACTTATCTCCAAACGAAAAAGAAGGGAGGAATATAATTTTAATCACTCCTGTAATTACTTTAATTGTAAATGATAAGAGCTGATTTATTTTTCAGTACTCCATATTATAAAAAAGACAGTTAAGTTTAAAAAAGTGGTTATTTACTAACCAATTAAATTATATTTTTGGAACAGACAAAACGTTCAAAATTTTTAAACAACAGTTTGAGAAGGTAAAAAACTTTCCTATATTTCAATATGGGTTAGTAAGACTTAGCTCAGCAGCAACGCCACACTGAAAAAAAATAGGATACCATTTAGGATACATTTTAAACATACCATTTTTTTACTAAAGTAGGTTTGAATATTATTTTATGTAGCACAAATCAGTTAACTAAAAATCATCCGTTAATAATTAGACTTATTTTTTCCATGTTTTAACATTTTTCAAACAGTTATATTTTTAGTGTAACAGTGATACAGGTTTTTTATGAGTGAGAGTGCTTTGCCGTTTGCGTGGGAGAGTGAATGTCTTTTGCTTTCTTTTTGCGGCAGACAGTGAGAGCCCCAAAGAGAGAAACTGAGAGAGGGAGAGAGAGAGAGTGTGACCTAGTGGGGGATGGAGTGGGTGGTGAGTGAGTGATCGGTGGGTGCAGAGAACAAAACGCAACTATCAGAAGTGATTTCGTTTTGTTTTGAAAATGTGAAATAGGAATTCGAAAACATCTAACTCAAATGGAAAATTTATAAAACATATATAAGTAACGCAGAGCTATTTAATGGTTTTTGTGGAATTTATGTTCAGTTTTTAGTTTAATAAGTAAAACATCGTTAAGATTTAAGCCAATATATTCCCAAAAATGACTATCAAATTAAATAATAACTTTATGGAATTTTCCATAAAACAAAAAAAGATTTGGTAAACCTAACATGATGTTTAAGTGCTCACAATTTGTAAACTTCAATATTATTCTCCCTGTGTGGTCAAGAGATCAGTGGATCAGTGAATCTGTGGGTGTTTGTGGGGCATTCATTCACTTACATACGCAGCGGTTGGGAGTCGCCCTTTGGGAGCCCGTTTTCTGGGGATTGGACATGGAGGTGGACGGGTTGAGGACCTTGCCACTGGACTTGTTACCCAGCGGCCCACTGGCAGTGGATGTCGCATGGGACATCATTGAGCCGTCATAGGTCTCCGAGTCCTGAGTTCGCACATCCGCGGACGAGTCGTCCGTGGTGCTCAGCATTCCGCGGTACGACATCTTGACGGATCCTGGGATCCCTGGACTTTAGTTATATCCTTATTTTTTACGCTGGTTTCTTGGTTTTACGTTCGGTTTTACCGGTGTTTACTTATTCAATTTTTCAACTTTCCGATTTGGGGGGAGTAGTTTTTTGTGTTTTTATGTAATTCTCCCGCTGACAGGTGTCACGGCTCTGCTCGAGATTCTGCTCTGGGCGACGTCTTGGGGCAACTGTCGGATCGGATCGGTCGCATATATACCGCCCGCGATCGGCTGCACTTAATTTAGTTTGAATTCCGTCCGACGCAATTCGCGCATCTTCTACGCGCTTGTCGTTCGCCTTTGTTTGTCTCCGATTTTCCCATGTTTTCTCTCTTGTTCACACCTCTCCCGGTTCCGATCTCTTGATCCAAAGTCTATATATCGGGTAAAGTGGGGAAGGAGCTTTTGGCTCTCGCAGCGCCCCAACCAGAAAGCTCGGAAAGCCCAAAATGTTTGCTAATTATAAACAATATTTTGGATAAACAATATTTCTAGGGGGTGGCGGATGGCACTTTTAACATCAAAGCTCTTTGAACCGAACAAAAACAAAAGATATATCTCCAGGTTATAGAGATTTGAAACAATCTGTCAAATTAAATAAAATGACTAAATATAATGTAGTTAGTTATGAGCCTTGCTGAGAAGTATTTTTTGATATGCTAATGATTGATTATACGAAAGGTATATATTTGATATAACACCAAATTAGTGACCAATTCTCCTGACGTTTTGATAAGATCACCAGCTGATAGCAATGCCAAGTCAGCTTTCTGGTTGTAGCACTTCAAATTATAGTTCCCAATTAAGTTCCCGGTCCGGTAAATTTCCTCTATTAGGAGGGCTCGTCTCGAATTCGTTAACGCCCTGTCTCGACCACTTAGCAATTCTTGGGTTTATCAATAGCCCGCAGATGAGAGCCAAATTTGGATTGGAGTATCGGTGTTTAGCGCTGGGTCGTTAATAACCGGGTTGTTTTGATAGCTTCATAGGCCGAATCGGTTTGTTCAACTCCATATTATATTTTCTGCCAATGCTGCAAGTCATTGTCAGTTCATTTGCCTTATTTGCCAAGTGTGCGATATGCAAACAGTCGCGTATATTGTCCTATACGAGTACATAGGTGCATATATAGAAAGATGGGCATTATTATAGACAAAAATATACGTGTTTGTTTATCTGACATACGTTTCAATTTATTATTTGATTGTGCTTAAGCTTATTTCATTTTATTTCGTTGTATTTTTGGCACCGCTCTTTGTTTTGCATTTATTGACCGAATTGCGAACTTATTAATTGCTGCGTTTGGCCTTTTCTTGCTTCTGGGCAAAGTGCCCGAGATCCGCTATTGATTTTCACATGAAAACATGGTAAACTTTCCGCCGTGACTTGCGTAACCCCAAGGAAATCGGATGGGAAAACAACTTTCCGGTAACTATATATCTTTCCGCTCGATTCGACTTCGCTCAGTCAACTGACTCTGATTTTCCACTCATTTTTATCCGCTTTGCTGGAAAATTTGCCGTACATATATGTAATAATAAGCTATGAATATAAACAGTTGATTTGGCATGACTATCAGCAGTCAGTCTCGAATTCAGCCGGAAAAAAGAGAAAATCCAGAAAAGCCAAGAGCTTGGGTTCAGTAAAAAAAGAGCGTAAAATTCCATAAGAGTGCCGGCACGGAACCACCAATAAATCATTTAGGGGCTTAAGCCAAATTCACGGGAAGGGAAACCGTGTGGGAAATGGCCCATTGTTTTCCTGTCGCTGCCGCTCGCCTTTTTATTATTTGTTTCTAATTGGAAAACCCTGACCTATGCCTACGACAGACAGAAGCCAGCTGTCGTCGCCACAGTGCCGTCTAAAAGAATAACACCAAGGATATGAAATTTCAATTATCGGAATCCAGCAAAAGTAAATTTAAAAGAAATCAGTATTTATCTGAATAAACTGCACAGTTGTCTCTAAAAAAAATGACTTCTCTCGGACTTTGCTAACTAATGTCAATCGGAAATTTCAAGAAAAAGAAACGTTTAAATTCAATGTAAATGATTTTTGTTTCGGATTTAGTGTGCCACTTTTTATATTTATGGCAACATGTGTGGATAGAGCCTTTGCCATTTGCTTCCTCAGTTGATTGAACGCAACACATTTCTCATAAGCAGCGGACACAAGTCGAGCGAATGACTGCCCTAATTGAGTGGATGGGATGATGATATAAGTATCAGTTGGGATATGAGCACTAGATGGACAGATAATGGAGCCGGGCACGATTCCCACAAACTGTGAATAATACACGTACTTCGCACTCAAATTTGGATGTTGTTATTCACGGAGTGTATTTTTAGCCCGATAAGAGGAGTGCTGCGGCGCACATAAAAAAATGAATGCACAATACTACATTTTCCTATTGTTATAATAATTTCCATTCAATGTACAAATAATTTTTACATTCCTTTGAACGAACACTTTTTATCTTTTTAACATTCTTGATATTACGTGTTTCAATAGGTTTCGATATGGTTTAAGGAAAGACCAGTAGCTAGTATTTCTTACTGTGCAGAAATACTGAAGTAATCTTAGGTGCTGATAACAGGCTAACAAGAACATAAAAGAACATACAAGAATCAAGAAGTTAAGGAAGAAAAAAATAATAAAAAATTAGCAAATTGTTGCGTTTTCTGCTTAAAGTTCTATGTTTAATAATGAACAGTACCATGAAAAAAAACATGAGTATAATCAATTTTGATTTAGATATACCTATGAAGGATATCAGTTGACTTCGGCTCAAAAAGAATAACTAATCAGTGGGTTGAATGAGTTATATTACATTATATAGTCTTTTTTATTACTTCATTTTGTGGTGCAATGAAGGGCCACGTGGTGTTTGAAGCATCCATAAATTCAGCTGGGCAAACAATAAATTCGCCCTGCCATGCACTAGATTAGATTAAAGTCGCTGGACTGCACAATTAATACGAAGTTGGGCTTCGGGGGTCTTATTCTGGCCCCACAGCATTAGCAGCCACCTTTTAGCGATGAGTCAGGGCAAACAGCAGTGGCTAATTGGCCCACATACAGACTGGCCCATAAATACGAATGTGTCTCTCTGCCTTCGCATGAGTTCGCCTCATGTTTAACCAATTTCCTAAATGGGCTCGTATTTACTGCTGCCTTTCCCATTGCGTTTGTTTGCTGCATCAACAGAAACGCAAAATGCGAAATAAAGAAGCAAAAACAACTAAAAAGCAGTACTTACAAAGCATAAAATAATGAAAAAGACAAATAATAAAAGAAAAGGCACAATTAAACTAGAAAAAACTTGAGCATAGTCACGACGAAAGGAAATAAATCAGGTTAAACTGCACTGAAAGTAATTAGTATAGTCATTGCCATTAAAAAATAATAAAAGGGCGAATAAGTGTCAAACAATTTGGATTAATAATAGAGAATAATAATTCTACTAAACATGTGATTCTGCCTTTATTTATTTTCATTTGTTTATAATTTAACAAAATCTTGAGCACAATAAAATAGAGCATTAATCAAAAGACAACATAAATGGGATAAGTTGTACAGAAAAAGCCATCCCTTCTTGCAACTTATTTCGATTGAGAACCCTATTTTTCGTGGCAGGAACATGTGACACCAAAAGAAGAAAATCGAAACAAGACTGACGTCATCTGTGGACCACTATTCACTTATATATGTTATACCAGTTTGCCATGCAATTGTGTGCAAAAGTAAAGGAGAGCAGAGATAATTGAAGGACAGCCAGGGGATTCGTCATCGAAGGAACCTCCATCATCTTCATCACATTCAGTATCATCATCAACGTCATGAGCGGGGACAATGTGAACTCTGGCCAGATAATTTATGAACAGTTACCGGCACGCCTCTTTCCCGCTAGCTGATTAAAATAATTGTCATAAACGTCATTACCTCCATGCAGGAACACTCGCATCCCATCACAAAACCATCGCATGAAAGTGGAAATAATTCCTGGCGGTAACCAGTTACAAAAAAGAATGAAGAAAATCCATAGCTGTTTATAATGGTTTTCCGAAAAAAAGTGGATTTTGTAAAAAAAAAAATAAAAAAGCTTAAAAAAGCTGGTATGCAACTTTTTTATGGTCCTAAAAACATGAAAGAAAATGCCTTCGCTGTTGGGATAAAACGCCTTTTTTTCCCATTTTATTTAGGTTTTCCGCAAAAAAAGTTGTAAAAAATTTAACAATATTTTGCAATGATTTTGGAAGTTTAAAATTCTGGTAAGAGTTCTGTATATAAACGCATAATGTTAATTTGCCACTAAATTCATATCCCACTGCATTCGTTTATAATACAAAAGGTTACCAATTTTTTTATTGTATTCCACTAATTTTCTAGGAACTTTTATGAATGACACATAAAATTCAAAGCCGGCTGTTCGTAGCAATTTGTATTACACACCGATCAGTTTAACGACAATTATATGCAAATTTTTGTAGAATAAAACCGAGCAATCGCAACTTGGGTTGGCCCACGCCCCTGGCAGCGCACGCACGCCCATGTCCCACACTCACGCCCACATGGAAACTCACCGCCCTTCCGCTTCTCGATGCGGCGCATCGTGCAGCCCATGTCCATGTCCATTTCCATGTCCGTGTCGAATCCAAAGCTGCGATAGCCCTTGGCACTCAGTGCGTCCGCGTAGCTCTGCATTTCCCGGCGTTCTCCGGGTCGTCGAATCGATGCCCTTGGCCACTTGGGCTTGAATTCGAAAAACTACTTTCGGAACCTTCGGGATTTCGGAAACTCAAAGGGCAATTAACCACTCACACGTTGGCACTTTGCGTCTTGTAAACCCTTTTAACTCGCTATCTAATGTTCTGATTTTTCTACGCCTTGCGCTCTTAACACTCGGTTGTAAAACACAGTCAAAAAAATGCAAACAACAACCACAACAAACGGTGGTAACAACAATAATACTGCTATTTCGTGTGCGATTGAAACGGTGAAAAAAAGTGGTAGCAACTTGGCTTCTGTTCGGTGCGATTTTTTTTTGCGACTGAAATGAACCATGCGCAGTGTGACCACAAGTAGTGCGCCAAAAAATCCACAAAGATAAATTAAATGGCAAGTCGGAGAAAGCTTTTATTTCCCTAGTAAAATATGTATAAAATCTTGCTAAAATTATTAAGTGAAATTGACTGTTTTAAACATTATATGTTACCACATCCGGTGAAGCAGTCATTAACATACCGAACACTAAAAAGCTGCTGCTACTCAAGAGATCTGGCAATGTTTTCATTTTGAAAACAGTCTGGCGCCAAAAGCTTTGAAGCTTAATTTTATACTAAACTAAAACTGCTTTGCGATAAGGGAATTTTGTATACCCTTGCAAAGGGTATTATAATTCCAGTCAGAAGTTTGCAACGCGGTGAAGGAGACACCTCAGACCCCATAAAGTATATATATTCTTGATCAGCATCAAGATCTGAATCGAAATACTTCTGTACGTCTGTCCGTCTGCCCTCCTGACTGTTTCTATATAAACTAGTCACTTAATTTTAAAGCTATCTTGCTTAAACTTTCCCAAAAGTTGTGTAGTTATTGCACGCAGAATATAAGTTTTCCATAGGAGAGAATGAAAAATATTCTCACGACGCTGTATTTTATCATATCGACTTTTTTTTTCTTGCGGATGGTGTTTTCTAACTACTATTGAATTTAAAAAAAAAACTTTATCAACATCTGATAACTATATCGAAAAAAAATATATATAGAAATAATCAAAATAAACTTAAAACGTCGTTGTTTTTTATTCCACGATCATGATTTTAAGAATATCGATTTTTAAAACAATTTTTTGAATCGAGAAAAAAATTTCATAATTTTCGTTTCGCCGAAGCTAGCTTCCTTTCTGGTTTAATTATTAGGAACAACCCCTAAAAGCTAAAAAAGTTCAAAAAGCTATCAATGGTAACTAAAATGGTAAAATACAGCTACATATTTCGGTTGACTAAACAACTTGTTAAAAAATGTACAAAATATTTCTCTGAATGTAAGTAAAATGTACACACGTTAAGTTTTTTTGTAATTTATTTTATTTGCTTGCGGCTTCTTTTTATAATGTAATGCATAAAAATGGTGGTGTTTTGTTTTAAAAAAAAACCAATAAACATTTCACTTTATTAGTTTAATACAAATAAATTTACTTGTACACGACAAATAGTTGTTTTGTTTTTACCATTTCATTTTGTATTCTTTACTTTAGTTTAAAAAAAATTTCGTGTTTCTGTAGTTTTTTTTTTGTTTAGTTTTAGTTTTTAGTCGTCGTAAATGTCTTGTATAAGGAAACGCAAAAGATCTCCGAACAAGTTTGATTTTTGTTGCTTGTTTTGTTCTCAGTTTTCATTTGGTTTCATTTTATTGGAACGGCTTTATTGAACTTTTGTTGTTGTTTGGTTGCATATAAGTAATATTTGTTTGTCGTTTTCCTTTGCATTTCGCATTAAAAACATTAATTCTTTGGCAGGCATTGCATTTCGTAGTTTTGTAAAAGTTTCTTCATTAAATATTCTCAACGTAAGATCCGAATTTGAAACCTAACAACGAAAGATTCCAAATATCTGAGAGAAATGAAAACAAGTCGTTCGATTAATTTGGTTAGTTCCATTTTAATTGTTTTGGTTTTAAGTTTCTGTCCTGTTCATTTCATTACAATTTTGATTTTCATTATCAAATACACATCAATACTTTGGTAGTTTAAAAATGGTGTTTTCTTTTTTTCTTTTTCGCTTTGTTTTTCTTGTGCTAAATTACATTTTAAAAATATGCTTAATATTTTTGTTTTTGGTTTTTTTCGGCTTTTTTTGTCGCTTTAATTTTTGGTTTTTAATCAAAGACACGAAAGTGAAAGAGGTTTTTGTTTTTGGTTTACGTCTGTTAGCTTAACTTATTATTTTATTTACTCTGGGCTTAGTTAATTGTTTAGTGTAATGTGGTTTTGCATGCGCTTAATTTTAAAACACCGAGAGTTTGCTCAAAATTGTTAATGTTTGCTTTTCTTTCCGAATGAAATTTTTAATATCGAAATATATATATATATATAAATTTTTTCGTGTGTTTTCGCTAATTTTTTTTGTTTAATTTTTACGATTTGCCGTTGTTTATTGTAGTTTTTTTGCGATTCTTTTTTTAATTTTTTTTTTAAATTTTGTTTTTGGCTTAAAAACACCGAAAGCTTAAAATTTAGAGATTTTCCTAAAGTGTAAATTTTTACAATTTCCCCGTTTTTCTCTGGCATTTAACTGTGTGGTTTGCGGTTGTTTTGTTTTGTAGTGTCTCATTTTCCTGTGTCAACGAAGTGAGGTTGAAAAGAACCGAAAAATAATCTTCCTACACGTCCCACTCAATTTTCCCTTCAAAGCATCAAAATGTTGAATAATAATCTGTTTGCTTCTAAAGCATATTGCTAAGCTCCTTCCCCTTCCGTTATTTCTCTTCTTCCTTTCCGTTTCCGTTTCCGTTTCCTCTTCCGTTTCCCTCTCCGTTTCCGCTTCCGTTCTTGTCCCCTGCTTTGCGTACCGTTCAATAAATAGGTTAAGGAAAAAACTGTATCACATTTTCAATTACGTCTTTGTTCGTAGCACCTTCATAAACATACTCTCTCTCTCTCATTCCGCTCGACCCCCTTTTACCCTCTGCCAATCGACACCCCCTTGCCCCCCCGCCTATGTACAGACCTCTAACCTACCATACAGTTGGAGAAAAAAATTGCGCTTCGGATTTTATCACAAAAATAATTACAACTCTGTGCGAACTGCACCCAACTCTGTCACTTGCCACTCCTAAACTAACATTGCTTCTAAGTCCATCTGTAAACCTTAACCTTGACGCGATGCGTCCTGAATTGGTTCCATTAATTCCGTTCCATTCACACCCATGTTTTCTCTTACTCTCCTCAATTCCCTCACCCACTGTGCAATCGAACCAAAGAAAAGGATTCAAATAAAGCCAGAATCTTTCATTCGGGTGAAAATTCTATCCTTTCAATTCGAGATTCCAAAACGTGATTATTTTTCTCTGAGTTTTAAAGAAATTTCAAGCGAATGAGATCTTTAAAACCAGGAGAAATAAAATCACGCTAAATTGATATCCGATCCGATATCCCACCCACTATCCAGTATTCCCTATAAAAAAACGTAACTGCTGTAAAACTTCTTTGGGTTTTCATCGTTCACTGATCTCAATGGCAATTTTCGTGTCTTTATTGGTGGTGATGTCGATGAGATGACGTCAAAAATCAGTCTCTATTGCAATTTGTTCTATTTTATGTGGGCTTGCTCTATTTCTGGTTCTCAGTAAAAGTGTTAAATATTTATTAGAATTTTTGCATCTTTGATTTTTGTTTTTTCACTTGTTTTCTCCATTTTGTTTTGTAGTACACCTTAGAAAAATATCACATTCTTTCTTCGTTCGTTCGAGAGACATTTTTATGTGTTTCTTGTTTTACATTTTGTTTATTTTGCTATTTCGATTTGTATGTATTTAAAGTTTTATTTACACGTTTAGGTTTTCCTTTTGCACGACTAAAATATATAAAATTTAAAAAATATTTGATTGAGGTCATTTCAGAATTATTGCTAAGTATTTCCTCCCATTTCCGAATTGCCACTCCGTCTCTTCGTTTTCGCTCTCATCCTTTCGATTAACCACTCGAATTTGATCTAAAAATGTTTTCATAGTTGCATCTTAAATTTCGTATAATTTGTAGACACCGAATTTCTGTTTATGTATATAAAAAAAATGCTTGAAACATTTTTCTTCGTTTCCGCGTCTCCTAAGACTTATGTAAACCCCTATAAATATTTAAAGAGACACGACAGCTAAAGTTTAGAGCTTAGGTGAGAGAGACTGTTGAGAGAGTAGGAGAAATAAATACAATTTACTTTAGTTTGCTTTAGTTTACTTTAGTTTGCTCACAACATCAACAATGAAATATTATACTTTATAGATTTTGTTTGAGGGACTTTTGTTTGGTATTCTGTAAAAATCTCAAAAAGACGCCTAACACCGAAAAATATATTGCATGTACTACATTTTATGTTTATTATGCTTCTGCTTTCATTTCCGTTTCCGTTTTTGCATTCGTCTTTGTTTTTTGTATATTTTGTTGGTTTTTGAGATGGTATCCATTTAATGTATTTACATACATGAGTTAGTTGTTGTTAACAATTTATTTGGTTTTAGACAAGTTAAAATGGTGTTTCATCCTAACAAAATTCACTTTTGTTTTGTTTTTGCTCAACACTAAATCAGAGTTTAACCAAAACTGATAAAAATGATCTCGACTACAATATAGAACATTGTTATATTGTAATGCTTTTTCTTTTTTTTGCAAGTGAAACCTCGAAATTGTCTTAATTTCATGAAATCGTAGTTTTATTTTGTTAAGTTGTATTATTACGTTAAAACTTCCATGTATTTGCTAAATGATTTAGGGACACCCAAGTTTAAGTGATTGGTGAGATGAAAAGAATAAAAAAGCGTGAGATTTTTGGATTTTAATTTAGGTTTCAATTATGCTATGAATATTGACATGATATTTTTTGGGTAGCACTCTCAACAAAGTTAAATAAAAAATTATGAATACTTGTGAGTTTGGTGAATTTAAATCAGAATCCATAAATGTCCCTTTTATTGAGTGTCCCTGGTGGTGAGTGTACGTGTGGGGGTGGAATACCGTTAGTTTTTATATATGCTAGTATATAATTTTGTTTGGTTGAGTTGCTTTCGCATATTAGTCAAATGAACAACATTTATATTTCTTTTTTTGGGCTTTTGTGGGTTCTTGTTTTTGTTTCAAAATATGCACGTCATGTGTATAATATGATGTATGTATATAATGTATATATATCTATTTATATAAGTAATAGACACCGAAAACCACGTGTACATTTATGTATCTGTATATAGATATATTCTATGTATAATATTTGGATTTCTTTGTTTTTTTTTTTTCATTCCATTTTCGCTTTACTTGGATTTTAATTTCGCTTCCGTCTGGTTGTTGTTGCTGGGCTTTAAATCTAGGTATATCAGTAAATATTGTATTTAAAAATGCATTAATTGTTAATGCCAAAAGTTTTCGTTGTTGGATTTTGTAATGTAATTTTCTGTTACACGTATTTTCCTGCATGTTGTCAATGCCTTAAAAAAACTGCCTACGTGGTAAATTTGTAATATAGGTATATGCATGTATATACGAAATAAGAGTCTTGAATCCCTCCAATATTTGGCTTAAAATCAATTTTGCTCTTCCCACTCAGCACACTCACAAAAAAATTCCAATACTCCTATTCAATTTAATTTCGCCTTAATTTTGATGGTGATTATTTTGTATTTTATAGATTTGTTTTTTGTTGTGTAATTATCAACACTTACTTGCACACACACCTAAGAAAAAATTACTTTACTTTAGGTTTTTGTTTTTTTTTTTTAATTTTGTTAATATTGCTTTCAATTTGGGGTTCCTTAATTACACTTTAAACTTTTTGTATCTTACCGAAATGGAGTGTTTACGACACATTTTGTTTTGACCCTCCACTTTTCTTACCTTAGATTCCTAAAATTCTTTTAAGGCGCATTTTCAACTATGAACATAAGAAGTAATGTGTTAACCAAGGTGTGAAAATCGACGGATGGTTTCAGATCGACGGATATGCCCGAGATGGTTAAACAAAGAAGTGTGTTCATTGCAAAAAACTTTATTAATAAATACTATCAAATAATAATTCCAAAATAATAAGTGTTTCCAAAAAAATTGATAATAATTAAGAGTGTCATAACTGTTATAATAATCGTAAAAATAATTATTTCACATACACAGCTCACAGCTTGTTGTTGTTGTGCTTAAAAGCTTAATTTAGAGCTTGGGAAAACAAAAATAGAAATTATTTAGAATTTCTTAAAGAAGATTTCGGAATTTGTGATGTTGACATAAAAAATTAATGGGTATGGTTAAAAAAAGAATAACTTAAAATAGTAAGATTACAAATTTCGCTTTAGATTTGATGGTTGTTTGTTTTACAAAAGGCAGTGTTGATTTTTGTTTGTTGTTGCAGTAGCAGTGTTAGAAAATAAATAGAATTAAAAAAAATCGAGAACCGAAAGAAGGTAAATATAGAAAAAGTTCCACTCAAATATTCACATCAAATTAATAATAATAATAATAATAATAATGAACTAAATCTATAACATTTGCTAGCGGCCCTGATCTTTGACGGTTCACATACTGACACAATTGAAAATGAAAAACTTACGTATCGAGAAAATAATTGTTTTGTTGTCTTTTCTTTACAACTAACATAGTATAGTTAGGCAAAATATGTTGGCTTAAAAACGCATAATTCAAAACGGTGCAGTAAATTTGTTAAACTATCACATAACATATATATTCCAAGGCAAATATATATTAGCTACAATTGAACACTTAAGTTTGGAGAGAGAATTTAGGCAGAACTGTGTTGCTGGAGAATAAATAAATTACAAAAAAAATAATCGAAAGTTGGGGATCCCAGCGTGTGTGGATCCCCGGTGGATGGTAGATCTCCCCCATGCGCTGACTCCCTCTCTCTCTATCTCTATCGCTATCGCCATCGCTCTCTCGTTCTCTCTGTTGCTATCCCTGTCCCTGTCTCTATCTCTATCTCTAGCCCTATCTATCTAACTATTTTCTAGCCCTCTCCGGTTGGTAAATTAGGATTAGTTAACTCTTCGCTTTCAGCTTCTATGTAATTATACGCTTTGACATTTTCTGTCTAGACTCAATTCGTTACGGGATATATTTGTGGGGTGTTTGTGGATCGTGTGTGGACTGCTTGTGGATTGTGTGGGTTGTTTTCGGTGTGGTTAGTTGCTTCTCTTTAATATTTAGTTAAATTATGAGGTACTTGAAACTTTTTGGCACAGTGAAAGTTTTCATTTACTTTACTTCTACCACTTTACTTTGATTTGTTCTCATTTTTTTGTTTTTCATTCTTTCCACTTTTTGGTACGGCAAATATTTTCCTTAGTGCTTTAGACATTTAGTTAATACAAAAAAGAAACGGATCATCTCCGTTCTACGCATTACAGCTTTTGGGTTTTTCAGTTTTTTGGATTTTCATTTACACTTTAATTCGATGTTCTTGGTTTAGGGTTGTTTTGTGTTGCATTTTTTAGCTTTACTTCTTTCGTCTGTGTGTGTTGAACTAAGTTGAAATGAAGCAAATGTCTGTTGAGAAATCTTGATTCGACCTATGGGTTTTCCCTATTTTATTGTTTTTATTGTTTAATTGCACATTTCGTTTCCAGCGGACGGACGGCGCCAGAGTTGCCAGCACCGTCCTATTTATCTATTGCTTGCCATGGTTGCCATCGCTATAAACTATTCTTGCCTGTTCAGCTTGTTTGTAGGTTAGTTAAAACTTCAATGTTGTTTTCTTGTTGTGATCACAGTTAGTTTTGTGTTGTTGTAGTTGCAGTTTTAATTGTAATTGCTATTGGTAATTGTTAATTGTTGCTATGTTTGTTTGTTTTTAGTTTTGATTTGCCTTGCTTTGCTTTGCTTTGTATATAAATTAAACTATTGACGGTGGTAGATCCCATTAGTATCTCCTAGCTTTACAATAATCCTATGAACCAACTTCGACTCCCGCCTGAACATATATGTATGTATGTAGATCGGTCAACCGAAGAATAAATAATGCTTGCATCGTTGAAACATCGTTTTACATTTAGTGGTTGGTTGGTTGGCTTAGTTTTTAGTACAGTTTCTGCACTGCAAATAACTAAAATCCCAATTAGATTATTGTTTTCTGTGGTAGGTAACAGAGTTTGCTCAGTTATTGCATTGATACTTGCAAAGTTAGTTTCCCCTCGCTTGCTTTTTTGTTTGTACAAATTGTTGCTAGTTTAGCTTCTATAGATCGGTGTAAAATTAAATATATTTTATCTATTGTGTATATCAACGGCAGATCTGCGGTACAATGTGTTACACATGTCCCTCGTTTGTTTCGGTAGAAAATACAGACTATTTTGGTTATCGCTATTGCAATGTTTGTTGCTATTTGTTTGTGGCTGTTTCGTTAATTTGTGTGTTAGAAATTAGTTGTCTCACAGAACCAAATCGCATTTCGTTCCCATCCGGCACTTAATCATAGTTGTAGAAAAACGTAATCTTGTGCTACGATAATTATAATCCGTAATTATAATTGTAATCCTTACTCACACATACTTTTAATATATTTAGAGAGATAGGTGTATATTCAGAATCTTAAACACTTTAATACCCGTGCTAATTAGTTGCCCGTAATTTTGTTTTTCTCTAGCTTGCACCAAAAAAAAAAAAAAAAAAAAACTCTTGCGAAAAAATGTTTACATCGATCTAATCGTAGAGCTTTTGGTAATAATAATAGGATTTATACATAGGTTTCCTCGTTATATCCTGTATTTAGTGTATGTGTGTGTGGTTGCGGTTGTATTTGGAGGCGTGTGGGCGTGGCTGATCCTGGAGCTGGTTCCTTATCTGCGTAGGAGCCGCCTCCTACGCGCCTCATCTCAGCGCGGCGCATTGTGGATGTGGGTGGTCAGGTGCTTCGATAGGTAGTCCGCCCGCGCGAAGCACTTGCCGCAGGACTCGCAGTGGTACGGCCGCTCGCCGGTGTGGATCCTCAGGTGGCGCGTCAGGTCGGACTTGCCCCCGAACGCTCGGCCGCAGAAGAGGCACACGAACGGCCGCTCGCCGGTGTGCTTGCGCACGTGCAGCTTCAGGTTCTCCTTCGACCGCACGCACTTGCCGCAAAAGGGGCAAGCGAACCGCGAGGTGGCAGGCCTGGAATCGCAACAATCAGCCCATTAGTAAAGGAATTCGATTTAATTTTAGTATAATACTATAATAATATAATATATAATAATAATATTATAATATAATATTATAATAATATAACAATATAATATATAATAATATAATTACTCATACGCACTGTTGGCACTTAATTGACTAAGAGCACTCACCGCTTATCCCGCTGTCGCTCGGCGGCATCGACGCGCAAGAAGTTGAGTATGGAGGCCTCCTGCGGATTGAGTCCCAGGAACTGTTCGTTCGGAATGCGCTCGGCGTTGATCAGCGACGTCAGCGAACTGAGCGAGCTGATACCTCCACCCCCGCCGCCGCCGCCGCTGCCTCCACTTGCGCCGCCCGAGGCAGAGCCGCCTGCAGCTGCACCAGCGCTTCCGCTTCCGGCCGCACCGCTTCCGGTGGCGCCACCTCCGCTTCCGCCGGAGTTCGCCTGCGCCTGCGCAGCAGCAGCGGCGGTGGCAGCGGCCACAGCAGCAGCGGCAGCCGCCGAGGATGAGGAGCCGGCGGCCGAGGTGGCAACCAGTGGCAGTGAAACGTGGCCCAAATGGCTCGGCAGCTGTGACTGCGAATGCGGATTGTGGTGGTGCTGCGCCTGGTGGTGGTGATGATGGTGGTGCTGGTGGTGTTGGTAGGAGGGATCCGTTTCCAAGTGGTGCAGGCGCGACTGTAAAAGGAATAGGAAGTTTTAGATACCAAATTTAAATGTCGATTTGTTTCTAAAAAGTAATTGTATAACATAAAGGTTTCTTAATAATTTATTCAGTTGTCTGTTAAAAACAAATTGCCATTTAAATGCATTTATTAAATTAAGTTTGCGATATTGGTAAATCATGAACCTTTCTTTCAAAAGTTATATAAAACTAAACTGAACTACGTACAAATTGTTTAAATTAAAATCCCCTTAAAATTCTTCGAATAATTTTGCATAACTTCTCACAATAGTTAATTTAATAAATAATTCATTTAACAATGTAGTAGTAGTTTTTCACCCATTCGATTGATCCTTCAGGAACCTTTCTGATTCCCCACTCACCCGCTTGTTTGTACTATGAATGCCGTCGGAGCTGCTGATGTTCGGCTCGGTGGCGCTGGTGGAGGCCGAGGCCGAGGAGTTGTTGTCCTGGTAGAGCATCGTGATGCCCGCCGAATCGACGGTGTTGTCCTGTTCGTGCTCCTCGCAATCGTTTGACCGGGACTCGGGCGTCTGCTCGTCGGCGGCGCCCTCCCGCTTCACGTTCACCCGCAGATCCTCGCCCTCGTCGGCCAGCATGGGCTCCTGCGAACTGGTGACCACATCCTGATCCACCGACGTAACCGATCCCGATCCGGAAGCAGAAAGCGAGGCGGGAGCTGCCACCGCAACGGCGAGCGACGAGGAGGAGGCCGATCCCAGACGACCGACCACGCCCACTCCGACGCCCACACTCTTCTTGCCGTGAAGGCGCTCCAAGGCGTGGTTCAAGCGGTGCTTCTTGAAGCTCTTCAGGTAGCGAAACTGCATGCCGCACACGTCGCAGGTGAAGAGCTTGTCGGCTGGGAGTCTGGCCCGATGGTTCTGCTCCTTGTGCTTGGCATATGCACTCCGATAGCGATACGACTGGCCGCACTGCTCGCAGATGAAGGGCTTCTCCTCGCCGGGACCCACATGGGGATGCTGGAGAGCAGCGTGCTGCTCCAGCAGCCAGACATTCGGAAAGTGGGCATTGCACACCACGCAGCGGGTCTCCTCTTCGATGGCCTCGCCGGGGATTCCCGTTCCGGAGCCCCCAGTTCCTCCTCCGCCCGAGGAACTGAACAGGGAGGAGCACGTGTCCGAGGGACTCTTCAGCATCTGGCTGAGCTGCTGACTGAGCAGCGGTGGCGTGGAGGAAGTCGAGGAAGAGGAGCTCTTCTCCTTCAAATCCGAACTGGCACTTCCCGCTGCGCCAGCCAAAAGCAACTGGGTGTACTGCCTCAATCCGGCGGCGTCCACAATGACGCTACTCGAACCCGAAACCGATCCGGATCCCGATCCCGAACCCGAACCAGTTACCGAGCCCGCCAGGATGGGGAGTGCGACGCTGGCGCTGGAGGAGCTGCTCCAGGGACTCCTTGTACAGCTGGGCACTCCGCTCGCTGGGCAGCTCCAGAATGGTCACCTCATCGCTGTCCGCCGAGCTCCGTTTGCAGCTGTCCTCGCCGGAATCGTTGGACAGCGCCGTCGTCGTTGTCGTCGAACTGGTGGCCATTTGCTGGGGCGAAGGAGAGGACTTGGGACCCTTTCCCGCCGGCTGCTGCGGCTGTTGTTGTTGTTGTTGTTGGTAGAAAGCGGTGGGTGTGGGGTAGCGCAGGTTGAAGCTTGCACCGCCCGCCTGAGGTTGTTGTGGTTGTTGAGTGTGCGTGTGCGTGTGCGTGTGTGTGTGTGCCCCGCCCGACCGACCGCCGCCCACTTGACCCGCCGACGTGGAGGAGGCCGAAGCGGAGGAGGAGGCGGTGGTCGCCGTTGCCGTCGCCGTGGCCGTCGGCTGGCCTGGCTGGTAGTCCTTGGTCAGCAGATCGCTGAGGGTCGTGAATCGCTGCGGGAAGTCCTTCGGCGCCGCCAAAAGACCGCGTGTCCTGCGGGGAACGCAATGATTAGTGTTGGTTCTACGGCTTATAATATTTGTAGTAAGTTTCAGTGAATAGGAAAATAGAAATAATGTTTTAATATTTAATTTAAGAAATTAGTTAAAGTAAGTTATAGAGGTTTACCTAATTATAAGCTTTATGTATATCAAAAAGTTAAGGTATGATACTTTATAAGATTTTTGTAAAAGGTTTACAGCTTGTTAAAATTTTTAAATCTTAGCCCTTTTTGGCATTGGAATTTTTATTTTCGAGATATATAAGTAAACTGAGAGAAAATAGATTTCGGTGCCAGCCACTTGAAGGTTAAAAATGTCGAAAAATTATGATAAAATTTCATTCATTCATTCATTTCATTTTTAGGTTTTAAGGGTATCTTGTGTAGTTTTTTTTACCTTTATTACATTGCATTAAGATATAACTCACCTGAGGGCCTCTTCTGCCAGCCAGGTCTGGTGGTGGAGCAGGCTGAGAATTCTGGACGGATCGATGTCGAAGAGGCTCAGTCCGAGGGGCGAGAAGGGGAAGGCGAAGGGTGTGGGGCAGCGACTGGTGGCCATCGCGCTCATCGGGGAGCTGAAGTTCCGCAGCAGCTGTGGGATCCAAAAAACAGGGCTATTCAGTGGGGTTTTGGCGGTACAATCGGGCGGTAAAATGGGTGTGCGGTGCCTCTTTCTGTTCTGCTTTTTTTCTGGGTCAGAGGTCAGAGGTCGCGGGGCTCAAATAAATATTCCTTAGTTCTAAACTGAAGTGGGGGGGGGCTGATCCCCCAGTCGTGGGGATCGAAATCTCTATCCTGACGGGAATCGGGGCTACATTTCCAACTCATGCAAGGCAACTGAATACAAGGCAAGCAAACACTCAAAAGCTCACACAAAAAGACATCTAGATATGGACAAACTATCTGGCGGATAGGCAAATGAAAATACGGAAAAGTCAAAATGAAAAGTCGACAGAGAAAAGTGGAAGAAGCTGCAGGAGTAATGGTTAAAGATACTTACGTGACTGCTATTTATTATCGGTCATGAGTAAATTTGGGAACGAAAGATTACTTAGCTTTAAGGTAAATTTTCTTGTCCGAAAAGTATGAAATAATAAAATAAATTCAGAATTTTTTGGACACCAAAATTATTTGTTTTATATTTATGAAAATTATTCATTTTCAAATAAAAACTAAAACAATATAAATAGTTGTTTTGATCCAACTGGGTATAAACAATTTTTTGTTAAATGGATTTATACAACCCTGATCCTGAAATATAATGACAATATAAAATGTTTCCATGGCTGCGCCACGTTCTTTAATAAAAACTCGAGATGGGAGAAATGTTTTTCAATATTTTTATTTATATAGAATTTTATTTCATTTTCTTCATCTCTCTTTTGTCTGTTTTCCATTTTTTAGCTTGTCCAGCTGCTTTCTTCTTTCACTGTTTTCATTCTTTACTCTGCTTGTATTTGTGTATAAGAGTGTGTGAGTGTCGCGTGTGTGAACAAGTTCTTAAGTTCCTTTTACTTTATATCTTTTCTTTCGCTCGACTACTAGAAATGTTGTTAGGCATAGACTATAGACTATATAGCTAGCTATATATGACCGATCCTTCTGCTGATCCTATAGGTTTTCTTGTTCTGCATTTATTTATATCAATCATCTTTTGTTTTTTTCATTCTGTTCTGTTTTTTGTTCTTCTAGTTTTAGCTTGCTGTCTTGATTCCCTCTCGTTAGCCTTTCTTTTTTGTAATTACTTGGGTTTCTTGGGACCTTTTTTTTGGGGTTCGGGGTTTCGGATAGAAATCAAATCTGCCTTGGAGAATCTCCTTCGCCTGACTTTTTAGCATTCTTCATATTTGTTTGTGTTTTGGTTTTTTGTTATAAACTATGATATGCCTTGCTTTGCTTAAATATTTTTCTTGTTTTTTTACTTCTTCATTTTATGTTTGTAATAATTTTCATAAAAATTTGTTGTTTTGGGTGTGAGTGTGGGGATTTTTTGTTTTTCTTTTTGGTTTGCCTAAAATATGTTTTTTGGTTTGACTGCGTGTAAGTAATTGAATTTCCCTTCGCTCTAAAATATTTTCTTGATTGCTTCTATTTCTTATTTTTTTTCTTGCTTACTTTTTTCTTGGTGCCTGATAAGCTGCTTTTTTTAAGTTTTTAAGTTTTCGAGTTCTTTAGTTATTATTCAGCATTGGGTCAACTCGAAAAATGAGTCGAGTCGAAAGTTGAGTGGAGATTTCTTGTAAGTAATTATTCTTGCTCAGTGCTTTTGTTTTTTATAGTTCCCATTTCGACTACGAAAAAAATATATAGTTAGCGTATATTTTTAACCTTCCGTTTTTACTTTCGTAATGTCTTTTGGTATTTCTTTTTGTTTGGGTATTATCCATATATATCTGTTGAGTTCCCATCAAGCTCTCTTGCATATAGAGTACAAAGTACTATATAGAACTATATAGTTTCAGCTCGGATGTGTTGGTATGGGTGCTGACTGTGTGTGTGTGTGTGTGTGTAAAACGATAAGGAATGTACATGAGAGTGAAATGGTTTTTATATATTTTTTATTTCGCTTTTGTTGATTTCTTTCATTTGTCTTTTATTAGCCACAAAATATCAAAATCTTATTTCGAATTATAAAAAAAAAAATAAATGAAAACTAAATTGTATCGATTGGAACTTAAATTGCAGTTTATAGTTCTATATATGTGTATATATAATTTGCATTATTTTAGAGTCATTTTAAGTTTAAGCTCGCTCAATAAATAATGGGAAATGTCTTAACTTAGGATAAGGTTAATGAAAAATGATTAATAAAACTTAAGCGGGTGATTGCTAAGATTTAGTTTTAGTTAGTAGTCGCTGCTGCTCTTAGTGAATTTGTTCGGCCTTGGCCTTAAATTAATTATTGTATAATTCTTTCATCGCATTCTCTTCTTTTTTTGTTGCTTTTCTGTGTGGTGTGTTTACAGTTAGTTAAGAATATATATTTATATAAATTATTTATGTATCTTGTATGTCTATATTGTAGGAACATATTGACGTAATCATAACGTATTGCAGCTATTTGTTCATCCTCTTAATTCGGTTATTGTTTATTGTTTTAACTTTTCATCAGATTTCGGTTTGCTGTGAGTTTCATATTCATCTGTGTGGTTTTAAACCGCCTTACTCTGTTTATTAACCCTCTTGTTAGGCAGTTCCTTCGCCTTGGGGAAAACAGCCCCCTAATCCCAGATTTTTAATTCGGGTGAAAATCCCCATGGAATGCCTTGAAATCGAGCTGTTTTCCCAGGCGTTTATTGATTTAGGTTCGATAACTTAAGAGAAAATATTTAAAAAAGTCTACAAACAAACAAATAATAAGTTTAAAAACATATTTGTAAAATTATTTATGAATGAGCCTCAATAGGGAACTTACAAAAATTTTCTCAACCGTCGTTTACTAAAACTATTATTTTGCTACCCATTTTTCAACTGCTCTCCTTCGTTCTGTGCTGCTATTTTGTATTATATTTCATATAATTATTTTGTATGCTTGGCTTGAATTCTCAATTCAGGTCAATTGAAACAAAAACAACTATTCTGTATTTTCATATTCTTGAAAAATGATCGAGGAAGGTTAAAAATGTATTTCTTTCGTTTCGCTTATGTCGAAAATATGCTTTTCCTTTTTGGGTTTTTTTTTTTTAAGTTTATTAAATATGTTTACATTGTTCGCGGCGTTTTTTCTTCTGTGAAAATAGTATTATTCTCTTTCATTACTAAAAACTAGTTTAATATTTTGATAAATTGGTTTCTTGTGTGTCTGTGTTTTTGTGTGGCTTTCCTTTCCATTTTTCATCGTTCCAAACATTTTCTCTTTCATTTGGGGATATGCAAAACTACATTGTTGTTGTTTCTACTTTGTTTTTCGATTTGGTTGAGTGTGTGGGCGAGTGTAATATAGCTAACTGCCTAAAATTCGCAAATTTGCTTTGCAGTTTTCTAATAGTTTTTTCCATTTTCCATTTTCCTTTTTCATTTTCCGTCTTTTGTTAGAAACTAATTTCTTTTTACATGCCGTAAGTACTTTTTGTATAAATGTAGGTGTGTTTGTCTGTGTGTAAGATATACTAATGTATAGGTGTGTATGTATATTTAGTTATATATATGTATATATAGATCTCAATGCCTCCCATTGCTCGCTAAAAAAATAACTATCAAAAAAACTGCAATTTCCATTTTTGACTTCCTTGTTTTTTTTTTGTTTTGTTTTGTTTTGTTTTTTTTTAGGTTTTTGCTCTGCGCGTTTTTATAAAATATTACTTTAGTATGTATATTGTATATATGTATTGTATATATATATTTTTTTTTTGGTTTTCGATTTTTATTTTATTTTTATTCTGTTTTTTGTTTTGTTTTAAAGGGGAGTAGGCACTACAGTGTTGTTTTTTCTCTCATTCCTCTTTACCTTTCTGCCGTTTTCTTTTTGTTTTATCTTGTGTCTTTCTTTCTCGCTCATCTCCAAAAAAATGTTCAGCTTTTTCTCATCTCGACATATATATAAATTAAGTCCCACAAGCTAGTACTAACAATTTTCCTCGCTGGTTCAGCCTAAATTTTCCGCTTCTTCACGTTCTATATATGTGTGAGTTCCTCATTCTGTGTGTGTGTGTGTGTGTGTGTTGAGCTTATACCGAAAAAAATTGTTTACAACTTTTGAAGCTTTCTTTTAGGTTTCCAATGTCCTGCTATTTGTTTACTTTATATATAAGTGTGTAGATATCATATTCATTAACTTGACTTTAGCGTATCAAAAAGTGTGTACGTCGTTTTTTTGTGTGGAAATGTACATTTTGGAAAGGTTTTTCTTTGGGGGGGAGGGGGATTTTCCGCGCTGATATTCCTCAAAATTGGTTCTATGTTTGTCTTCTTCTTAGCCTTCTCTTAAGACTTGGTTAAAAGTGCTGCCTCCTTCTGCTGTGTTTATAAACGTATTTTATGTACAGTTTTCAGCATGCTTCAAGTAAAAAACCATATTTCCAATTGACCGATGTTTAGGTTCTGTGTGAAAGAATATTTTTTGTGTGTTTTCAGAATCAGGAAACTAGTTTCGATTTTTATTTAAAAAACTGTATTTTTTAATACTTAGAATTTTGAAACAGTTTATAGAAATGGTGACGAAAATATTATTTTCTTTGGAAGGAAACATTTAAAATTGTTTTTAAAATTTTTTTTTTTACAAATATTTTCTCAAGAACTTGAAACAAGTTTTCCTGATTCGCACAGATGTATTTTTAAAACTTATTCGTGTTTGTTTTTTGTTCGTTTTTTTTTTATCTATGTACAGTATGTCCTCGAATTATTAGCTTGGCACTCAAACATATTTAGTTTTTACTTTGGTTATGGGGTCTCATTTAATTAGTTAGGTCTTTATGGTTGTCATTCATATTGGGGTTGTTGGTGTTTTGATGTTCTTGTTGTTGTCGTTATTGTGGTTGATTTAATACGCCGATGAAACCAATTGCTAGTTATCATTATGTTTAGTTTATTGCGTTTCACTGTCTCGCTTGCTGCGCTTACAAGTTTCGCTTAACGAACAGAAAAAGGCATATTCAAAGTAAGGATTTGTCAAACAGAAACACATGCGGTATACAAAAAATATACTACGAATACTACGAACAAACAATCTTTATATACTTTTACTACAACTCAAGTTCTTCTCATTTACTTTGTATTCCTTAATGCTTTTCTTTATTTTTTTTTTTTTTTGGTTTTTCTTTGTTTTGGGTTTTATTTGTAACACTGTAAAAACGTGGAAAACATCATCTATGAGCTGGGTGTAAATATCAATTGTTATCGCCTGTCTGTCGATCATTTAATAATTGTTTCTATTTATCGGTCTATCGATCATTTCACTGTGGGTACTTAAGTTATTTGTATTGTAGGTGATTATGTAAATCAATGAAGAAGGCAATTCGTCAACAGGGTACTTGTGTGTAGGTATGTGTGTGGCTCAATCAATTAATCAATCAATCAATCATAAGTCGTTTAACGATTATATATGCCGCAATTCCGGGGGCCGGAAGTAGTTCGCCTTAACTTGTTTCATTTTTCAGATCTATTTATTTACACTGTGTGGTAATCGTTTGTTGCTAACAAACTGGTAATAGATTTCTATTTTCCAGTTTGCTGATTGTATTGTGGTGCGAATTGGTTCGGTTTTCGGAGTTAGTTTTCCAACTGCACTCCTATTTTCATCAGTTCACGGTTTGCCTTGGTTTATTGTCACTTGAGAGAGAGAGAGAGTTCTATTGGTAAATGCGTATTTTATTCGGAACTAGTTCTGGCCCTTGAGTTCAGAAATTGTGGCATACTTTGTAGCGCAACTTTTCATCAATTAGGTATTTAAAAAAGGCATTTGTTGTGGTTTGGAGCAGGGGCAGGTGGTTTTTAAGCGAGGATCCGCTTATTGTTCAAAGGAAACCCACACTTTAACTATCTTGTGGTAACAAAAAAAATAGATTCAAGTAAAAAATCAAAGCGGCTCGCTTCTCGTTTAGATTTAATCTATTGTTTACTATTGTGTAAAAAATCATCCATTACGGTTTAGCTTTTAATTCATTCGTCATTATAGTTGCTTGTTGTTTGTCCTTGTTGATTAGAGTTGATTAAAAAAATATGTTTCAATTTAAAAATATAAGTCGATTGTAAACATTTTCTATGTATGTACGTAATGCATTTGTAAAGCATTTCCTCCGCAGCCATTATGTTGTCGGTTTTCCATATTTCTATATCAACTTTTTCAACACTTTTTTGTAAATTAGATTTGTGTTTAAATATTGGTACTATTGTTGTTTGCTGTTGTTGCAGTTGTTGTATATATTTGGTTGTATATAATATATATCTAGATATATATACCGAGCGATATATGCATATATAAATATTGTTTGTTGCTTGTTTCTGTTCTGTTTTGCTGTTCATTCATTAGTTATATTGTATTGGAAGAATCTGTGTTTACCCTGAGCACTTTTTCTGCTAGAACAAATTGAAAATGAAAATTGAAAACGAAAAGATGATTGCACAAAAAACGTCTATGCCAAAAATGAAAACCGAAACGAACTTTTCAAAAGGTTCTCTTGCCGAAACTTGTAATTTTGTCATTTTGTCTTTATTATATGAGTTGGAATTTGGTTTTGGGAATTTCGTTAGGTAATTTTGAGTTACTGTTTTGGTTGATTTTGTTTGATTCTTTTATTGATTCCTTTTTCATGTATTTTTTTTTTTGTGTGCCAAAGCTCCTCTCTAGGTTTAAGTTTGTCGATCGAATTTCGCTTGGAATCGTTTTAAAACGAACTAAAAACGTTTGTATTACAGTAAGTTGAGTATGTTAATGTTGCTAGTATGCATTGTATGTATATAGATTTATATAAATTCGACTTGTATGCAATTCTAGCGTAATTGTTAATTAACATTATTTCCTCTCGATACCTTTTTAATTTTCTTTTCAACGGCTATTGCTGTACAAGTTGAAGCTTCGATTTAGGCATATATATCCTAGGCGATCGGGGATGTGGTAAGTGGTATGGGTCTGCATGTATGTGTGTGTGTATATGTGTGTGAGTGTCAGTGTGCTTGTCGCTATTTATATAGGTTCATATATAAATATCCTTACGTTCGCTTCTCCAAATATTTTGTATACATATATAATTTTGTATTACTTCTTGTTGCTGTTGTGTTTCTTGTCCTTGTATATATAATTTTAAATTCCTGTTTCCTTTAAAATGCATTTTTGCAGTTACGCCTAATGATATTTTTCTTTTTCCATTAATTAATTATTTTAAGGTTTGACCTGTGCTGTGAACTCAAGGAAGAACCCAAAGCAGAAATCGTAAAACCGAAGCTGAATATCTGAATATATATGCTGCTTCTATGTGAGTGCCTTAGGTGCCTTTAAATTTATATATTTAATTTATACATATCCTTTCGATTTTCAAGGTTTTCCAAAACTAAATCTTTTATAAACTAAAAAAAGCTAAATCAATTTTGAGTCTCTCGTTTCTATTCAGGCCTAAAAGTTTTTACTCGTAAAATTTCCACTAAAAATTTGTGTTAGCATTAACTTGATCCAAAAGTTCTTTTTCTCTCTTTTTTTACAATCAAAAAAAAAAAAAAAAACTGGCAACATTTGGAAAGTAAAAACCTTAAAGAAAACGAACAGAAAAGGGGAACAAAAAAGAAATTAAGCTAAAATCAAACTGTGTGTCATTTTTTCATTTGTGTGATTGGGTCAATTGGCAATTTTGTATATTTCGCTATATGTTTATAAATTATTTTGTTTTGCTGTTGTCAAGGAACTTGTTAGAAATTTTAATTCTTGTTGCTGCTGTTTGATGGCTTGTTGAAATATTAAAAATAAGACAATAATTGAAACACAAATTAACGTTTATGGGGGAACCAAACTAAGGAACTTTTGATCACAACTTAAGCGCTAAGCAAAATCAATTCTTAAATTCTAAACTTAATAAATAGTAAACCATATAAATGAGGGCAAATGGAAATGCTGACACAATGAATTTTTCAATGATATGTGAAAAGTTTGGATGAATATAAAAATGGGCAAATGAAAGTTGAACATAGAAAAAAAGGCCAAAAGTTGTAGATTTTTTTTTTATTTTCATTTCGTTTGTTTTTCCACTTGAACTGTTGTCGCTGTTTATTTTCACTTGTTATACCCTTGCAGAGCAAAGGGTATTATTGATTTTGAATTTAATTGTAATCTTTACATTAGTGTTAAGTGTGTTTTATTTTTGTGGTAGCTTGTCTGATTTCCTTTTCTCATATAGCTTACAAATTCATTGTGTTCTGGCTGAAAATCGTTTAACAAAATAATATGAGTGTGGGTAATACATTACGGAACAGAAAGGAGTTCAAACTTATCAAGGAAGTAAACAAAAAATATATCAAGTGTTGCCACGTTTTTTTTTAGTTAAATTGGTTTTGTTTTGTTGTTGCTAAAGCTAAATAAATTTCATATAAGTTGGTATAATAATAATAACATTTCGCTTAAACATTTAGAACTAAATATATATATGTTCATATATATTTATGTGGGTGTTTATATAAAAAAAATTTATAAGAGACACAGAGCATGAAACATTGTGTGTATGTATGTGAGAGTGTGTGTGGGGGTTGTTTTCAGTGCATTTATTTAATTAAAAAAATAGCAAAAAAAAAAAAATATTTCCTTTCAAATTGAAGCCCCCAACCCTCGACCATCCTTTTCCACCATTTGTCTACTTTTATTTCCTTGGAATGTTTTGGTTTTCTTCTCTCGATTTTCCCTGTTTTTTTTTCTGCGGCGGCTGTGCAAAATTTTTTTTGTCTGGCTTTGCCGAAAATAAAATCAATTGTTTCCCGTTTTGGTTTCTAATTTCCCCTATTGAAATGCAATTAAAATCATCGAGAAAGCTTTTGGTTTTTTTATATTTATTTACTCATTACGTTTATCGTTATTAATTGTTTATAATTTTGTTTCTAAAAGGCCGAAAATCACAATTTTGTTTTGCTTTCTTTTTCTTCATTTGTTCCTAAAGGTTAAATTTTGTTTCGTTTACGCTTGATTATGTTGGATAATTATTTATGCAGATATCCGTTAGCTTTTGTTTTAACATCACAATTATTGAATTGATGCCTGTTGCTTCTACTCCCCTAAAAATCCTCTAATACTGCATGAGAAAAGTAAGCCAACAACAAAGGTGAAAAAATGGCAACGCTTTTCCTCGCTTTTTCAAAATGCAAAGCAAATAATTTCCTCCCCCCTCTTTTCCTTTTTGGTTTTTTTGGTTAAATATTTTGTTATTCATTAATTATTCACTATTCTTGTAATGCTATCACAGCCAAATTGTTTAATCCAAAAGTTTTGTGTTTGTTTTCGTTTTTCGTTTCTTGCCAAAAGGTTTTTTATATTTTTGGTTTAAAATTTAGAATTTTGAATTTTGTCTAGCGTGCTTAATGTGCGTTTTGTTGTTGCCTCTTTTTCTTAATATTTAGTTTTGTTTTTGTTTTGGTTTTTTTTTGCAGCTTACTGTTCCCAATCCGTTGCCAAAAATCGAAAAAAAAAATCTTTGCGCCAACCGCAGAAACGAGATAATGGTTTTCCCTCGATTTTCACGCTTAGCCTCAGCCACAAAAGTTTTGTCACAAAACTTCCTTGGTTTTTATAGATAATTTTTGTTTTCATTTGTTTATAATTTTGAGATCGATTTGCATTTCTTGTTGTTTCGTTTGCTGTTGTTGCCGGGCTAATCACTTGAGTGGGTGGAAATAGGGATCCGAGGGTCTGAGGAGCTTCAAATTCCATCAGCCAAAGAAGAGAACAAAAAATCTATGATTACTTATTTAACGCTTGGATATATCTAAGCTCTCCCTTTGTCTGCTTTAGTTACTAGCACATTTCATAATCGTAAAGCCAAAGGGGGTGTGGTCTCTTTCAAAGCAAAGTAAACTTGGTAGGGTGTTGGTAATGTTAATGGTATACCAAAAAGAAGTGGGGGAAAACATGTGAGTTTGCGTCAAGAATTTCGGGTGATCTTCAAGCCAAATGTTCTGTTTTTTTTCTTCGCTACAGCTACCCTTAGTTGGTATTCCTAGTGTGTGTTTTTTTCCCTCTACTACTCATATACATATATATATTTTTGGTTTATGTATAAGATTTATATAAATATCGTTAAGATCACAGATATTCTATGTAATTCTGCTGCTGCTGCTTTTCATTTTCATTTTCATTTGCATTTGCATTTGCATTTTCGATTTATCAAATTTTATCTGAATTCCAAAAATGTCTCTGTTTCGGTTTCTGCATCTGGTTTATATAGATATATAAATATTGTATATAGATATATGTATATGTTACTGTATAATAAGTTCTGTGAGTGTATAATATACGCGTGTGTGAGCGAGGGGATCGGGGGACTAAGTTGCACTAACTCACTATCGAAAATAGTCCTCTATATAGCGATTCGATCTGTAGCCGATCAGCCTGTGGTTTTTCTCTTGTGTATTGGTGTTTTGGGGGATATGTATGTTCGACTGCGTTCTCTTGCTCAAAACTAAAAACCAAAGACGCACAAAAGAATGCTACACTTGATGAGTTGGTGAACTGTTGAATTGTTGTGTGGATTTTGTGTTGTGTTGTTTTCAGTGTCCCCAGTTACTTTGCTTTTACTTGGTTTAGTTTTGAATTGGTGTTGGATTTCTGTTCACCAGTTCACTTTGCTTCTACTGATTTCGACCGTTTCTAGTCCTGCGGGTGTTGGGGTTCTCTATCTTTTCGATCGGGGACAGGGATTATGTTTACTTTAAGCTACTTTAACGCTTTATTATTATCGTCAACATTCTAGGTTCTCGGATCCTTCGGCTTCGGCTGCTACTTAAAAAGTTACATCACGTGTGTTCACTGTTCTTTTCATTACGTTTATGTTTATCGTTATCGTTATCGTTAATCGCTATCGCTAGCATTACTAAATCGTATTCAATTAGATCAATTGTATCATGTATAGTTAGCAATTTTTTATGTTTTTAATATTTTTGTAAATTTCTTTTCAATTTTTTTGCGCTTTTTCTTTCTTGCCTATATGTCTTACATTCTCTAACATATACTTTTGAAAAATATATATATCATATATATATATATATATTATATATATCATTTTTATTAGATTCCTGCTACAACTCTCACGCTGCGCTTTAACTGTTTTCCTGGGTAGAAAAAACGATTCTCCCTCTCTTACTGCCATCCAAAAAACGGGGATATATCTTCCCCAGTATTTCCTCACATCTATCTCCAAGGACTCTATCCTGTGTATCATCATCAAAAAAAAAAAAAAAAAAAACAAGTTCGCTTCTTGGTATAAACTTCAACAATTCGACAATATGCTGCTATATAATGTGTATAATGTATATATTAATATAGATGTTTTGTGTACGGTTATAGCCTGCCTGCTCTATTGTGTCTGTGAGTGTTTTGTTTTCTTTTGTTTAGTTGTGTTGGTGTAGGTGTTGGTGTGTTGCTGTCTCTTTCCTATTTGCTAGAGTTTCTTTTCGCACAGAACTTTTAGAACTGAATCCTCGTTTACATAATTAATAAAATATATACATATGTATATACATGGTTTCAACGGTATATACATATAAGTGGGTGTGTGTATTTGTGTTTGGGCTGATGTTGTGTTTGTGTATTGGTGTTGTATTGGTCTCTCCTCCTCTTCCTTGTTTTTCCTCCTTAAGTAAGTCAAAGTTCTTGTTCGCTCGTTTTCCTCATCAATTGTTGTTGTAATTGAATTGGTTGATGTTGTTGATGTTGTTGTTGTTGGTGTTTTGCAAGTAGTTTGCATTATTATTGTTGCTGTTGTTGTTGTTGTTATTGTTATTATTATAGTAGTAATAGTAGTAATAATAATAATTTAATAACAAACTAAAATCGTTTCACTATTGCGGCAACTCATCCTTTGTATCGACCGGGCTGCTGGGTGAGAAAAACTTGCGCCCATACTTGGGAAAATGCGTTTTCTCGTGCGCCTTGAGTATCGTGGAGCGCGAGAAAGTTTTTCCGCACATAGTACATCGGAACGGCCGTTCGCCTGCAATGCGATTTCCCCAAAAAGAGGGCAAGGAAATCAAGGAAATACGTCACGATATAGATAAAATTGATAATATATGTAACTGGTTCAGAAAATGGAGATGCGGGATGAGAATGTCAGGGCCTAATGGTATTTAAATGAATTTTAAAAAATACAGAACTAGTATTACCAACATAGCTTGTTTTAAGAAAAATATTTGATAGTTTGAAATAATTGAATTTCGGAGGTTTTATTTTACAAATTAATCCATTGAATGAAATGAAAGTCATTTTGTAACTATACGTCTGATACGCCATTTGAAATATTTAAGTTGTACAACAAGGCGTATGAGCAACGTTAGGAAAATATAACGTATACGACTAGTTGCACAGAAAACACCACGTATACACCTATTTAAAAAATCTACGAGTTTGTTTTGATGGGTTTTTTCTTTGGAATTTCATTAAAGGAATTGTACTTTTTTTTGAGTAGAAAAATAAACATTTGTTGGTTAGATATAATTGAATTGCTGGGGGGTGCTTTTGTTATATAAATTATTTCAGTCTGTGAAAGGGAAGTTATTTTGTAAAATTAAAGTTGAAAACTACGTATGATACGCAATTTGAAATATTTAAGTTGTACAACAAGGCGTATGAGCAACGTTAGGAAAATATAACGTATACCACTAGTTGCACAGAAAATATCACGTATACACCTAGTTAAAAAATCTACGAGTTTATTTTGATGGGTTTTTTCTTTTGAATTTCATTAAAGGAGTTGTACTTTTTTTTGAGTAAAAAAATAAACATTGTTGTTATTGCCGGGAGGTGTTTTTGTTATAGAAATTATTTCAGTCTGTGAAAGGGAAGTTATTTTGTAACTTTAAAGTTGAAAATTACGTCTGATACACAATTTGAAATATTTTAGTTGTGCCACAAGGCGTATGAGCAACGTTAGGCAAAATATCACGTATACGGCTAGTCGCACATTAAATATTACGTATACGCCTAGTAAAAATAGAACGAGTTTATTTTTATGTGCTTTTTTGGGATTTAATTGAAGGGATAAGTCTCTTTTTTGAGTAAAGAAAGGCCACTAAAAAATTAAACATTTTCTATGAATGTACCCCTAAGATTTATATTGGCAACACTTTAAAGAAAATGGGACAATGATCGGGTGGGCAATGATATATGCAGGTCAGGGGATTGTGATCGATCGAGTGATCGCTTTAGAACTATAGACTTACCGGTGTGCACGCGACAATGATCTTTCATGTGGTGGCGCAGCTTAAACGCTTTGCCACAAAACTCACATTTAAATGGTCGATCACCTGTATGTACCGACAAATGCGTGATCAGTGATGTAACATCGGGAAAACTTTTAGCACAGAACTTACACATGACAACACTATTCGGATCACTGGACGCGGCGCCCAGCAGCGACGCTGACTGCGATTGTGCGGCGGCCGCCGCTGCCGCCGCTGCTGCTGCTGCGGCGGATGTTGATGGGGATAGGGAACCGCTGGCGGTGCCGCTGCCAGCACCACCGCTGCCCGCTCCACCACCACCACAGCCGCCGCTGCCGCCCGTTGCCGCCGCAGCCCCCGAGCCACTGCCACTTCCGCCGCTTCCGAGCAGCAGGCCAGCGCCATTTCCGGCGGAAGTGGACGAGCGCACCACCGCCCCCCTGGCCACCGCCTCCTCCGCCTCCACCGCCCGCCGTCGCTTCCAGACAACTGGCCGTCAAACTTTGAAAGGTGCAACCGGCGCTGGCCAGCGAAAGGGCCGCCTCCATCTCGATGCCAAAGGCGGCGGCCACCGCTGCCACCTGCTCCTGTGTATCGCTGCCGGAAGTGGCCGCCATTGCGGCGGCGTTCATCTGAAAGGCGAACGGCGATGGCAGGCCGGCGGCGGCCAGATTCAGATCGCCGAGCAGGTGCGAGTGAAATAGCGCCGTTGTGGCCGGTTCGCGGTACTCGAGCGTCTTCAGCGAGTGCGTCAACAGGTGGCGGGTGAGTTTCGATTGGTTGGGGAACGCCATGCGGCAGTAGATGCACATGTGCATCGGCGGCGGCGGGGGGCTGTGAGGGGGATGCTGCTGCTGCTGCTGCTGCTGTTGGTGGTGCAGCAGAGCGGCGGCCGCCCCAACGCCCACAGCGTGTGGTGGGGGCTGTTGTTGTTGGTGGGGCGATTCGGACGTTTCCTGGAACAGACACCAAACAAAAATCCAACATCAACTTCTTTACTTGCTTTACTTTCGGTTTTTTTTTTTTGGTATTTTTTTTTTTAGTTTTGGTTTTGGTATTTTTCTAGGTTTTCGTTTTTTTTTTTTTTTTTGCTTTTCAGTTTCAGTTTTTGCTGGCAATCGATTTGAATTCTATAGCTTTTTAGCATCGCCTCTCTGCTGGTCTTGAATTTTTGCTTTTCTTCGTCTTCTTTGTCTTTGGCAAAACTAGTATTTATTTATTTTTTGTTCTAACGGTAACCAAAAAAATAATCATAAAATTATTTGTTTACTTGGAGTGAGAGAGAGAGAGAGTAAGAGAGAGAGAGAGTTATATATAGGATGTTCCAAAACTAAGACAACGTAAATTATGCAGTTTTTAGAAAAGAAGGTAATCACAGATTATTTTTACTCCGCCTTTACTTCGTTTTCGGTAAAATAAATCAGCGTTGGAACTCTAGTATTTAAGTTGTACATGAGAGTGGGAGAGAGAGGTAGAAGGAAAATTAGGAAAAAAACAAATTACAAACTTTACAATTGTTGAGAACAAAAAAAAAAGTAGTACGGAAAATTAAGGCAAGGAACTGAAAACGGAATCAATGAATCAATGTCATCAGAGAAGAGGAAACTTAGAAATGGAAAATTTGGGGGCCATTTGCCGGCCCAGCACTGCTCTCCTCCGGCTCTGCGCCTCTCCCCACTCCGCCGGATGTGGATCTGGACCAGGTCGAAGGCCATGGACCAGGCCCAAACCGCGGCCGAGTGCTTCAAACGTGTCTCAAACCGTTGCATGGATGCCAAAAAAAACAAGAGGGGGTTTCAGCATTTGACTTTCGTTGTGTATTTCATTAGTTGTTTTTCATTCTTTTTCTTTTCTTTTGATGTTTATTGCTTTACAAGAATTGCTTTAACAAGGTTTCTGGTATTTATTTCATTTTTGGTATTTTTTTTGCTTTTTTTTTTTTTGGTTTTCAAGAAGTTGAATTTCGATTTTTGTTTGGGCGTTGTTCGAAAAACGTCACATAATCGTACGTTAAGTATTGATAAAGCTTTTTCATTGCTTTCCTTTTTGATTTTGGTTTTACATTTAGTTTTTGTGTTTTTTTTTTTAATATAGTTTTTGTTTGTGTAAACTTATTGTTAAAAATTGTTTTGTTTTGTTGTTTTTTTTTTTTGCTTAAATTTGACGTTTTGACCAAAGGGTTTTGATCAATTTTGGAACGCGGTACGCTTTTTCGATTTTGAAGTTTTAATTTGGTTGAACAGTGATTTCTTTCGTACTTGAATTACATTGTCAAATCATAAACAAAAACTTGGGGTCGGATTTATTCAGTCACCTGGCAACAAGTTGTAGGCACTAATTTAACTAAAAGTTTTATGAAAAAAGAGCTTTTCACCACGCATACCTTGCATACATCCTCCTCTTTTCTTTCCTTTTTTTTTGGTTAAAAATTTTGAAAAAACTTGGTTTTTGTCTGATTTGACAGTTTCTAGCACGAAAAAAATCAATACAAATAATAATAGTTAAATCTGTACATAAATGTCCATAAATGCTTAAACAAAAAGAGTAAAATTTGGAATAAAAACAAAACGAAAAAAAAACATACAAAATTTTGGGTTGTCGGAGAAAACAAACTCTGGGGGCCAAATCGTGTTTTTTGTGTTCAACAAATTTCGTGTGGTTCAAAAAGGTTCAAATCAAAACAAACAAAAATGCAATTGAAATAAGTTAAATCAAATCAGTGGCTTCACTTAACTATTTTCAAGAAGTTTTTCCATATGCCGCACTCTTTTTTCGCAAAAAACTCAAATGGTCGGATGTTACAGAAAAAAAAAACACAAAAATAAAAGGCACATTGAATCTAACGAATGGTTATACAAGTCATGGGAAATGTTCATTCAGCACAGCCATGTTCAAAAAACGCAGATCAACTTCTTGACAATGTCAAATATATCAAATTAAAATAAATGTTAAAAAACAATCAACATTTTTCTTTTTTCTTATCACATTTTTCTTTCTCACATTTTTCTTTTCTTTTCTTTTCAGTTTCTTTTCTTCTTTTTTTTGTATTATTTGTAATAAATGGCACAACGAAAAACAAAAAAATGTGCAACAAAAGGTAAGTAAGAAGGGGAAAAAAGGCAATGGAAATGAGAAAAAGTAAGGACGGAAAGTAAAAATAAGTGAAAACGGAATTTCGGATGCGGATTCAAGGATCCATTTAGCCCTAAAGCTAAGAAATCTGCGCACAAAGTACTATCCTCATGGGTATCTCATGGGACATAGGGGATCGACCGAGATTCCATATCTTATAAAATAGGTGGCACAGTTGCATTTGAGTCAGGTATTACACATTACACACATTTACTTAGGCGTACGCATATATAGTACGTGTGGTATGTAAATATACCTAGAGAAAGAGTAAGATCTTCAGACTTATACGTACGGAATATGGTATGGTATCATCAGTAGGTACAACATTTAGTTCAAAAATTCAGATAACCAAAAAAATCGACCAACAGAACAATCAAACACACAAACACACTCAATCACACATCCTTTCGATATTCGATAACCAATATCCGATATCCGATATGTCTTTACTTGAATAGAGCACAACAACGATAAATGATATGGAAGGAAACAGAGGCATATTTTATGTATACATACGAGTAGGTTTTATATAGTAAACACAAAAATTTAACGACAGAGAGAAAGAGAGACAGACAGAGCGATTGGATTATTAAATAGAAAGATATAGAGTAAGAAATAGAGGTGGAAATCGAAGAAACAAGAGTAATGAAACGAAAGTACACAACATCGATTCCAAAAGAGAGTAAAAGAGACAGACAATAGAGCATAGAGTACAGTAGGTAACAAAAACACACAAAAAATCTATAAATGAAATGAAAAATCACACACATTGGTTAAGTTAAAATAAATCAGCCAAAAAATATCACTAATCAAGGAACAATTTAATCAATTAAAACAAAATTATCTAGGTGTGTTTAAGAAAAGCACAGTCAAGAGAATTTTAAAGAGATCTTATACAATTTTTTTTAATCTTTGATTTTTGTAATTGAAAAACAACGTAGATTTTGGTATTTAATTTCTTTTTAATAAATTTAAAATACGAATTTATATACTTATGTACTCTGAGATGAAGATCTGTAAATATCATTCAAGGACACATATATAAAAGGAACCCTTATTCCTATTTTTAAAAGAAAACGACATTAACTGGCTAAGAAAAACACTTAGATTCACAAAATGGAAATCATTAACTTGAAAATGAACGACAACAAAAATGAAAATCATGTTTATAGAGAGAAATGAAAGACATTTAGCTTATGGAAAAATAGAACACACACATTTACCATTTACATAAACGAACAACGAACGAACGATTTATGGTAAAAGCGTTCCACATTTAGATAATACATATATATCGTTGAAAAAATAGTATTATAGTATGTTGGTCGAGTGTAAGTTTGTGGGTGTGTGTGAGTGTGTGAGTGTGGTATGTTGGTGTGTGAGTAAGTGTTAGTTCGATTTTCTATAATTTGATTGAGATTTCGTTATTTTTCTATTATTTTGGTTGCATTTCTTGACTGTTATTACTCTTCTTGTGGTTTTGTTTATTTTTTTTTTTTTGCGGTTATGCAGTTTGAAAAACACCAAAAGCGCTTTAGTACGATTCTTTCTTTGGTTGATAAATTAATGCATTTTATATATATATATTGAGGTATATATATTTCAGTTATCAATTGCACAACGTTCAGATCTGGACCCCTCTCTTGTTTTATTTGATGGAGATTTTGTGGTTTCTTTTATATTGCTGTTCCGTATTCGTATTGATTAATAATATTAAAAGCACAACACACAGTTTGACACATCGATAATATTGATATAGATAGAGACAGAGAGACAAAGAGAGCGAGAGAGACAGATAAAGTGACACACAGAGCGAGAGCGAGATAGATAGTAAGTTTTAAGACAGAGATAACAATTTAATAGCAAAAAGTACATTTACAAGTTAAGTTTCAAGTGAAATCAAATAAAAAAGGGTTAAAACAAATGGCTTCTTCGTTTCAGCTAGTTGCAATGCAAAGAAAGGAAAAATATTCGATTTCTTAGGTTGGGAATCGGGGGATCATAAATATATATAAGTGGGTACGGTCCAAATTTTGTGCAGCGAATTTTGATTTCATTTACAGTTTTTTGTTTGTCAAATTTTTCGGTTATAGGGGGATTTTAGTTTAGATTTTTTCACAAAGCGCAAAATTAAAATATAGTTTTTATATTTGTTGTTCTTTTTTTTAGTTGTTTTGCTTGGCCAAAATGTTAGGGGGTGTATGGTTTTGAATTCTTTTCATGGGTTTTCATAAAACATGCATTATATACATACGTTTTAAAGCTCTACCAAATTAGAAGTTTGTGCGTTAGTGTGTGGATGAAGGTGTGATCTTAGATCTAATTAATAATTAAAACAAATTACTGTCGTTGCAGTTGTTTTTACAGGTGATATAATTTTTAAAATAGGAACCTTTGGAAATGAAATGATCTTTGCACTCTGCTGCAAATTCACCTAAGAATATAAACCCAACGAGTTGCTTTTCCAACGTTTCCCCATAAATTTAAATGTACATCTGGGCTTTGGCTTTAAGGGAGATGGCTAGACCAATGCACCAGTAACTTACATCCACTGATGTTGCGTGATTTTAGCCGGCAAAAGACAGACAAACAGGCCAGCAAATAAACAAACTTTCCATTAGCCAAATTGCAGTTTTGGCCTCTCCCGCTCTTGGCAGCGGATTATTGAATAACCCCAGTGCAGGGTCCGCCAAAATCTGGGTCACCACAAGCAAAAACGCCAACAAAAAATAAGAAAATAAAAACAGTCCGAAAAAACGAAATAGGCAGGCGATTGGGGAAATGGCCAAGAAGTTGGGCCGTGAGTCGATGAACCGCTTTGATT